GCGGCGCGGCGCACTCGGCGCCGGGGGGGTCGTCCGCGAGCGACCGGGCGGGGCAGAGGGGGGTGTCGCTGCGTCACGTGCTCAAGTCGGGCAGTCTGACGGGGGAGGTCGTGGAGTACCGGTCGCGGCACGGCGACCCGCTCCTCGTGGGCACGATCACGGACGACGGGCGCATCTCGTGCGGGTGCGCGGGGTGCCGCGGCCGGCCGGTGTCGTGCTCGACGTTTGAGGAGCACGCGGGGTCGCGCGAGCGGCGGCCGGGGAACTCGATCTTCCTCGCGGGGCCCAAGTACGGGATGTCGCTCACGGACTACGCGCTGATGCTCGCGCAGGCCGGCGGCGCCCATGCGGTGGCCGCGCGCCCCGCGCCGCCGCCGGGCGAATTGCAGAAGAGCCGCGTCCTCGGCGACGGGTCCGCGGTGAGCGCGCTGCTGCTGAAGAACGCGTCCGCGCCCGGGGGCGTTCCGGGCGTCCCGAGCAGCAGCAGCGCCGGCACGAACGGCGCGCTGGTCACCGACAGCATGACGGGGGGCGGTTCCGCGCCGGAGGCGTCCGGGCACGCGGCGCCCGCGGCGCCCGTGCGGTCGTCGCAGCGCGCGCGGTCCGGCGCTGCGTCGCGGTTCGGGAGCTACGCGTACATGTCGGATCCTGCGCTGGCGGGCTCGCACGGCGCGGGGCCGGGGCGCGGGCGCGGGCGGGGCCGCGGGCGGGGCCGGGGCCGCGGGCGCGGCTCGGGCTACGCCGGCGGCACCAAGATCGGCTTCAGCGCGCCTCAGGTCGGCAAGGGCCGCGACGGCAAGTGCCAGCGGAACTGGAACAAGAACAAGCGCTTGTTCTCCGGGGAGCCCGGGGGGCTCAAGCACGGCGAGCGCGTCTTCTACCAGACGGCGCAGGGCGAGACGCTGCTCGAGGGCGTCGTGCAGATCGAGCCGGACGGGAACTCGGGCATCCACTGCGCGTGTTGTCAGAAGATTGTCTCTTGTTCGCAGTTCGAGAACCACGCCGGGCGCGGGTCCCGGCGCGCGCCGTACGACAACATCTACTCGGAGTCCGGCGTGTCGCTGCGGATCCTCGCGATGATGCTGCCGGACCTGCCGAACGAGGGCGGCAGCGGGAGCGGGAGCGGCGGGAGCGGCGAGGGCGGCGCGGACGGCGGGAGCGGGTGCGCGACGGGCGAGCTCGGCGCGGGGGAGCCCGAGGAGGAGGAGGACGTGCAGCTGCGACCGGGCGAGGCCGGCGGGCTCAACGGCGGCTGCGTGCTGTGCCGCACCAACACCTTCACCACCGAGACCTTCAACGACGAAACGATGATCATCTGCGACCAGTGCGACCGCGAGTTCCACGTCGGGTGCCTCCGCAAGTGGCAGCGCGCGTGGCTCGAGAAGCTCCCGTCCGGGCGCTGGTTCTGCTCCCCCGCGTGCCGCGAAACGAACAAGGACATCTCCTCGGTGGTGTCGCGCGGGGATATGCCGATCACGGAGTGGCACTCGTGGCAGGTGATGCAGGGGAAGAACCGCGGGGGCACGTCGGGGTGGGACCTCCGCGCGGTGCTCAAGATACTCCAGGAGTCGTTCGACCCAATTATGGATCTCTCGACTAACACGGACCTGCTGCCGATCATGGTCCAGGGCGGCTCCCACGGCGACTACGACTACTCCTCCGTCTACACCATGGCGCTGCGGTTCCGCGGGAAGCCCGTCGTCGCCGCGGTGTTCCGCGTCTTCGGCGAGGAGGTCGCGGAGCTGCCGCTGATCGCCACGAAGTCGGACGCGCGCCGCGAGGGCCACGCGCGCGTGCTGATGAACATTTTTGAGGAGCTCCTCGTCGCGCTCGGCGTCCGGCGGCTCGCGCTGCCCGCGGCGTCCGAGACGGTCGACACGTGGGCGCGGGGGTTTGGCTTCCAGCACATGGCCCCGGAGGAGCTCCTGAACTACAAGCGAGAGTTCCGGCTGCTCATCTTCCCGGGCACGCACGTCATGTACAAGGAGCTGCTGCCGCCCGCGAAGCGCAGGCGCTTCGTGCCGACGGCGCACCTCGACCTGCAACTGGTGGTGGGGGTTGAGGGCGGCGCGGAGCGCGTGCGCATCGAGTACTCGATCCGCGGCACGTGGAAGGACGTGGGGCTCACGGTGCGCGACCTCACGCGACGCTCCGGGCCGTGCTTTCTTGCACATACAATCACGGACTCGTATTTGATTCTCACTCGTTGTTTCGCTGCGCCGTGGATGCTCGCAGGACCCCGTGACGCAGCCCGAGCGCACCGAGTCGAGCGACGACGAGCAGCGCGGCCGCCGCGGCGGCGCGCGCACGCACCAGCAGCGCCACGCCGCTGCCGCCGCCGCCGTCGCCGCCGCCGCGAAGACCTCGACGCCGAACCGGCACCACCCGAACGGCCCGGCGTCACCGCAGGGCGTGCAGCACGCCGCCGAGCCCGTGCCCCGGCCCATGGGAGACTCCCCCCCTCCGGTAGAACTACTGCACCCAGGTATCAAGGAATGGGCGCTGGCCGCGGGGCTCACGCCCCCGCCGCTCCCGCCCGCGCCCGCGGGGGAGGCGAAGCCCACGCCGCCGCAGCTGCCGCGCGCGACGCCGCCCGCCGCAAACGGCGGGGAGCGGCCGACGCGGTCCTCGCGGCAGGCGGCGAGCTCGTTCGACGCCGACGCCGACAACTTCATCGTCGGAGGTGCGCACGCGTCGATGCTGGCAGCCGCGGGCGCGCGCAGCTGGTCCACCGCAGCGCTCTCACGTGCCAGCGCGGAGCAGGCTCCTTCGCACACGTCCTTTCCTTAACAACTCCATATCTTTGCGTACGCTCTGGACAGGCGTCGCGTGTTCCACGCGTACGCTCTCGTTCTCGCGCTGCGAACATGCCTGGCGTCGCTGACGAGTTCGTTGTCGCCGTTTGGCGGTTGCGCGCTCTGCAGAGGGGCTTTCCGAGCAGGAGCAGGACTGGATGAGCAGCGGCCCGCTGGCCACGCGAGATGGTCTGGGCGGGGACGGCATGGGGGACCTGGGCCTCGACATGGCCTTCGACTAGGGCGGCCGACGCATGGGGTGCGCTGGCACGCCGTGGGGATTCTGCCGCCCGGCGCAAGCGTGCCTGGCCGCTGGATCACGGAGCCAGCTCGCCCACAATGTAACACTCTGCAGGATCTCTTGAGTCACCACGATACCGCGCGGCTCTGCGCGCACGGCATTGCATCGGTGCGTGTAGGTCAACGAATTACTAAAGGCGACTCCGCCGCGCCGTTGCTCTCGGCCACCCCTTCCCTCGGTCGATCGGACCTCCAGTCTGACTCGTTTCGTCACGCTCATTGTCCATCACAAGCAACCATGAGCCCCATGACAACGTCATCGTCATGTTAACGATCACACGAGCTTCCTGGGCACTGCACCCCCACCCCTGACAACCACCACGCGGATCCGCTGCTCAACGTGTGCTTCCAGGAGCGGCCCGAGTAGCGGGTGACGTGAGGGGCTGTCACCTGACATGCGTGATGTCATGCGTGCTGTCTTGCTGGGCAGGGTCGCCGGCCGACGACATCGGGACGCGTGGTTGGGCTTGCCGACGAGTACCCGCACGCCCGCGGGGCTCGTCACTCATCGAAGACTTCACTCGAGCTGCGTGCGCAGGTGATTGGAACCCCGACACTTGTTGCTGCAGCTTGCTCATCCTGCGTGCGGGTACTCCACCGCGTCGTTGCTCGGCCACCCCTTTCCTTGGTTATCGTGACCTCCGGTGTGACACGTTTGTCACACTGCATGTTCAATACAAGCAACAACCACAAGTGCTCGACACGAACGCCGTTCAACCATGCCTTGTTCCTGTACCCCTGCGCGGCTCGCCGCCGCCGCCGCGGCCGCCGGGCCGCCTACGTGCCGAACCGCTGCCGCACGGCGCGGTACCGCAGGGCGGCGTCCCGCAGCTTCGCCTGCGTCAAGCCTTGCGCAGGCCCCACATGCAGCAACTCGCACCGGCCCAGACCGAGCGGCGGGTACCCTGCGACGCTGCACGCTGCGCCGACGACGACCAGGAGGTCCGCCTTGTACAAGCAGCCCGGCCACTTGTCCTCGATGCGCGCTTGCAGGGCCTCCGGGGAGGGGTCTGCTGCCCGACTACCCCCGGGGTCTATTGCCTCGCTGTCAGGCCCAGCGGGCGAGTCCTCGAGCTCGTGCTGCGCGTCGGCCGATAGCAACAGCGGGTACAGGCCCGCGCGGTACGACACCACGTCGATCGTGACCGCAGCACCGCCTGTGCCGCTTCTGGCGTGCCGCACAGGTTCAGGGCCCGGACAGCCCTCGGACGACCGGCCGACGCGCACGCAGTGCGGTGTCCCTGCGAGCGCTGCGGCCGCCGCAGTTTCCACGGCTCCGACGTCCTGCGCAGCCAGCGAAGCGAACCGTGCACAGAGGTTGGTCGCGGCATCGCACGGCCACCCAACGCGGCTTGGCGCGCTAGCGTGACGTCCCGCGGGCGGTGCGCGTCGCGCTCGCAGCAGGCGGACCATGGCCGTGGTTGGCGGTGGCGTGCCTGACTCAGGGCGCCCGTTGGTTCGTACAAAACAACCCTCTTGGCACCTTCGGCTTTGGCCCATGCGAGCACGTGCGCGACGGACGCGGCCGTCGCGTCCCAGTGGTCCGCGGCGTCGTTGTAGACGACTGCGACGGTCGACGGCGGCGCGGGCGGTGCACCGCGGCCCTGCGCGGCGCGAGTGCGCTTGCCCTGCGGGCGACGAGGCCGCGTGGGGGGTCGCTGGGGCGCCGGGTCGGCGGTGGGCGTCTGCGGGAGCGCGAGGTGATGTGCCACGGACGGAGGCGGTTCGGGCGCGTGCGGAGGCAGTGGCGCGACCGTCGCACCTCGAGCCTGGACGCCACGTCCGCGCAGACGGACGCGACGAAGTGCGCCAGGCGGAAGACGGTGTGGAAGACGAGCAAGGCCAGGCGGTGAAAGAGCCCGTGCCGCCCAAACATCTCACGGCCCGGCCCCAGCCTTTCCTGGCGTCTCAGGAGGCCTCCACGCGGTCAAGCCAGGACCATGGACGTTCCGCGAAGCGCTTGCCTCGTCCCGTTCGTACGTTATCGTCCGCGCGACGTCATGTCCTCCTGAGCCGCCCTAACACGCGGGCTAGTCGAGGCGGAGGGACAACGGGTGAAGTTGTGTGGTGTTTGCTGCGCTGCGGACGATTCTCTGCCTTATACTGATGAATAATCGTTTCCAGACGTACTTCTATCACGAAACTTGCATATCGCGCGACTTCACCGCACCCCTGCCGCGTTCCCGCTGCCTGGAGCCCGGAAGCGCTTGGGGCAATGCAGGCTGCGCGGTCGACGGACAGGGCGCGAACCGGGGACGAAGCGGTGCGTCTTCCGAGCAGAGAACGTGGGGCTTCGTCTCAGCGGGCTCGGGCAATCTCTCCTTCCCGTTTGCGGCGTGGGAGGGGTAGAAGGCTGCCAGGTCAACAGGGCGGTCCTTCGTCAGGCTGCGCGCCGCCTCGCGCCCAGAAGGCCGGCGGGCCGGACGCACGCAGTCCACATCAGCGGCGTCCAGGCAGGCAGACTTCGCCCGCCATCAGCGCGCTGCCGTTCCACTCCCCTGCACCTGGCGCTAAGATCCCTCTCGCACCACGTCGTGGGGCGCAACAACCGCTCGCTGCGCAGCCAGGACGCAGAGACCATCTCAGACCACGTCCTCGTGAGCCATTGGAAGCCCCCTGGCGACCAAGGAGGCCGCTCAGCCCACCTCCTCGCAGCATCTAGCTGCCTGCACTCTCCCACCGGCCCGCGGCACCGCGGAGCAAGCCGCCGGCGCGTCCAGCTGGAGGCAGCGGTGTTTCCGAGCCGCCCTCGATCCCGTCGCAGTGGCGAGGCACGACGCGGTGCGCACAGAATCGGATACATCTTCTCCTGCGCGTCCGTTGGGGGCGGGACTGGTCTGAAAAGGTGCGGACCTGGTGCCGGAAGACTGGGGCATCGTCGGCGCGAATGTCGCGGGGCGAAACAGCCCGGCGGACCGGGCCTTGTTCCTGCCGGCGAGTTGAGGCGGTGCTTCCAGGCCCTGGCGCGAGCTGCTGGGCCCGCCGACGCGTCGCAACGTGCCCTCTCTGATGTCCGCGGCTCACCGTCGGCGCGCCTGAACGCGCGCGCCCCCCCCCCGCCCGCGCAGCTTCGGAGCTAAGCTCGGGGCCGTAGCTGCCGACGCGCGACGATGTTCGCGTGCTGTTCCAAGCCGCCCGCGGCGGACAATACACGTAGGGACACGAACGGCGCGAGCTGGCGGGACGACGGCGCCGCACTGAACGACATCGACCCTGAAGCCGAGGAGGCCGTCCCTGAGCTGCCTAATGACTACTATCTCAAGCACAGCTCCCATGGCGGCGCGGAGGACGGAGAGAACAGGAAGAAGAAGCGGCGCGGCTCGGTGAGCCCCGCGCCCGCGCCCTCCCCGCTACCACCGTCCGCATGGTCGTGCGGGCACCGCCAGGCCTTCCCCGGCCGCAACGCCCGCTCAGCGGGCCGCTCCAGGACGCACGGCGCGCGCCACGCTCGCACACGTACAGCATCTGCACGGAGAGCGATTCCCCGCACCGCTCTGCGCCGCGTGGCCCGACGGGCGCCCGATCGCCTGGGACACGGGCACACCCTGTTGACTGATGGCGCACGCCGGCTCGCCGCGGCCGCCGCAGGTGTCGTCCGAGGCCACGGGCACCAACGACGCCGAGATGAACGCGGGCAAGGGCACGGCGAAGGACGAGCAGACCTTCAAGGACCTCGTCGCGGCGCTGAAAAAAACATTCCTCTTCCAAGGCACGCTCCCGCCGCCGCCCCGGCCCGCCCCGCCCCGCCCCGCCGGCCCCGCGCTCCCCCGTACACCAGCGACCTCCTCACGCGCCCGCACGCCGGCCCGCCGCCCCGCAGACCTCGACACGGACCAGCTCTCGACCGTCGTGGACTATCTCAACATCAAGGACGTCGAGGCCGGGCAGGAGATCATCACGCAGGGCGCCCCGGGCGACTTCTTCTACGTGATCCGCGCCGGGAAGTACGAGGCGGTCAAGGACGGCGTCGTCGTGCACACGTACGCCTCGGAGGGCTTCTTCGGCGAGCTGGCGCTGATGCACAACGCCCCGCGCGCCGCGACGGTGCGCTGCATCGAGGCCGGCTCGCTGTGGGCGCTCGAGCGCCGCACGTTCCGCAGCATCATCGTCATCACCAACAAACAGCGCCGCCAGAGGAACATCCAGATCCTGCAAGGCATGGAGGCGTTCGGGGCGCTGTCGCCCGAGCAGCTGCAGAGCGTCGCGGACTGCCTGCAGTTCGAGGTCTTCGAGGACGGCCAGGCCATCCTGAAAGGTGCGCGCTGCCGCCCGCGCGCAGCGACAACACGCAGATTCACCCCAAGGCAGTGTTCTTTGTTGGTGGTGTGCGTTTGCGCCGCGAGACGCAAACAACACACGTCCCCCGGGCGCTCGCGCGTCGCGCCTCGCGGCGCCGCACACCTCGAGCGAAGCGCGATCACGTGCCGCCCCCTGTAGCCGCCCGACTTGGTCCGTAGAACTGTCGCGACCGGCCACTCACTCACCTGCTTGCGGGGGCAATCACAGGCGCCGCGGCCGCCGCTGCCGCCCTCGCCTGCGGGGCCACGCACCCACGGCCGCCCGCGTTGCGCGTCTGTCCGTCATTGCAGAGGGGGAGCCGGTGGGCGAGAACTCGAAATTCTACATTCTGGAGCGCGGCACGGTGACCACGTACCGCAACATCGCCGGACAGCGCGAGATCGTCAAGGAGCAGAGCGCGCCGAGCTACTTTGGCGAGATGGCCTTCATGGAGGGGTCGGGGGCGCGCTTCGCCGACTGTGTCGCCAAGGGCCCCGCGCAGGTGCTGGCGCTGGAGCGCAGCGCGTTCGAGCGGCTCATGGGCCCGCTCAACGAGGTGCTGAAGAAGGAGGTGCAGGGGTACAAGGCCGTGAACGAGAAGCTCGTCGAGAAACGGATGTCGGCCGTCATCGGGTCGTCGTAGGTCGACGTGACCGCCTGCGCGCGCGCGGACGGGGCGCCGGTCGTGGGCCGCCGCCGTCGGTTGCTCGGCGCGCTGTTCGTGCACGGACCGGCGCGCTCCGCGCGGGGCGCCGCTCCGCACCGCGACCGCAACCTCTGTGCGCGTGCAGCGCTGCGGCGCCCGGTTGTTGGCGCTTCCGCGGCGGCGGAGCGCTCCGGCAGCACGCCGGACAACCTTCGCGCCCGGGCGCGGCGGGCGTGGCGACGCCCGCGAAACGAACGTCGAAAGAACCAGGATTGAAGAACCGAGAACACAGGAACGCGAGAAACGTCAGTCTCCTCGCACTCCCTCCCTCCCCTCTACGCCCCCGCCCTCCCCTCTCTTCTCCACGCCTTCTCAAGCCCGCTCCGACGACCGCCGAAGCTCGCCCGGCCGCTCTGTGCGCACGTAGAGGCGAGTGTGTGCCACGCGCGAAAGGAGAAGTGGAGAGTGCCGTGCGGGGTGATTATTTGCTTCATCGGCCCCTCGGTAGCATCTCTGCAGTGTGTGAGTCCTCTAACACCCCCACGCGGCCTGGCGACTCTCCGACCGCTCACGCGCACGTCACGAGTCCCGCAGACCCTCTGCCTGCTCTCCCGCAAGTAATCCACAACGATGAGCAGGAGAGACTCTCCCCGGAGGACTGTCCGCTGCTCGACCCCGCTCCGTCTCCGTCTCGACACGTCAAACTCGAGCAAGGCGTGCTGCACATGGTCATCCTATGACAACGATGTGATTTTACGACGCACGTGCGCTGCTCACGCGCCGGGACGCGTGAAACACGTGGAATGACGGCCACGCTGCGCAGCACCAGCAGCTCGCAGCGATATCACCGCCAACATGCAACCTCACCACCGTGTTTCAACGCGCGTCCTCTCCGCCGGTTCGCTCCGTCATCGCCGGCCCGTGGCGCGCTCCGCCCGCCCGGCTCGCGCCCCTTACCCTTGAGGCGCCAGAGCTCTACGTCGCCCTCGCAGCATGCCCTGCCCCGCTGCGCACTCGTGTGCGTAACCGGGGTACAACCGGGCCGAGGGGGGAGTCCTGGAAGGGACTGCCCGACTGCCACGCCGCTGTGCCGGCGCCGCTGGGGCAGCTCATGGCCACCGCGCGCCGCCCGACCGCTCACTCGTCGCTGCGCACGCGGATTCGCGGCGGAACCACGCTTCTTCCAGGCAGCAGCCCAAGCCCAGAGACACGGTGCGCTTCCCGACGACGCGACGCGACGGCCACGGGCGTGGCGAGCGCTGGCGCCGACGCGAGGGCGCGTGCCTGTCTCAACGCACTCGACGCGACCGTCTCGCGAGGCGTCGAGGGTCGGAAAACGCCGCGTTTCGCTCGGCCTGGGGCTTGCTGCCGACCTGGTTTGTCTGTGCGCCGGACAGGGCGATGTGGGGGGCACCGCGCCGATCACCATCGCATGGACGCGTGTCAATATCATATCTACGCCATCAAAAGCGCAAACGGCTTTGATAGTGCCGGACGAGCCCGCTCGAACGGGTCAACGTTCTATCCATGGCCCAGCATGGCAGCGCTGTTTCGGCAAACGCGCTGGCCGACATTGCCGCACGCTCACGCGCACACGGACCACCCATTCGGCTGACTCGCCGTCGGCGACTAAGGGGAATCGTTTGCGTTCCCTGTCCGCCGCAGATGGCGCCCAGGGCCCCCAAGCGGGCGAGGGCCAGCGACGCCGGCCCGAGCGGCGTCGGCGGCCCGGGTGACAGCGACCCGGGTGGCGGCGGCCCGGGTGGTGGCGGCCCAGGCGGCGGCGGCCCAGGCGGCGGCGGCCCAGGTGGCGGCGGTGGCGGTGGCGGCGGCGGCGGCAGTGGCCCTGGCGGCGGCGGCGGTGGCCAGGGTGGCGGTGGCCCGCCGTACAATCAGGGATGCTACGCAGAGGTCGAGACGAGCAACGGAACGGTGCGTTTCCCGCCGTGTTGTCATTGGCACGCAAAGAATTTTTTTCAGTCTCATTGTTGTGCGCCATCGCACCTGCAGCGAGCCTGCACTTGCGTTGAGGAGCGCATGCCGTCTGTCTGCTTGACGTGCGCGCTCTGAGGGTGCAAGAGCGGATATGATAGACCACTGGAAGCTCATTTTGAAATGACATGGATGTTTGCAAATTGGCGGGGATGCTGGCACGCTGCCACTTGACGACTCAACAAGCACTGTCAGCTTTGTGCACTCTCACATCTCGACACGCGACTGTGCTGCAGGAGGTCCTGGACGCGTTCGGAACGCATCCGACGCGTCTGAATGGTGGGCAGTGGATGATTCAGCTTAACAGGATTTCACCTCTCATGGACACGCTGCTCAACCTGTTCAACACAGACATCCGGTGCGCATCTGACCATGCACGCTTACGAGACGCTAGTGCATGATGCACAGTCTGTCGGCTCCATGCAGCGCATGCACGGCACGTGCCGCAGAGGTCTGTGCAGAGATGTACCGAGCAGCCTCCCAAATGCGTACCTCCCCTGCCAAAGCAGATACCCTTACACTGCAGTGACCTTGCGCGACGATATCCATTTGATTCCATGTTCACTGCAGGTCGTCGCCGTGCGAACCGAACCCCCAGAGGTTGAAATTCCTCAACATGAGGCATGTCCAGGGGTCTGTGAGCCTCGCGTTCAAGTACGCGGATCTGCAGTTCAAGGCAAGGCAGATCAAAGCGGTCGATGAGGTGGCTCATGCGGAGCTCAAAGCAAGGATCGAGGAGGCCGTCGGGGCACTCGACAATCTCTGGAGTGAATTCTCGGCCACTTGGCCCCCGAACGGTACAAACCAGGTGGTCAAGACTAAGCAGATGCAGGTTCGTCGGCGTATTCCGTTTCAAGCGAGCGCGAGCATGCCGTGGCTGACGATCTGGAGCATGCAGTTGACCTTATGCTGTTGCCGCATTTATCTCACTCGCGCCGGGGGACGCGGGCTTCGCGCCAATGCCATTTAGCTCGCACGGAGGTGCGCATCGCACACGACTCACACGTTCTCCCACCCACACGATTCATGACTGCAGAATGGACGCCGAGTTGACCTGGTGAACCTGCCCGCGCTGGACATCCTAAGGCTCAGGACGGCTCGGTTCAATGAGCAGAGAAGACAGGACGCGGCGAACGAGAGGGCAAGACAAGACGCCCAAAACGCCGCAAACGACGCTCAGCGCGCACAAGCGCTGCAGGCCGCAAGAATGGAACTAGCGTACTGGTCGTCGCTCCTGGAACGCGTCCGAGGCGAACTTGAGGCGACGGAGGAGAGCCTCGAGGCCGCACTTACCGAACAGACCCAGGCACAGCAGCGCATCGCGGAAATTCGTCAACAACTGGACGCAGGCGGGCAGGACATGCAGACCCGCGGTCGGCTGCACGGTCGCCTGCAGGTACGTGGCACCAGCACGGTGATCCGAGCTCACAGTCCTGCACCTGACGAGCAAGGATCTCGCTGAGAGCATCCTCAGGGCGAGTCTGTTGCTTTATAGCAGAAATTTCGAACCTGCTTCGCCATGCGTCGCAGGCCGCGGACCTCCGGCTCAGTTCCCTCGCTGCGCAAGTGTCGACGACTACCGACGCCATGAAGACATTGAATGAAAAGATTTCGGAGCTCGAAGCCAAGGTGCAAGAGGCCGAGAGCCTGATCGACGACCTGACCTGAGCTCGCGCCGTCCAATCTTCGACCCGCGGGTTGGGGAGGAGAGGGGAGGCGTACGCGTTCGGCCATCAATGGGAGCACCTGCCTCAGCGATGTGCCTCGCTCTGACACGGCCCTGTGAGAAATATGTTCGACGCTAACCGTTTTCGACCGAGGGCGCCGGCTGTGTTGCGCAGACGCGTCCACGCACCACGTGCTCCTCAGCGCAGTATCGATGCTGCGCACCAGCTCCAGCTCGCCGCAAACCAACTAAAGACGGGGCCCAACCTAGTATTTCCTCCTGCGTGGAAGTCACGAGCTTGTGCAAAGTAGTAATCGTGCGGCCAGCGTCCGCCCTGTCGAGGCGCCCCGCCGCTCACGCACCCAGGCCAACGAACCTCGCAGGAGGTGACGCGCGCCGGCCGCGTCACACTGCGGCCACGCGCCCCCCTACAGGTCCATCGGCTCCGACGGCTGCGCCGTGGTGGCCGCGGACCGTTCGCGCCGCGCCCCGCTGCGCTGCGCGTTCTCCCTCTCGTTCCCCGCCGCGTCCCCGCCCGCGCCCGCGTCCGCCAGGCCCGACTGACTCAGCGCGGGGTAGAACTGACACATCCACTCCGTCGCCTTCTCGCTGTGCACGAAGTCGCTCGCCCGCCACACCTGCACGCTCCCGCCGCCGTCCGTGGGCGACCGCGCGGACACGGACAGCACCGTCCAGTGCGCCCACTCCGCCTCCGGATCCTTGGGGTCCCGGAAACGGTCCGACGCCAGCCACTGGAAGTCCGTGACCTCGGACTTGTGCCCGAGGTGCTGGAACACCTGCCGCCAGCCGTCCTTCGCGCCCTGCGCCTTGGAGCTCTTCTGCGGCGGGCGCGGGACACGGGACACGTTCGGCGCCGCGGGAAAGGTGTGTGGACGTGTTTGGGGGTGCGTGGAGGGCGGAGAGGCGCGGCGCTGGCGTGGGCGAGGTTGCGGGGCGCCCGTGCGACCGGTGCAGCGGGCGGGACGCAAGGTGTGTGCAGGAGTCGAGAGAACGAGGGGGGGGGCGGTAATTAACAAATAAATAAATAAACTTACGTCTTTCCAAACGGAGATGACGCCGCGGGCGTCGGCGGCCGCGAGCACGCCCGGGCAGGCCGGGTGGAAGTCGACGCGGTTGATGGCTCCGCGGTGCTCGGTGTGCATCTCGCACACCATCTGCATCGTGCGCAGATCCCACACCTTGCAGATCCCGCCCTCGCACCCGGACGCGATGTAGTGCGGCTCCAGCGAGGACCACGACAGCGCGTGGATGTCGAAGGAGTGCGCGCTCTGGAACGCGCACGACGGCGCCGTGCCTGCATGGGCCCGGAACGCGGACAGTTGGGAATCCGTGGTTGTCGGAACGCGCGAGTGACGTGTCTGGCGGCGAGCGCGCGGTCGGCGGGTCACCTGCGCGCGTGTCCCATATCAGGACCGTCTTGTCCGCGCCCGCCGAGGCCAGCTTGTGGTGCGTGTCGGGCGCAAAACACACATCTCCGACCTCCGCACTGTGCCCACGCAACACGTACGTCGGCGACAGCGACTGCCCCAGGCTCTCGCGCGCGCGCACCGACGCTATCTGCATCCTCGCACGATCCCCGGGAAACGCTCGCCCGTCAGCGCGTGGCGCGCACGGTGCCGCTGTTGGCCGTCGCCGACGGCTCGCGCGCAGGTCCGCGCCCGGGCGTGAGCGGGCGGGGATCGAACTCGCCTTGTCGTGGAGGTCCCACGTGAGCACGGTGCCGTCCTCGGCCCCGCTCGCGACCACCTCGCGCGTGCTGCTCCATGCCATAGCAAACGGTGCGTTCGCCTCGTGTCCTACGAGCTTGAGGTCGGGTTCGCCGACCTGGGCGGTCCCTAGCCACTGGACCTTGCTCCTCGCGCCGCCGCGGGCGTCCGGCTGCGAGTTGACGTTCCACAGCAGGCAGTGGGGCGCATCCGTGGAGGTGGCAATGATGTGTGGGTGCTGCGGACACTCCCGAATGCGGTTGACCGGGCCCGGGTGGTGGATGTGCTTCTCGACGCGGAAGTGTCGCGCGCGACTCGCTGCACCGGCGGCGGGCACGGGCGCTGGACTGTCATGCAGGCGGGCTGCCGGCAGTTGCAAACGGCTCGCGCTGAGTCAGGGCGGCGCCTGGGGGGCGCACTTCCGTGGAACCCGAGGCAGGAGTCCGTCTTCGACAGGTAGGCTTTGGGAACGTCGCACGTCGCGACCACGATCTTCGGCGAATTCCCTTTTCCCATCTCGTCTTGAGAGATGGCCTCGGAAGTGTACAGCGTGTGCTTCGAGTATATGATCCCCTGGCTCTTCTCGCCTTTCCGCGCGTTCTTGTTGATTTCCGGACCCCACCTGCGCGGCGCCGCCACCCGGGCCCGGCCACATCGACCTCGCGGGCAGCTGAACCAGCACGTAGCCTCGCGCCTGGACGACTGCGCGCGTGGGCGTGAATCCCGAGCGCGGGAGTGCCGGCACCGATCGGCGCTGGAGCGTGTATGACATGATCCTGCCAGGGGGGCGCGCGCGGAGCCCTGAACGGGCCCCTCGCGGCCGTGCCGGCGGGCCCGCCCCAGCGTCATCGGCAGGCTGGGCGACGCGCAGGCGCGCGATATACCCCGCCCGGAGACAGGCTGGAGTGCGGCCGGGACGGCATGGGCGAGTGGCATCCGAGGCGCATCGCTTTCGGCGGGAGTGCGGGGACGGGCACCGCGTGGCGCGCGCACGCAGTCGCAGATAGGGGGGCGGGCGGCGTGGCAGATAGGGAAATAAGACTGCCACGGCGCGCGCGCGCCGTCTCCCCTCACCTGCAAGTCAGCCCCGGCCACTCCGTCACGAACGGCACCCACGCATCGTATATGTACGGCACCAGCGTCCGAACCCAATTATCGTACTGCTGGTCCGTCAGGAACCCCTCCTGGCGGCGCGCCATGGCACTGCCAGCCCGCCCTCACCACCTGCGCTGACCAACCGACCACGCACGCGCAGCGAGCCCAGCTCCGACGACACTGAGACGGTCACGCGTCCCACACAAGCCACGCCCCCGCGCGCAAGTTGTACCGCCGCCGCCCCGCCGGCCCGCCCATGGGCACCCTCGGCGGTGTTTCACTCCCCCGGAGCACTTCCCGCCCCCGTCAGACGGGACCGGCAGCGACGCGCGCTTGGCTGGAGCGCGTCGCAGCCCGCATAGCAATCCCTGCGCCCGGAGGAGCCGCGCGGCGGCACAGCGGCGCCCCCACCTGCGTCACGCACTGCCTAAGCTGTTCTGCCAAAGCAGCATCGCTGACGCGCCCTACAGCGCTCCCGGCACCCCTCGCCCGGGCTCCCAGCGCTCCACGCAACACGCTGTGCGGGCCCACGAACTCGCGCGCGCGGCGCCCCCGGCCCGGAGGCTCCGCGCACCGGCGCGGTGATGGCGGGCGGTGATGCGAAGCGCCTCACAGTGTGCGTTAGTTCGTGTTGGCGGAGTTGTCGAGGAGCTCGGGCAGCATCGAGCGGTAGTCCATGTTCTCCGCCTCCCACGCGAGCTGCGCGAGCATCGTCAGCTTCGACCGCGCGTCCCGGTCGTCGATGGCGGGCCGGTCAAAATCGACGCGGACCGTCTCCACGCCGTCGCCCTTCGAAAGGTGCAGGAAGATCCCGTTCGTGTCCACCCACATCAGCTCCGCCCAGTCCAGCTTCGACAGCGGCACCTGCACACGCACACGCGCACAGTCGCAACACACCCCCCGTCAAAACAAGGCCAAGGCGAGCAGCTCCACGCCGCCCGCTGAGCGAGGAGCAAAACCTTCCGCTGGGAAACGATCCGCCGATGCGGCACCGCACGGCGCCCGGGAGAGGGCCACGTGCACGCTGCGAGCGTGGGCGGCGCACCTTGGCGGCGGCCGCGGCGATGCGCGCCACCTCGTCGGCGCGGCGCTCGTTCCACGTCGCGACCAGCTCCTCCGCGGACGAGTACAGCCCGTCAGGCACCGCTGCGGCAAAGTCCGCCCCCGGCAGCACCTGCGCGGAGCCGTCCGAGCCCATGCCCCCTACGTAGAACACCTCGTCGACCTGCGGACACCGCGGCTCGTCGCTGCGCCGCCACGTCGGTGCCGATCCGGCGCAGCGTCGCCTCCGCTGCCGCCGCGCCTTTGCTAAGCGAGGCGGCGCGTAGAGGGGCGGGCAAAGCAAGTAAAGCGCCGTAGACGAGCGGGAAGGAGCGTTCGTGTGCGTTAATTGACAAAGAAGGGGTGTTTTGGCCCACCTCGAGGCGGTAGAACAAGTCATCTGGCTGCATCATATCTACCCCGATTCCAGGCCCGTGCACGGCGAGGTGCATCTCCGCGAGCTCCTCGTAGCGGTCGTGCTCGACGGGGGCGACGGAGCCCACCAGGGTGACCCGCGCCAGCGACCGCGCGGGCTGCGAGGGCGGCTGGACGAACAGCGAGCACCGCGCATCGCGGTTCAGGTTCGCCGTGTGCACCGCGTCTTTCCTGCAAGGGCACGCGGGTGCGCAAACGCGGCTCTGTATAGGCAAGTGCCCCCAGACAACCCAACACCAGCCTCCTTGGAGCCAACCACCGCGCGCGGCGCGTCGCCTAAGCCATTTAGATAGGGCTCTGCGCGCGCCCGCGCTGTTTGATCAACGAAACACGCGGCAACGCAGCGCCATGGACGAGACAGCATCAGACACGTCGCTCCGCGCGTTGTCAGGCCCGGGAAATCCCAGTCGACCGAGAAACGGCTCGATATGTGTCTGAGCTGCAGCGATGGAGGCATCCCTCACCGGAGTCGCAGGATGGGGGCGCCGTCGGTGTCGAGGACGTAGCTGACGTAGGTGCCGAGGGGGTTCGCCTTGTCGCAGATCGTGCAGAGCGTCCCGAACTGCACCAGGTCGGTCACGGTCTTGGCCACCACGGCTGGCGAGGGGCCCGCAGTGCTGGCTCCAAGAGAGGGGGCCTCCGCGGCGGACGCGCGCGCGACGGGGCCGCGGCGCTGCGCGTGCGCGGTCCTGGAGACGGTGAGCGCCGCGTGGGGCGCCGGACGGGCCGCGCGGGGCCGGCAGGCGGCCGCCGGCGGGGCCTGCACCAGCGCAGGCATCGACAGCATCGACAGCCGCCGTACGCCTTCGCCAGGGGGTTTCGCGGGGCTCGGGTGGGCGGAGGTGGCTTTGTGGAATAGTTGTGGGCCGCGCGCGGGCGCGGCGGGGGAAACACGCGCGCGGCGGGGGCCGAATCTCGCACCTTGACAGGTGGAGACGTCCCCCCTGCCACGATCTCGGCTTCATGGGCAGCGTCGGGCGCCCCGGCCGCGCACTCCGCTTTCGCCGTGTTCTAGAAATTCAGTAGAGATGTTCGCGCTGTCGTCCTTCGCCGGCAAGGCCATGGTGGCCGCGCCCGCGGCCGCGAAGCGGGTGAGCACCCGAGGCGCCCCCCCGCCGCGCGCCTGCGCCCCGCGGACGCCGCTGCGACGCGTCGCCCCTGCCCAGCCATTCCCCACGACGCATCGGGCCGCGTGTCCAGCGCCGCGGCGCCCGCACGAGGCGATCCCCGCATATCCTCCCCACAGGGATCTCCAGGCGCCCCGCGCGCAATTCCGCGGCCCCGCGCACCAAATACTCCGCCGGCACGCATGCCTCATTTCAACCACCGCCCCCGCCGCGCCCGCGCCACGCGCGGACCGCCCACGCCCCCGAACGCCCGCCCCCGCCCTCAGACGATCGCCGCGCCCTCCCCCGCCCCGCAGACGAACAAGTCCGTCCGCGTGCAGGCCGCCGACCGCCCCATGTGGCTCGTCGGCGCCGAGGCCCCCGCCCACCTCGACGGGTGCGCCCCCGCCCCCGCCCCGCCCGCCAACCGCACCCTGCCCCCCGCGCCCCCACCCGCCAGCATCTCCGCCCCGCACGGCCGCGCCCGCGGCCCGCTCGCCCCCAAACCGCCCCGCCAGCCTCCCCCAGCACCGACCCGCGTCCCCCGCGCCCCTGCGCCGCAGCTCCATGCCGGGCGACTTCGGGTTCGACCCCCTGAACCTCGGCGCGGACGCCAAGGCACTGCGGTGGTACCGGGAGGCCGAGCTGCAGCACGCGCGGTGGGCGATGGCGGCCGTCGCGGGCATCCTCGTCCAGGAGATCGCGGTGCCGGACATCTCGTTCTACGACGCCCCGACCAAGATCGACCTGCCGATGGATGTGCGCACGCTGGCGGGCATCCAGTTCCTGCTCATGCACTACGTCGAGATCCGCCGCTGGATGGACTTCCGCAACCCGGGCTCCGTGGACAAGGACCCGATCTTCGGCGCCACGCTCCCGCCGCACGAGGTCGGGTACCCCGGCGGCATCTTTGCGCCCGTCGTGCCGGGCGACCTGAACGAGCTCAAGGTGAAGGAGATCAAGAACGGGCGCCTCGCGATGCTCGCGCTCGTCGGGTTCTTCGCGCAGTACCAGGCGCAGGGCATGGGCCCGCTCGGGTGCCTCGGGAAGCACCTCTCGGACCCCAACGCTTTCAACGTCTTCACCAATGGCTCCTCGGTGCCCTTCCTCGCGGGCCTGTGAGCCCAGCGCCCCGCATAAAAACGCTGTAAAAAAGAACCGAACCCGCGGCGCCGGCCGAGCGCGTCGCGCGCCGCACCGCGGCCCGGACAGTCGACACATCCTGCGCGCGTGGGCGGGCTGCGTCGGGGCGGGCGCAGCGGGGGCGGCGCGCGGAGCTGCGCGCTCGCGATTTGCGTGCGACGGCGGCGGCGACCCGCGCACGGCGCGCCACGCGGCACCATCGCGGAACGACGTTGCGCCCTGACACGACGTGCTCGCTGGGGCCGTGAGCGCGTGCGGCGCCCTCCTCGGCGCCCGGGCTGTCCCCGGCGTGGTCTGCGCGATCCGCGCGGCTCGCTCCGAGAGCGCGCACGGCACGGGGCCGCCCCCGTCACCTCTCATGTCCACTTCTGGGGGTTGTGCCTTCTCCCGCGGTCGCGGGGTGCGGCGACGGAGCCGCTCGGACGCGTGGAATTTCGGGTCTGCGGAGGCCGCCGGTCCCCTCCCGCCCTCTCTGCGGCGCGCTCGCCGCGCGCGCTGACCAGATGGCTGAGGCCAGCAGCAGGCCCCGGTGGGTTGTTGTCCCTCCGCGCCCAGCGCGCATAGAGGGCTCGGGCGCGCGCGCGGCGGGGCAAGAACCGCGTTCCGTCAGCGGAAGGAATCTAGACGCGCCGTGACCGCCCTCGACGACCGGGCGGCGCGAACGCCGAGCTTCCGAGCCTAGCACGGGGGCTCGCGAACCGCTGCAGGGCTCGCGCACGCACCGCCGCGGGCCCGCGCACCTTAGTTTCACAGCAGAGATACCCCTCGTCCGCCTCGCCGGTACGCACGCCCACGCCGCTTCGCCACGGCAGAGCCACTCGCGCTGAGCTCGCACCTAAAGACTGCCTTTGACGCGCCCGCGGATGGTCGGGCGCACGGCGCGGCGCGGGCCCGCGACACGCGCGATGGGCCACCGCTCGGGCGCGCACGCCGCGCGAGCACGCAGCGCCGCGCGGACTCCATGCCGCGCCCCGATGGGAACCACATTGCTTCTGGTACCTATGCTCGGTCTGCGCGGGCGCGTGCGGGGCGCTCTGGCCCGTCTCGCGGTCTGGGCGCCCCGAGAGGGACTCGGAGAGTCCGTGGGGGGGGTTTTCGTGTGCGCCAGAGCGTGGTATGGGGCGGATTTCGCAGCAGCTGCCTCACTGCCTCAGCTGCTCTCACGGCGCTCGTCGTGGCCCCGCACCACCCGCGCGGCGGGCGCGGGCGCTCCGGCAAATTGCGAGGGCTTTTCCCCGCTTCCGGCCGCGGCGGTTTATCACGCCGCCCGCGGAATCAACCGCTTCGTGCCGAGGCTCGTGCGGCTTGCGAGCGGCCGTCCCGCGGGGCGCCGCAGCGGCATTGGCCGCCCTGGCCCCCACGGGCCGGCCAATTGAATACTCCGCCCCGCGCCCACGCGCGCTGCACCGGCGCGCGGCGCCAGCCGGCGCAACGGCCTCGTCCCAATTCCCACCTAACCCGTGCCCGCCACGACCCGCAGGACCCCCAGCGACGCACTCGCGCGCCCGAGCAGCCCCACGGACTGCTGGACGGCCCGCGAGCACCGCCGGACGCCAGCTTCAACGACCATCCGCGGCACGCCGCGCGCCCGCCTGAAACCACCTTTGCAGGCGCTCTCGCGCGCTGCCACGGCCGCAGCGGCCAGTTCCGCCGTCCCGGCCGCACCCGCCTCGACGCCCCTGCTCCGGGGACGCGTTCCGCGCGCCGTGAGCCATGGAAGACGCGCTGGCAGGCGCAGACGTCGACCTGAGGAAGGGAGCATGGACGGCAGAAGAGGATGACCTCCTGCGGAAGCTCGTCGAGACGCACGGGCCGAAGAACTGGTCCACGCTGATCGCACAGGGCATTCCGGGGCGATCGGGCAAGTCGTGCAGGTCCGTTCCGGCCCCCGCGCTCCGCACGCGCCCTCATCCTCTGCCGCGGCGCTGGCTGCGAATCGTGGACCGGGCGCGCCGCGCGGCCCCGGCTCTCGTCCGCGCCGCGCGCGGCCCGGAACGCCGGCTCCAGTTACACCACGCTCCCTCGTCGCCGCCGAGGCCGCTGCGACCGCCGGCCGCGCCGCGCGCGGCCGCCCCCGCCTCGCACCACCACCTCCACCCCTCGGCCGCTCCGAAACGCGACTCCCTCCGCCGCGCCGCGCTCCCCGCAGACTGCGCTGGTGCAACCAGCTCAACCCCGAGGTCAACAAGCAGCCCTTCACGGAGTGGGAGGATGCCGTGATTGTCTTGGCGCAGCGCGAGTACGGCAACCGCTGGAGCATCATCGCGAAGATGCTGCCGGGCCGCACGGACAACGCCGTGAAGAACCACTGGAACTCCACGCTCAAGCGCAAGCACCAGAGCAACACGCTGTCGAACCGCCACATTCGCCGCGACGCGCGGTTGGAGGACCTGTTGCGCGGCACGGACGTGTCGCGGCCCGAGGACCCGCGCGCGGGCGCGCAGGCGGGCGCCGGGGGCCGCGGGAACGGCGCGGGCGCGGCGGGCGCCGCGGGTCGGCGCCGGGCGCGTCGCAGGGGTCGTTGGGCGGCGACGAGGGCGTGCGGCGGGGCGCGCGGCGCCGCCGCGGACGCGACGAGCGGGCGCAAGCGCGGGCGGCGCAGCACGCGCGCCGGGCCGGCTGCGTCCGGCGCGGACAGCGAGGGCACGTTCGCGAGCGAGGAGGGCCGGCCGTCGAGCAGCGCGCGCCCGTCTTGGCGACGGTCGCCCGACTCGACGGCGCGCGGGTCGCCGACGCGGCACCTCCCGGGCGCTGGGCGCGGCAGGGGCGCGCGCGCGCGGCCGTGGCCGCGGAGGCCGAGGGGGCGCGCGGGGCGGCGGGCTGCACGGCGGGTGCGGCGGCGCGGCGCTGGGCGCGCGGGGGGGCGCGCGCGGGGACGGCGGCGGGCGCGGCGCGCTGGGCGGGCGGACGGGCACGCGCGGGCGGCGCGCGCAGCAGAGCCTGCAGCGCACGGTCCTCGAGCGCCAAACGCGCCCTTCTGCGCAGGAGGCTGAAGACCAAGAAGTCCTGATCAACGGCCGCACGATCGACCGAGAGCGCTCGCACTCGAACCTCCTGAGCCTGCTCGAGGCGTCGGACCTCGTGGACAGCGACAGCGAGGGCGGCGGCGGCGGCGGGTCGGTCCAGGGGGAGGATGGCGCGCACCGGCGGTGGGGCGCGGACGGGGTGGACTCGCACCGCGTGCCGTTCGGCGGGCACGTGCAGGGCGAGGTTGCGACGCCGGTGGCGATCAACCAGCTCGCGCACGCGCCCGCGGGCGCCATGGAGGGCCCCGCGAACCCCCCGGGCGCCCCCGCGCAGCTCGTGGCCCCCGGAGCGGGCGGCGTGCTCGGCATGCCGGGGGCCGGGGCGCCGAAGAGCGACCTCGAGCGGCAGCTCGCGCACCTCGCGATGGGGAGCGCGCTGATGGGTCCGATGTGGCAGCTGCTGGCGAGCGGCGACCGAGACAAGCTTGGCAAGGCGGCGGCAGTGGTGAGCGGGGGGCTGCTGCAGGGCCCGGCGCCGGGGCCGGAGGGGGACAGCGGGAACGGGCCGGAACGGAAGGTGGCGGGGCAGGAGGCGATGGAGGGGCCGGGGGACGTGGAGGGGCGTGCGCAGCAGGTGGTGACGCCGCCGCCGGCGGGCGGCGCTGCCGGGTTCGCGCAGGCGATGATGCGGAGCATCCTGGGGGACTCGTCGAACACGGAGACGGACCACGCCGAGGGCGCGGGCGCGGGGGAGCCCGCGGCCGGGAAGACCCCCGGGGAGAGTCCCGTGGCAACACCCCCCCCTCCCGGCGCGACGTCGACGCCGCCGGCGCCGACGCTGCCCGGCACGGCGCCGGCGAGCGCGATCCCGGGCGGCACGCTCGCCGTCGCCGCCCTCGGCGGCCTCCCGCAGTCCTCGTCGTGGTACAACCTCGCGTCAGGCGCACTCCCCCCCGGGATGCACCGGTCCTCGAGCCTGAAGAGCCTCCAGCAGTCCTCGTCCGTCATGTCGCTCGGACAGCTCATGGCGTCGATGGCGGACCAGGAGGCCGGTTCCAGCGCGATGGCGGCGGCGGTGGCCGCGGCGGGCGGGAACAGCGAGCAGGTCGGCCTCACGCCCGCCGCGGCCATGGCCGCGGCCGCCGCCGCGGCGACCGAGGGCTCTCCGTCGACGAGCGCCGCCGCCGTCGCGACGCCGCCCTCCGGCGCCGGCCGGCGAGCTCACGTCGGGATGCGCCGCAGTGGTTCGAAAACGTCGCTGCACCGGCTGTCGCGCGCCACGGGCGTGCGCGGCGGCGTACCGAACGCGGCCACGCCCGGCGCGGACGACGAGGGCGCGCCGAACCCCGCGCAGGCCGCTGCGGGCGCCGCGCCAACAGGCGGCAACGTGGTGGGCGGCACGTCGCCGGGAGAGGCCGCGGAGAGCAACGCGGCGGCGCTGGAGCGCGTGGAGGCGAACGGCGACGCGAAGGTCAAGGAGGAGGACGTGCAGGGGGACGGCAACAAGAGCGGCGGAGAGGATGCCGCAGCCGGATGCTCGCCTGCCGAGAAGCCCATGCAGGCGCACGGCGCGGTGCCGGTCCTGATGGCGGGCACGGGCGCGAACGGGACGTGAGAGGCACGGCCGGACCGCGGACGGCCCGTCTCGCCCTGGAGCAGTGGAGAGCGTGGTGCGGGAACGGAACTGACCCCCCGCCGCCGTCCCCCGACCGCGCTCGAGCACGTGATGCGCACTGAGAGCGCTGCGTCGGCGCATGCAAATCGAGACACCCCCCTTGACTCCCCCCCTCGCCAACACCAGTTTGCGTCGCACGACGCGCACCATCTGTTTTGACACGACACTCGCCGCGGCGCCCGCGCGTCCCACGGCGCCGGACCGACCGCGGCTCCCTACATCACCGTGCTGCAGCCCCACGTCATCTTCAACGGCCAGGACCGCATGTGGCACCTGTGGTAGATGACAAACTTTGCACCACCCTCACACCCCCACACCCCCCCTCCTTGTTGTTGCTGGCCCGCGGCGGCCCACGCGCGCACATCCGCGCAACGCTTCTCGCCCGCAAGTCGCTGTAAGACGTGCCATGCCGATGTGTCTCGCCAACGACCGTCGCCGACACGCACGTGCCGCGCGCCCTGCGTCTCTGCAAACGCGCGCTTCGGCGGGTCGCGCAGGAACCTCTGCTCCCTCCCGGAGCCTGGACCCTCGATGGAATGCTGCGTGAGTGACGCCGGGAAGTGCCGTTTCACTCGCGGGGGTGCATGCCAGCCCTATCCCTATCCGGAAACCAGCTGCCCCGTGACCAGCTGCCTCCGCGCGCCTCTCGCAGTCACACAGCAGCGGCGCAGCGCGCCAGCCCAGCAACCGCACAGACCCCCCCCCGCGCCAGATCTCCAACCCCCCTCCCTGAGTCAACCGCAGCACGAGCTCTTGGGCCCGACCGCCTGCCCCTGGCCCGGCCGGATCGTCGGCCCCGTGCCGCGCGCCATCTGTGGCTGCGACGCCATGCGTTTCTTGATCTCGGCCGCCATCGTCATGAACGACGCCTCGACGTTGGTCGACTCCTTGGCCGATGTCTCCAGGAACGGAATCCCGAGCTCGTCCGCCAGCGCCTTCGCCGTCTCCGTGTCGACAACCTGCGTCGCGGCCGCGCACGGTTCGGCCGTTCGGCTGCGCGTGACGCGGGACGTTGCGTCGTCGCGCGCGGGAAAGCGGGAGCGGGGCGCTTGCGTGCCTTCTTCGCCGTCAAGTCCGCCTTGTTCCCGACGAGCAGCTTGCACACGTTCGCGGACGCGTAGCGGTCGATCTCGCTGAGCCACGTCTTGACGTTGTTGAACGAATCCATGTCGGTGACGTCGTACACGATAATGATGCCGTGCGCGCCCCTGCGTGCAGCTCCGGCGCCCGCGTGCGTTCGGGCCGCGATACCAGCACGGGAACTGCGCGGGACGCGCGACGCGGGTCCCAGGGCGCGCGCGTGCGGCCGGGAATCGGGCGGAGCGGGGCTCACCTGTAGTAAGACGCCGTGATCGTGCGGAAGCGCTCTTGGCCCGCGGTGTCCCAGATCTGGAGCTTGACCGTCTTGCCTTCGAGGTCGACCGTGCGGATCTTGAAGTCTACGCCGATGGTGGAGATATAGCTCTCCGTGTACGTGTCGTCTGCAAACCTGAGAAGTAGGCAGGACTTGCCCACACCCGAGTCCCCGATCAGCAGCAGCTTGAACAAGTAGTCACTGCAGTTGCAGGGGACCCGGCGGCGCGCGGGCGAGCGGTCAGACGCCCCCGGCGGCCGAGGAGCGCAGAGCCAACGTCCGTGGAAGCACAGTCATCTTCTGGGCTCTCCCGCGCAACAACAAGGGCTGCGCGCGCTGTGGCGCCGCTCGCGTGGCAGTGGCGTGCCGGAGCTGTGCGCGGGCGCCGCAGCACATGGCGAACGCGCCTCCAGTGGCCCGGGATTGCGCCCTGAGACCTGGGCGAGCTCGCTGGACGTCCGCGCCCGGTGGAACGCGTCGTGCGCGCAGGGAGCTGCCGACGCGGCCATTCCGCGCGGGAAAACAGGGCGCGACGAATGCAAGCCGCGCGCTGCCGGGCCTCGCGCCCTCCGTCCCGGCCGAACGAGGCCCTGGCGCGGACGGGCGCGCGGCAGAGCCCTGAGGCAGCGAGAGCGCGCTCTGGTGCGGGCGTGCGACGGCATCGCGCCGCGAACGGCGCGCCTCCGCGTCCCCGCACGTACGGTGCGCGTCGGGCGCGGCCGCACGCGCCAAGTGGACGCGCACGCACGGCGCAGTGCCGTGGTCCGATGACACGGCGCACCAGGCGGCCTCGCGCGCGCCATGCGGGCCAGGAGCGGGCGCGTGGCGGGCGTGTGGGCACTCACTAGTCCGGGTTCGCCGCCATCGTGGCAAGGCGTGTGGCCGCGCGCGCTCCAACCGCCGTTTGAAACGCCTCGAGAGCCTGCTCTCTGCAATGCCCCGCGCTCGTGTCCTCCCCGCGGCTCTCCTCGCGTCTCTCTATGCGGGCGCGTCGAGCGAACTGGCGCACTCAAATGAGGGGTTTCCAACCGCGCGAATGTTCCGTGCCAGGGGCGCTCGCGCGCCTTGGACCCGCGCGACCGCGACCGGACACTCCGAGAGGGGCACAAGCCCATCGCGAGCCCCGCGGTGCTTGGTCTGTGCGGCTCGCGCTCCCCTGCCAGTACCGAGGGCAGTCGGAGGCGTCCATCGCGATCCAGAACCACCAGATTCGCGCCTTCCTCCGTCGCCGGAGCTGTCTTTTGTGTCGCAGAGGAGTGGATCGCCGCGGACGTGGACGACGCGGACGCCTACCGCGGAACACCACCCGTGCGGGCGCGATAGCGACATAGAGAATGGGGCAGGTGCAGCCGCGACCACAATGCTCGCCCTGGCCGTCAGCGCAGCCCTGGCGAAACCCACCCTCCCATGGTGCCTGTGCGCACGCCTCGGCACGGCCTCGGGCGCCGCACGCGCTTGTCGTGATCGTGCTCCACCCGAACGTCCGTGGGCGCCCGTCGAGGCGCCGGCGGATCGACCGCGCGCGCCGCATTCGCCCGCAACGCTCCCGTGCGGCACTTGGGGATTCGAACGCGCCGCGAGCGGTGCTCGTGTCCGCTCGCGCAGGTCATCAGCGGAGGTTTGACCCAGTACGATGTCGAAGACATCCAGGCGTACTGCGACGGATTCTTTAGCCAGGTGCGCGCGCCTCGCACCTGCGCGCTGCACGCTGCTTGCGCCTCCGCGACGCCGTTCCGCGTCGACTTGCTCGCATCCAGCCCGCCTCGCTGAACGCATTGCTGCTCCACGTGCGACTGCGCCGTCGGAGCTCCCTCGCGACCGCCTGCACCGGCCAGCATCGCACATTTCCACCAGCGCAATCACCCGCCGCTCCGAGCCGCGACGCCGCGCCTCGCAGTCGGAGATTTTGTCGCTGTACGCTCGGTTCAAGAAGCTCGACATGAAGTCCAAGGGTTACCTCTCGAAAGACGAGATCGAGAAGATCCCGGAGGTCTCCATCAATCCCCTGTCCCAGCGGCTCGTCAACCTCTTCGCGGGCGTGAACTTCAAGGTCCGCGCCGCCCGCCGACCACCACGCAGACTGCGAGGTCCCGAACACTCCCCCGCCGCGGCAGCCGACCGCCCGGAGCCCGGAACCTCCCCCCCCCGCACCGCACACGCCCGCATTGCGGCATAGCGGCACGCGACGGCCGCGAACCGCGGCCGCCTTCTCCGTCGCTCGCAGGAGTACGCGCGCCTGCTGTCGGCGTTCAGCGCGAAGGCTTCGCGTCAGGCGAAAATCGCGTTTATGTTTCAAGTGTACGACGTCGACCGTGACGGGTGGGTGGGCCGGGAGGACCTGGTCATCATGCTCGAGATGATGACGGGGTCGCACATGTCCAAGGACGAGGTGAACGCGGTCGCGGAGAAGGTCCTGCGCGACGCCGGCGCGACGGAAAAGGGGCTCGATGTTGCAGCGTACGGACGGGCGATGGGGCCGAACGGGGCGCTCGGGCTCGTCGTGACGGTGCCGGGCGCGCACGCCGACGAGTAGAGCGCGGTCCGGCCCGCGGAGCCGTGCTTGTGTGTGCGGGGTTGACGGAATTCCGGCGCGCTGCGTGCCTGGCGCGCGGCGATGTGATGTATATGTTGTCGAGCACGCCGAGCACGAGGCGCGCGTCCACGACGTCACACGCGCGCCGCGCACGCAGCGCAACGGCGCGACGTCAGCGTCGCGCAACCACCTCGCGCCTCACGCGAGCGCCACGTCGTCGCCGGTGACCTTGAACTTCTTCGACGCCGCCACGAAGTTCTTCAGCTTGGCCTTGACGTCCGCGGGCTTCTTCACCTTGGCCCCCAGCAGTGACAGCTTCGCAGATCCCTTGTTGTCCCGCAGGAACTCCGCCAGCCGCCGCTCGTACTCCGCAGCGCCCCCGGAGCCCTCCATCGGCGTCGCGGGCGTCGCCGGCGCCTTCCCGGGGGTCTTCTTCGCGGGGGTCTTGTCAGACTCCCCCCCCTCGAAGCGCACCTTCTTCTTCCCCGTGGCTGGCGTGGCCGGCGCCGGCGCCGCGCGCTTCTTCTTCACCACGGGCTCCTCCTCCTCGCTCTCGCTCTCGCTCTCGCTCTCGCTCCCGCTCTCGCTGTCGCTCGCGTCATCAACACCCCCCTCCTCATCGTCGTCCTCCTCCTCGCTGTCCGACTCCCCGCCCGCCCGCGCCATCGCGGCGACCTTCTTCATCCCGGGCTTCGCCAGCCGCTCCTCGTCGGACTCGGACTCCCCCTCCTCCTCCCCGTCGGACTCGCTGTCACTCCCCCCCTCCCCGTCGCTCGAGCCCGAGTCGTCGCTGTCGTCGCTGTCCGACCCCTTCTCCGCCGCCACGTAGTCCTCGTCGTCGCTGCTGTCCTCGTCCTCCTCCTCGCCCGCGCCCCCCAGCTTCAGCTCCCGGTCCGCATCCTCACTGTCATACTCCAATTCAAAGACCTCGTCTTCGGGGTCCAGCTGCGACGGAATCGAACTGTCCTCGTCGCTCTCGCCGCTCTCGTCGCTCTCGTCGCTCTCGTCGCTCTCGTCGCTGTCGCCCGCGGGCCCCTGCATGGCGACCTGCGCGGCGGCACACGCGGGCGCGCGTCGGATGGTCGGAAAAGCGCCGCCGTGCGCGCCGCGACGAGTCGCAGCGGCGAGCCCTGCGAAGGTAGTGACGGCGGGGTCCAGCGCGCCGGGGGTGCGTCGCAGGAAGGGCGCTCCCGGCTCAAGTAGGAGCCAGAAAGAAAAAAGAAAAAAGGGGGGGGGGGTCTTGGCGTGAGGGATCCGCGCACCTTGCGAGGCGGCTCGGCGAGGAGCTCCGCGGCGCCGTCCTCTTCCATGTCGGAGAGGTCCGAGACGTCATCGAAGGCCGTGACGGTGCGGTATCCGAGAACGCTGATGGGGTGCGCGCCGTTGTGGACCAGCCGGAAGTCCTTCGGCATCGCCAGGTCGACCTGCGGTGGGGCAAGGCGCGGACGGTGGGCCGGGGCGCGGTCGGCGCGCGCCGCGGCGCGACGGCGGACGTCTGCGCTCGTCGTTGTGGCAGGTGCTTTGTGTGGCGGCGCTGGCGGGGCCGTTCGGCGCCGAGCGGCGGTTTCGTTGGAGAGGGCGTGTAGGGGCGATGTGATTGATGTGTGTGGCTGCGCGAGCCGCCGATATAGGCCGTTTGCGAGGCGGAGAGGCGCTCCGTGCTGTAGGGCGGTGCAAGGGAGCCGGTTACGGTGCCACGCGCCTGGAACTGCTCGCAGACTCCCCGCTCGAGCGTTCCGATGACGTGCTTCTGTCCGTTCGTCTCCAGCGACACCGTCACGCGCTTCCCCTTGTCCGCGCTCTCCCCCAAAGCCTGCACCGTGCCGCCAGAGGGAGCACGTCCGCTCAGGCCCCACGCACGTCAGATTCAAGTCCAAACCACCGCGGATTCCATATCCGCACGAAGGTCTGTCCCGCAGCGGCGCCGCACGGACCGCCCAGGCCCCGTCCGACTCCCGGCGCCATCGGCCGCCAGAGCAGCACGCTCTCGCAGCCCTAGCCCCGACACGTCGCGCGGGACGGCCGTGGGCGCCCCGCGACACCCCCGGCGCCTCGAAACACGCCTGTTATACCCCTGAGTCAGCGGGCAGCGCACCACGTTGGTGATGTGGAGCATTTCGTAGAAATTCTCGTTGTTGTCCACACTGCACTTGACTCCGGCCTTGTCCGCGGGCACCTCGACGCCCCAGAAGTCCAGCGAGGACGTTGGGAACTCGTCCGAGCCGTCCATGATCGCGTCCGCCTCTCAAACGACCCGGCCGCCGCAAACGGTGCTGCCACGGTGGTAGCAGTGCAGCTACGAACGAGCCGCGCTGAAGGCCTGCGTCGGGGGGCGCGATGCCGCTTCTCCACGGTCGCAGTGTGCGGCGGCTGCCTGCTGCGCGGCGCATTGTCGCACGGGCGCTCGGGGCGCGGCGCGCGGGCCCTGAATAAGGGGGTCTTGTTTTCTTCCTGAAGAAGCCACGCGGCGTCCGAGATCCACGAAACGTCGCTGCGCAGCGCGCAGCAACCATCTGCGTCGCAACCCGCAGGCCTTGGCCGCTCCGTGCGGGACGTTCCCGGACGCGGCGGGCGGCAAGCAGCCCGAGCGCCTGCGCAGCGTCACGGCGTGCGGGCTTGCGGGCGCCCGGGGAAGAGCGGCGTCGTATCGCGGCGCGGAGCTGCGCGGGCACGTCGCGCGGAGTGCGCAGCGGAGCTACTCGCCGCGCGGCACACGCCACGCGCGACCCCTGGCGTCGGCAAACACCTGCGTCTGCGAGGGGTGGCTCGCTGGCCGCTAGCTCTCGCGAGGCGCGTCAGATATATGCTCACAGTACTGTATTTGATCGCGCGGTTTCCGCGAGCCCCAGCTCCGTCGCTCGGCAACTCTGAAGGACCTCCGCCATCTGGTGTGACGTAAGGCCTCGCTGCGCGTGAGAGCGCGCGATAGCGTGCTACGATATTGACCCTCTGCGTGGCGGCCGGGCCCTCGCCGCGGCCGCGCACGAAGCAGACGGAGTCGCTCACTACGGCGATGCGGCAGAGACCTCATTGGGTGTCGACCTGCGTTCCATCGCCAGTCGCGATCCATCTTCCGTGCGCCTAGTGGCTACTTGCTCATGCGGGACGCATCCCGGTCTTCCGTTGAATCATGCGTGGTGCCTTGGTTGGTGTGCAAGACGGTGATGAGTTAGTCAAGGCATCCTGTGTCGTTTGGGCATGCTTCCGCGCCGCGGCCGGGCGCGGCGCCTCACGCGCCGTGCGCCGGGACCTTCTGCGCGGTGTGCGACGTGTCCGCGCCCCCCGTCTCCTTGTCGTCGACCGGCCGAATGCCCCATATCTCCCAATCGCTCGACTCTGCGTCCCCCGAACACCGCTGGGCTCGTTTGCCGGCGGGCGCGCGCGCGTCCAGCACCGGCGACCAGCTGCACTCCGCCGTGCGGTCCTGCGCGATCTCGCGGTGCGCCGGCGGCGCGCCCGGGGGCTCACTGAGCACGGTGGTGGTCTTGACGCCGGTGACGGACACGAAGCCGCGCCCCGTGTGGGAGAGCCGGAAGGCAGTTGGGACCGTGATGTCCACCTGGAGAGCACAGAATACCGCACATTCCGCGCGTCGGCTGCGGTGCAACCGGTTCACTGCTGAACAGCGCAAGTGTGTGGCCTCGGGTTTGTTTGAGCGACGGCTGAGCGAAATGCGCGGCACGTGCTGGCGCGGTTTGAGATGGAGAGGGAGCAGCGGGGGGGGATCGGTGAATGCGAGGTCCGGCGGCTGCGTGTGGGCTGAACGCTCTGTACCCACCTGGAATTGCTCGCACTTGCCCGGCTCCAGCGTGCCGAGGGTGTGGCGCGCGCCGTCGCGTGTTTCGAGATAAACCGTCACGGGGAGCTCCTTCGCGAACGCGAGTCTGTCTCCAAGGGCCTGCGCAGGGGCGGTTGGCTGCACAGTGCGCAATCGGCGCTCCGCCTCGCCCACGCGATCATTCGCGTCGCAGCTGGAGCGGACAGCGTGCGGTCATACCACAGTTTTCAAGCAGAGCGGCGGGATCCCATGCAGCACGGTCAACGAGCCCGGTGGGAGGGCAAGCACGTTGCAGCTCGACGCCGCGCCGTGGCCCGTGCGGCCCTGCTTGGTCTGAAAGTGCGATATGACCGATATCATCGCCATAGAGCCATCCAAAATGCATCGTCGGCGCGGAGTAAGAAGGGCTCTCTGGCCGCACCGGGGCGTCGCAAACGCTACGGGCTTTTGACCGCGGCTGTAGCGCCCACGACGCGAGCACACAGGACATGGGCTGCCCCCGAAGCAGAAACTTCATCGACAATGTACCAACAGTCACGGCGCGATCGTTTGCGCCGTCCACGCACCACGTTGGTGATGTGCACCGTCGACAGCACACCGCGCCCATCCCCCTGCGCGCCGGCCGCCACGTCGAGGCCGTCGGCCTCTATCGACGCCCCCCAGAATTCCATGCCGGGCAACGCAGCGCCTCGCGACATCCTGCCATGTAGCATCGTCCGAACAGTCGCTCAGGCCCAACGGAGCTGTCTTCAGGCGGGCCCGCAAGGGCGTGACGAGATGCCATCAGAGCCCGGAAGCTCCCGACGGATTCAGCCGACGCAGCGGGCCGTCGCCGCAACGTCCTCGGCCCCGCACGGACCCCAGGGACGCACATGGTATTGGGGACCTCCCCTCGTCAGTCTGTCCCGGACAGCCCGCGCTCCGCGGCGGGTCGACGTTCGGCGCGCCGGCGCGGCCTGTGTGGCCAGAATGCCCCTGGCGACTCGGCTGGCCGGTAAATAGCCCGTGGTGGAGGAGAACGGCGCTAGTTTGCAGCTGGGAGGCCCATTGCTCTGTCTGGCGTGGTGTGAGGGGGAGCGGAGGTAGGGGTGTGGCGATAGGGGAGGAATGGCGCCGAAGAAGGGCGATGTGGCGGGGATGTTGTATGAGGAGAACCCCTTCGGCGAAGGCGGGGCCGAGGGGGGTGCGGGAGGGAGCGGGGGCGCCACGGCGTCCGACAACGTCGTGCTGAGCTTCAAGGAGAACGAGTACACGCCGGAGGTGACAGGCAAGATCGGCAAGACCGCGCAGGTGAGAACGCCGGGCCCCGCAGGACACGCGGAGCGCCCTCGCGCTCTCGCCCCCGCGCGCTGGCCGCTCCGCGCCACTTCTCAATGCCTCGCGCGCGCCCACCAAGGGCCGTACGTCCGATGTATCCAGCGGTCGGGCCAACCATCTCCGCCGACCCTTTCCGCCGCCGTGCTGCTGCGACGCCCGCGCTGAGCTTCACAAAACGGACCGCGGGGCGCGCCCGCGCGCGCCATGGGCGCTCCAGCGGCCCTGGTTGCGGCTCACGAACACCTCCTCACCCACATCTCCCACATGAACGCCTCACACGACCCCTGTCAGTCTGAGCCCCACGCCAGCGGCCCCATCCCACGCCCAACACACAACACTCTTCCAGCGACCCCCCACCGCGTCGCGCGAACGGCCTAGGACGCGCCGCGCCGTCCCCTGCGCGGCGGGACCGCCCCAGCGCCCGCCGCCGTCCTCGCCCGCAGGCACCCCCGCCGCCAGGGCCGATCCCGGGCCCCGACAGCGCCACCGACCCAGGCCAACCGCAGCCGCAGCCCTCGGTCTTCTCCCTAGCGCGCTACCGCGGCTACTTCGACGTCGACACGCGGGACGTCCTCGGGGTGAGTTCCGCCCCCTCCGACCCGCCCCCGCCCCTGTCTGCCTCGTTTTCCACCTCCCTTCTTTTAAACCTGTCTGGCGCGCCGGTATCGTACATATCTACCCCGTGCGCGCTCGGCGGCGGACGCGCAGAGGGCGGCGTATCCGATCGCGTATTTCTGGAAGCCGGACTTCTTCGAGGCCGTTCAGCGCAACCCGGACCTCTACGGCCCGTTCTGGGTAACCACGACGCTGGTGTTCTCCGCGGCGGTGATGGGCAACATGCACGAGTGGATCGAGTACCACTTCCGCTCCGCGAAGCCCGACGGCGGCGACGGCGACAACGGCACCGGCGCCGGGGCGTGGTTCTACGACGTCGACAAGGTCAGACACGACAACAACACGCCCCCCCGGCCGCCCCACCGCGCCGCCCCGCCCGCCCCCGAGACGGTCGCGATGCGACCGCAGCCCGTGGTGAACGCGACCGTGCGGTCCGCCCCGTGCAGGTATCGTATTCTGCGATTTTGTTCTACGGCTACGTCACGGTGATTCCCCTGCTGTTCTGGCTGGTGATGAAGTACTTCCGGTCCCCGCAGCCGCTGATCGCGCTGGTGTGCATCTACGGCTACTCGCTCTCGCCGTTCATCCCCGTGTCGGCGCTGTCGGTGATCCCGAGCACGGAGCTGCAGTGGGTGCTGGTGGCGGTGGCGACGGCGCTGTCGGCGATCTTCCTGGTGCTCAACTTCCGCAGCTGCATCCTCCAGGCGATCGCGGACGCCCAGGAGTGGATCGAGAACAGCGTCGTCGGACGGTCCTTCCTCGGCAAGCTGTCAGACACCGGGCTGTCTTATGTCATACTCCTGACCATCGCGCTGCTGCACGTCGGCCTCGGGCTCGCCATGAAACTGTACTTCTTCCACTATAGCGGCCCGTGAGACGCGGGCGCCGCGCTTGTGAGCCGCACACTTGCGTCAACGGCTGCGACCAGCCCTCGCGCGGGCGCATCGACTCGCACGGCGCGCTCTGCTTACAAAAGCACGGAGACTGTGCGCGCGTCGGCGCTGCGCGTCGCCGCTCTTGGCAATACTATGTAGAACATGCAACTTTTGCTCAACAGATCCCTATCAAAATTCTGTTCCGAACGAGAACGACCGTGCGGGCGTGACGGTGCTCGCCAGCGCCGCACCCCGCCGCTGCTATCGCCCGCGCGTCGCCGCCCGCGCCCGCTCCCCTCCTGCCACGCGCGCCCCCTGAGGCGAGCCCCCACCCTCCCGCCCAGCATCGCTGCTCGATCGCCTTCCCCACCGCAGCAGCGGCAGCGACGCGTCGTCGATGCGGCGCCGCCCGTACGCGGTGGACTCCAGCAACGCCAGCTTCGCCTCCCGCCCTGCAAGAGTACCAGATCACGGGGCCGCAATCATCCTGCTGAACCCACACGCAGGAGATCGCAACCGCAATGTACCTCCGCGCGCAGAGGACGCACGTATCCGTGCGTGTTCTCAGGGAGGCGTTCGCTGCCAGCGTGGTACGAGGTATAATAAAACTTGAGTTCAGCCAGCAACGTCGCAGGTGCTCCCGTGGCGAGCGCGCGTCCGGCCCACGCCCAGCGCGTCCTCGGCGACGCGCTGCGCGATGCGAACGGCCCCAGGAGCGCGGGTTCGTCGCGCACCTTTCAGCCGCAGGTGCGCGTTCTCAGCTCTCTTGAGGAGGCAGCGGGCCGTCGCCCGCGCGCCCCCGAGGTCCTGCTTGGCCGCTCGCAGGCGCCCCTCGACCGCGGCCGCGCCCCCCGGCTCCGACGCCAGCTGCGCCTCCCAGTGCTCGTGTGCGACTCTCGCGCCCACCCCTGCGCACTGCATCGCTCTTGCCGCGGCGTGGAGCTGCTTCAGGCGCTCCAGCTGCTTCTCGAGCCCCTTCTCCTTGGATACCTCGCGGCTGACCTCCCTGTCGGCGCGCTGGCTCTCCGAACGCGCTGCCTGAACGTCCAGCCACGCCAGGGTGGCTCGCTGCCTGGCCTCCCTGAGCCTCTTCGCGCGCCCAGGGGCGTGCAAGTCCGCGTACGCCCCGTATGCGTCACCGCCTTCGCTCAGACCGTGCTCAGGATAGTCTCGCCGCAGCAGGGCGCCCCACACCGCCCGCCTCGATGACCCTGGAGCAAGCACCACCCCGTGCAGCGCTCGGCACGACAGCCCCGCGCGGACCACGTCCTCCAGACCCAGTCTCTCGCTCGACAGTATGCACGCCAGGACCTCCTCGGGCAGCGCCAGCAGCCCCGGCGCGTCTGGGGCCCGCCCCTGCCGGCCTGTCATTGCGACACCGCGTCACGCGCTGCTCCTGTCGCCGCGCGCCATCGCTCGGGACACACACACGGCTGCGATGAGAGTGGTCGTGCAGTCGAGAGCGGCGGGCATTGCTCGTGCTCCCCACGCTACGCAGGGTGCCGCCATCGCAACACACCCCGCGGGGACTGACTCAGCAGCCTGACTCGACAAGCGACCTGGCCGCGCTGACGAGCCTTCCAGGGACGGTCCAGCAGGCGTGGAGCCGGTGCAGCGGGCCGCGTTCGCGACGTCAGGCGCGCTTTGAAACTCCACACGCATTGTACGCGCATCTACGTAGAGGGCCTGATGCAAGTAGCCGACAGGGCCACGTGCCGGAATCGTCACAGTCATACAGCACAGTGTGGCACTGTCGATCAAGCCACACGTCTCGAACCAGCTCCACGGGCCTTGCACGACAAATGACCTTGTGCTCGGCGATGACTTGCTCGGTGTGCCACCGGGCCGGACCAGCAGGTGGAGGCGAGCTCGACGGCGGCGGAGGGCGGACGAAGTCGAGCAGCCGCTGGACCCGGAAGAGGCCCGTCAGGGAGGGGCTTGGAGGCACCCTGCGCACATGATCGGGTGCAGATCTCGCTTGGCTTTGTACAGGCAGCACATCAGCGTCGCTGACTCGGGCCGCAGCGGAGCTGGAAGCAGCAAGCCACTCTCATGCGCTGTCCCACGCCTCGCGCGGTCCACAACAGCGCCAGGACCCCCGCACACACACACACGGACACGTCGTGCAGACCACATACGTGCCCGTACGTCCCGACGGCCGCCACTGAATCGACCGTGTTCAAGCAAGCAGCATAACGCGTCGCCCGCCGCGCACGCGCCCCGCCGCGCAGCTGGCGCGGTCGGGCTCCTCGCGAGTTGTTCGGGTTTCACGACGACAGGTTTCAGCGGGCAGACATCGAACGCAAGCACGCGAACGACCCCGACTCGGGCCCTCACCACGGCTCTTGCGCGGCCCTCGATCCCATCGCACTCCCCCGCTTCGCTCGTCCTGTTCACGCGACCAACCACCACGCACTCGCCCGCCACCCCTGTCTGCGAAACAGCTCCACCTCCTGCGCACACACACACGCGGGCCGACTTTTCGCACGCCAATCCGCCGAACTGATGCGCCAGCACGCTCCCAGAGGCCACTGGCATGCGTTCGCGCGGCCGAGGGGCCCCCTGATGGGACCCGACGATGCCTGGGCGACGCCGGCACATGGTCGCGTTGCGGAGCGAGGGTGGCCGCTGCTGTGCCTCACCTGGTGCCCGCCGGCCAGCACTCCCTGCACCTGCTCGGTGTCGGACTGCTCGAGGCACCCGTGACCCTGTACTTGCAACACATCCGCTAATGTCCTCACCACGAACGACCTAGCGCTGCTTCAGGCGCTCCAGCTGCTTCTCGAGCCCCTCTTCTTCAGCTCTCGAGATCTCACGATTCGAGGTGCCTTACTTTCGAGCTCGCGCGCGCTCTGGGAACAATCGATTGAGGATACGTTTCAATCCGCCCATGCCGTCGTGCTTCAGTATCCAGTATGGGTCATCGTCTTCACTCAGGCAGTCGTAGTCCTCAGGATAGTCCCGCCGCAGCAGGGCGCCCCACACCGCCCGCCTCGATGACCCTGGAGCAAGAACCACCCCGTACAGCGCTCGGCACGACAGCCCCGCGCGGACCACGTCCTCCAGACCCAGTCTCTCGCTCGACAGTATGCACGCCAGGACCTCCTCGGGCAGCGCCAGCAGCCCCGGCGCGTCTGGGGCCCGCCCCTGCCGGTCTGTCATTGCGACACCGCGTGACGCGCTCTTCCTGTCGCCGCGCGCGGGCACTCGGGGACAAGCACGAATTGACAATGGCTATGCAGGCGTTGAAGTCCATGAACTGGCGCGTCGCCGACGCACGGACGACTGCAACGAACAACGCCCCCCGGGGACTGACTCGCCTCCCTGACTGGACACGAACGTCGCACTGACTCACCTCCGGCGGCAGGACGCGGAGCATCGCGTCGCACTGGCCCACGCGTGGCAGCAGGCTTCTTCCGTCTCACACTGGAACATCTTAATTCGTAATTCATTCCTGATTCTTCTTAGATTGATTGTTCCTACTTCGTGTGGTGTATTCAGCGGCTCCTGAGGCCCTCGCTGCCCCACACCCGTACCTCGCCCTCCCGTGCTCGTGACCGCGTGCGCGTCATCGGTGTCTCCATCCCACCATGCATCCGCACGCGCCATCAACCCTTCTCGATGTGCACGTGGGCCCCGGTGCCGCGAAGCAACCTGACCATATCGTCCTCCGGGACCATCGCCACCAGCAGGGTCAGCTCGAACGTCCCGGGCCTCCCAGCAAGGCCATCCCGCAGTGCCCACAAGCCGGGCTCGCCGATGTTGCCCGCCAGCTGCAGCTCGCGCAGCACGCGGTTGGCCTGGAGCGCCCGCCCGAAGGCCTTCGCGTCCCGGTCGCCCAGCCCCGCGACGTTCGCGCGCCCCGCGCGCACGGTGTGCAGTCCCTTGTTGGCCGCCAGCGCGTTTGCGAGAATTGCCCCCGCGCCGGCCGGGAGCCTCCCGTCCAGGATCAAGACCCGCAGGCTGTCGTTGGCCTCGAGGACGCGAGCCAGGCGCCCAATGCTGGCCTCGATCTCGAGCGCCGTGCTGAAGGTGTCGAAGGCCGCACCAGAGAGCTCCAACACGCGCAAAGTGGCGTTGTGCTCGAGCCCCTGGGACACCTGGTCCATCATCGCGATGTCGACCAAGTCGATCTCGACCTTCTCGAGCGTCGCGTTCCGCGACAGCAGGTTGTGGAACACCGGGGGGACGTCATACACCCCCCCCCTGACTCGTACATCTCGTACGCGCCGTCAGGCACCATCTTGAGCTCCCGCAGCGACCGGTTCTTCGCGATCGCCCGCGCGAGCACCGCCGCGTCGCGGTGGTCGTAGAAGATCTCCAGCCTGCGCAGACACGGGCTCTCTTGCACCGCTTTCGCAAGACGCCGCACCGACTCAATGGCGCGGAACGGCTCCTCGATCGCCGCGTCCTCCTCGTCCTCGTCGAACGAGAACGTGAAGCGCAGCTCGCGGAGCGACTCGCTGCGCGCCACGAGGCTAGCCACCACACCGATGACGTCGCAGTCGTCCAGGTGGTCATCCGGGCTCTGTTCGTGCGTCACTTCGAGGGCCTCGAGCGGCAGCGGTGCGAGGCACGTCGCGACGGCGTCCTCGAGCTCGAACCACACCGCGAGGTCCACGTGCACGAGGCTGAGTCGCCGGAGCGCGGGGCTGGCGCGCAGAATGGTGCCCAGCGCGTCGCCCCCGGAATCGCCGAGCTCTGTCTTCTCGAGGCGGAGCGAGACGAGGTTGTTGTTGGTGATGGAGCTGAGGTTCTCGGCGAGCCTGCAGATGCCGTACCCGGTGAGGCGGCAGAACTCGAGCTCGAGCGCGGAGACCCCCCCCAGGTAGAACCCTGACAGCACCTCTGCCACGTCACTCTCCTCCCCCTCCTCGAACTCCTCCTCGTCGAGCCTGTTCGTGCACCCGTACCGCACCGTCCGCACGTTGCCCACCGCGACGATCTCCCCGACTGCCCGTGCGATCTCGATCCCCGCGTGCAACGACACGTTCGGCGGCGCCAGCTCCAGGTCCCGCAGCGTCTGGCACCCGCGGATGAGCCGCGAGAGAGCGGTGCAGAACCCGGACGTGACGCCGTAGCCGCGGTTCGGGCGCGTCTCGGAGTTGAGCAGCCGCAGCGTGCGCAGCGCCCGCGCCTGCTGCAGAGCCGCGAGAATGCACTCCACGTCGCCGCCGAACACGAGCGGCGTGTCGAGCGCGAACGTCTCGAGGTGGTCGCGCACCGCCGGCGCCTCCAGCGTCGCCAGAAAACGATCGATCTCCAGCATGTCGCTCTGACGCCTCCACGCCATGATGTCCAGGTGCCCCGGGGCGCCCAGGTGAGACAGCGAGATCTTCACCACGCGCAGCTGCGAGACCCCTGCCCGGACCATGCCCTCCAGCGCCTCCACCTGCTCGTCCGGCCCGTCCGACGCGACACGGCAGGTTGAGAGAGGCCGCGGAGCCAGGAAGCCCGCCGCGTCGGCCGCCTCGCTCACCGCCCGAGCGTCCTCCGCCGGGAAGTGCGCCCCCGCCACCTCCAGCCGCCCCACGCACCGCGACACGCCCTCCATGCGCGCCGCGAGCCCCCGCAGCAGCGCCCCGCCGGGTAGTATACGCCGCACCCCCACGCGGTGCGTCGCGTTGTGACCCCAGCGGTCGAGGCCGTCGTGCGCCCACCAGTCCGTCACGCCCTCGTACCCGCAGCCGTACCGCAGCACCGCGACGAGGCCGGCCCAGCAGGTGGCGGCGAGCTCGACGGCGGTGGAGGGCGGGACGAAGTCGAACAGGCGCTGGATTTGGAAGAGGTCGGTCAGGGAGTGACGTGGAGCGTCGTCGGGAGCCGCCTGCACGGAGCGCGTATGCGTGTGAAGCAGCGAGGGTCGTCTCGTCGGCGGGCGCGGCGGACGCTGCCCTCGAAACAGTGCAGCGAGGAAATACGCTCGCGCGGCATCTTTCATCGATGTTTCTGGTGCCGAAAGCAAGCAGGTGAGGTAGAAATAGCTTCTTGAGGGCTGAAAAAGCGCGCAGAGGCTCCCTCTGAGCGATGACGAACCAGTCTTTCGAACCAAGCAGTACGAGGGCGATTTCCGGTGCTTGTCAGACAGCAGCACTCACGAACATTCATGCATCTCAACGAACGCAGATAGACAAGGTCGATGCGGGCGCAGAACATCTCGGAAACGGGGCTCAGCGGCCACGCACCGACATCTTCTTCGGCTGCACTCCGAAATTTCCCTTCGGCGGTTTCGCGCGCCTACGCCTCCTGAGTTTCGCCATGGTCTCGTATGTACCTGTCCGGTTGACACAAGGCCTTCATGTCACGACCCTCTTCGTGGCTCCGGGCAACGTGTTCGGGCCGGACGGGGGTGTCTCACTACAAGTACAACCTTCTCTGGGTCTGACACGGCGGCGATGCACGTGCTTCGACTGCAAGCAGGCGACACGCCCCCCGTCCACCGTGCCTTGCCGCTGCGCTGCTCGCCCACACGTTCTGGCGCGACGGCCCCGCACAAAGCAGTTTGCGCGACGGGTGATGCCCTGTTCTTGGGGGACCGTAGGAATCGCCAAAACGGAGGAATCGCGTAGGAATCTGAGAGCGACCTACGCGATTCCTACGGGCGCGTAGGAATAGCGGAGGAGTCGCGTGCGGGCGCAGCGCCTAAGTCCTGAGCATGTGAACTACGACGGCCCTGCCGTGCCTGTTGCGCGGGAACGTTACAGCGCGGCTGCCTCGGCCGCCCACGGGTCAGTGCAAGACAGATCTGCCCCGTCCTGGTCAGGGGCCGGCACCGCCACGAACGTCCCCGCTTTTCCTACGGTCCCCGTCAGAACAGAGCAAATTGCGTGCATCCTTTGCGCGCAGTCGCGCACACGCGCACCGCGCATTCCTGTCAGTGGCCGCACCCGACTCCAGCGCCTGCAAGTCCAGGCGCTGTATCGACAAGACCGCCCCGCACCGTCCCACAGGGACCCGCTCCGTTGCGTCATGCAGCTGCTCTCACACATTGGCGCAGGTGGACGATGCCCCCGCGGTGCGCACGTCGCGCCGTGCATCTGCTTGATCGGTGCTACGCGACAGCGAGAGAGCAGGCCCAAGCGTGGCGTGCGTCGCTTTGATGACAGGACTGGAATCCAACACAACTCACACCAGACCTCTGCTCGCCGCCATTCCGAACATCCAGTGCCCACGTCATCGCCCACCAGCTGCATCAAAGCTTAGTGGTCTCGATGAGGGCCACGTGCGCGCCCGTGTGGCGCAGCTCCTTCACCGCCTCGGCGTCCGGCAAGGCCCATTGGTGGCACCGGGCGAGCTCGAGCGTGAACGTCCCAGAACGGCCCGTCAGGCCGTCGCGCAGGGCCCGCAGGCCCCTGACTGTGACCCACCCCCCCATGCGAAGCCACCGCAGCGTTCTGTTGACACGCAGACCCTTGGCAAGGCTCTGGGCAACCTTGTCGTCGAACTTATACCTCTTGTATTCTTGCATACATTCGATACGCAGCACCTCGAGTCCCTCGTTGTGCGCGAGCATTTCGCCCAGAGCCATGCCCGACGCATTGAAGTCTCCGAATTTTCCGATCTTCATGTTGCGCAAAACAAGAACTTTGAGAGACCGATTGCTAGCAAGCGCGTTGCTGAGCCGCACGATCCAGTTGAACAGGGGATATCCCCCGTTCGGGGTCTGCGTGTAGATCCCGTCGACCTGCAGCACACGCAGCGTATTGTTGCCCTCCAAGCCTTGCGCAATCTGGTTTCCCATCCCCCGGCTCCGCAGCTCGACGGTGAGCTGCTCGAGCCCCGTGTTGCGCGAGAGAAGGTTGTGGAGCATCTTCGGAGTCTCCCACGCCCCCTCGTCCATGTCCATGTCCGGTGTCGCAAACGACGCCAGCCGCAGGTCCACGTCGCTTAGCGACGGGCTACGCACGATGGCACGCGCGAACGCGGCGACGTCGCGGGGCTCGTAGTCGATCACGAGCCGGCGCAGACACGGGCTGCTCTGTATCGCCTTGGCCAGCGCGAGCACGTGCTCCTCGCGCCTGCTTTGCGTGATGAAAGCGTCAGAGGGCTCTTGGAATGTGAACTCGAACTCAAGGAGCCCCTTGCTGCGGGCGAGCAGCTGCGCGGCCACCTCCAGCGCCTCGTTCTCGCGCTCGCAGTCCCTGATGACGAGCGTCTCCAGCTGCAGCGTCAAACCGGCCGCCAGTTCGTCCTTGATCGTCGCCCACGCGTCAAAGTGAACAAGAGTGAGCCTCCGCAGGGCGGTGCACCCGCGCAGTATCGCTCCGAGCGCGCTCTTGCTGGTATCGCCGAGCTCGGTGCGCTCCAGACGCAGGGCGGAGAGGTTGCCTGCCGCGGTCCCAACCAGCTGCGGCGCGACGGGATGCAGCGCTCCTCCGACAAGGCCCGAGAACGACAGTTCGAGCGTCGTGAAGGCCGCGAGGTCGATGCGGTGGAGAGACTGCGCGAATTCGTTGTCGTTGCGGGTGGGGCCCACGCGCAGCGTCTTGAGCACCCCGCCCCCAACCCGCTCAGCAATGGCGACCGCAAGATCTCCGCCGAACGACGACGATATCTTGAGGTGCTCGAGCTCGATCTCGCGCAGCGCCGTAGAGTGCTGAACCAGCGTGGCCACAGCGTACCCCAAAGTCGCGCCGTGGCACTTGTCGTCGTCGAAAAAATGGACCCGTTCTTGGTCCTTCAGGGTCACGTGCTCGAGCGCGCGAACGTGACGCAGGACGGCGAGCATCCCCTCGATGTCGCCCCCGACCGCCGCGACGTCGCTGACCGAGAGGGCCTTCAGGTGGTCCCGCACCGCCGGCGCCCGCAGCGCCTCCAAGAATAGATCGAAGTTGAACAGCCCGCCAGGCCCGTTGCAATGCAGAGATCCGGGACCCTCGCGTTCGGACACGGAGATCTTCGCGACGCGCAGCCGCGCGCCGCCCACGTCGACGATGCGCGCCAGCGCCTCCACCTGCTCGTCCGGCCCGTCCGACGCCGACCCCACCACGCCCGCCGCGTCGGCCGCCTCGCTCACCGCCCTCGCGTCCTCCGCCGGGAAGTGCGCCCCCGCCACCTCCAGCCGCCCCACGCACCGCGACACCCCCTCCATGCGGCCCGCCAGCCCCCGCAGCAGTGCCCCGCCCGGCAGTATACGCCTGGCGTATACTGCCCTGTTCCTTGGGGACCGTAGGAAAAGCGTAGGACCTACGTTTGCTGCGAGGTCTGGAACGTAGGAATCCGACGCGTGCGATCGCTGCCATGTTTCCCCCTATTGGCAGGCGCCTGCGCTTCCCGCCCGACCACGAGCCCGTGCGCGCCTGCCAGATCCTACCCGTGACCACGGACGTCCGCGCCCAGCGCCTGCACACAAGGTGTTACACTGCAAGCGGCGCTGCGGCGCAGCGGTGACATCAACGGCCCCACAAAAGCCTTCCCGGTCATCCTCATTCCTCAAATCGACCTCCTAGTGCTTGCCCTCTCCCGGACTCTGCGTTTCCTGCGCGTGGCGGGGCACCTTTTTCGAAGTAGCAGTTAGCAGACCGTTCACGCCGCACGCAGTGTCAAGCCGCGCGATGGCGTAGTTCGCCGTCAAAATCGCATGAGTAGTGACCAAAGTGTCCGCATGGCGCGGCACTACCCGGGAGCACACCTGTATGCGGCGCTGCGCGCTGCGCGTCCTTGTCACGGAACACCTTGTTGGCTCCCGCCACCGTGGACGCCAAACCCTCGCAATGACTCACCGCAGGGGTCAGTTTGACTTGTTTCCTTTCGAAATTATCGCGCAACTAGGATCGAATCGCCAAGTGAGGCCCGTTTTGGCCGTGCAAGTAAGCTGCCTGGTGCCTGTGCCGGAAGTTTGCCTTCTGCACCGATGTTGTGCAGACTCTCGCGCTCGCGAACGTAAGATGCTGCTATCCCCCTTGTATGAGCGGCACAATGTCCCGCAGCGGACGTTTGTGGCCGCAAAAAGCTCCTCAGGACTTGTGCAAATGCACACCCCCACCTGCCATCAGGCCCGAGCAGGCGGCGGGTAGGCGCGGGCAGGCGCGCACCACGACTTGCCTAGCCGCAGCGTACCCGGAGAGGCGCTCCCCGTCGGAGAACACGGGAGAAATGTTCACATTGTCAATGACATGCTCAGGACTTAGGCGCTGCGCCCGCACGCGACTCCTCCGCTATTCCTACGCACCCGTAGGAATCGCGTAGGTCGCTCTCAGATTCCTACGCGATTCCTCCGTTTTGGCGATTCCTACGGTCCCCCAAGAACAGGGCACCGCACGGCCACACGGTGCTTGCTCTCATCAGACCAGCGGTCGAGGCCGTCGTGCGCCCACCAGTCCGCCACGCCCTCGTACCCGCAGCCGTACCGCAGCACCGCCACCAGGGCGGACCAGCAGGTGGAAGCGAGCCCGACGGCGGCGGAGGGCGGGATGAAGTCGAACAGACGCTGGACCTCGAAGAGGTCCGTCAGGGAGGGTGCCGAGGGTGTCTGCGACGACGGGTTCGACACAATGTGTGGTGAACAAGCGACGCACAGGAGTCATACTGTCCAACGCGCTTGCGTCGATGCGCAACGAGCTGGCTAGCAACGACAATCTCTGCAACCGGTCCCGTGTGGTGCCCCCTGGCGCGAACCAAGCAACTAGGCAGACTTGTCGCGTAGCTGGATATCGCACAGAGAGCTTGAGATGCAGAGAGGCTCGCGGAACGGGCCGGGCAGGAGAGAAACGCCATCGCCTGGATGGCCAACTACGAGGCGCCGCGCCAGACGCATCGTGCGGCGCAGTTCGCTTAACACGCCGGAAACTGGATCGTTGAAACATAACAAGCGTCCCAAGCACCATCGAAATATGGAGCACAAACGACGCAGTCGGGAAAAAGCACTGTGACCGTTCTGTTCCCACCTTGCCCCCCTTTACCGCGCCGGCACCGGTTTTCCTGCGTCGCGATCCCATGATGCCCTCTGTGTGTACGAGAGAAAAGTGCGCAGCTCCAGCCCACCGCGTCGTGCATGTCGCCGCCACGGCACTCCCGCATGACACCCCCCCCCACGTGAGTCAGGACCCCTTCCTCGCCCTGACGTGGTCGCCTCGTGCCTGCACCGCAGCGCCGCCGATCCACCGACCTCACGCGCGCGGCCTCGTCTCGCCCCTGTACACCCGAGCGACACGCAACCCCCCCCCGCACTGACACAGCGACTGTCGCAAACGCCCACAGCGACCAAGGCGACACGTGACGGCCGACAGCAGCCGCGCGCGCACTCACAGACACATGCCCGTCGATGCGCTGTCGCGGCTCGCTCCGCTGGCGGATCATGCTTATACCACCTGCTCCCCGTCTGTCATGCAGTGGTGGTGTATTGATTGATGCTGTCGCTCGCGCGGCGGTAGGTCCGCCGCCAGCGTCCGCGCCGCCGAGCTCACTCGCTGTCCGACCCGCTGCCCTACTCGCTGTCCCGCGCGTCGCGATCGTGAACGACATTGATCACCACCCGCGCCCCCGTGCCGCGCAGCTCCCTGATCGCGTCCGCGTCCGGGGAGGCAGTCAGGTCGAGCTCGAGCTCGAACGCCCCGGGGCGGCCCTTCAGGCCGTCGCGCAGGGCCCGCAGCCCCCCCGCCGTGAGGGCCCCCGCGACCCGCAGCCGCCGCAGTGTTCTATTGGCACGCAGGCCATCCGCGAAGCTCTGCGCGTCCTCGTCGTTGAAACACACCGCTCCGTCGCAGATCCTGCTCTCGACGCGCAGGACCTCGAGCCCCTTGTTGCGCGCGAGCATCCTGCCCAGATCCTTGCCCTCTGGAGTCTCGATCATGTCTTTCAAAACAAGGGACTTCAGGGACGTATTTCGACGCAGGACTTCGCTGAGTTGTGCAGCCCATGGGGAGGTCGACGGGTAGAGGTAGCTGCCCTCGATCTCGAGCGCACGCAGCGTGTTGTTTCCCTCCAGCCCTCGCAGGACCTGATCCCTGATCTCGCAGCGCGCCACGACGACTGTGAACTTCTCGAGCCCCGAGTTGCGCGAGAGAACCTTGTCGAACACCACGGGGGGGTCCCAGTCGTCGTTCTCGTCCTCGTCGTCGCTCAAAAAACCCCGCGTCAGGGCCACCTCCTTCAGAGACTTGTTGTTCGCGACGGCGCGGGCGAACGTGGCGGCGTAGCGGTTTTCGTAGTCGATCGCGAGCCGACGCAGGCGCGTGCTACGCCTGATTGCCGCCGCCAGCGCCAGCACGGGCTCCTCCCGCCTCGTCACCACCCGATACACGCATTCGTACTCCTCACTGACAGGTTCGACGGCCAAGTCCAGCTCAAGGAGCGCCTTGCTGCGGGCAACCAGCTCCGCAGCTACCTCGAGCGCCTCGTTGTCGCGCTTGTGCTCCCTCACGCGAAGGACCTCGAGCGGCAGCTGCGCCCCGGACGTCAGGACCGCCATGAACGTTGCCCAGGCGTCGAAGTGAGCGAGGCTGAGCCTGCGCAGGGCCGTGCAGCCGCGCAGAATGGATCCAAACGCGCGCGCGCTGCTGGTATCGAGGTTCGTGGCTTCCAGGTGCAGGGCGACGAGGTTGTTTGCCGCAGTGTTGACGAGCTGCGGCGCGATCCTGTGGAGCGCAGGGCCGCGCAGGCGCATCAAGCGGAGGTCGAGCGTCGAGAGGGACCCCAGGTCGATGTCCTGCATCGTTGTCGCGAACTCGGAGTCGCTCGTGCCGGGGCCGACGCGCAGCGTCTCGAGCACGCCGCCTCCGCCACCAGTCCGTGCCGCAATCGCTCTGGCAATCGCCGCGCCGAACGACGAGATCCCGAGATGGGACAGCTCGATCTCGCGCAGCGGTGCGCAGCTCCGGATGAGCTTCGCGACCACCTGCCCAAGCCGCGCCCCCTGACGTATGTCTTCGGGGATCATGCATGACATCTCATCCGGTGAACAAGGCTCATTCTTCAGGGACAGAGTCTCCAGGGCGCGGGTGTGGCGCAGTACGGCGAGCATGCCCTCGATGTCGCCCCCGACGGCCGCGACGTCGACGACCGAGAACGTCTCCACATGGTCGCACACCGCCGGCGCCCCCAGCACGCCCAAGAAGAGGTCGACGTTGAACAGCCCCCCAGGCTTGGCGAAAAACAGAGACCCCGGACGGTCGCGACTCGACACGCACACCTTCACCACGCGCAGCCTGTCCGATCCGGCCCGCACCATGCCCGCCAGCGCCCCCACCTGCTCGTCCGGGCCGTCGGACGCGACACGGCAAGTTGAGAGAGGCCGCTGCGGCACCATGCCCGCCGCGTCGGCCGCCTCGCTCATCGCGCGAGCGTCCTCCGCCGGGAAGTGCGCCCCCGCCACCTCCAGCCGCCCCACGCACCGCGACACCCCCTCCATGCGACCCGCCAGCCCGCGCACCATTGCCCCGCCGGGGAGTATACGCCGCACCGCCGCGCGGTGCTTGCTGCCGTCGGACCAGCGGTCGTAGCCGTCGTGCGCCCACCAGTCCGTCACGCCCTCGTATCCGCAGCCGTACCGCAGCACCGCGACAAGCCCGTCCCAGCAGGTGGCGGCGAGCTCGACGGCGGTGGAGGGCGGGACGAAGTCGAACAGCCGCTCGACTTGGAGGACGTCCGCCAGGGAGGGGCTCGGGGCCGCCGCCTGCGCAGCAAACGAATGGACAGCGAGTTCTGAGGCGTGTGTTGTGAGCCCTGACTACTAATATGCAGTGAAAGATGGCCCCGAGCGCCACACTGACGCGCTCGAGCATCTCGCTTGCTGAGTATCATGCGCGCTCATGTGCCGCGGGAGCGCACTGGTACGCGACCATCCCGCGTCCCGTTCAAACCAACCAAATCCACGCGGCACCGGACAGCACGCGCCCGCCGCCAGCCAGCTGGCGCGCTATTTCCGCTCAGATATATTGTAGATCGCTGCTGGGCGCGCCGGCAGTCAATCAGCACGCGCGCGCGACCGCCCCGCCGAGCACCCACTCCTTGCATAGCTCTCACCTCGCTCTGCGGCGCCTCGGCGCTCGCCTTCTTCGTTGCTGACTCCATTGCGTCCTCCATGTACCGGCGACAGTCGTCAGACTGGCCACGTCGCGACGGTCACGCGCACCATGTCGCCACGCTCGACGTCCCTTGCACAGGGGGGTGTTTTGGATGTCTGTCAGCAGCGGTCCGGGCGGTTGGGCGCGAAGAGCTCGCAGGGACCTGTGACCGCCATGAGAGCGGCGAGTGGTGCGCGGCGATGCGCACGCGCGGAAGGGCACAAGCCGCGGGAGCGTTACGAGCACTTGCGACGTGCTTTCGTACCTCAGCGAAGAGGACCTCGACGTCGCTCCGGGATCGAGACGCCCTGCGATACCTGACGTTATGCTTCCCCGAGACCTGTAACCGGTTCCGCGATCAACCATGGGAGTCTCTCTCTCACCTCCGTCGTGTGGGCTTTCGCGCCGCTCGTCGTCGTCGACCCGCCCATGTTGCTCCTCGTTGGAGTACTCGCGGTCTCGCCAGGTGTCGATCTGGCTCGGTCCCGACCGCCGCAAGCCCGAAGAAGCACCTGAAAGCGCGGGGGGGTGTTGCGGTGTGACTGGGGGGGTTGTCCTGACGCTAGGACCGCCCTCGGGCACGAACAACCTACCGGTAGCCCCGGAACGAGTGCCCCGACCCTGCAGCCGCGCAGATGCTCCCACGCATGCCTCGAAGCCACGCCCCCAGGTCCACCACGTGCCGCCACACCCCCCCCCCCAGCATCGTAGCTTCATCATCATGCCCGGCGCAGTCCCGCGCCGCCGCCTCCCGCGTGCCCTGACTCTACTCCACTTCACCTGCGATCGTCCACTCCCGCTGTGCCTCCTGCAGGACCACAACAACAGCAACGCGCCACGCGCCCCGCAAAAACACACGTGAACGACCGCCACCCCGTACCACGTGCCGGACCGGCCTCACAGGCCAACTCGGCGCCGCCCGCTCCGGCGGCGCTCACTCGCTGTCAGACCCGTCGTCTGCGTCGTCCGACTCCTCTCCATTTGAGCGCACCCCATGCGCTCTCGTCGAGTCGACGCCGCGGCCCGCGCCTTGGCCATCTGCGCCTCCCGCGCCTCCCGCGCCTGCCCCCGCCGCAGAGTCGACCACTCGCCTTGCGATCATCAGGCGCTGTCTTCGATGTTGATGGTGACGTGCGCACACGCGCTGCGCACCTCCTCGATCAGGTCGGGGGGCGCGTCGGCTGGTTGCAGGGTCAGCGCGAGCCTGAACGCGCCCGGCCGGTCCGCCAGAGCGTCGCGCAGGGCCCGCAGGCCGACCGCCGTGAACTTGCCGGCCAGCTGCAGCTCGCGCAGTGTGCTGTTCGACGACAGGCCCCGCGCGAAGGTCCTGGCGCTGTAGTCGAGGCTGTCACCATGCGTAGATCGGAAAGCTCCGACGCGCAGGACTTCGAGCCCCTGGTTGCGGGCCAGGACGCGGCCAAGAGCCCTCAAAACTGCGGGCTCAACCTCCAGGTCGAGTCCCAGCACCTTCAGGGTGTTGTTGTTCTCGAGCAGCTGGTCAACCAGTATGACGACCTGGACTGAGTATTCCTCGGAGACCTGCGTCGCGAAGGAACCGGAGATCTCCAAGACGCGGAGAGACCTGTTTGCCCTCGGGCCAATGGTGAGCTGCTCGAGCATCGAAGAGTGCGCGACTTCGATCCTGAGGACCTCCAGCGTCGTGTTGCGCGTCAGCAGGTTGTGGAACACCGTCGGAGCCGGACAGTCGTTCTCGCTGCCATCGCGGCGCTCCAAGATGAGATTGCGCACCGACGTGTTCTGCACCAGGGCCCGCGCGAGCGCAGCGGCGTCGCGGTGGTTGTAGTCGATGTCCAGCGTGCGCAGACTCCGGCTGTCACGGACCGCCGCCGCCAGCTTGCGCACCACGTCCTGCCTCCTGCCCGGCAGGCTGTAGTTGTTGTAGCCTTCAAACTTGTACCGAATCCTGACCTCGCGGAGCGTCGTGCTGGCCGCAAGCACCTCTGCGACGACCTCCGCTGCCTCGTCGTCGACTTCGTCCTCCTCCGCGTGCAGCACCTCGAGCGGCAGCGGGCCCTTGGCAGCGCGCCGAATCGCCGACCACACCCCTGCGTCAGTATGGCGCAGGATGAGCTTGCGCAGGACCGAGCAGGCGCACAGCAGCTTCTCCAGCTGCGTGAAGTCGCGTGCCCTTTTCTCGCTGAACTCCATGTACTCCAGGCGGAGCGCGGCCAAGTTGTTGGCGGCAGATGTTGTGAGCATTCCGGCGACATCCCCCAGGTCCTTGGTAGTAATGAGGCCCGAGAACGCCAGGTCGAGCTCGGGAGTTCCGTTCAAGCTGGATTTCGACAGCTGCCGTGCGATCTCGAAGTCAGCCTCACCGCAGGGGCCCAGGCGCACTTTCTGCAGGGTGGCGCTCCGCGACCTCACGGCGTCCACCAACTGCTCTGCGCCGTCCCAGGGCAGCCCGAGCTCCAGGAGCTCCAGCACTTCCAGCGTCCCGCAGCCGCGCACGAGCCGCGACAGCACCCGGGAGGAATCTCCACTCAACATCTGTGAAGACGACCCGGCCGTTCCAGCACCGCGCAATCGCAGCATGCGCAGAGCGCTCGCACCACACAGCGCCGTCAGCATGCCCTCGATCTCCGCGCAGACCGCCATGGTGTTGGTCACCGAGAACGTCTCCACGTGGTCGCGCACCGCACGCATTCCCAGCATGTCGAAGAACAGGTCGACGTTGAAGATGCCGTCCTTCGAGCTCCAGTCCAGCGCCCCAGGAGCGTTCTTGTCCGACACGCACACCTTCACCACGCGCAGCCGCGCGCCCCCGGCCCGCACCAGACGCTCCAATGCTGCAATCTGCTCGTCGGGGCCGTCCGACACCGACCCCACCACGCCCGCCGCGTCGGCCGCCTCGCTCATCGCCCGAGCGTCCTCCGCGGGGAAGTGCGCCCCCGCCACCTCCAGCCGCCCCACGCACCGCGACACCCCCTCCATGTGACCTGCCAGCCCGCGCAGCAGTGCCCCGCCGAGCACCACGCGCCGCACGGCCACACGGTGCTTGCTCTCGTCGGACCAGCGGTCGTAGCCGTCGTGCGCCCACCAGTCCGTCACGCCCTCGTATCCACAGCCGTACCGCAGCACCGCGACAAGCCCGTCCCAGCAGGTGGCGGCGAGCTCGACGGCGGCGGAGGGCGGGACGAAGTCGAACAGACGCTGGACCTCGAAGAGGTCCGCCAGGGAGGGGCTCGGGGCCGCCTGCGAGGCCGGATACGGAGGTACACGTTGGATGCGAGAGAGAGGGCGCGAGAGGGGCCTTGCGGCGCAGAGGCGGCACCGAGGCATCGCTGAAACACAGCCTGTGGGATGATCTATCAAGTCGGCTGCAAGCTCGCGTGGTCGCCGCGGCGCAAGCGGGGCGGAGAGCTCTCTTTTCTCAAATCAAGGGCATCATGAGCCGCGGGCAGCGCCACGACGCGCGACTGGGTCGCTACGGTACAAGCCCCGCGATCGTGCATCAGCATCGGCAGCAGCATCGGGGTCGAGCAAAATGAGCCGGCCTCGTGCGCGTCGACCAATCATGAGGCAGCATCTCACCTCCGTCTTTTGGGCTTTCGCGCCACTTGTTGTCGTCGATCCGCCCATGTTGCTCCTCGTTGGCGTGCTTGCGATCTCGTCAGGTGTCGATCTGGCACGGTCCCGACCGCCGCACGCCCAGAGAAGCCCCTGAGAGCGGGGGGGTGTTGCGATGTGACTCGGGGGGGGTATCCTGACGCCAGGACCAACCTCGGCCACGAACGACCTCGCGCGCCCGCCGCACTGACCTCCTCGACACTGCAGCAACGCAGATCCTCCCACGCACGCCCTGGAACCACGCCCGCGGGTCCCTCACGTGCCTCCGCACCCTGGCATCGTAGCGTCATCATCATCCCGGCGCAGTCCCGCGCCGCCACCTCCCGCGTACCTTGCCCTGATCCGCTCGTGTCTCGACCGTCAGTGGCCGCCGCCGTGCGTCCTGCAGGAGCATCAGAGCGTTCAAGAGGCAACATGCAAAATGCAACAGGTGAACGACCGCCACCCCGTACCACGGGCCGGCCTCACAGGCCAGCTCGGCGGGCGTCGACGCCCGCCCGCTCCGGCGGCGCTCCCTCGCTGTCCGACCCGTCGTCGTCGTCTCTCTCGTCCGACCCTGAGCCATCCGACTCCCCCCCGCTCTCGTCGTCCGACTCGGACGACGCCGCGCCTGCCCCCGCCGCAGAGTCAACCACTCGCCTCGCGATCATCAGGCGCTGTCTTCGATGTTGATGGTGACGTGCGCACACGCGCTGCGCACCTCCTCGATCAGGTCGGGGGGCGCGTCGGCTGGTTGCAGGGTCAGCGCGAGCCTGAACGCGCCCGCCCGGTCCGCCAGAGCGTCGCGCAGGGCCCGCAGGCCGACCGCCGTGAACTTGCCAGCCAGCTGCAGCTCGCACAGTGTGCAGTTGGACGACAGGCCCCGCGCGAAGGTCGTGGCGACCTCGTCGTTGAAGTCGAGATCGGCATCAGGCGCTCCGACGCGCAGGACTTCGAGCCCCTGATTGCGGGCCAGGACGCCGCCCATCGCAGTCAAGGCATACGGCTCCAACCTCTCGAGGTCGAGTCCCAGCACCTTCAGGGTGTCGTTCTTGTGCAGCGCGAAAGCCAGCCCAGCGACCTGGGGTGATTGCTCTCTGGGCATCTCCGAATAGAAGGAACCGGAGATCTCCAAGACGCGGAGAGACGTGTTGTCCTTGAGGCCTTTCACGAGCTGCTCGAGCATCGAGGAGTGCGCGACTTCGATCTTGAGGACCTCCAGCGTCGCGTTGCGCGTCAGCAGGGTGTGGAACACCTTCGGAGCCGTATAGTCGGCCTGGCTGCCATCGCGGCGCTCCAAGATGAGATTGCGCACCGACGTGTTCTGCACCAGGGCCCGCGCGAGCGCGGCGGCGTCGCGGTGGTTGTAGTCGACGTCCAGGGTGCGCAGGCTCCGGCTGTCACGGACCGCCGCCGCCAGCTTGCGCACCACGTCCTGCCTCCTGCCCGGCAAGTGCACGAAGTGATCCTCCTCGTCGTAGTCCTTAATCATGTACCGAATCCTGACCTCGCGGAGCGTCGTGCTGGCCGCAAGCACCTCTGCGACGACCTCCGCTGCCTCGTCGTCGACTTCGTCCTCCTCCGCGTGCAGCACCTCGAGCGGCAGCGGGCCCTTGGCAGCGCGCTGGATTGCCGACCACACCTCCGCGCTAGTATGCCGCAGGGTGAGCTTGCGCAGGACCGAGCAGGCGCGCAGCAGCTTCTCGAGTTGATCGCAGCGGAGTGGTCCGTCGTCTCTGACAAGAATGTCCGTGTGCTCCAGGTGGAGGGCTGCCAAGTTGTCGGTTGCGGATGTTGCGAGCATTTCGGCGACGTCCTCCACGTCTTTCTCACCGATGCTCGAGAACGCCAGGTCGAGCTCGGGAGTTCCGTTCAAGCTGGATTTCGACAGCTCTCGTGCGAAATCGAAGCCAAGGTCACCGAAGGGGCCGAAGCGTAGTTTCCGCAGGGTCGTGCTCCGCGCCCTCACGGCGTCCACCAACTGCTCTGCGTCGTCGCAGTTCAGCTCGAGCTCCAGGAGCTCCAGCACTTCCAGCGTCCCGCAGCCGCGCACGAGCCGCGAGAGCACCCGGGAGAAGTCTGTACTCAAGATATGTGAAGACGACCCGGCCGTACCAGCACCGCGCAACTGCAGCACGCGCAGAGCGCTCGCGTCGCACAGCGCCGCCAGCATGCCCTCGACCTCCGCCCCGACGGCCACGACGTTCGTCACCGAGAACGTCTCCAGGTGGTCGCGCACCGCCGGCGCCTCCAGAACGTCCAAGAACAGGTCGACGTTGAAGATGCCGTCCTTCGAGCTCCAGTCCAGCGCCCCAGGAGCGTCCTTGTCCGACACGCACACCTTCACCACGCGCAGCCGCGCGCCCCCGGCCCGCACCATGCCCGCCAAAGCTGCAATCTGCTCGTCCGGCCCGTCGGTCTCCGAGCCCACCACGCCCGCCGCGTCGGCGGCCTCGCTCACCGCCCTCGCGTCCTCCGCCGGGAAGTGCGCCCCCGCCACCTCCAGCCGCCCCACGCACCGCGATACCCCCTCCATGCGCGCCGCGAGCCCGCGCACCAGCGCACCGCCGGGCAGTATACGCCGCACCGCCACGCGGTGCTTGCTCTGGTCGGACCAGCGGTCGTAGTCGTCGTGCGCCCACCAGTCCGCCACGCCCTCGTATCCGCAGCCGTACCGCAGCACCGCGACAAGCCCGTCCCAGCAGGTGGCGGCGAGCTCGACGGCGGCGGAGGGCGGGACGAAGTCGAACAGCCGCTCGACTTGGAGGACGTCCGCCAGGGAGGGGCTCGGGACCGCCTACGAGGCCGGATACGGAGGTACGCGCTGGGTGTGAGAGGGAGGGCGCGAGAGGGGCCGTGCGGCGCAGAGGCGGCACCGAGGCATCGCTGAAACACAGCCTGTGGGATGATCTATCAAGTCGGCTGCAAGCTCTCGTGGTCGCCGCGGCGCAAGCGGGGCGGAGAGCTCTCTTTTCTCAAATCAAGGGGCACGGGCAGCGCCACGACGCGCGACTGGGTCGCTACAGTACAAGCGCAAGCCCCGCGATCGTGCATCATCATCGGCAGCAGCATCGGGGTCGAGCAAAATGAGCCGGCCTCGTGCGCATCGACCAACCACGGGGCAGTCCCTCTCACCTCCGTCTTTCGTGCTCTCGCGCCGCTCGTCGTCTTCGATCCGCCCATGTTGCTCCTCGTTGGCGCACTCGCGGCCTCGCCGGGTGTCGATCTGGCACAGTCCCGACCGCCGCACGCCCGAAGAGGCGCCTGGGAGCCGGGGAGGAGTGATACAAATGACTGGGGGGGTGTCCTGACGCCAGAAGCGACTCCCGATGCCCAGGCCCGCCGTCCTTCCACGCACGCCCTCGAGTTCCGCCCGCGGCCCCCTCGTGCGCCTCCGCACCGCAGCAGCAGCGTGTCTCTCTATGCCTCGCCGCCGCCTCCTGCGTGCCCCGACCCCGCTCCGCTCGAGTCCCAACCGTCCGTGGCCGCCGCTGTGTATCCTGCAGGAGCCTGCGAGCGTCGAAGAGGCAACGCGCAACGTACAACGTGCAACAACAGGTGAGCATCTCGGCCTCACAGGCCAGCTCGGCGGGCGTCGACGCCCGCCCGCTCCGGCGGCGCTCACTCGCTGTCCGACCCGTCGTCGTCGTCGTCGCCGTCGTCCGACCCCGAGCCGTCGGACTCCCCCCCGCTCTCGTCGTCCGAGTCGGACGACGCTGCCGCGGCCGCCGCCGCCGCGGCCCGCGCCTTGGCCATCTGCGCCTCCCGCGACTTGCGCGCCTGCTCCCGCCGCTCCCGCTCCGCCTTCTCCTCCTGCATCTCCCTGCAACACACCCCCAACAAAACAACACTCCCCCTTTCAAAACAACACCCCGCGGCACAATCAGACCGCCCCGGCCGGAACTCGCCGCTCCGACGCACGCACTCGCTCTGGGAACCAAGCAGAGCCGCGCGAGAGCACAGCGCGCTGCAACATCGCCGCTGGGGGGCACGCACTTGCGCCGCTGTGCCGCCGTCTCCTTGTCGAAGGGGCCGAACTGGTCGCCGGTGCACGCGTCCTCGTCGGAGAGCTTGTCGAGGACGAGGAACTTGAACGCCACCTGCGCCACGATCAGCAGCGGGATCAGCCACCGGCGGCGCCGGTCGGGGTTCCCGCGCTCGTCGCCCTTGCCGTCATACTCGTACGGCTCGAGGCCCTTCTCCATCGCGTCGACCATGCACGCCATGAGCGTGCACAGCCACAGCGTGTCGTCCGGGAGGATCTTCTGCCCGTGCGCGTCCTTGTCGCACCTGCAACCACAACGTCGAAGAAACCACGGTGACTATCGAAACAATATGAAATCGCGGACCTCCTTCGCTTATCTGGACGGGTCACGCAGCGCGCATGCTCGGTGCGAGGGACCGGCAGCGTGTCCGGAGCCGCGCGGGGGGCGGAGCGCGGCGCGAGCGACGTAGCGGTGCCGGGTGCGGTGCGGCCGCGCCGCGGGGCGCTCGCCTGTCCGAGTTCTCCACGAAGAGCACGGGGATGTCGTCGTGTCCGCCGGCCTTCTTGACCTGCTTCCGGATCGCCCCCGCGCGCGCCTCGGCGAAGTTCGACCACTCGATGCCGTTGGGGGGGTTCTTCATGTTGGCGCGCGTGAGGACGAGGAAGGAGTTGTCCCAGATGTCGCGCCCGAAGGTGTCGGAGACGGCCTGGAGGACCTCGCCGTCGAGGCGCTCCGGTTTGTACAGGTCGAAGCGGTCAACGAAGAACACAACATCGATCGGGGTGCTCCGGACGGCGTACGCGATGCTCTGCGCGGCGGAGGGGCGCGTGCGAGGTCGCGTTGGGGCGGTGCGTGGCAGAAAGGGGCTCGTGGGGGGAGGGAGCGGGCGTGGAGAAGGTGCTGGGGGGCTGGAGGCGGCGAGCTGGGGGCGTTCGGCCGCAGCGAGCACGCCGCGCGTGCGGAAACGAAATGTTCGAGACCCAGAGCGGCGATCGGCTGCACGACGGGGCGCGAGCAGGGCTCGGTTGCGGTGCCGCGGTGCGAATCATCACTTGCAAGCTTCCGGGCGGCGGGTGCGTGCGCAGGGGCGCGGGCGGCCGCCGGAGACCGGCTTCGCAGCCAACCACGCGCAAAATGGGGTCGCGACGCGCCGCGTCACGCCCCCCAGGCGCAACATCCCCGCAGTTCCCGCCAGATGGCTCTGCACGGCCGCCAGCTGGTGGCCTCGCCGTGCGGCGCGCCCTGCGGCCCCTGGGCCCCGCGGCCGGCCGCAGCGGCCCCCTTCGAGGCACCGGCGGGCGCGAGGGCGCGCCCGGCGCGCCCAGCTGCGCACCTGGAGCGCTTCGTCGTTGACGTGGTCGCCCTTAGACAAACCAGGCGTGTCTATCATGCGGAGCGTGAATCCCGCGGCCTGGCGCTGGCACACGGCGACCTCGCTGCTCCCCGGCGCGAACGCGGACACCTGCGCGACCTTCTCGTTGAAGACGGAGTTGCACAGGGAAGACTTGCCCACACCGGGCCGGCCGATGACTAGCACATTGAGGCTGTCGCGGCCCAGCTGCTTCAGCTTGTCCAGGAGCTGCTTGAACGTGGACTGCGTCGCGCCTGGGAAGTTCGACAGGCCCACCCAGGGCTCGGCCGGGCCGATTTCGAGGCCCTCGGACGCACCACCATCGCTCGACATAGTTCGCGCTCGCACGCACCCCCTGCTCGCGAAGCACCGCGCCGCGCGATAAATTAAAAAAATCCGAACAGCGACCGCGCGTCTGCGACCGCCCGCGCGCCCGCGCGACCCTCGTCGCCGCCGCAAAGCGCCCCGGTCGCTCCGAGTTGTACCTCGCCACGGGAGGGGCCTCCCCTGCGGCGCTGCGGGCCCCGTCCGCCGCCAGGCGGCCGCGGCCGCGCGCCTGCGCGCCACTCGCGGCGCCGGAGCGGCTGCACGCAGGTAGTATCGCGAAGAGCGGCTCGCAGTCGAGGTTTTCCCTCTTCGTGGATGCACCACCCGCAGGGATGGTCGTGACTCGCGCCGGCGCGATCCTTGCCTGATGGGCAGCAAGGCGCTGAAGTTCGGCGTCGCCGGCGACCCCCCCGCGGACCTCGGGGCGCAAGCCGAGACCAAACCGAGCAACTCTGATGCAACTGGCCTCGCTACAGACGGCGCGCCCGGCGCCGCGGGGGTGGCGCAGCGGCTCGCCGCCTCGACCCTCAAAGCGAACGTGCAGGACTTCGTCCCGTCGTCGTCCAAGAGCAACGGGCCCACGCCCCGGCCCAGCCCCGGCGCCCGGCCCGTGGTGGACAGCGGACTAGCAGGGGCCATGTCCCGGGCCGGAGAGTTCCGCCCAGGCAAGCGCGCCCCCCGAACGGAGTAACCACACTCTCACACTCCACGGCGCGCGCGTACGGCGCCCGCAGGGCCCTTCTCCCGCCGGGAGCGCCCTGTTGTCCTCACGCGCAACGTCTCGCGCGCTCGCGGCCACGCAGCTGCACCGATTCGCTCCCCTCGCCGCCCGCGCACTCCCACTCACCTGAGCATTCCTCCAGCCGCGTTGCGCGCCCGCCACGCCGCGCTCCCGCGACGCAAACGTGCCCTCGCTCTCTGCCTGCTCTCCGAATCCGTTACGCGCTCGCGCGCGCTCCAGCGCCCCTGACGCTCCGCGCCTACGCGCAAGCCGCTCCGCAGGCTCCACCGGGCCTAGCCCGTCCGGCCCCGGCGGCCGCGGGCGCCCCCCGGCCACCGCCGGCGACTACCGTGGCGGTCCTGGGCGGGGCCCGATGCACGGCGGGGGCCGCGGCGGGGGGCGCGGCGGCGGGCGCTCCCCGCAGCAGTTCATCTCGAGCAGCCCGAACATCGCCGGCCGCGGCCGCGCGCGCCAGGGCCAGGTGTTCGCCGATGAGCGCCTGCGCGCAGAGCTGCAGCAGCTCCGGTGGGCGCAGCAGACGGGCTGCTCCGCGGAGGAGCTCCAGGCGCTCGGCGTCCGCGCGGAGGTCGTCGAGGGGTTCCACACCATGGCCCCGCTCGAACCGCCCCTCTCGCCTGGTCAGGACCGCGGCCCACTGGGCGTTGCGAGGTGCGGAGACCCCCCATCACACCCCCCCGCGCCCCGCGCGCCTCAGGCGCCCCCGCCTGCCTCGCCGAGGACGTCCGCGCACCGGCGCGCCCGCCTGGCGCGGCATCGGCGCCCCGCGCCACGTCAGCACGCGCGTCACGTGGTGCGTCTGCACGTCCGACGCCCCTCGCGCCCGCCCCCGCGTCCGCAGCACGGTGTTCAAGGGCATCAGCGAGGTCGACGGCCTGTGCTACGCGCTGCGGCGGTTCGACGGCCGCCAGCTCCCGCCGACCGTCGCTATGCGCGATCACGCGCTGCAGCTTCAGGCGCGCTGGGCGCGGCTCGCGGACCACCCGTCGCTGCTCGTCCCGCGGCACGCGTTCGTCACCTCTGACATGGACCAGATCCCGACGCTCGTCCTCATCCACGACTTCCTCCCGCGCGCACAGACCGCGCAAGCGCTCCACATCGACCCGTCGCGCGACGCGCAGTCCGGCGCGCTCGTGCACCGCGCGCCGTCCGAGGGCGCGCTGTGGAGCTACCTCGTGCAGCTCGGGAACGCCCTGCGCGCCGTGCACAACGAGGGCCTCGTCGTCGGCCCCGCGGCGCTGCACCCGACCAAGCTGCTCCTCGCGTCGATGGGCCGCCTGTGCATCGGGTCGATCGCCGCCGCGGACGTCATCCGGTTCGCACAGACGCAAGGTGCGCGGCGCGGCGGGCGCGGAGCGCGTTGCGGGCCAGTCACGCGCTGCAGTTGCTTCTATGTCATTGACTTCGTTTCATTCGATACTCTCGGTTGATGTTCCGCGCGCTGCGTGCGCCCACCGGCGGTCCTCGTCCCAGAGCCGCCGCGGCGGTCCTCGTCCCAGAGCCGCCGCGGCGCGCCTCGACTCGGCCGTTCTTATTTGTTTGCGTGCAACATCAACCATGCAGGCTCGACTGAGACTGGGACGCCGCGGGAGGACCTCGAGGCGCTCGGGCGGACCATGCTGCAGCTGGCGTGCGCGGGGAGCGGCGCGGAGCCCTCCCTGGCGCTCGCCGCGGAGCGCCAGTCGTCCCAGCTGGCACAGGTCCTGGGCGACCTGCTGGGCGTGGGCAACGGGCCCGGGTTCGGGACCGCCGCGGAGCTGTGCGTCGCGCTCGCGCCGTACGCGTTCATGGAGCTCGACGCCGCCTCGGCGCGCAACGGTGCGCACACACACGGACACCGCCACCCGTTGCCGTGCTCTCACTGTTCGTTTCATCAGCAATCTTCGTTTCCAATCCTCTCGTGCACGCAAAACCCGATTGCACCCACCGGCCACCCCGGAGACGCACACAAAAAAACACGAACGCACCTCCCACCACACCCACACCCCCCCACACCCCCAACAACTCCCCCCGCCTGCAGTGTTGTTGTTGAACGAGCTGTCGAAGGAGGTCGAGAACGGGCGCGTCGCGCGGCTGCTCGTGAAGCTCTGCACCGTCGTGGACCGCCCGGGCGAGCGCCCGCAGTTCGGCGCCGAGTCGGGCGACCGGTACCTGCTACGGCAGCTCTTCCACCACGTGTTCCACCAGAGCAACCCGGAGACGGGCGCGCCCGTCGTGGACTGGGGCCACGTCCTCGAGGCGCTCGGGAAGCTCGACGCCGGGACGCGGGAGCGCGTTCCGATGCTGGCGCGCGACGAGAGCTCTCTGCTGGTGGCGTCGTACAGCGACATGCGGCACAGCCTCGAGGCGGCGTACCGGGGGCTGCTGGCGCAGGCGCAGGGGCCTGGGCAGGGCGGGATGCGGTGAGCGCGCGCGTGTGAGATGCGGTGCGACGGGCGCGTGTTGCATGGGCCGTTTTGCGCACTCACTCGACCTGATTGCAGGTCGGAGCATTCCCTTGGCGCATGATGACATGCGCACATGGCATTTCGCGCGAGAGCTCCTAGCACGCTGCCGCCTTGATCAGGACGACAGCACACCCGCATTTCGTTTCGTGCGCGGGTGGTCAATTACTACTTCGAGTGCGGGCTGTGCGCGGCGCGGAATGGCGCGAAGAGGGCCGGAGCAGGAGGGCGTGGCTGTGTCTGGCGGTTCCGGGGCCGGATTTCGCGTCGCCACCGTTTCACGGCGCCGGAGCGACTCTGTCGGGCGCAGGGGGAGTGGGCCAACGGTGCGGCTCGCGCGCACTTGTGCGGGCGCAGCGAGGGCTCCTCGGCATACCTGCAGCTCGTCTGTGCCATAGTTGGATAGATCTTGTAGACGAAACGTACGTTCTTCGTGTTTGCGTGGCGCCCGGGAGGAAAGTCTCGGTGCTTCTAAACCGCGCGCAGCAAGGCCGCTCCAGGGTCGTGACGGGCGGAGAAGCGGGGATTTCGCACCTGTTTGTTCAGTAGCTTCGTCGATGACGAAGGTCTCGGACAGCCCGCCACGCACGCGTCCCTGAGGGCTGAGAAGCATCAAGCGCCTCGCGCCCCGGCCGCGCACGGGCCCTGCGTGCGCCTGGGATCCCGCAAAGCCACCCGCTCCGGAATCCACTGGCCCTGCCGCCCCGTAGCGATGGGTTTCGACCCGAAACTCTTCTGGGTTGCCGGGAAACCGATCATTCAAGTGTGCCTTCTGGCGGCAATCGGAGCAGGGGCGGCGCGCACGGGCGTGCTGTCGGGTCCGAGCACGGTCACGCTCGCGAAACTCTCCCTCGACATCTTCCTCCCCTGCCTCATCCTCGTGACCTTCCCGCCCGCCGTCTCACCAGGTGCGCCCCGCCCCCATACCTACGGGACGTTGCCACAGCCCTGCCCTCCCAGAGCGCGCCGCGACCGGTGCAACGGTCAGGCCCGGCCGAACTCGCGCTCGGCAGCGAGCCCGGACCAGCCTGCGCAGTGCCGCGGGCGGATTGCCCTCGATTTGCGACGTCGCGCCCGCGCACGGTGCCCTGCGGTGGAGTGCTGATGTGGAGGGGGCGCGAGGAGGAGCGCGTTGCTGACGGCGTTTGACGGATGTTCGCCGCGCAGAGGTCGTGAAGGAGTGGTGGCCGATCATCGTGTTCACAATCGTCGCAATGTGGATCGGGGCGCCGATCGGGTGGCTCGCCGCCGCGGCCACGGGCTGCCCCAAGGAAAAGCGCAACATTGTCGCGGCTGCCATGGTGAGCTCCCGCGCCGAATCGCAGCTTCCGCTCGACGCGCGCACGGAACATATATGCATCCACGCGGAGAGCCGGAAAACGCGATGAACGATAGCTTATACGCGGGTTTCTGGCTCGTTGTTGTCTAAATGGACGACGCACCCACCCACCTTGTGCGTCCCGCCCGCCGCCGCGCCGCAGACGTTCGTCAACATGACCTCGCTTCCGCTCGTGATTATTCGCGAGCTCGCATCGGACAAGGAGTCCCCGCTGTACCCAGTCGGGAAAGAACTCGCCACGGCCTACCAGGCTTTTGCAATGGCGGGCGGAGCCTTCGGCCTCTTCTCCCTTGTCTTCTCCCTCCTGACGCCCAAGCACCCGCCGAGAGCCGACGCCGCTGGCGTGCCGCCGGCCGTGGAGCTCGGGGACCTCCCGCGGGGTAGCACGGAGCAGCCCGGCACCACCGTCACCGTCAAGACGTGCAGGCTCCCCGTGGTCTCGTTCGCGGGCGTCGGCGACGCGGAGGGCGCCACCTGCTTCACGGAGGGCGCCACGGCGTGCAAGGAGGGCCCCGCGATCCACGGGCAGCGCGTCAGCGTCCACAACAGCAGCACAAGCACCGTCCCGGGGCGCACCCGGAGCGCCGCGGCGCCGCACGCCGCCGACGACGCCCTGCAGGACCGCTACCGCGCAACGCCGAGCCCGGACGACACCATGGCTGCGATGGAGCCGCCGTCCGCCCCGGAGTCGTCACTCCCCCCCCTGACGCAGGCCGACTCGGGCGTGGCGTCGGACAGCGCTGCCGGGGACGGAGCGGACGCGGTGTGCGAGTGCGGGCGGAGCCGGCGGCGCTCCCGGGCGTCGCTGAAGCTCCGGGAGCTCCAGCGCATGTCGCACACCATCGCGCACCGGTGGTTCGTGGAGCCCGTGAGCAAGGTGCGGTGGCGCGTGCACCTGCAGCCGCCGGCGGTGGCGTGCGCGCTCGGCCTCGCGCTGGGCCTCGCGGTGCCGGTCAAGCGCCTGATGTTCGAGGACGACCCCGACGAAGAGCCGCCGCTGGCGTTCCTCGCAAGCACGCTGCGGGTCCTGGGCGGCGCGGCGGTGCCGTCGCTCATGGTCGTGCTTGGGTCGAACCTGCAGCGCGGGCCGCCGAAGACGACGGGCCTGCCCACGCGCACAAGTACGCCCACCGTGCCCCTCCTGCTGCCCTCACTTGCAACAACACCTCCGTCGTGTTTGCCGCGCTCGCTGACGCCGTGGGACGCCGTGGGACGCTCGACGATCACGTCATTTTCCGCGCGACATTCCTCGCAGTTGTGGGAATGGTGGCCGTGAAGATGCTCGTGCTGCCCGCCGTGGGCGTGGCCATCACGTACGGGCTCTCTGAGGCGGGGCTGTTCACGGTGCCGGACCCGGCGTTCTTCGTGGTGATGCTGACGGCGTGGTCGATGCCCACGGCGCCGGCGGGGCAGGCCATCGCCAACGCGACGGGCTACGGCGTGCAGGAAATGGCCCTGCTCCTGTTTTGGCAGTACATGGCGTCCGTCGTGCTGCTGCCGCCGCTCATGGCGCTGTTCCTGTTCCTGGCCGAGCGCGCCACGGAGGAGGGGTGACTCGTGCGGTGGTGGTGGCAGCCCGCCGCTCTCTACGAGGATGATTCAGACATAAATATAATTTTTGTTGTTTTTCTTCCTGTGTCAAGGAGTAGACACCCATGGCCCCGCAGCACCTCTAGGGTGGGTGCGCTCGCAGTCAAGGACTGTCGCTGAAGGAGTCCCGCGCTCTGACCTGTACATATGCGACACCGAAGGCTGCCCGCGGGTTGCGGGATCTTGAATGGGTCTGTGACAAGCCCATGACATCCTCGAGCAGCGTGAGCAGGACCCTGAGTCCCCCAGACGGCTCATTCGGTGTCAAAATACCAAGCAATGCTTGTTCTGTTCACATCTCGCGCACTGATTGGTGGTGGCGCACTGTTGATCTCGAGATCGGCGCCCGTGCTTATTGGGCTGACGCCCCTACTCGCGTGCGGTTTTCGTCCTTGCTCCATCCTCCGGCCAGCGAGGAGAGGCGGCCGAAGGCCTTCGTCTACAAATGGCACAAACTATCATGTTATTGTACCTTAAAACGTGAATTACTGCTGCTTCGGGGCCCGCGGGAGCCTGGACGGCCCCGCCGCCTTCGCGACGTTCGCCACCTGCCCCGTCGGCAGCCGCGAACGCAGCGCCCCACCCCGCCACAGCCCCCCCTTGGCACCAGAACCCCCCCCCCTGTCCTTCGGCACGACCGACGGCCCCGCGGGAGCCGACCCCGAGTTCTCCACGTCCTTCCGCGCATCGCGCACCTCTGGACGCACATGACGCTGCTCCGCCGACCGAGCCAGGAGCTTCCCGAGTTCGCCCGTTGCCTTGGGCGATCGCGGGAGGTCCCGCACCCGCCTCGGCGACGCACGCACGGGGGACTTCTGCGGCGTCGGATGGCGCGGTTGTTCCACGACGACGCGCGGCCGGGACGCCGCCTGTCTGACTGGCGCAGCAGAAGTAGAAGTAGCAGCTGGCTGTGTGTCTGACGCAGCGTGCAGGAGGGCAAGAGCGCCGCGCACGGCCGTGAGCTGCCGGCGCGCGGCCTCGGCGGCGTCGGAGGCGGCGCGGAGCTCCTCGGCAGCGTCGTCGGCGAGCGCTCCGCGGTACGCGTCCGCGCTGGAGGCCTGCGCTGACAGCACCCGCGTCAACCACGTCAGGCTCGACGTCACGCCCGGGACGGCCGCGACGGCGCGCGCGCGGTCGGAGTCTTCCGCGAGGCGGTGGATCAGCGCCGCAGCACCGTTGAATGCCGCCTCGTCGTCCCGGAACAGTTGCATGGCCTCCATGGCGACGTCGACCCCCCCGGGGGTGTCCAGGATGGCGCGGGCCGGCCCCGGGCGCCGCGCGAGCCCAAGCAGGCACGCAAACGCGAGCTTCAGGACGCGCACGTGCGGACCGGAGCCGCGGCGCAGACACCTCCGCGCTGCGCGAACTATGTCGGGGACGCCGTTGGCAGCCACCACTGCGGCGCAGGACACGTCGTTGTGGAGGCAGCTGGTGGCGAGCGCCTGGCCGGCGGCCTGCGCGGCCGCGTCGTCGTCGCCCCCGAGCGCCCCGATCAGCTCCGGCACGCCCGGCGCGCCGCAGGCACCGTCTGCGGAGGCCCCAGGCGCTGCGGTGGCTTCGTGCGCGACGGAGGCGCTCTGCTTTCTCGCCGACGCGCCCACGTTCCGCGGCACTTCCACGCTGGGAGGCGCGGCCGCCCCGCTCGCGTCCTGCTCGACAGGAGCTTCCGCAGGTGCTCCCGTGTCATGACGAGCGTCGCGGCTCGCGCCGAGATGAGCATCGGGCTGCTGCGCGGTCGGCTCGTCCGGCGCGGCGGCCGGTCCAGCCGCAGGCGCTTCCACGGCAGCGTCCATGCGCGGCTCCTCTTCCACGGGCGAGGAGGGGAGTGGGAGGGGGAGTCCAGCGGCAGCGGCAATGGCCGTGACCTCGCTCGCGGCCTCCTCCTGCTCCTCGACGCTCGACACCGCTCCGTCCGACACGCGCACTTCCACGGGGCTGCCCACGAAGGCCTCGCCGAGACAAGGGGCTGGCGACGGGCCACCAAGCACCGACAACGGCGCCGCGTCCTGCGCCGCCGGCGTGCCCTCGCGCAAGCGCGGCGACGGCAGCCGCGAGGGAGGGGTCGCCGCGATGACGTCCTCCGCATCGCCGCAGTCCGACTGACAGAGGACAACCCCGGGGGTGTCAAGTTCTGCCATTTCAGACGCGTGGCGCCGTTCCGGCGTCGCAGCCGCCATCGCGGTGCCCGACGCTTCCTGCGACACGACGACGGAGGCGATCGGCGCTCCGTCGCGCCCCGCAGACGAGTCATCCCCGGCGCCGCTGTCAGACCCGTAAGCTTCCGCGCAGGGGGGGGTCTCAGGGACGCTGAGCTGGGTCGCTTCGAGCAGGTGAGGGGTCGCTGCCGGCCACGCAGGGCCTGGCGTCGCCTCGATCGCGCCGGGAGTGTCGCAGATGGCGGGCGGGGTTGCGCCGATGTTGTCTCCCCGGGGCTGCGGCCGCGGCGTGGAGCGCGTGTGGAGCGCGAGCGCCGCCTCAAGCTCCCTGAGCTCTGCGACCGCACGGCGCGCCGACCAGCCGCGCACGTGGGCCTGGATCAGCGTCGCTGCTTGCATGACACGCGCAGCGCGGGCTTCGTCCCTCATTGCCGCGGCGGCGCGGCGCGCGAGCCACCCGCGCGCATGCGCCTGGATCGTCACGACGGCGCGCATCTCGGCGAGGATCCGCTCGGCCTCGCGCTTCCGCGCCTGCGCGTGCAGCACCGATGCCACGACCGCCCGCGCGTGCGCGACGCGCGACGCGCGCTGCTCCGCGGCGACACGCCGCCCCAGCCACCCGCGCACGTGGCGCTGGATGGCGACCGCCGCCTGTTCGCGCCGCACGCCGGCACGCGTCGCGGCGAATGCCCGCCGCACCAACCAGCCCTTGGCGTGTCTCTGGATGACGAGTGCCGCCGCCTCCTGACGCCGACGGAGGCACAGAGCCTCACGCGCCCGCCACCGCGCCATCCAGCCGCGTGCGTGCGCCTGGAGCACCACCGCTGCGCGCGTGCGCGCCGCCTCGGCTCCCAGGGCCCTGCGCACCGCCATGCCGCGCACGTACGCCTGGATCGTGACCGCCGCGGCCTTCCGCTGCGCAGCAGCGACAGCGGCGCGCTCCTCTCGTATCTGCGCCGCAGCGCGGCGCGCCACGCGGCCCCTGTAGTGCGCCTGAATCACGACGGCCGCCCGCGCCACCTCTGCCGTCCTGTCACGTGTGGCGCGGGCATCGCGCAGCGTGCGCGCGAACGCGCGCCGCGCCACGCGGCTCCTGTAGTGCGCCTGAATCACGACGGCCGCCCGCGCCATCTCTGCCGTCCTGTCACGTGTGGCGCGGGCATCGCGCAGCGTGCGCGCGAACGCGCGCCGCGCCACGCGGCTCCTGTAGTGCGCCTGAATCACGACGGCCGCCCGCGCCATCTCTGCCGTCCTGTCACGTGTGGCGCGGGCATCGCGCAGCGTGCGCGCGAACGCGCGCCGTGCGAGGCGTCCGCGGACGTGGGCCTGCAGCACTGTCGCGGCCGCGTGCCTCGCGCGCTCCGTGGCGGCCGCGTCGCGACCGTACAAGTGCTCCTGCATCATCACCGCAGCCCTCTCCAGCGCAGCGTCGCCGTCCTCCGGGGCCCAGTCCGACAGATCGTCGTCCGCGACCGAAGAGGACTCCGACTCCGACGCACGCGCCACCGCGTCGGTCCCGTCCGCGCGCTGCAAGTCACGATTGCGCAAAAGCGTGCGCCGCGCCAGCCACCCGCGCACGTGCGCCTGGAGCGTCACCACGGCCCGCACCGCGCCCTCCTGCTCGCGCACCGCGCACAGCAGCCGGCGCAGCTCCGCGACGTCCCGCCTGGCGGCGAAGCCGCGGTAGCGGCTCTGGATCACCGTCGCCGCCGCGACGGCACGCCGCTGAGCCGCCGCCGCCGGCGAGCGCGGCGCGGAGTGCTCAACATCCGCGCAGCCCGCCTCGCGGGCTGCCAGCTCCGCCGCAAGGCCGTCCATGAGCGTGTTCCTCTCCCAGTGCGCCATCCGACTGGACTTGCGCCCCGATGCCACCTCATACAACGTCAACCGCAGCCAGTAGTCCACGAGCGCGAACGCCTCTGTGACGCTGTACCCAGCCGGCAGCGCGTCCTTGTCGCCGAGCAGGCGCCGGATCTCCTCCGTCGTCAGCTGCGCACGGAACGACGCAACGACGGCGCGCGCGACGTTCTCCTCGTGAGTCTCCCATCGCGCAGCGACCGACATCGTGTCTGCAACCTCCGGGCCGACAGTGCGCTGGAGCGCCCGGATCGCCGCCGTGAGCTCGCCGCGCGCCGCCTTGACGCGCGCGCAGGCCGATGCACCGAAGCGCAGGTGTCTGCACGCGTCCGATTCCTCGATCAGCGCCCTGTTGGCGGCGTCGAGGCAGCCGTGGTACCGCGCCATCGCCCTCCGCAGCAGCCGGCCCCGCACCCACGCCTGGATCCTCGCCGCTGCGCCCTCCCGCGCCGCCAGCGTTGCAGCGTACGTCCGCCGCGCCAGCCACCCGCGCACGTGCGCCTGGATCGCCACCACGGCCCGCACCGCGCCCTCCTGCGCCTGAACCGCGTGCAAGAGGCTGCGCAGCTCCGCGACGTCCCGCCTGACGGCGAAGCCGCGGTAGTGGCCCTGGATCGTCGTCGCGGCAGACTCGCGCAGCTGTTGCTGGCGCTCCGCCTCGGCCGCCGATGCCCGCTCGGCGAGGTAGCGGCGCACGAGCCACCCGCGCACCCACGCCTGGATCCTCGCCGCAGCGCCCTCCCGCGCCGCCAGCGTTGCAGCGTACGTCCGCCGCGCCAGCCACCCGCGCACGTGCGCCTGGATCGCCACCAGTGCCCGCCTTGCGTCCGCCTGCTCACGCGCCGCGCACCGCAGCCGGCGCAGCTCCGCGACGTCCCGCCTGGCAGCGAAGCCGCGGTAGTGGCTCTGGATCACCGTCGCGGCAGTCTCACGCAGATCTTGTGCAGCCTCGTCGCTGACGGCCGCTTCGTGGCTCCGTTGCAGGTGGAGCACCTCTGCGAGGCAGCGGCGCACCAGCCACCCGCGCGCCTGTGCCTGGATGCGCACCGCAGCACGCTCGCGACGCGCACGCAGCGCACGCGCTGCCCGCCGCGCCAGCCAACCCCGCAGGTGCGCTTGCAGAATGATCGCTGCAGCAACGCGCCGCCTCTCCGCCACCGCCTGCGCGTTCACGGCGCCGGCAAGCTCCTCGTCCACGTGCGGACATTCATCGCCGCGTGTGTCGTCCGTGGGCGCGCTCGGAGCGGCAGGAGTCGCGACCGAGGGGGTGTAAGTCGTCCGCCCTGAGTCAGAAGCTCCTGACCGACGGTGCGCCCACGCGCGGACGTGGGCCTGGATGATCGTCGCCGCGGCAGCCCGCAGCTCGTGCTCGACGTCGCGCTGCACACTCTCGACCTCCTCGTCGAGGAGCTCCCTGACGGCAACTGACGTGGCACCTGACACCAGTGACACCTCCGCCTCGGTCCGCGCAGACGCCGCAGGCGCCGGCGCGACCTCGGCCTGCGCGTCCCTAGCACTGTCCGGCTCCGCGGCCGCGGGCTCAGCCCCCGGCGGCGATGCCGCGGTGTCGGGCGACGAAACAGACCCCCCGGGGGTGTGTTGCGACTCGTGCGACGAGAACGTCACGGGCGACGTGAGCTCCGCCGCGAGCGGGCTCGCTGCGACGGACCCGAGCTCCCGCCGCAGACTCTCGATCTCCTCCTCAAGCAGACGGCCAACCACGACTGACGTTCCACCCGATGGTTCCGGCGTCGCGGCCGCGGCGCCCGCGGGACTCGCCGAATCGCGAGCCCATATGGCCGCAGCGGCCTTGCCGGAGCCGACGCGGGGCGACGCGGCCTCCGCGAAGCTCAAACGCTCCAGGCGCAGGACGCTGGGTTCTGTGTTGCCGTCGCCCGAAGAACTGCGTCGCGGTCCGCTGACGTCGCACCGGGGCGACGACGCCGCGCTGTCGCGCCACGCGCGCTCGACGTCGTCCGAGAGCAGTTCGCGCTCCAGCGGCGACGTGACCGCGCCGCGGGGCGACGCCGGTGCTGCTGCCTCGCGCACAGGCGTCGACAGCGGCCCGGCCGCGACGACGGGCGAGCTTTCCGCGTGCACTGGAGCGACGGGGCCGCGCACCGCGATCTGCGCGACGACGCCCTCCTCGACAACCTCGCACGGGCTCGCCCGCACAACATCCAGGTTGAGCGACAGAGCCTGCAGCGCAGCGCCTCCGCCCGACTGCGTCACGCTGCGTGGCGTCGCGCCCGCAGCCTCGTTCTCCTGCGCAAGCGGCGTGGCGTTCGTTGCCGCCGGGCGGTCCTCCACGCACGGTGTTGCCGGGAACGCAGGCATTGGGAGCACCGGAGAGTCGGACGCGTCGGTCTGCGCCGGCCCGGCCAGCGACGGAGCGATCATTGCAGTGGCGACTTGTCCGACGACGCTCCGCCACGGCGGCGACGGCGCGTTCGCCGCTGGAGCCTCCTGCGCGCCCGCGGTAGCGCTGACGGCGCGGTGCGCCGCTGAAGGGGCGTGCTCGACGGCGGGCGCGCCGGCTCCCGTCAGCTGCGCGCAAGGTCCTCCGGGAAGCGAGTTGGCGTCTGCTGAAGCCCGGATCGGCTCCTCGTGCGTTGTGTTTGAAATACCCTCCATGTGATCGAAGTGACGCGGAGGAGTCAGGCGTCCGTCCTCGGACGTCACCGACGCGAGCGACATGTCGTCGTCCGCGCTCTCGTATCCGGCCGCCGCGCGATCAACCTCGCGCCCAGCGTCACCAGCAGGAGGCACCTGCCCTGTCGGCAGTGTGCCGAAGCTCACGCCCTCCTCCCCGGCGCGGCCTGGCGCCGGCCGAGTGATCGCATCACCGTCGCCCCCCGCAGCCTGCCCCGGAGAGTCGCTGGGGGCCTCCTGTATCGCTGTCAGGGAGATGTCAGACGCGAAGCTCATATCGACCACGTCGTCGTTCGTCATCTCCGCGCCCACGACGCTCACGACCGGCGACACCGCGACCGCCACGCGATCCCTGCGCCCCGCTTCGTGGAAGCAGCCCTCCTCGACAACGACGCCTGGCTCTGCGAAGCCGACGTGGCTCGCCGCAGCCCGCGCGGCAGCAGCAGCACGCGCCCTGCGCACCACGGCCACCGCACGCCGCACGAGCCACCCGCGCACGTGCGCCTGGATCGTTCCCGCCGCGGCTCTCGCCCTCGCGAACCGCTGCCGCGCCGCATGCATCCGCCACGTGGCCTGCACCACGACCGCCGCACACTCCGCCTCCGCATCGCGCCCGACGGCGCCCCAGCGGTGCGCACGCCACGCCGCCTGGATCGTCCGAGCCGCCGCGTGCCGCCGCACCAGCTCCCGACGCGCAGCGTGCCCTCGGTACGCCGCCTGGATGCTCGACGCAGCTGCGTCGCGCACCAGCGTCGCTTCGCGCTGCGCGCGCCACGCCCGCTGCACAGCGACCGCCGCCCGCGTGCGCCGCGAGTCCTCGATCCACCGCCGCAGCGACGCGAGCGCGGCGCGGCCCCGCGCGAAGCGCCTGCGCGCCAGCACCGCCCGCGCCCGCCTGCAAACGGACCACGTGCGGCAGCGCGCGGCGCTCCCACACGACCTGCGCGCGCGCGCGCCACGCCGCCGCGCCACGGTCGAGCAGCGGCGCGAACACGGCGGCCCCGCGGTACCTCCGCCGCGCCAGCACGCCCCGTGCCGCCGCCTGCAACCTCACCACTCCCGCCAGCACTCTCGCGGCCTCCGCCCGCGCAATGCGGCCGCGAACGATCGCCTGCATCCGCACGATGCCGCGCTCGACCGCGGCGGGCCGCCCGCGCGCCGCAGCGAGACGTTTGCGCAGCAGGAACGCTCGCCATCCGCGCTGGATGGTGCCTGCCGCCCGCTGCATGGCCGCGCGCTGCGCGCCGGCGACGCGAGAGGGCGCGGCGAGAAAGCGGTGGACGCGCCACGCGTGCTGGATGCGCGCGGCGGCGCGGTGCGGCGCGGTCTCGGGCAGGAGCCGCGGAGCGAGGTGGCATAGAAGCATGCCGACCGCGCCCGGGTGCGGGCCGTGGGTGAGGAGGTCTTGGCCGGAGAGCGTCATCGGGACGCCGCCGAGGCGCCGGAGCGCGGTCTCGACGGCGGCGAAGTTGCGCCGGACGCCGGCGGCGAGGTCGCGCGCAAGGCGGTCGACGACCGCGCCCTGCGCCTCGAACACCTCCCCCCACGTCAGGAGAGACCCCCCCCCGAGCTCCGCGGCAGCCGCGGCCTGGTGGGCGCGGCGCCGGAGCGCCGCGAGGCCCAGCTCGTCGGACGCGGCCCCGGGCAGCGCGCAGGGCGCGTCAGACACTGCGTTGGTGTCGTCGCCGTTTGACACGCCCAGGGCGGCGCGCACCTCCGCCCTGGTCGGCGGGGGCGGGCGGAAGATCGCGGAGGCCGGCAGGAGGTCCGGGCGGTAGTGGTGGACGAGCACGCAGAGCGCCTGGCCGTCCGCGAACGACCACGAGAGGTTGCGCACCGCCACGCCGTAGCCCGCGCACGTCACGGCGGCCCAGCGCTGCACCCAGCCCATGGGCGGCTCGTGCGGGTGCGGCGACCGCGCGAGCTCGAGCCCCAGCGCCTGCACGCCCGGCCGGTGCCGCGCGGACAGCACGGACACCTCCCGGCTCACGGCGGGAGTGTCGAGCAGCGACGGCGCGTCGAACGTGGCGAACGCGCGCCACAGCAGGCCCAGCGTACGCTCCCTGCGCAGCACACGAAACGCCACCACAAAGGACCTCATCGTGCGCGCCATATCAAACCATATCATATCATCGCGCGGATTCTTTTACTATGCTTTCAATAGTCTTTTCGTTCGCACAGATGCCAGGCGCGTGCGGCGGGCGCTCCCACCTGTTCCCGTCGACCACGTCCTGCGCCTTCGCGTCCACGGGGCCCGCGGACGTCGCGATGCCCCGCAGCGACAGCCCTGCGCTCTCCAGCGCCGCCAGCGCCAGACCGACGTTGTGCTCCTTCGCCCCCCGCGACCGCGCGTTGAGCCGCGCGTGGCCGAGGATCGCGCCCGGCGCCGCGCCGGCCAGGACCTCGGCGAGGCGGCAGAGCCGCAGGCCGTCGCGCATGTCGGCGCCGAGGTCGGCAACGGTCAGGTCTGTCATGAGGTGGGGGGACTGCTGGTGCCGGAGCGCGCAGCCCATGAGGTGGAGCTCGCGCGCGAGGTCGCCGCCGGCCTTCAGGCTGCCGTTCACGACCCGCGCGAGCACCTCGCGGGACGACGCGACGCCGCTGTGCGGGAGGAAGAGCGGCGGTGCGCCGCTCACCGTCGGACCTGCGGGAATTCCACCACGAAACAATATCCGTGAGTTTTTCCCTTTTTTTTTTCGTTTTTCGATCGAGTCGAGCGGTTCGTTCGTTTTCGAACGCCCGAGGCAGGCGGCGGCGTTCGCGGCGGGCGCGCACCGTCCCCCGCGCCCGCGACCGCGCGGTCCAGCGCGACGACCATCTGAATCGTCCGCAGCAGCGCCGCGCGCCCCTGCGCCGCGCCGTACTCCCCCGCGTCCGCGCTCAGAGGGTTGGCAAACTCCCCCCGCAGCCCGCCGCCGTCGCCGAGCACCGCGGCGCCCACGAGCGCGCGCACCTCCCGCGCGCCCGCGTCCGCGCCGAGCACCGCCGCCGCCGACCGCGACGCCACCACCTCCGCGGCCGCCCGCAGCCACAACGGGTGGTAGCTTGAAAGCGCATCAAATGCGCGCTCCCGCGCGCCCACGTCCCGCACGAACGTCCGCGCCGCGTCCAGGGCAATACGGCCGTCGTCGATCGCGCGGGCGACGCGTCCGAGGCCGTCCGCGGTCGCAACGTCGCCGGAGAGCGCCCACCACAGTCGGGCGCGCAGCGCCACGAGCAGGCCTGGGCGGGGGGGTGCCGCGGCGGCGTCGGGGCCCGGGGCGAGGACGGTGCGGAGCCAGGAGGTGAGGGAGCGCTCGAGCTTGTCGAGCCACGCCTGCGTGTGGTCGCGGGAGAGCCCGGTGTGCAGCCGGCGTCGTTTGCCTGCTGGAGCGGCGTCCGCGCCCGCGCCCGCGGCGCTCGCGGGCCGCTGGAGCTTCAGGCGCCGCGGCGGCGCCGTCGCGGCGGGCCTCGCGTCCGGAGCGGCGCCTGCGAGTGCGGGGGAGCGAGGTGTATGCTGCTCAGAGCATTGTTGCGGCCAGCGCGTGCGCGTTCCCGGGCGTGCGGCCTCGTGCGTCCGCGCAGGGGGGAGTTTCTTGCACGGAAAACTCACTTGCGGCAGCTCGTCCGCGCAGCTCGACCTGTACGCGCCGGGCCCGCGCGGCGCCCCAAACGAGCGCGAGTGCCTCGGCGACAGTTCCGGCCTGCGAGGGCGTCCACGCCACCTGGAACCGAACCGTTGCCCCCGCCGGCACCTCTACCCCCTCGGCTCCGTTCCCGTCGGCAGGGACGGCGTCGTCCGCGCCCCAAGCGGCCGCCCAGTCGCCCGATGGGATTTCAACAGCGACGTACTGCGCTCCCGAGGTGGCGTTGCGGACCTGGAGGTCCCGGACGCGCGTCTGTCCGACGCGGGGGGTCCCGAAGGAGAGCGCGGCCGCGGGGCCGGGGTCGCCCGCGTCGTACGAGAGCACGAGGAGGGCCGGGGACCCAGCTTGTTGCCTGGGGGCTCGAGACAGGGCCGGGAGCGCGGGGCCCGCCGCCTCGCTGGCAGCCAGACTGAAGAAGAGGCCCTCGACCTGTCTGGACCTCCGTTTCTTCCGCTGGGACCTCGGCGTGCGGTACTTGCGGCGCGCTCGCGAGCCCGGCGTCGCGTTGGTGAGCGGGGCCAAGCAGCCGCCGCCGGGCGTGCAAGGGGCCGGCTGCTGCTCTCCCTGCCGCATACTGATGTCGGACTTCCCTTCGCCGTGCGAGAATCTGCATAATGTCATGGGTTCGCGCGATAAGAGCATCAGACTTGCCGCCGAGGTGCTGAATCCCCGCTCTGGGCGCCTCCTCGGCGCTCACGGCGCTGCCACCGCCAACAACGCATAGAAATTGCTTGTTTACGTCCGGTAAGACACGTCGGAGTTCGCAAACGGCTTTTTTCGCTACGGAAACACGAACCCCGCAACGACAGCTTGGAGGCCCGCGCCAGCCCTCTCTGCGCAGCCCTCGCAGCGCAGACCGCCGCGCCTGTTCAGTATCGACGTACCTGGTCGGTGCCCGCGCCCGGCGCCACGTTCGCCGGCGCTGTGAGCGCGTTCCGGCGCCTCCACCAAACACCAACGCAAGGTGCGCAACAACGGTACTCTCGCGTCGCGCAACGAGCCGCGCGTGTGGCCCGTAAGGCCAGCTTTGCCGTGGCGCCGCGGCGCGCGAGCCCCCGTGCCCCCTCGCCGCCGCGCGGCTGTCAGACCGGGGCCGGCAGCGCCCGGGGTCGTCATACCCGGGTCCCTGACTCCACAGGCCACAGAAGGGGCTCGAGCTGGCGCGGAGAAGGGCACTCGGATCCTCGGGTCTGCGTTGACGGGTCGGAATCAGCGTGATCGCCGCTGAGCACCCTGGCAGACGTGTGTGTTGGCAAGGCAGTCTGGGCGCGATGCCCGTCACCGTGGGCGCGCCCGCGCTCCACTCGTCCGCCTCACGCTTCTCACAGGTACGGACGAAGCCGTTCAGCCGCATAGCCGCCCTCCATCGCGCGCACCTGAGTCGCACTGCGCAGGTGTCCTCTCCGGCGTCGTCCATCGCGTGCCCGCCGGCGAATCCGCCCACGCGAGCACCGGATAGCGACCCCTGCCTCGTCTTCGATCGATGGTTCGTGATCGCGCAGGGCGCGGCGCCGGTGCGGCACCGTCAGGCCAAGCTGGCAGCGGGTGCAAGGCGGCGACAGCAGCTCGTGCGCAACCTCTTCACCGGCATCGTGCAGGGCACGGCCGAGCTCGTCGACATCAAGGCAAGCGCGCCGCCTACGACGCTGTCTACTCCCGCGCCGCGCCGGTGTAGACATCGTCGCTGTTGGTTTGTGCGCGTGGCGTGCAGGACAGCCCCGGGCTGCGGACGGTGCGCGTCGCGCTTCCGCCCGCGCGCGCGGAAAACGTGCAGATCGGCGCGTCGGTGGCCCTGAACGGCACGTGTCTGACCGTGACGGCGATCGACGGGAACGTGTTGTCGTTCGACATGATCGAGGAGACGCTGCGCCGCACGAACCTCGGGGAGCTGCGGGAGGGCGGCGTGGTGAATTTCGAGCGTTCTGCGCGCGTCGGGGACGAGATCGGGGGCCACAACGTGTCCGGGCACGTCCACACCGTGGCCACGGTCAAGTCCGTCACTGAGACGGAGAACAACCAGCGCTGGGAGTTCGAGGTCGGCGACGCGGCGCGGTGGATGAAGTACATCTTTTCCAAGGGCTTCATCTCCGTGAACGGGTGCTCGCTGACCGTGGGCGAGGTCACGGAGTCGACCTTCTCTGTGTACCTCATTCCCGAGACCCTCCGCGTGACGACGTTCGGGGCCCTCCAGGTGCGCTGGCGCGTCGTTTCGCGAAGATTTTTTATGATTATCTGCACGAAGGCGATCGCTGCGTCGGGCGATCCTTGGCCCGGCCGACGTGGCAGGGCGCATGCTGCTGGCTGCAGGAGGGCGCGCGAGTCAACATCGAGATCGACGCGATGACGCAGTCGGTCGTGGACACCGTCGAGATCGTCGTCAAGCGCACGATGGAGGAGAAGGGCCTGTGAACGACGCCACCGCGTTTTAACACCCCCCCTGACGTCACGCGCATCACGCAGTGCCTGCACCCGTCCACAACAACGCAGTTCGCCTGCGAGCCCCTTCGCTCGACTTCGCGGTCGCTAGGACACCGCAGCGCTGTTCCAGACCCGCTGTGCGTCACGCGTCGTTTCTGCACGCCCGTCAACCTCCACCAGCGTCCTCTTTCAATTACGCCCCCCCCAGACCCCGCCTCGGAACACACCAGCTACGCGCGCCGCGGCACCGCGACCCCCACCAGCGACACCACCACGCAACAGCGCCAGGCCCCCGCGCTCGGCACGGAAACGCGCAACCACGTCACCGCCTCACATCGCGCGCCGCCTAGTACAGCGCGACGTTCGGCCGGTTCGTCTTGAAGACGGTCTTGTGGACCTTGCTCGACGGCCGCGTCACCTTGCGCGTCACGGGGAAGCTGTCGTTCTCCAGAATCTGCTTGATGTGCGGCGCGTGCTTGCAGCGCGCGGGCACCACCGCCGTCCGGATGATGTGCAGCGCGGACGCGCGCACGCGGTGCCGCGAGGCCATCTCCATGTAGAGCTGCTCGACCGCGCCGTTGAGCGTAGTGTTGCGGAACTCCTTGTACATGTTGTGCGTCCCCGTGCGCGACTCGTAGCGCACCCAGATGCCGTAGTTCTTGATCTCCGTCGGGTTCTTCTCGAAGATCTCGTTGCACGCGATGACCTGGCCGTTGGACTTCTTCACCCGGCAGAGCTTCGAGAGGTAGTACCAGAACTTGGACCGCGCGCGCACCGCGTCCGTCGCCCACACCTGCGCGGGACCGCGGCGCGCGGGCGCGTTGAGGGGCGGGCGTGCCGGGACGCGGCGGCGGCGCGGCCGCGGGGCCCGGCGAGGCGGGGCGGCGCGGGAAGGCGCGCGCGGCGGTGGCCGCCGGGGGTTTCGTTGCGCTGTGGGCGCGGCTCGCGCCGCTGGCGCGCTGTGATGGTTGGCGGGGGACGCGTGGTGCGGGCGGGGGGCGGCGCGAGCGGGTTCGGGGGCGGGGGGCGTCGGGGGCGCACCTTCATGCGGTAAATGGTGGGGTTGGGCTCCTTCTCGGTGGGCACGTGGCGGCCCACGATCTGGTACTGGTGGAACTTGAAGTTGCCGAACATCCTGCCCCCCGCTATCCTGCGGCGGGCGGTCACGGGGCGTGGGCAGGCGTCAGCGGCGCGGTTTGATGCGGTGCGTGCAGTGATGGGGCCCTGGGGGCGCGGTCCGGGCGAGAGGGGCGGCCCGCGGCGACGGGCGGACGCTCTGGCGAACAGGCGTGCCCGTGGGCGCGTTGGAGCGGCGCGGAGAGCGCGCGCGGTGCGGAGGTGGGGGAAAGAGGCGCTGGGACGCAGAAAGCGAGGTGCGGGGTCGCGCTGGGCAGCCGCGTCGCCGAGGAATTCGCGCAAGATGCCGAAACGCGTATGGTTGTGCCGCTGTGGCGCCGGTGCCGATAGCGACGGGTGCGCATAGGCGCCCAGCAGCGGCTTGGCCGGCATGACCGGTCGCGAGGGCCGGCCGCGGACCGCCCCTGCCGGCCCCGCGTCGCGCTCCTCAGCGAGATTCCGAGCGACGGGCACGCGGCGTCCGCAGCCAGGGGCCCCGCCGCGACGAGCCAGCGCACGACCGTGGTCGGCCCCGCACGGCTCGCCCGGGGCGCCTGGAAAGGCACGCGACAGCGGCGGCCTTCCGGCAACAGAGAGCGTGAGCGCGGCGAGCGGAGAAACGTCCGCTGCGCGCGCGGGTGCAGCCACGGCGCGGTCCTCGACGGCTGGGAAGAACAAGGCGGGCCTCAGCGCCAGCGGGGGCGGCGCGCACTCACCGTACAGAACCAACTGGCTGCTCCGAAAGGACGGAGAGCGGGCGCGCGCAAAAGCAATGACCAGCCGTCGCGCCCGGCGCTCGCGCGTTTGTCCTCCCCCCCCCCGGCCCGACCGCGGCAGCCGCTCCGTCACTTTGAAGGGCCGCCGCGGTCGCGCGCCGGTCCATCGAATTTCACTCGAGCGGCACCGCGGTCGGAAGAGGTGCACTGGATCGGGACCGCGGCGCACGGCCACCCGGAGCTGCTTCGCTGCTCTCTGCGCGCCCTGGTGAGACGCCCGCGATGAATGTGATCGCCCAGCACGGCCCGCTCGACGACGCAGCGTCCAGCCATGCGAACGCACTCCGGGCGCCGCGGCGATCCCGTCCCAGCCGGCGCGTTCCGCCTCCCTCCGTCGCCGTGCATCACTTCCTCCCGCCGCCCACGCCCGGCCTTGCAGGCGAACGCCCTTCGTCCGCGGCGCGCGGACGTAGCTCGGGATGGTCCAGCCGTGGTGGGCCCTGGCGGGGCTCCCGCTGGTCTTCATTGGCAGAGGCAGGGGCAGGGGAGGCGACAAGGCAGCAGACCGGGCGAACGACAACGGACCACCGACGCTGGTGAGCAGCAAGGAGGACGGGGGCGAAGCGAACTTCGTGTGCGAGCGCGTGTGCACGTCGAACAGGTCAGAACCCCCCCCATTCCTGTCAAAACGAGTCACGACTGCATACCTCCTCAACTGCGATCCCCGCCGCACCCCGCGCCGCGGCGCACGCGGCGCGCCCCGCGCCGCAACGCCCTGAGCATGCCGGACCGCCCAGCCCGGGCCGCGCGGCCGCACCGCGCGCGTCACGGCAACAGCACGCACGGACTCGCGCCGCGTCGCTTCCGCCGCTGCAGGCTGCTGAAGAAGCTGGGGGGGCTGGCGAAGGACCCGACGCCGAACACGTGCGTGACGGTGTGCGGGGTGTCGGCGACGGACTCGTGCACGGAGGCGTGCCAGCGCGCGGTGTGCACAGGCGCGCATCACGTGCCACAATGGAACGACCTGTGCTTGCGACGGTGCCAGGACCAGTGCCTCAAGGGCCGCACGAGCGGCGTGTGATGCCGGACCCGTGCGGGGCGCGTGCGACTCGGGGTGCAGCGGGGGCGAGCGCTTGGCGGCTTGCGTAGGTGTGTTGTTTGGTTTGATGGCGCGGGGCTCGTAGGCAGGTTGGACGCCGGCGGCGGCGACACGAGAGCTCTGTGTGCGGCGCGCTCGCGCTCTGCGCGCGCCCGGTCCGTTGCCTGCGCCGCCAGCGAAGCAGTGGCAACGCGAGTAGCCATTTGCCGTGGCTTAGCGGGTCGGGCGCCGCCGACGTCGCGGCGGCAGCGCGATCTCTGGTGAGGTTGGTCACAGCATCAATATACACACACACGGACGACGCCAGCCGCGGTGCCCAACGCCGGGCGCGCGCCGCAGGCAATCCCGACGACACGCAGCCCTCACCACGGCTGCCCCGTGCCGCGCTCGAGCGAGTGCAGCGCGCAGCCGCCCTCCCAGGGCGCGCCCGTCGCGAGCAGCAGGCGGTACGGGTGGAACGCGAGGCAGCTCCGCGGGGCCTCGGGCAGCGGCGGCACTCCCCCCCAGGTGTTGCGCCGCAGCGTCCCCACGGGCTCGCCGTCGATCGTCCAGACCTTCACGATCTTCGCGGTGCTCGCCGTCGCGATCAGCGGCGCGTTCTCGTGCGCCGTGAGCGCGCTGATCAGCCCCTTGTTGTGCGCCGTCACCGACCGCATCACCGGCGCCGACTTCCCCTGGTCGCCCTCCCCCGCGAGCCGCAGGTCCAGGATCTTGAACACGCGGTGCGGCGTGGCCAGCAGCAGCCGGTTCGTGAACCCCGCGGGCTCGTACTGGATGCCCGTGACCGGGCCGGTGGTGAAGGGCGCTGACGCAACCTCCGGCTTCCGGTGCGACGTGCGGAGGTCGAACACGCGCACGCTGCCGTCCGCGCAGCCGCAGAGGACCAGCGGCTGCCCGCGCGCGGCCTCGACCGCCGTCACCTGCAGGGGGGAGTCTCCGGACATCACCGGGACTTGCGCCGCGCACAGCTCCGACGTGGCGTCCCAGATGTGTACGACGTGCGGGGCGTCGCCGCCCGCGGCGAAGAGGCTCCCGGAGTCGTTGTCCCACTTGAAGCACGCGCGCGAGACCACCACGCCGAGGCCGCTGGGCAGCGGGACCGCCTGCCACGCTGCGGCGAGCTGCTGGTCGCCCTTGTCGCTCGCGTGGCGCCAGATGCGCACGGCGCCGTCGCCGGACCCGATGCCGAGGAGCGGCTCGTCCATGGCGTTGATCAGGAAGGGCTGCGGGTCCGTCCCGCTCGCCACCTGCACCATCAGTACACACAGAGGGAACAAACCATCAGTCGAATGTTGCTGTTTGCCAAGGGAACGGCACAAAATATAAAACTCGTCATCATGGGTCTCGTTCTCCGTCGGACGCGACGCGCGTCGCACGCGACGGCGTCCCGCGCAGACCAGGCCGGGGGCTCGCGCAACCATTCCGCAAGCAGCAAGCCTACGCACAACACCATCCTGTCGTCCAGGCGCAGGGCTCCTCACCGGCACCGACGGGCTCCTCCCGGGCACACACCCCGTCGCGACGTCGAACACGTTGTGCACCTGCTGCGAGCGGTAATCGTAGCACACCGCCTTGCCCTGCGCGCCCACCGCAAACACATTGGTGCTGAACGGCTGGAACACCGCCGCGAGGCACGGCTCGCCCTGCATGTCCATCACGATCGGCTGGTCCGACAGCCGGCACCGCGTCGCGTTCTGCCGGCACCGCGTCACCGCGACCTCCATCTCGTACGCGTGCCGTTGCTGGACCAGCGGGTCCGGCACCGTCGCCCAGCCCTTCCGCCGCTTCGCCTCCCCGATCGCCAGCCCCGCGCCCGACGCGCCCTGCATGTGGTGCGCCGTCCCGCTGCTCGTACTCGGTTCCAGCAACGGCCGACTGAAGTGCTCCGTCTCGACCGCGAACACGCGGCTCGACGGGAGGTGCGGCGGCCGCGGAACGCCGGCTTCCGCCGCGGAGCCGTTCGAGGGGCCCTCGCCGTACGCGGACCGGCGCGCCTCGGGGGGCCCGCTCGCGCCCGCGCGGCGCAGCTCATACTGCGCGCGCCCGTACAGCGACGGCGAGGCCACGCGCTGCGGCGGCGACACGGACGCGTGCATCGAGGACGCCGAGCTCCCGAGGATGCTCCACTGCTGCAGGTTCTGCGCGCCCATCGGCATGCTGCGCGTGGAGGCCGGCCCGGCGGCCGCGCCCGTCGGTCCGGAGCTCTGCTCGCGCACTAGGGGCGAGGGCTTCGCCGCGGCGCCGCCGACGACGGAGAGATCGAACCCGAGGGCCATGAGCGCCGGCCGCGCCGCCGCCGCGACCATGCTGCTCGGATCCGTAGATAGAAGCAGCAGCGCCTCAACAAGATTGTCGTACAAGACATCCGACCTCGCGACATGGGGCAAATTGGCCTGGGCGTCCCCGGCGGCCGGCGTCGCGGCGGGAGAGGTCCCCGTCGACGACGGCGGGCTCGAGCTCGCGAGCGGCTGCAGGCTGGACTGGCCGACGCTCTGAATGCGCAGGCGGTCGTTGCCGCTGCCGCTGACCGTGGGCGCGCCGCGGTCCTGCCGGCCGGACCCGTCGCCGACGACGACGCTCGGCGACACCTGCGTGCCGCGCTGCCGCCGCATGAAGGCCTCCGCGGACGCCTGGAAGCGCAGGCGGTGTCCGTCCGCAATGCGCGCGACAGCGATGGCCACCTCGCACCGCACGAGCGCGCTGCTGTCGTACACGCAGTCCCGCATGAGCGACGCGATCTGGAGCTCCGCGTCCTCGAACGTGACCTCCGGGGCGCCGCTGCCGTCCCCGGGGCGGTGCTTGTCCACGGACGTGCCCTCGCGGCTCGCGCGCTCGACGCCGCCGCCGCCGCCGAGGCTCCCGACGTGCGTCCCCGCGCCGCTGTCGCCCGCGGTGTGCACGAGCGTTCCGAGCGCGAACACCGCGCACGCCCGCACCTCCGGCGCCTGCGCCTGCAACAACGGCATCATCGAGTGGATGATCCCCTCGCCGATCGCCACGGTGGTCACGTTGCGCTGGCCGTCCCAGAGCTTCCCCATCGCGAGGCACACCCACTTGAGCAGGAGCGGGAACCCCGCGGACGCCGCCTGGACCGCGGCGGGGAAGTTGGCGAGCGCTACGCCCAGGAGGTTGGCGCTGGCGCAGAGCTTCTGTCCGCGCGGGTGGTCCTCGCAGATGCGCGCGAGGACGAACGCCGCGAGCGCGCGCGAGTCCGGCCGCGCGGACCCCTCCTGCGTGTCCAGGAACTTGACAAAGTACAAGTGACCGTTGTCCTTGACCAGGTCGACCTGACACGACTTGTCCAGGGCCAGAATCTTCGCCCAGATGAACACGAGGACCTGACGGAGGTCCGACGCCGTCGTCTGCAGCAGCTTGAGCACGTACGGGAAGATGCCCACGCTCAGCGCCAGCTCCACCGCCCACGGGCCCAGGTCGAGGAAGCGCCCCAGGAGCACGAGCGCGCGGAGGCGGTGCGACTGCGACAGCAGGACCTGCAGCACGATCGGCAGCTGCTCGGGCGGCGCCCGGGAGTGCCGGCCGTACTGCAGCCAGCGCTCAAAGGCCACGAGCTGGTCCGTGAAGAAGAAGGACGGGCGGAACTGCGCCGAGGGGTCCTGGAGGAGCTGCGGGAGCTGGCTGAGCGCGGCCTCCGCGGCGAGGTCCCAGGCGTGCCACATGTGGTGCTGGTGCGTGGGCGGCAGCGGCGGGTACGACACCGGGGCGCAGTTGTCCGCGCGCAGGACGCGGTCCGCGAGGAGGAAGTTCCGGAAGAGCGACGCGACGAGGAGGTCCTGCCGGAAGAGCCGCTGGAAGAGCGGGCGCGGGAGCACGTTCCACGCGATGGTGTCGGTGATGGCCGTAAAGATCCAGTTGAGCTCCCCCGCGGGGGTCTTGCGGTCGGTCTGGCGGCCGGGGAGGCGGTCGATGAGGTCCGGGGTGATGTGCGGGTCCTTGAGGAGCGAGCGGGAGGAGAACCACTGCAGCGCGACCTTGATGGGCGTGGTCAAGCACGCGGTAAAAGCGTCCGCGGGGAGGCCCGGGTTCTGCGGGAGCTGCTCGTTCGCCCCGCACGCGGCCAGCAGGATCGATCCCCTGCAGCGGCGGCGCGCACGAGACGCTCCGTCAGCGGGAGCGGAGCCGGCGGGTGCCTGGTCGCTGCGCGAAGCGTCGCAGAGAGAGCAGCAACGACCGTGCAGCGGCGCGGAGCCTGGGATGGGATGCGTTTCGCGGGAGGAGCGCCGCGGTGCGGCGCGGCATCGGTGGGGGTCGCGGCGGGCGTCGTCCGGGGCGCACCTCATCGCCTGCGGCCCCTCGACATGGTCAGGGCCCGGGCGGTACTCCTGTTGCCGCTCCATGGCTTCCTGCTGCATGCGTTCGCGGTACCGCTGCAGCGCGAAGGCCTCGTACGACCGCACGATCTTCCCCGCGGCCGAGCAGTCCACCACGTAGATCGCGGGGGTGTCCAGCCACGACATCAGGTCGTACACCGACAGGGGGATGTATTGCGTGAACGACTTGTTGAACACCCACAGCTCCCCGTTCGCCGTCGGCATCGGCACGCCTGCGCAGCGCACGCACACGCAGCGACACCGTCAGCCCCGCCCGGCCGCGCGAGGCAGACGCTGTCCCCGCAGCGACGACGGGGGCATGCGACGGCCGGGCGAGCGAGCTCGTGGGCGCGCTGGCCGCGCCGATCGCGAGACCGGAGCCGGTAGCTTGATATCGGAGCCCGGGCACGGGGGTGCAGCTGGGGAATCGCTCCCCGAGAGGTAGGGGGGCTGGTAGTGCGACAACACTTTGGGCGGGGCGGGGGCGCACCGTGGCCGTTGTAGTGGAAGAGCACGCGCTCCTGGCGGGCGTTGCGGCGGCAGGAGAGGCAGAGCTTCTTCACTTCGTCAACGGTCGGGTCGAGGCACAGCTTATACTTGGCGCGGGACTGCCACCGCTCGTACTGGCCCTGGAGGGAGCGGCCGATGGCCTCGAGCGCCTTCTGGGGCTGCATGGAGAACGGGTCGGTCCAGCACTCGAGCCTCCCGCACGGAGAGATCTTGATCACGTCGGGGGGGTCGACGCCGATGTTCAGGCAGAGCACCAGCGCGACCGCGGAGGTCTTGAGGCGCTCTTTCTGGCGCCATCGGAGAGCGGCCTGCGGAGGGCGGGCGCGGGACGCGGCGCGGTCGCGCGGGCGCGGCGGAAACGGCGGAAAGTCGCGAAAGGGGTTCTGAGCCAAGGCGCGCTGGTCTGGCGCGCCCGGCGCGAATTCGGCGCGAAACGCCGGAGATTCGGTATGATCCGAACAGCTGCGCTCTCGACGTCGCGAGCGACACCGCGTGCATGGCCTCCTTGATAGGCAGCTCGGTGATTCAGAAACCCCGGTTGCTTCTGCCGCCCGCGCAGAGCGTCACGCGCGGCCCCACTCGAGCATCTCGCCCCGGCGGCAAGCCAACGCGCAATTGAGCCGACCGCGGCCTCGCCGCCGCTTCGGCGGGCCGGCGCGAGCGTCCCTCCCCGGCTTCAGGTGCAGGCCGGCGGCCCACCTCAGGGCAACAGCTGATCGCCCGCGCTGCGCACACGCGGCTCGTTCGCGCGCCCGGCTGCCGCGGATCGCGACGAGCGAGTCCACCGCCGGGCGCACACCCCCGCTCGGACTCCCCCTCTGCGGCGACGCCGGGAGGAGCGGGCCCGGGAGGCGCCAGCTCGCACCTTCCTGTCCTCCTCGCTGTCCTCCTGGAGGCCGGCGTAGTGCCGCTCGTCGCAGAAGAAGAGCGGCTGGAGGGCATCGCTGACTTCGGGGATCAGCGTCGACGCGTTCGCGTGCTCGTTCGCTACGTTCTGTCGCCGCGCTAGCTCCTCAGTGAGTTCGCTCGCGCCCTGCGTGGCCATTGCGCGCCGCGCGCCTCCGGCGTCGAGTTACGAGCGGAGAGCCCACGGCGGGGCCAGCGCCGCGCGCTCGCACGCGACACCGCCCGCACCGCAGGCGACCAGGGCGAGGTTGCTCCTCCGCTCGCGAAGCTCCCGGGGCCCGTCGCACGGCAGCCGCCTAGCTGGCCGACTGAGCGTTGTGCGCGTCTCCCGCCGCGGCCGCCCACCTCGTAGCCCCTGAGCGGGGGCCAGTATTCCACCTTCGAGGTCAGACCAGGCAGGAACGCGGTCACGACGGACTCCAGCGGGCGAGATGTTGCCCGGTGGCGCTGCGGACGCGTCGCTGTCGATCTACGTGACCTCACCCGCTGAAGAAACGCATCGACGAGACGCGTCCCAGGCCGCGCTCCCCATCGTTCACCACTCAGCTCGCGTCCAGCGGCTCGAACCGCCCCGAAGGACGTCTCCGCGAAACCTAGCAGTGCCCCCGGGGTAGGCGCTCGCTCGGACCAGCACGGCGTCGCGCGCGCGCGGCGCCGCGGGCGAGGATGCTCTCGGCAAGCATGGAGGCAGTGCGTGCCCTAGTTGCGCGGTCCGGCGCGACGGGCGCAGGGGCGCGGTGGCTGGAAGTCTTCACGGTGTTCGCGCTCTTCACGGCGCTCGAAGCGCTCATCATCGTCCCGCCGTCCAGCACCGTGCTCAGCCGCGTGTGGCGAAGGCTGTTGCCGGGCGACAGAGCCAAGGACCCGCAGGCGGTTGACCGGGCGGTTCGGGGCGCGGCGCTGCGTTTCACGGGCCTCATACACCACCTCGTCGTGCTCGTCGTGAGCATTGCCGTCCTGAGACAGCCGGGCGGCTGGGCTCTGCCGCTGACCTGGAACTCCAAGCTTTCCGAGGACCTGCTCCTCTTCTCGTCAGGTCCGAGTCAGACAGACCGCGCCCCGCCTCATACTGAACTCCCGGACGCCCAGGCCGGGCGAGCCGCGCATTATATCGCCGCAGCAGGCCGGCAGAAGCCCGCGAGGGCCTGGTCGGAGCGCACCGCCGCTTCGACGCGGCCAGCGCTCGACACCCGGCCTCTCGGCGATCGCCGCGCGCTCCTTGCGACCTGCGACGCAGGGTACTTCATGCACGACCTGTACGTCAGCGCGCGGGAGTGGCTGGCCGGCCACGAGGTGTTCTCTTTTGTCTATCACGGGTTCCTCTGCGGGACGCTCTTCTCGCTCGCGTACGTCCACAGCGTGTGGGAGTTCTACTGCGCCATGTTCCTGCTCTGGGAGTCCTCCACGCCCTTCGTCCAGGTCCGCAACCCCCCCCCGCAAACAAACGCACACGCCGGACTGCTGGCCGCCTCCCGGCACCGCCGCGCGACCGCCCCCCGCCTCGCTCCCCCGCAGGGCAAGTGGTACCTCGACCAGATGGGGATGCGCAACCACGCGATCTACCTCGTCAACGGGCTGTGTCTGATCGGGGTGTTTTTCGCCTGCCGCATCGCGTGGGGCACGCTCGCGGGCTACCACCTCCTGTCCGCGACGAGCAGGGCGCTGGCCGGGGAGCTCCCGAACGCGGCGCCCGCGTGGTTCACGCACGCCGTCCGCGTGCTCATGCCAACGCTGTACCTCCTCAATTGGTGGTGGTTTGTCAAAATGATGAAGTTCGCGATCAAGGCGCTCGGGGGCGGGAAGAAGAAGGCCAAGGCCGGCTAGCCGCCCCGTCGCGGAGCCCCCAGACGCCGCAGCGATGCAGCGAGGCCCCTGCGTGCCCCGGAACGAGTGGCCCCCAACTGCCGCGCGAGGCCGCGAACTGCGGCGAAGCACTTGTGTCCAGGGCCGCGTCTGGTCGCCGAGGACGGAGAGCGCGTGGGCGCGGCCCGGCCTCGCACGGGCTGTAAAAGAGAGAGAGACTCGTCGCGCAGACACGCGTGTCACGGCCTGGCGTCAGCCGCGCTTGCCTCCAAGGTTTCAGCGAAGCAAGCCGGCCGGGCGGGCGGACGAAGCACAGCGCGCCAGCGGAGCACGTAATATCTATGCGTCGTATTCGTTGCCGTTCACACCCGCTCCGGTGTGACACGTTCTTGTGCGCTGGGCTGCTGCTGGATTCACAATGTTCACCCGTATCGACCCCGCCACCGGCCTCGTTGCCAAGCAGCACAACATTGCCCCCTGCAAAAGCTGCAAGTATCTGGGCATCACCCTTGGCCAAGACAAGGGCCGACCACCGGGTGTATCGTCGCACATGTCCACCGCGGGCGACAAGTCCCGGAAGGCAATGTACAGCCTGTCGAAACGCTGCTGGCAGACGGGAATCTTTGACCCCCTCCTGCAATCTGCCCTCTTCAAGACATACGTCACACCGGTTTCGACGTACGGCTGCGAACTCTGGTCACCACGCCTCGGCCTCAAGCCACTGCGGGACCTTGACGGCCGCCTGACGCGCATCCCGTCCCAACACCCCGCGCGCGCCCAGCGTGCATTTCTCGCCTCCCTCATATCCACCGCCAACCAGCGGATCACTTCCTGCTACAAGACGCCGCCCGAGCTGCTCTTCCGCGAGTTCGGGGCGCTTCCCCTCGAAGCGACGTTGTGGGCCCGTAACTTCGACTTTTGGGACTCGTTGACGAAGCTGCTGTACACAGCGCGAACGAACCCGACCTTGCCCCCCGACTTCCCGCACATGACGGTCCGGGCGTTCACCGCGCAGCTACTGCTCGCGGCGGAGCCCGATTCCGACGCGTTCGTCACCCACCCTCCAGCAGGAGACACGGCGGAGGGCGACGCGACATCGTCGAGCGCCGCACGGATGGGCCGCCCCCGTGCGGCTCAGCCGGACCCGTCGGACGACACGGACGACGACGACGGAGCTGCACCGCCGGGCCAACAGCGGCGACTACGACAACTTCAACTCCCCCCGCACATGCAGCCGGGCCGGCGCGACGCAGGAGCACGGACCGCCGCGCGCCGAGACCACGCAGCTCGGACCACCCGAGGCAGGGGACGTGCAGCACGGGACGGCCGCACACCACCTCGATCGCGGCCCTCGCTACCACCGGCATCCCGCAGCACTGAATCGAACCGCTTGACTGTTCGCACGCTGGACCGGACCACGCGAGGGGGATCCCGCGCTACACCGAGGCCGAACTACTGCGAGGACTCCTCGGCTGCCACTGGCGACGACAGCGAATCAGAGTATGAGGGGTCGCACAACGCTACTGCGTCTTCAACGACCTCCCTGACGGACTCGGATGAGCCGGGCCAGCGGTCGCAGCCACGGAGCACCCGGGGACGGGGGCGAGGCGGACGATCACGGGGTCGCGGGCGGCGCGGGGGAGGCAGGAGCGGCGCGGGCCGACGGGGACTACGCACGACGTCGACAACTCGTACGAGCACAAGGCGCGCCGAACCCGCAGCCCACCGCCTCCGCAAACGCGAGCTACCGTGGGCAGCGCACATCGCGGCGGCCATCACTCAGATAGGCGGCACGCCAGGGACCCCGCAGCAGCCACACCCTGCACCTGCTGTGGGCAGGGTACGAAAGATCGCTCAGGTCGTGCTGCCGGACCACGAGCCCGCGGCAACCCCGGATCCCCGGACCGAGGTCACTCAGCACGGGCTTGGCCGCACACGGGCCAGGTACGCCTGGTGGTGCCAGCCACCACCGCGCACCATCCCTTCACATCTGCTCGACACCGCGATCTACCACGCGGACCGCCGTGCCCTATCCCGCCTGCGTGTGGGAGCTACGAGGCTGCGCACCTCCACGATGGCCATGGCGGACCAGGAGCAGCAGTGGCATCACACACCGCTGTCGCACCCGTCGAAAGTCTGCCGCTTCTGCGTGGACGTGGCGGCATCGCCCGCCCCGGAGGACCTCCGCCACCTGCTGCTGGACTGCTGCGCCCCAGCGGTACGCTCTCTCCGGGAACGAGCGGGCCTGGCCATGGACTCGTCTGGGCACCTCACGCTGCCACCCCCGCCCGCTGCCGATGCGCCCCTGTCGTCCACGGCAACTGTTGGACAGCGCCGCCGCTTCGCTCTCAACCGCCGGCTACGCCAGCACCTCGAGGACCTGTACGGCGCTGCAACACTCGACTCGGAAGCCGCTGCCAACGCTGCAGTGCGTTATTTCCTGAACCTGCCGAATCAGCGAGGCATGGCGATCTTTGCTCGTGGCATTGAGGATCTGCTCCAGGCTGACTCTGTCACAGCTGCCGAACCTGTTGCTACCATAACGGTGGGGGGTTAGCATGACTCGCCACCTAGTCGAATGATCTTTTCAGGTCCCAAAGCCTTATGGCTGACGACGCGAAGAATGTGACACCTCACCTCAATGACTAGACTCGCTGGGGGCCAGTCGATGCTGGCTGATCAGTGTGACTAGGAGTTGGGGTCGCGGGCGCGCGACGCCGGATGTGGGGGAGGGCCCGGCTGCCCTGGGGCCCTGATGCCCTGACTCAGGCTACGCCCGTCAGCCCGACGGGCCCTCCGCCACGCGCGTGCAAGAACCATGCTACTGACCGTCCGCTCCGCTTCGCTACGCTCATGGCAGCGCGGACGGTTTGTCACACTGCATGTTCAATACACCCGCATGGCACGCACGCACGCACGCACGCACGAGTGCTCGGCGTCAGAACCCGGGCGTCCGCTGGCCCGCTCTCCGGAACTTGCCGTCGGAGCCGCTGCGCCTCCCCGCCGGCGCCATCGTCCCGGCCACCCCCCCCGTGAACACAAACTCCCCCAGGGCCCTATTGCCCAGCCCAGACAGCGCCGGGCGCGGCATCGACGGCGGCGTCGGGTCCACCGCCAGCTCGCCTCGCGAACGGCCGATCACGTCCTCGCCGGGCGTGCCGTCGTACCCGCCAAGCTCCTCCTCCGGCGTCGCCGGCACGCACCCCAGCCGGTCCAGCTGACTCCGGTCGAACAGCCCCCCCTGCGCGGACTCCGGCGGCGTGCACTCCACGGCGCTCGGGGCCTGGCTCGCGCCGCCGTCGCGCACCACCTCCGCCGCTCCGCCGCCACCGCCGCCACCGAACACCGGTGCACGTGCGCCTGTGCTGCCACGCGGCGGGGTCTGCCACGGGGGCGGCTGCCTCACGTAGGCGCCGCCTCCGGCGCCGCCGTACGCGCCGTAGCGGCTCTGCGACGCGGCCTGGCTGGCCTGCCACTGCGACTGCGTTGCTCCTCCCGCCTGCGCTCGCTCGAGAGCGTCCCGCCAGGTGTTCCCCGGCGTCGCCGTGCTCCGCGGCTGCGAGAGCGGCTGGCTTCTGGCGCCGTGCGCCCCGGCGGGCGTCGCGGCGCGGGCGCTGCTGGGGGGCTGGAAGGTGCGCAGGGGCGCTGCGGCCCACGGCGCGGGGGCGCGCGTGAAGCCGCTGGGCGCTCCGGGCGCTGGGAACGCAGCCGCGTTGCCGGGCGTGGGCCGCGGCTGCGGGGGCGGGCGCTTGGGGGGGGTGATCTCCAGACTCCCCCCCTCCTCGCTCTCCCGCCCGTGCGCGAACGCCAAGAACACGTTCGGGCTGTCCCCGCGCGCATCCTCGCTCGGCTCGTCGACATCCGGCGCCGATGCTCGCCGCGCCTGCCCGCCCGCCTCTCCGCCGCCCGCGACCCCCCCCGGCCCCTTGCGCGCACTCCCCCCCTCCCCCCTCGTCTTCTTCCTGCTGCGCCGCGGGTGCACCACCACCTCGATATCCGACTGCGACGACGGCCCGCTCGAGTCCGACTCCAGCACGCGTTTCTTCCGGACCACCCCTCTCCCTGACCCACTCCCCCCCCTGCTGTCAAGCAGGCTCACCGGCGTCGCCACGGGGGTTCCGACCTTCGCTCGCCCCCGCTGCGCCGCCGCCCCCTTCGCTCGCCGCGGCTCCTCCCGCCGCTGCCGCGTCTCGCGCCGCGACGGGACGGCCACGGGCGCCGGCGAGCGCGCGCCGTGGCGGTGCCGCCGCCGCCGCGCCGCGACCGCGACCTCCGCCATCGCGCGCTGCCGCCGCCGCGGCCGCGAGCCGCCCACGACGACCTCCTCGTCCGACTCCCCCTCGCTGCCTTCACTCCCCCCCTCAACCTCGACCTCGCTGTCGCTGTCGCTGCTGCCGCACCCCGCATCCGACCCCGACGCCGAGTCGTCCGCGTCGTCAGGCACGAGGAACGAATCCTCTTCGTCGTACTCGTTCGACCGGTCGTCGTCGTCGTCGTCCGAGCACAGCGTCGCCCCGCGCACCCCGTCGTCTTGCGCGACGCGCGTCCCACCTTGCGGCTGCCCCGCACCCGCGGCCTGGAGCCAGTTCCGAAGCGGGTCGTCCTCGTCCTCGTCAACCTCGCCCTCCTCGGTCGTCCCAGCCCCCCTCGTGGCCCCTTCAACCCCCCCCCTGACAGCAGCCCACCTTGCCCCGTCCGGCATCCACTGCCGCGGCAGCACCGTGATCGAGTCCCGTATCTCGGAGGCGCGCGGCAACCTGCACGAGCAGCCGCAGCGGCGGGCGCGGCCTTCGGCGCCGGCTGCGCTGCGCGGCGGCCTGCTCGGGACAGTCCCCCCCTGTGGGGGCGCGGGGGCGCACCTGTTGTGTGCGTGGCACGCGGGGCAGAAGAACAGGTCCTTGACGCGCTCCCACGGGATGTCGATGCACTCGGCGTGCCACCCCGTCTCGCACCCGTCGCACAGCAGCATCGACTCCTCCCCCTCCGTCGACTTGCACACCTGCACACAGCGCCGCGCGGCGCGCACGCGAGCGACGCTTCTCACGCGTTCCGCGGCGCGTCAGCCGCGGGGAGCGTGCGAGCGGTCCAGACGCGACGTCGCCGCGCCAGCGAGTAAGGTGCACGCGCACCTTGCAGGCTGCATTCTGGATCGCCTCGGCGTCGGCGAGGCCCGGCGCGGCGGCGACGGCGGCGTCCACGATGTGCTCGTTGATGCCCGGGAGCGTGGTGATCAGCGCGGGGTTCAGGCGCGCCGCGCGGCCGCCGTTGAAGCACGTGGGGCAGAAAAAGTGTTCGCGGACCTGCGCCCAGGTGATGCCCAGGCAGTCGAGGTGCCACCCGCAGTCGCAGCCGTCGCACAGCAGCATGGTGTCCTCGTTGTCCGTGGACCCGCACCCCTGCGCGCCACGCAGCGGCCGGGCGAGGGGTGCGTGATCAAGAGCGGTGCGTGGAGGGGGGGGGTGTTGCGGACGCGGCGTGGTGGCGCGGGGCTGGTCGCGGGCCGAGGTGGCCGGTCGAGAGGCGCGTCGCGGAGGTGATATCTCCTGGGAAGGAAAAGTTACTCGAGGAAGCATATGTGTCGGCGCATTCGTCAGTTCGTGAGTGCCGGGGGCACGCACGCTGCAGGCGGTGTCCGGGAGGGTGTCGTGGTGGTCGCTGCGCTGCTTGCGGTGCTCGCAGGCCGCCTCCCGCCCGTCGAACCCCTTAATGAGCGTAAATTCGCACTTGCATAGGGGACAGACATTTGTGATCTCCGACCATGCGTGCAGGCACTTGAAGCAGAAGACGTGCTGGCACCTGCGCGGAGCGGACGCACCGTGCCTGTGAGGGTCCAGCGCGAGGCAGCGCGGGGCCGGAACGCGGGTGCACGCGCGGTGGGCGGGGTCGCTTGTTGAACAGAGGTGCGTAGGCTGTTGAGGCGGCCCGGCGCGGGGGCTGACGGGGGCGGGAGGCGCACCCGTTGGGCTTCGCGGGCTCTACGGGAGGTTCGAGGCAGATGGTGCACTGGGGGTCCCCGTCCTGCGACCCGCAGTGCGCGTGCGGGGTCGAAGCAGGCTCAGCGCGACTCCCGCGGGCGCTGCGAGGGGCTGTGCCGGGCGTGGCCGTGAGTCTCCCTTGCCGGACGGCCTTCGTTCGGATGCCGGGGCCCGCTGGGGACGCCTGGATCCCGCCCGCGGGGCTGCGGGCCGGCGTGGTGCCGTGGTGATGCGGGAAGTGGTGCTGCGGCGTGTGAGCAGGCCCCGCGCCGGCCGTCCCGTTCCGTTCCGCCGCATTGTGACCAGCGCGCTGCTGTCTCTGTCCATTGAAGTAGCTCTTCAGCCGCGAGTCCTTGTTCCACTCTCCCCCGAAGTACGGCGAGCGCTTGTCGCCCATGGTCCTCTCGGCCGCAGCCCACCACTGCGCGTGCGCGGGCGGTCCCGCCCTAGAGGCGGCCACCCCGACGAGACCGTGCGATTCCCCGTCAGAACGCGCTCCGTCCGAGCCCGTTGCCCATCGCGCGGTTCCGGAAAAAACGAATTTCTGCGGACAGCTCAACGTGGGCCGCCGCACCCGTCGACGCGCCCCGACCACGCGCTGCCTGCGAGAACGCTTGCTCTGAGTGTCCGCTCGCGGCCAAGCGGCGCGGCAACGGCGCGGTCGTCGCGGCGGGGGCACAAATGCCAGTCGCACCCAGAAAGCACTCAGAAGCGCTCCTCAGGACCCCTCTCGAGCCCGCACGGAAGCTAGTTCGGGGGCAGCGTGCACGCGCTGCTCGGAGATCACCCGCGCGGGGCTAGCAGGCTGGGCAACTCGCGAGGCGCGTTTCGGCGACGCACGCCCTTCCCGCGCCCCCTGCCTTTTCGTAGCGCGAGCTTGCAGCTGCCTGGAGCATCGCGCAGGCGCTGTGTCTGACGGAGCGAGGAGGCGCGTCGTTAGGTGCCGCGAGGTCGAGTCGCGCGGCGCGGGGGGTCGCCGGCGAGGCGGGCGGACGGGGGCTGGCGGGGCGGGGAGGCGAGCGCAGACGCGGAGGGAGGGGCGATGGCGGGCAGCCCCGAGGCCAGCAGCTCGTCCGACAGCGACAGCGACGTAGTCGTGGTGGTGGGGAAGCCGAAGAGGGGTCTGCCGAGTTTGCCCGTCGACACGCCGTCGTCGGTGGTCGCGACGACGCAGGAGGACCGCGACGGAGCCTCCGTGGAGCCGTCGAGCTCGCGCGAGAGCTCCAGTGATGGGAGCGGCAGCGAGAGCCTAGGCTCGGAGGACAGCGAGTCGGAGAGCGACTCCTCATCGTGCGGCGGGGACTCCGAGGAGGAGCCCCCGCACCGCCGCCCTGCGAAGACGACTCCGCGAAATACGACGGCCACGGCCGCGCCCGCGCGGAACAGCGCTCAGAAGGGGCACCAAGGCGATGTAGGCAGCAAGTCTGTGGCAAAGAAGGCCGCGGCTGCCCCGGGATCGGCTCAGAGGAAGCCCCCCGCCACGGCAGTGCGAACGGTGCAGCGAGCCTCGGCCAGCACGGGCCGCACGCCGCCGTCCAGCACGAAAGCGACCCCGCGCGCGAAGCCCGTCGCTGTACCCGACGAGGACGACGACATGGCGGCGTCTGAGGAGCGCAGCGGCGGCAGCACAGCGCACAGCAGCGACGACAAAGACAGCTCCGACAGCGACGCGCGGTCGGGCGGGGGGAGCGACGCCGACGGCGGTCCTGGCGAAGGTGCGAGCTCTCAGCCCGCTGACGCGGACCGTCGCAGCGAAAACGCCAGCGCACGGACCCTGTGCGCGCCCGCTCGCCGTGCTGCGAGCGCACCCGAGGGTCGACGCGCCAGCTCCCCGCCCGCAGCAGAAGAAGACTCGGAGGGGTACGAGGACGCAGAGGCGAACCGCGCGCGGCGCGAGGCGAACATCCGCGCGATGCTTGACGACGACATCCAGGCACGGGCATTTGGCAACAGCGTGCTTTGCGTGCTGAGCCCCGCTGCGGCGCTTGCGTTCGCGGTTCGACCGCGCAGCTAAGCCCCCAGTGCCCTGAACTTCCCTCTCGCTCACTAGCTGCGGCCGTCCGACGCGTTCCCCGCAGGTGGAGCGCAAGTCGATCATGCCAAAGCTGTTGACGATCGCCGAGGGCGAGCGCATCCTGCGGTCGCCGTTCGTCAACCCGCAGACGGGCTCCGCGACCATGTCGAAGTCCCTCAAGGCGCGCCTGCACGTCTCGAAGCTCTTCGTCCCCTGGGGCAGCAAATCGAAGTTCGCCGTCCCCGCACCCGTCAACGCCAGCACCTCCTCCGGATCGGACGAAGCCATCAAGAAGGCACGCGTCCCAGCCCACACCCGCGCCATGCACCGCGCGAGATCGCCGTCGCACCCCGCGAAAGCCGCCACTCCCCGCGCTGCGCCAGCGCCAGCGTGGCCCCGCTGCGGCGCGCATCGCGACCACCGACGCTCGCCGCCGGCCCTGCGCGCAGGCCGAGCCCGCCGAGGACGTCGACGTCAACCCGCTGCGCCTCTGGGCGCCCCCCGAGGGCGTCCCCGGCAACACGGCGGACGTCGACCCCATGCTAACCAAGTGGCTCCGGCCGCACCAGCGCGAGGGCGTGTCCTTCATGTTCGAGTGCGTCACGGGCATCAAGGGCTACGGCGGGCAGGGCCTCATCCTCGCGGACGACATGGGCCTCGGAAAGACCCTGATGGGTATAAGCCTGACGTGGTCGCTGATGAACAACGGCCACGAGCTGCTCGGCGGCGACCCGATCGCGAAGCGCGCGGTGATCGTGTGTCCGACGTCGCTCGTGAGCAACTGGGCCAGCGAGTTCGTCAAGTGGCTGCAGGGCCGCTGCAAGACGCTGCCGCTGGAGGACGCCAGCGCGGACGAGGTCGCGTCCTCGATCGAGCAGTTCCTGCACCCGCGCCGGCCCTACCACGTCATGATCGTCTCCTACGAGACCTTCCGCAAGCACGCGCACCGCTTCGAGCGCCCCGGCACCTGCGACCTCCTCATCTGCGACGAGGCGCACCGCCTCAAGAACCCCGGGACGCAGACGAACCGCGCGCTCAGCGCGATGGACTGCAAGCGCCGCGTGATGCTCACGGGCACGCCCATCCAGAACCACCTCGACGAGTTCTACGCCATGGTGTCGTTCGCCAACCCGGGCGTGCTGGGGGACCCGGGGGAGTTCCGGTCGCGGTATGAGGCGCCGATTCTGGCTGGGCGGGAGCCCGGGGCGCCGGACGACGTGGCGGAGCTGGGCCGGAAGCGCACGGAGGAGCTGTCGGCGCTGGTGAACCAGTTCATTCTACGCCGCACCAACGCGCTGCTGTCCGAGCATCTGCCGCCCAAGGTCATCCAGGTGGTGTGCTGCAAGCTCACCGCCATGCAGGAGCTCCTGTACGACCACTTCCTGCAGGCGAGCCCGCGCACCGCTCCCGACGAACACGCAATGAATGAGTCATGAAATCATATTCATATTGAAATGTTGAAATATGTTCATGTGGGTTTTTTCTTCCTGGAGCCGAAAGACGCGGCGCGGAAGCACGCGAGAGCCCCACGTGCGGCGGCCGCGTCCTCGCCCCGGACCCAGCACGCCCCGCAGCCTCTCAAGCCCTTTCCCTCAAACCTCGTCAACAGCCCCCGCAGTCCAAGGCTGCGAAGCAGCTCCTGGCGCAGAGCCGCGCGGCGGCGGCGGGCGCGGACGTCCCGAAGGCGAAGAACGCCGCGGGCGCGCTCCCGGCGATCGACGGCCTCAAGAAGCTGTGCAACCACCCGAAGCTGATCTTCGACGGCATCGTGTCGGGCAAGGGGCGCGGGCAGGACGCGACGGTGGGGTTCGACGGCGCGGAGGTGTACTTCCAGGGGTGCAAGTACGGCGACGGGCGCGCCGGGGGCCGCGGGATGGAGGAGGGGTGGGAGGCCGACAGCGGGAAGATGGCGGTGCTGGCGCGCATGCTGCACGCGCTGTGGACGCGGACGAAGGACCGGATCGTGATCGTGTCCAACTACACGAAGACGCTCGACCTCATCCAGGAGCTGTGTCGCCAGAAAGGATACCCGCAGGTGCGCGGCACGCACGCACGCGGGGGTGATGATGATGTGCGGAAGTAGAATGCAACACTCCCCCCTACGTGCGGTGCCGACGGTCTGTGCGGCGTGCGTGCGCTCGGGGCGGTGCGTGAGCGGCGCTGCGCGCGGGTGCGGTTCGCAGGTGCGGCTGGACGGCACGATGGGCGTCAAGAAGCGTCAGAAGCTAGTCGTGGAATTCAATGATCCGCACAAGCCGCAGTTCGTGTTTCTGCTGTCGAGCAAGGCCGGCGGGTGCGGGCTGAACCTCGTCGGCGCGAACCGCCTGGTCCTGTTCGACCCGGACTGGAACCCCGCGAACGACAAGCAGGCGGCCGCGCGCGTGTGGCGCGACGGGCAGCGCAAGCGCGTGTTCGAGTACCGGTTCCTGTCAGCGGGGACGATCGAGGAGAAGATCTTCCAGCGGCAGCTCTCGAAGGAGGGCCTGCAGCAGGTCGTCGGCGGCGGCACCGGCGGCGCGGTCGGCGGCGAGGGCGAGGGCGAGGGCGGCGGCAACGACGCGAACAGGAGTCTGTTCTCGCTCGCGGAGCTGCAGGACATCTTCACGCGCAAGGAGACGCGGTCCGACACGTACGACTCCGTCGTGTGCGAGACGCGCGCGCGGGCGCCGTCCGACGAAGCGATCGACGTGGACGCCCCACAGGCGGAGGCCGCCGCGAGCGACGCCGGCGGGGGCGCGGGGACGCCAGCCGAGGTGCTCAAGGAGCAGGACGGCACGCCGACGATGGAGGACTTGAAGAAGTGGGGCCACCACTCGCGCGTGGCGACGGTGCCGGACGAAGTGATGCAGGAGGTGGGGGATGTGTCGTTCGTGTTCACGTGCGAGGTGAGCGGGTGCGAGATCAAGGAGGCGTGCGGGTTCGCGTCGGGTGGGCAGGCGTCGCGCTTGAAGGCCGCGGCCGGCAGCGGCGTCGGGCGTGGGTCGTTCCGCAAGCCGGCGCGCGTGGGGCCGGGGGCGCTGCAGAGCGTGGCGAACGTCGCGGCGAAGCGGGGCGCGGGCGTCGCCGCGGCGCCGGCGGCCAAGAAGGCGAGGCCTGTGCAGGCGAAGGATCTGTGGGACAGCGACTGAGGCGCGGGGGGGAGCGAAAGCGGGAAACGTCCTCCGCGCTGAGAAACGGAGGGGAGCCGACTGTGCTGTGACTCCGTCTGACTCACATACGCGCGCAAACAGGCTCAGGACAGTCATTCATCGCTCAGTCGAGGCCGTACAGATCGTCGTCCTCGGCGTCGCTGTCGTCGTCGCCGTCATCGACGTCCGCTTGCGCCGCAACGCCGCCCCGCGAGCCCGGATCGCGCAGACCGAGCATGCCCATCAGCGCGCCCGCGGGCCCCGAGAGCCCCTGCTGCTCCGACATGGACGCCAGCAGCCCGCTCAGGACCTCGTGATTCAAATCCAGCCCACCGTCCGACTCAGGCCCGTCCCCCGCGCCGCCGCGCTCGTCCTTCCCGCTGCGCAGCTGCGACCCCATGGCCTTGGCGTACGCGCGGATTCCCGGCTCGCCGCCGCCGCCGTCCTCGCTGTCACTCCCCCCCTCTGAGTCAGACGACGCAAGGATGTCCGAGTCCGACAGAAGCTCGGATCCCTCGCTGCCGCGCCCTTCCGCCTCCGCGAGCCCGAGCGCCGCCTTGAGCTCGCCCAGGAACCCGTCCGCGAACCCGTCCCCCAAGTCGAGTCCCCCGACACCCCCGGGGACCTCTGCTCCCTCGAACCCCGCCCCCTCGTGCCCGACGAAGCGCCGAACGCCCTCCGCCATCGCGTCAAGGTCCAGCCCCGCCGCACCCGCATCGCCGCCCGCCGCCGGCCCGCGCTCCGCCTCCCGCGCACGCAACTCCCCCTCCACCCGCGCCTCCAACTCCTCCAGCCACTCCCCCCCCGACTCCGCCGCGAACGCCTCCGCCGCGTCTACGTCGTACGCACCAGACTCTGGCAGCGGAACGTCCCGCAGCACCTCGGCTACCTTCTGCGCTGGCCGCACAGACACCCTCGCTCGCTCTGCGTAATGCTCCGACTGCACAAAAGCCTCCCGCGCCTTCGCCGTGAGCTCCTGGTGCAGCCGCGACCCCTCGATCTCCCCGCGGAAGTATCCTGCACGCTTCAGCGCAGCCACGTAGCGCTCCCACGCCACACCCCCAGCGACCGCTGCGTGATCGCCGCCCGTACGCTCGTCCGCGTTGCCGCGCCCCTCCTCCGCGCAGAGGATCTCGAACCCGCACGTCAGCTTCAGCCCGAGCTCCGCCGCGCGCCTGCTCCGCGCCGAGGGCTCCGCTGCCGCCGGCCACGCCCGTGGCATCGCGAATGGCTGCGAGTGCAGTTGCGCGAACAGGCAGCGGGAGAACCGCACCGGGACGGTCACCATGTCGACGGGCGGGAATGTGCGCACGCGCGCAGCGGCCCGCATGTCGTCCGCGTCGCGCGAGTAGAACGCGTCCACCGCAGCCGCCACGGTGTGCGGCGCATGTCGCAGCACATGCGCAACCCTCGCCGGGATCGTGCAGCACGCCACGTGGGTGGCCGCGGCCGCCGCGGCCGGGAACGGCCCCGTCTTCGCTTGGATTGCGCTGCGCGCGGCAGCCGGCGCCAGCGTCGCGACGGCGTCGTCGCGCACGAGGCGCAGACCGTCGCGCAGGGTTGGGGCTGCGGCGCCGGGCACGTCGCGGGTCAGGGGGACGATGTGGAGGTCGCCGGCGTACAGGAAGACCCGGTTCGCGGACGTGGCCGGCTGGAGCCACTCCGGCAGGGAGTACGCCGCCTCGATGAGCAGGAACTCCCCGTCGTTGTCCCACACCTGCGGCAACAACACATAGGGGTGTTTCACCTGACGTGGGTTCCAGGCCGTCGGACTCGTCCTCCTGGGCAGGGACGGCACCGGACGCGCCGACGACGCTGTGCGGGCGCAATGTGCGGGCGGCAGCGAGCTGCGTCACGTGTCAGACGAGGGGGGGGGTTTTGCCTTGGCTACTGAGCCGGGGTACTGCTTGGTGAGGGCCTGTAGAAGGTACACCGCCAGCCACTCGTCGTCGACGTTGTCCCCGAACTCCATGTGGCCCCAAAGGTGCGCCGGGGCCGGGGGCGCGGCGCTGGCTTGCTCGGCGCGAGCGCGCTTCTGCGCTCGGTGCTGCCCGGCACGGCGGTGCTGAGGGTCGCCCGGCGGGCGGTTCGCCGCCTCCCACGGAGAGGTATGCGTCGTGGAGGGCGAGAGCGCAAAGGGGTCGCGCTGCCATATGAAATCGCCGACTTCCTGTGCCACGAAGGCCATGCACAAGGAAGCCCACGACTCGAGGTCCTGCTGGGCGTCATCTGCAGACAGCACGCGCACGTTGGGCGGAAGCACCGATGTCGAGTGCCCCCAAGCGCCTGTTTCTGCGGCAAGCGCCGGCCCCCGCCAGCCGGGCTCTCTGACGAGGAGTTCTGCTTGCCTCGCGGCTTGCGGGATGCTGCGGGCCGCATGCGACGCGACCGCCACGTACTTTCATCGCTGTGGTATAGAGATACACGTTGCAGTGCTACTGACCTTCAGCAGAGGGATACAAGCAGAAGCTGACGGCGTTTAGGTCTTCAGGTGCGTCTCCGACGTGAAAGCCGAAGTGGCGCGCGTCTCCCGAACCCTCAGATGCATCCATGTCCTTTCACGCTTCCTCCCGTCCCCTTCCAGCCCCACACACCTCTAGCCCCCTCACAACCGCTCAGCACAGCGCGGGAGAGACCTCCACCAGGCCCCCGTCCATTTCCCCCCTCTCGCAACCGTATCTACCCCTGCCAACAAGTTCCAGCACCGATAACGGCCCGCCGCCACCACTGCGTGCAGCCAGACCCGGCCGCTCGCAACCTGCGCCGCCGCAGACTGAGTCAGGCTGATGTCATGGTCTGTCACAGCTCGGACCATCCGGGATGGTCCGGAACCGGGCGGCGACGTGTGCGGGCGCGCCCAGCGCGGCCGGCCATCGCGTCGCGCCTTTGCCAGCGCCGCCACGACCACCGGCCCCCACGGTGCGCCAGTACAAGGTGCAAGATGTCTGTGTTTCAGGCGAGCTCCCTCACGCGCCACCGCGCTCCCAGGAGCGCGTGAGCGCCCCGACGCGCATGCGCATGGTCCATGATTGCACACTCGATGCAGGCAGCATCGCTGCGCGCGCTGTGGGAGCTGCGCCGCGCGTTGTCTTCGTATGTCACCTCAAGGGCCGGCTGCGCGCGACACGCGTCGTCTCTCCGAACTTCCGTCGCGCGAGCTTTGCTGCAAGATGCGTACGTGCGTCGCTGTATCGGAGAAACGCTCCAAGCGGCCTTCTGTGGGCGAGGCTCGGCCCCCTTACGGCTGCGCACGAACAGCGCCGTGTGCGCCCCGCCGCGTGGGGCGCGCCGGGCCGCGCGCGAAATCGGGATGGTAAATTCCACCTCCCTCCTGCCGACCCGGTCACCCGCGCCCCTTCGATCTATCGCAGGCTGCACACGGCCGGCAATGCACTTGCCTTCCGAAGCGAGCCACCGCGTCTCACGGGCGGGCGAAATGCGCGCCCGCGCCCCTCACGGCCCCGCTTAGAGCCAGGCTAGCCCGCGGCCCGAGGTACGATGGCAATGCGCGTCGGTCAACCTTCGACGCGATGCTGTCCTGCTATTGCTCCTGCTCGGCCCGGCTCACGCCGCCGCGAGCCCGGTCGAGGCCCCGCGCCGCCGCCACCGGACGCCGCGCTCACCGTCGAGCTCGAGCTACGCTAACATGCCGCGTTCACGCGCGTCCGGCCCTGCGTGCTCCCGCGACACACTATCTGCAACAGAATCCTCGCCCGCGCCCCCGCGCGTGCGTTTCCGCGCCCTCACGGCCCCGGCGCCGCCTCCCCGCGCAGGACCCTCGCTCGAGCTGCACCGGACGAGCCCGTAGACGTCCAGGAGATGACGGTGCGCCCTCGTGTCGCTTCCACGCACGCACCACGCGCCCGAAGCGCCCTCCCGCGAACCTCCACACACCCGCACCTGTCCCACGCCCTTCGTCGCGCAGGACGGAACGCTCGTCTTCAGGTTCGGCGAGCAGTCCGAGGCCACCAACACTCCCGCTGCGCCGCAAGCAGAGCCCACCCCGGCCGCGGAGCCCGAGCCGGCGCCGGAGCCCGAGCCCGAGGCCAAGGCCGAGCCCGAGCCAGCCCCAGAGCCCGAGCCGGAGCCCGAGCCGGAGCCGGAGCCGGAGCCTGCCCCCGAGCCGGAGCCTGCCCCCGAGCCTCCGGCGCAGCCCGAGGCCGCGGCGGCACCGGCGACGCCACCACCTGCGGCGGGCGCGGCCCCGCCGGACCCCGCGAAGGTCGCCTCGCTCGTGGAGCAGCTGTCCGGCATGACGGTCGACACGCTGCAGGCGGTGTGCCGGGCGGGCAAGGTGCGCGGGTACAGCGCGCTGCGCAAGGCGGAGCTGGTGCAGTTCCTGGCGGACAAGGCGACGGCGGACGGGCCCGCGAAGAAGAAGCAGCGCCTGCTGACGGCGATTGAAGTGGCGGTGGAACACCCTGACGACCCGGACGCGCTCGAGGCCCTCAGAGCCAAGTAGGGGGGTGTATTGCAGTGCAGGGGGCGCTCGCTGCGCGCGCGTGGCGCCGCCCCGGCGCAGGCGGTGTGACACACGCAATGACATTCATGGGGGTTTTTAGGTCCGGGCGGTGGCGCGCGGCGCCGTGTGGGCGTGAGGTGCGCGCGTGGGCCGGGGCGGCGAGCGCGCGCTGCGGCGCGGCGCGAGCGACTCGGCGCGGAGTCGGTGGCGGCGGGCCTGCTGCATGACGTACGGTGTGTGTGTTGCCGTGGCGGAGGGGCGAATCGCGGCCGCCTGCGCTCGCCGCGCCAGGGCGGGGACAGGGCGCGCGTGTGCGCGCGGCGGCGAGGTGAGCGCGCGCGGCCAGCGCAACGGTCGGACAGTAGAAAGAGGGGGGGTCTGTACTGACCTTCGCGGGCCAGATAGGGCCGCAGCGTGCGGGCGGCGGGCATTCTGCGCGTTCCGGGGATCCGCGCACGTCGTGAGGAGAGCAGCTAGCTTGTCGGACGTGCCCGCGGCGCAGTGAGAGGGCGGGCGTGGTCCTGCTAGGCTCGGTGGCTGCTGCATCAGGCTCTGGCGCCATGCGCGCGTCCCAGGTGCGTGCCGAGCGCGTTTCTTGCACCGTTGCGCGTGGCGCGTGGTGAGAGCTCGCCGCGGGACGCGGGCGGTGGAACGGCGTGGACGCGTGTGACCGGAATGCGCGTTTTTATCCTCACTGCACCTGCAGGGCCGTGCGGCCGGCTGCGCGGGCGCCGCGGCGGCGCGCTGCGGCTGCGGAGTCAAGTTGAATCACAGCACCGCACCGAGCTCCCTGGCGCAGATGAGGTCGCGCACGTCGCGCCGGGCGAACACGAGGTGCGTGCAGCCCGTGCGAGCCTCGCGCGCGCCGCAAACGCGATGATCTGCGTCCGGACCGCGCGCTTCGGCTCGTACACCTTTTTTCACGCGAAGTTCCTCGCGCGGTTTCCCGCTCACCCCCTTCGCTGCCCCCCACGCACCTTCCATCCTCCTCAATGACGCAAGACCGCTTGCGCGCGGCCCCCGCGCGGTATCCGACCCGCTTCCCTCCCGGCCGGCACGCAGGCCTTCCGCCGCTCGCGGGAATGCGCGCATCAACGCGTCTGGGCAGCCAGGCGCGGAGGAGCAGCGCGACGGTTCCTTCATGTTCCGCTTCGACAGCGACCAAGCGCCGGCCCCGGCCGCTGCGCCCGACGAGGTCGCGGCGCGGGCCGCGCAGGAGCGCCGACTACAGAACGCCGTCGACGACGACGACTCGTACGACGCGGAGGAGGACGCCAGGGCCGCGGAGCGCACGCCTCTGGGCGCACCACGGCCCGAGGCGATGACACGCAACGGCCAGGGGGTTCTGGCGGCGGACGGGCGCGCCGAGGCCGGGGAGCAGGGGCCAGCTACGTCGGGGGGCGCGCGGGAGGCGGAGCTGGGGGCACGGGGAGCGGAGGCCGTGGCAATGGAGCCGCCGGCTGCGGGCCTGGGGTCGGGAGCTGCGGACGCGGCTGTGGAGGATTTCGCGGTCGCTGAGCAGCGGCGCGGGCGCGGTGAGGCTGCTGGAGAGGGGAGGGGGCCGCGGCGCGAGGACGAGCTGCAGGGGGCGGTGCGCGGCGGGTCGGGGGAGCGAGAGGGTGCTGCTAAGGAGGGCGTTCCGGGGCGGCTGGGCGCGTCCGGTGCGGATTCGACGGGCGCTGAGGGCAGGCCGGAGACCGAGGTCGACGGCGCGGCGGTCGTGGCGCAGAGCAGCGCGGCAGCGGGCGCCGGCGAGGACCTCGGAGGTGCTGCGGACGATGACAGCGCGCTCCCGCCCGACTCCGCCACGCTCTTCTCCTCCGAGGACTTCGCGAGCGACGACGAGGACGACGTCGTTCCGGGGCCCGAGCCGTCCGCGCAGCCCGTCGCCTCCGCCGCGCTCTCCGGCTCGCGCACCCAGGGCACGGGCCGGTCCGGCATCCGGCGCATCGAGCAGCGCGACTCCCGCGACGCCATCACGAGCGAGCTCACCAAGGCCTTCAACGCGTACGGCGAGCACGGCGAGCTCGCCATGGCCCTCGAGCTCGTCCAGTCCCTCAAGAAGGAGAACCGCGTTGACGCCCTCCGGCGCCTGCGCCACAAGCCCTTCCTGCGCGCCGCCGCGCGCGCCAAGGACGTCAAGGCCGCGCGGGACTTCCTCCTCCTCATGCCGAGCGAGCTCCTCGACGCCCGCACCTACAACATGGCCCTCTCGGTGTGCGTCGCCGCCAAAGACCTCGACGCCGCGTCCAAGATGGTCCGGAACATGGCCGCCGAGGGCATCAAGGCCGACGCGTACACGTACACGTCGCTCATCACGTGCGCGGCCCGGTGCATGGACACGGAGGCCGCGTTCCGGCTGTCGATTGAAATGAAGGAGCGGGGCGTGGCGCCGACGACCGAGGTCCGCACGGCGCTGATCACGTGCTGCCTGCACGAGATGGAGGTCGCGCGGGACCGCCGCCGCCGCCTCGTGCTCGTCCAGCGCGCCGAGACGTGTCTGCGCGAGGTGCTTGAGTCGGGCGCGAAGCCCGACCGAGTGCTCCTGAACGCGATGGTCGCGCTGTACGCGCGCGCGGAGGACCCGGAGAAGGCGACGGAGATGATCGACCAGATGCGCCGGCGCGGGGTCCGCCCCGACGCGGCCGCGTACAGCGCGCTGATTGCGGCACACACGCGCGCGGGGCACCCCGAGAACGCGCTCGCGGCGTACGAGGCCGCGATGGACGCCGGCGTGCGCGCGTCCGTCGCCGTGTACAGCGCCGCGGTCTCCGCGTGCCGCCGCCTCGACGACGGCCCGCGCGCCGTCGAGACCGTGCGCTCCATCCTCGGAGAAATGCACGCCAACTCCGTGCACGGCGACCAGCGCATGTACCGCGTCGCGATGGACGCGTGCGGCGCGGCGGGCGACGTGCGCGCCGCGCGGGACGTCCTGGCCGCGATGAAGGAGGCCGGCGTCAAGCCGCGGGAGGACACGCGGGCCACCCTCATGCAGGCCTACATTTCGGCCGGGCACCTCCGGCAAGCGCTGCGCTCGGGCTGGAAGATCCTGGAGCGGCGGCAGGGGCGCAAGAAGGCGGCGCCGCTGCACATGCGGCCCTTCAACACGCTCCTGCGCGCCGAGGCGGAGCGCGGGCACCTGCGGAGCGTCGTGGACCTGGCTGTGGCGTGCGTCGAGGTGGGCGGCAAGCCGGACCGGTTCACGTTCGCCGCGGTGCTCACGGCGTGCATGCGGGAGCGCGAGGCGGACCTCGGGATCGACGTGTACCGCGCGATGCGTGCGCGGGGCATCGCGCCGGACGTCGCGTGCACGAGCATCATGCTGCGCACGTGCCTGAACCGCATGCGCGGCGGGCAGTCGTCGGACCACCACGCCGGGTGGGACCCCGACGTCGGCGTGCGGCTGATCGAGGCGCTGAGCGGCGGGAAGTCCCCCGAGGACTTGCTGGACTCCCCCGCCCTGCCGGGGGGACTCGACTCCCCGTCGTGGAGCACGCGCGCGCTCGCGCTGTACCGCGACGCCATGCGGCACGGCCTCGTCCCGGACATGCGCCTCCTCGAGCGCCTTCTCCCGTGCCTCACCGTCACGCACGCGACGGCGGCGTCGACCGAGGGCGAGCCCACGGAGGCGGGCATCGACCTGCGCGCGCGGTCCGTCATCGAGGACGCCGTCGTGCGCGGCCTCCTGCCCAGCTTCCCGTACGACTCGGGCTTCCACGAGGTCGACCTCCGGCGCGTCCCGCCGCACGTGGCCGCCGCGTACACGCTTTTCATGTTCCAGGGCGTGCGGTCGGCGCGCGTGCTCGACGGGCCGTCCGGCGGCGTGGGCGGGCGCGGGCTCATGGGCGGCGTGGGCGGCGGCGCGGGCCGCGTGCTCGCGCACTCGACGTTCGAGGTGACGATCCGCACGCTGCCGTTTAACGAGGACGCAGTCGGGCTGCCGCTGGGCGCGATGCGCGCGGCGATGAGCGAGGTGGAGGACGAGGGGCAGGCGCTCGACGTCGACAGCATGGACTCGAGCGACGAGGAGGAGGGGTTCGGGGAGGAGGAGTGGGAGGACTCCCCCATCGCAGACGCGTCGGACTGGGCCGCGGGCGACTCCCCCGGGTACCTGTCCGGGCCGGAGATCGAGAAGATCGCGTCGACGAAGGGCAGCACGACGGGCCTCGCGGTCATGATGATGCTGCGGAAGCTGCGCGTGTGGGGCGAGGCCGTGGCGCACGACGGCGTGGTGTTTGTGTCGCACGACGAGCTGCTCCGGTGGTGCCGGTCGTCCAGCCGGCGGATGGCGAGCCAGGCGGCCAACAGCCGCCGGCAGCCGGGGATGATCGGCGCGAATGGCGGGTTTGGCGCGCAGGGGGACCCCGCGGCGGCGTTGCGCGATCAGACGCGCGACCTGCGGAACGCGGGCGGCGACAAGGCGCCGAACGCGGACCTGCGGAGCTACGGCATCTTCTGAGGCGCGGCTGCAGCAGGGTCGTGCGTGGGGCGCGGCGCGGCGGTGTGTGTGTTGCAGCGGTGGATGGCGGGGGTGATTCTTGCGGCCGCTGCGCGAGCGGCGATGTGATTCTGACGTTTGATTTGACGCGCATTCACACGGGGAGAGGGGGGGCTGGGTACTGGCCAACCTGCTGACAGGGCGTGCCCGGCGCCCTGCAACTCGTCACCCTCATACATGATCCCGGCGCTGCGAAGCTGGCTCGGAACTATCCAGCCATGCCCGCACACATGACGCACTCTGTTACCCCCCCGATGTTGACATGTTGGCCATGCGCGTATTCCGTGGCCGCTAGACCGAGGTATGATCCCTTTTCGCATGACAGGCCACGCGCGGGGGACGGCGATGACGAGGAGAGCTGAGTAGCCGTCGGCGCGTCGCCACACAACGCGGACAATGCCGCAGACTCGGTCACCGCTGTCACCCAGCCGGCTGCCGACACCCCCTGGTACAAGCAGCCTAGGACGTGGACCAGCACTTCGGCGCGTCGGCTGGCGGGCGTCGTCCAGTACTCGCGCGGCTCGCCGCGTTGTTGCTGACGACGCCCGCCACTCCCTCTAACTGATTGCAGGTCAGAGCCTTCCCTTGGCACATGATGGCACGCTCACATGGCATTTCGCGCGAGTACTCCTAGCACGCTGCCGCCTTGATCAGGACGATAGCACACCCGCATTTCGTTTCGTGCGCGGGTGGTCAATTACTACTCTGAGAGGGGGGGCTGGGGGGGTGAGGCCCAGCCCTGCAGCCCTAGCATGGACAGCCTGCCATGTGTCATTTTAAACGGCGACAGTTGCCCCCCGCGCCGACCGCGGCGCGCCCTGCAGCAGGCACACCCCGCCAACACACGCCCCCGTCGGACGCCATACGCTGAGATCGCGTCCCCTCGGCAGAACCGCGAAGACGACATCACTCGAGGCTGCGCTGCTCGCAACGCCTTGCGCGACAAGGCCTCCGCCATCACCGAGCCGAACCCGAGCCGCTGCGCCCCCCGCACATCACCGCAGCGCCATGGCCCGCTCGCGCACCGCAGCAGCCTCACGCAGCACTCATTATCAGTCACAGCACGCGCGCGACACTCCCCCACCGTCAGCTCGTGTCAGGGTACGCCAGGCGCCCGCTCGAGCTGCTCCGCGACTCCGGCTTGTCCAGGTTCGGCTCCGGGAGCACCTCGTAGATCCGCATCATCCAGTGTTCGCTCGTAAACACTTCTCTGAAGTACTCCAGTTCAATGTCCTTGACGCCGATCGGCGTCTGTCGCACGCGGTCGTACCCGCGGCCCTGCGTGGCCTCCGCGAACCGGTAGTAGGACAGCTTGTACATCAGGCTGTTGGCCATGGTGTCGGACACGTCAGCCCCGATGCTGTACGACCCCGACGCACTGAGGTAGTCCCGTTCCTTGATCTCCGGGAACTCCCCCCCGCCGATGCGGACCATCCAGAGGAACTTGTTGATGTCGTCCGAGGGGTACCCCACGAGCGCGCCGAAGACCACGAACACGTACTTGACGTCGTGGTGCCGTAGGATTTCCCACGCCTTGGGCTCGCGCGACGCCATGGCGCGGCCGACGGTCGCGATGTGCGTGTTGTTCCACGTGTTGTTGTCCACCAGCACCGTGCGGTTGGCCATCGCGGTCGTCTGGTACCCGTAGTCCCACCACGACGCGAATTTGTCCTCCTCCTTGGTGTTGTGCCGCATCCACGAGTACGCCTCGCGGAAGTCGTCGAAGATGTACACGCCGCTCGCCGAGCGCGACTGCAGCACGATCGACGGCGCGCTGTAGTGGTCCGCGCCCACCCACACGCAGTGCACAATGTAGAACAAGAATGTGCTGACCAGGAACAGCGCGCCCAGCGCCGAGACGTCCGCCGGGAGCTGCGCGCGCGCAGAGAACATCGCCTTCACCGAGTCCACCAGCGAGGTGTTCGACGCCTTCGGTTTCGCGCGCTTGGCGTCCTTGGCGTCCTTCTTCGCGCCCGCCGCGCCCTTGGAGGGGGTTGGGCCGCTGCTGGGCGCGGCGGCGGCGGCGTCCGGCGTGGGCATCGCGGGGCCGTAGACGAAGTCGAGCGTGGCGCCCTTGATGCTCTTCCCGAACGCGTTGAACGCGTCCGACGCGGCGACGGCCGCGATGCAGCACGACGCCGGCGCCAGCACCAGCATGAGGCGGACCATGACGCCCGAGAAGTACACCGAGGTCACGCCGTAGAGCACGAGGAAGAGCGACGCGTCCGTGAGCGGCAGGAAGCACGAAATGATCCCGGCCGGCGCCAGCATCGCGTTGATGTGGATGTCCTGCAGGTAGGCCGACCACTGAGGGGGCTGGTGCTCGGAGACCGACGCGATGATCGGGATGTACTTGGACGCGTACGTCGGGTCCAGGAGCGACAGCGAGCGGCCCGTCCAGCCGAGCGTCGGCGACGCCGACACGTACACCGCGACCAGGAAGCCCACGACGGCGCCGGCGGCGACGCCCGCGGTGATGAGGAGGTTCCTCGCGACGACGAAGGCGCGCGCGGGGAGCACGCGCTGCGTGTACTGCAGCAGCATGGCGCCGTGGATGGCGGCGAACGCCAGGAACGACCCAAAGTGCTCCGACATGAGAACCGCGTTGAAGCCGACGACGGGGATCGACGCCGCGAGGATGGTGCCGATCATGACGACGGGGGCGTAGGCGACGTAGAGCCGCGGCGTGAGGCGGCCCGTGGCGATGCACACGAGGCAGTGGATAGGGAGTAGGTTGATGATGAAGGAATACCCCCCCCACGACATCACCATGTAGAAGTACGACAGCGTGCACGCGACCGCCCAGGAGAGCTTGCCCGTGTTGACGGCCTTGACGTAGAGGTAGAAGGTGTAGACGAGCGCGAAGATCGCCACCGCCTCGTTGTCAAAGGACCCCGCGACGGAGCTGCGGCGTGGAGCGGGCGGGGCGCGGGGGGCTTGAGGGCGACGCGGGGCTGTGCGGGGTGGGGGCGACGTGACGAGGAGGAAGACGAGCGCTCTGGCGGGGGTGCTGGCAGCGGGAGGGAGGTTCTCTGGGGGCGGTGCGTGCGGGTGCGGCGCGGGGGGCGCACCGGGAGATGTAGGAAGGGACGCTGGAGATGAGGACGGCGGCGAGGAGGCCCGGTCCCTTGCCGCGGACCTCGGACACGAGCGCGTAGGCCGCCCAGGCAGTGAAGGCAGCAAACACCGGCGCGGTGAACACGCAGACCTCCTGGATGTGGACCGGCATGTTGATCGCATGGAGGAACCAGTACGCGGCCGACGCGGTGATCGTCAGCCCCTGCAAGCGCGCGCACGAGCCACGATCGCCGTGAGGGCACACCTCCGAGCCAACCGCGCCTCGTGGCACCGTTCCGGTGCCGAACGAAGCACACCAGCCAGCTCGCATGACGGAGCAGCGACTGAGCGACCCGCAGGCCGCCGCACAGACGAGCGCGCCGCGCATCGTCCCCAGGACAGGCCGCAGAGAGCAAGCGCAGCAACTGCGCTCTGGTTGCGCGCCGTGGGACAGATCCCGCGCCGTAAAGGCGATATTCACGCGCGCCAGGGCATGATCGAGCAACGGAGAGCGCTCCAGGCGCGTCCAGGGGGCGTGGCGGGCGCGGCAGGCCGCGGGAGCGCACCGGGTAGATGGTGCCGCCAATGACGCGGCCGAGCGGGTACCAGGTGAATTCATCGAACCAGTTCCAGAACTCGTAGAGCCCGTTCTTCGAGAGGAAGGTCGCGGCTCGGTAGTTGAAGTACGGGTCGAACTCGTGGATCACCGACTCGTACTTGACTACCGAGAAGAGTCGTATCGCGGCGGCCAGCAGCCCGATCAGGACCAGCGCAAAGCCCGCGAGGATGTCCGCCTTGGCCTTCGTCGAGGCCTCCGTCATCGTCCCTCGCTCCTACCCTCCGCTACAGCCCCTCACACGCGCCCCTGCCCCACGCACGCGCCGCAATGCAACACACGCACAAGCACCGCCTGCAGCGAAGGTGAGCGACCGACGCGACGGACTCTGCGATCCAGCGGAGGCTAAGGGTGCGACGGAACGCCTTCTGCGCGCGGTGGCTCCCCCGGCGACCCGTCGAAGGCGCCCGAGGCGGTCGGACTGGCGCAACATGACTCAGGGGGGGGGAATAGGCCCGAGGCGCCAGCGCGCTGCAGGCGCGGCTCAGCCGGCACGGCGGGCGTTCAACCGGCGTTCCGGGCTCACACAGAGAGCCTCACCTGAGCCACGCGCACGCAGGCTGACCCCCCGGAGGCGCGGGAGTGGTGCATGCGCCGAGGCGGCAAGACGTGAGACAAGAAACGCGACGCGCGGGCGGCCGGCGTGGACTTTCAGCTCACAGGGCCGCGCTGGCCGCCGAGGCCGCTAGCCCGCGCGTGATGCCACGCGCTGGGCTCGCGCGAGGTGCAAGCAGCTCTCAAGTCGCCGCTCGCGCCGCGAAGGTGCCTCGGGGCCCGGCGCGCCGCGCCCCGGCCGCGGGAAAGAGGGGGGTGATGATCGGAAGACGGTTGTGGCGCAACCGGGAAGGACCCCACGCGCGGGGGCCTCCCTGCGTGCTCGCCGCGCACCCCCAGCCCGTGCCGTCGCACCGGGCGTCGCGGCCGCACGCGTTCCAGTTCCGCTCGCACGCACGCGACGCGAAGCTTAGAAGCTGCAGGAAGCACAGTCGACGCAGCGCGGCCCGTGAGCGCCAACACAACGCAACGCAAGACACTGGCACATCGCGCACAGGTGTCCGCAAGCGGGCGTGGGCGCGCGCGGTCGGGGACGTACAAGGGGATCGAGACGCCGTTCGTGGTGACGTTGACGGCGGCGGGGTTGGCCAGGTGGTCGCCCAGGTTGGCCAGCGGCCCCTTGCCCGTGGCGGCGTGCTGGCCGACGAACCCGAGGAACGCGAGCATGGCGAGGCGGCCGTTCTTGATCTCCTTGAGCTTGAGCTCGTCGATGTTGCCCTTGGACATGTTCATCGGGTCGAACTTGCCGCCGGGGTAGATGCGCTTGGCCTTGTCCGTCTCCTCGTTGCGGTAGATCTCCGCGCCGGCCATGAGGACAACCTCGATCACCGTGAGGGTGTTCAGGTCGAACGGCGACTCCACGCCGAAGTACGTCGCGCGGCCGCCGTTCAGGGCCGACGTCGGCGCGTCGTACCTGGAGGCAAGGGCACGGGGGTTCGGGGGGGGTGAGCGCGCCGGAGGGCCGCGGGGGCGCGGGTGGCGGGTCGTTGCGGCGGGGGCCGGCGTGCCGGGGCGCGTGGGGGCGCGGTGAGGGCGTGTGGCGGGCGCGGGGACGCCAGGAGATGTTGAGCAGGCCTAGCGAGATCGGGGTCCGTCCGGGCGCCGTTGCGGCCTAGAAAGCTTTCGCGCGGGGCGGGGAATGCATGCATGCGGAACGCGCGCCGAGAAGGCGGGGTGGGTCGGCGGGCGCACCAGTCACCGAAGCCGAAGAGCTCGACCGCGAGGCAGCCCGCCACGCCGAGCATGGCCCACCGCGCGTGGATGATCTCCGCCTCCTGGAAGCGCTGCAGCAGCGCGGGCTCCTTGCCCAGGCCCAGGGGGTCGAACCCGAAGTCACCTGCGCAGCACAGAGCCACGCGCGGCGCTGGGCACACGCCGCGCCCTCCCTCCCGCGAATCTCCGAAATCTCGCGCAACGGGCCGTCGAATCCACGTCCGCGCGAATGCGGCCGCGCGCTACGTGCCGGACGCGTCCGCGGGGCGCGCTGAGCCGCCGCGGCCGGCCCGCACGGGCGCCCTGTGCGAGCATTGGCCAGCGCGTGGGCTGCTTACCCGGCAGGGAACCGTCCAGGTGGTCCGGGATGGGCATGCCCGGGGCCCACGAGGGGCGGGCGGCCTGCAGAGTGCGGCGGGGGCGCGCGGGGGGCGTGAGCGCGGGGCCGGGAGGGCGCGTGGGGCGATCCCTTGCCAACGAGATCGAGCGGGGCGATCGCGGGTGGGCGGCCGGCGGGTGCCCGGCGCGGGAGCGCGGCGCGGCCTTCCGCGCGTGTGTGCGGAGCTTCGCGGGATGCGGCATGTGTTTGCGCGAGCTCGGCCGGGGGACGCGCGCAGGGAGGGCCTCGCCGGGATATGGGCCGGCACGAGCGCTCCTGGGTGGCGCGGGGGGCGAGATAGCGAGGGCGCGCGGCGCGGATGTCGCGGGAGGTTGCGAGAGAGGTGCTGCCGACGCGGGCGCGGTGCGCGCGGGCTCTGCGCACCTGGGCGCGGACGGCCGCGCGCTTGGCGGACACGACGGGGCGGACGGAGGCGACGCGAGAGGCGATCATCTTGACTATGCTATTATTCGAACCTGAAACTACCGGTTGCTCCGCTCCGCCGGGCCTGCGCGCCCTTGTCCGCGCGGCGGGGCGAGATATTGTGCAGGGTATGACTATGATTCTCCGCCTACGTCAGCGTGCACTTTAACCGCCACGGCCGCCCGGGGCCCGCGCACGCCGCGCCCTGGCTCCGCGTGCGCCACCGGCTCGCTCCGACACGCACACGAAGCCGCAGGTGCGTCCGCGCGCCCGGATGCCCCCCTGCGACATCACATCACGCCGGCCCCTGCCGCACGCGACTTCCTCGCCGCGAAAGCCCGCGAGACGCATGCCCGGAGCACGACCAAGGCCCTGGCGCGGTCGCGAGCCCCCCCGCGCGGCGCCATTCGCGGCCACCGGTCAAGTCATGCCAACTGCGCTTTGCAAGCTTGGCCGCCGAATGTCCGCGCCCCGGCGGCCAGCGCTCGGGATTCGACGCAGGGAGCCGAGCGCGCTCGGCAGGGCGTCGTGCTGGGCCGCCCGCGGGGCCCCTCGGCGGCGCCACCCCGGCGCGGCGCTGTGCCGCAGGGCCGGGGCGTGACGGAGGCTCTCGGCAGCTGCGCGTGGCGCGGCCGGCGGTCGGCGGGGTCGCGCGCGCGTCGCGGCGTCCGTGGAGAGCAGGGCTGCTCCCGGGAGCGTCCGGCGGGCGCGGAGATGCCCGGGCGGAGCAACGACCGCGCAGAAGGTGGGGTAGGAGCTTTCGGGGGGCTCCCGGGCGGCGTGGAGCGTCGCTTGGGGCCCTTTGCGGCCGCGGCGCGCTCGGCGGGGCAGGCATACTTTTTTCCAGAGCGAAGTGCCCGAGCATCGCCGGTCCTGGCGCACCATCGACGTTCCCCCGCGGTGCTGCCTCTGGCGCGCTCAGCAGAGTAGGTTCCTGCGTCCCCCCGCAGCGCCAAGCCACCCCGGGCCGTAAGATACACTCTCCGTAGTCAGACAAGCTCCTGAGGTGCGTCCCCTGCCCCGACGACCCCCTCGATGCGTCGCCGCGAGCCCCCCTGCACGGATTGAGGCCCTGCACAGCTCTCCGGCAGCTTCCCGAGCCGCGGCACGCACGCACACGCCCGCGGAACGCGTTCTCGCGACAGCTGCATTGCATCCGGCGGGGCCCGGGGCGCCAAAACTCCCCCCAAGCAGCCGCGCGAGGCGGTGAGCCCTGCGGGGCCGCAAGCCTGCCCTGGCGCCGCGATGCGGGCCAGCGGTCTCCGAGCTCGGCGGGACACCTGCCGGCACGACGGGACACGTGCCTGCGCCGCTGTGTGTGCGCGCAGGGAGGCGGAGGCGGGCCCCTGGCAGCGGCGGGGGAGCCTGCTGCAGGAGGTGCTTGGAGGTTTGCGCGAGAGGCCGTGCTGGCGCGCGCGGAGCCCGGGGCGCCGGTCAGGCGCGGTCTCGCGACGGGCAGGATGCCAAATGCGCGGGAGGACCCCACGTCGGGCGACCACGTGGTGGCGGTGAGCGCCGGTTCGAGCCACACCGTGGCCCTTCTCAACACCGGGCACACGCTCGCGTGGGGCAACGGCGAGGACGGGCAGCTCGGGATGGGCGACCCGCAGCCGCGCTTAGTGCCCACGATCGTGCCCGCGCTCACGGGGAAGGGAATCACGGCGGTGTACAGCGGTGCGGAGCACACAGTGGCGCACTGCCCCGCCCAGAAGCTCGTGTACTCCTGGGGCTGGGGCGATTTCGGGCGACTGGGCCACGGGCACTCGAACGACGTCTTCGTGCCGCTTCAGGTGCGCCCCCGCGCGCCGCCGCGCCCGCGGAGCAGCGCTCAGGTCATCTGCAGCGCACCACGCGCCCGCCCGCGCTGCTCCTCCCCGGCGCGCGCGCCACCCACATTTTCCCCGAGCCGCCGGGTCCTGGCGAGATCCCCACCCTCGCGCCACGCTTCGCAGATTTCGTCCCTTTCCGGCATCGCTATCAAGCGCGTTGCTTGCGGCGACAACCATACCATGGCGATCACCGCGAACGGGACGCTCTTCGCGTTCGGGCGGAACCAGAACGGCCAGCTCGGCCTCGGGCACACGGAGGACGTCCTGACGCCGACGATCGTCGAGAACCTGAAGGACACGCGCGTCGGGGACGTGTCCTGCGGGGCGGAGCACACCGTCGCGTGTAGCGGCGACGGGACCGCGATCTACGCGTGGGGCTGGGGGCGGTACGGCAACCTCGGCAACGGCGACCGCGAGGACCGCCACGTCCCCACCAAGGCCGAGGGCCTGCCGGAGAACGTCACGTGAGTAACCCCCGACGTAATGCCGCGCGTTGCCGCGGCGCGCTGCCCCTGAGGCGTGCACGCGCGATCGCGCGCCGGGGCTGAGCAGCGGCGGGCTGTGTGCGCTTCTGGACGCGCGTTTCCGCGGAGGCGGCGTCGCTGGGAGAGGGTTGGTGCGCAACCAGTGTGTGCGTGTGTCGCGGCGCAGGGTGGAGTCGGTGGCGTGCGGGTGGCGGCATTCCGTCGCAGTGTGCAAGGGCGGCGCGGTGTACACGTTCGGGTGGGCCAAGTACGGCCAGCTCGGCCACGGCGACCGCATTGACTGCCTCCGACCCAAGCTGCTCGAGGCGATCAAAAACGTCACCTTCGTGGCCGGCGGCTGGCGCCACACAGGTGCGGCATCATCCCCGAGGCCGTGGCCGCGCCGCGCCGTGCCGCGCCGGCCCGCTCCGGCCCGCAGAATCAAATCAACATCACCGTGTGTGCGCCGGGCTGTTTGTTGTGCAGCGGCGCTGTGCGAGGACGGGCTGGTGTACACGTGGGGCTGGAACAAGTTCGGGCAGCTGGGGCTCGGCGACGACGAGGACCGCGACGTCCCGTGCCTGGTCGCGATGTCGGAGCGCACCCCCGTGCTGTCAGTGAAGTGCGGGTGGCGGCACACAGTCGCGCTGACACGCTGCCACAAGGTCTTCTCGTGGGGCCGGGGCGTCGACGGGCAGCTCGGGCACGGCGCCACGGACGACGCGCTGCTCCCGCGCGAGCTCGAGGTGCTCTCCGCGCCCCGGCTCCGCGTACAGGACCTGCCTGCGGGCCCCGTAGCTGCGGTCGACCAGGAGGTGGACGCGATGGACCAGGGGTACGCGGTGGTGCCGGAGGATCCGTCGGCGAAGCGGCAGAAGGTGTAGCGCGCCCGGGACGCCGGGCCGCGCCGGTGCGGACGTGTTGAGGGTGCGCGGCGCGAGGTGCGGATGTGGGGGCGGTGCACGCGGAGGGGGCGCCGGCAGCGTGCGGCGCTGTGACTGGACTGATTCGCACGTCTGCGGGGAGGCGCGTGGCCTCCGGGGAGTCGCTGAGCGCTGGCCACGCGTGCGTGGTGTGGGGTCGTGGGGATGCTCCGCGCTGGGGGCGCGGGGGCGCGGAGCAGCGACGTGCGGGGCGCTGCACGTGAGATGGATGGTGGTTGGGGCCCGAGATTCGCGGGGTTTGTCGTCGCAGAGGGTCAGGCCGACGCAGGCCACGTGTCTGACGTGTGCTCAGCACGACGTGGGCCACCGAATCCGCTCTGCGCTGCGGCTAGACGAGGCGCTGCGACCCCGCTCGCGGCGCACTATACGCATTGTTCATCCGAAATCTGACAGAGGTCCTCCGTGGTAGGCATCGAGACGAGCACCTAGCAGGGAGAATGCTGTCGACCTCGCGGCATCCGTGCGGAGCCGTGCGGCTGAACACGCACGCCCAGCGACGCGCCCGAGCGTCAACAAAGTTGGTCCGAGCCAGGGCCGACAAGGAGGTACGCCGGGGACCGCTCAGCGCTCGCAGGGGGGCGATAGGAGAGATGCCATGCTAGGAGCGCCGTCACGGCCGCTCCGGTGCCCGCGGAATGCTGAGAGGCACCCGCAGCGCAAAACCGATCCATCTCTACGTAGCGCGCCCATTCTTGCTGCGCCTCGAGTTCTCACCGAGGTGTTCGCGGCAGAAGGGTCTCCCGAACGTACCGATCGATCCCGTCGTCCCCCGGCCGTCCCCGAGCTCACGCGCGCCGTTTCCTTCATTTTTGCAGGTTCAGCTGTCGGGCATCGCCTCGCCGCGCCGCGACGCCCCCCAGAAGCTGCATGGCGACCCACGAACCCAGCTGGTAGGGGGTGGCAGCAATCCCAGCGCGGACGATCTGCGCGAGGTGTTGATGCCCCTGACGCTCTCTGGGTCCCAGATCCACGTCTACGACTACAACAGCGACGACGACAGCGAGGACATGAGCCTCACGAGCAGGTAGCCCCCTACTACATGCTTGCTCGCCACGTCGCGGCATCCCCTGCGTCTATTTCGAGCTCTCACCCGCGCCCGCCGCTGCAACCGGAACTGGCCTGTGCAGTATCGAGGTCGTGGACGACTCGGACTGGCAGCTCTGGGCGACGTGCGTTCACGGAGCTGGTGCCATCGCAACGCAACGGCCGAACGCGCCCCGGACCTGAGCCGCGACTCTGCATGCCTGCATGCCTTCCATCGATGCTGTACATTGCGCCGGGCCCACTCGCCCGAGGCCAGGCGTTGCGGCCGCCGCTTTTTCGGCTCCCAGCCACGCAGCCCAGGGGAGGCCGCTGCCCCCCACCGCAGGCCAGAAACAGCGACGGCCGCCTGTAAGCCGCAGCCAGGCACGGACCAGGCGCAAGCACCGCAGCGTCGAACCTCGCACGCGCCCCTCGCTCCCGTCCCTCGCAGCCAACCGCAATCAGCACCCGCCGCATCGGCACGTCCCACGGCCGCCACGCCCGCTCCGGTCCCCGCCAACCGCCCTTTCCGTGCCAGTCGAGCCGAGCGGGGCGCGCACCACGGCGCGAGGGGCCCTTCGCGGCCGCGTCCGGGCAGTTGGTTGTTGCTGCAGCGGTGGTGCGCGGCCCCTGCGTCCACGTGACGCGAGCCCGTGGACGCGCAGTGTGGCGGGCCCGAGATACATGTGCCGACGCCTGGCGCTCACGGCGCACGCAACCGCGGTCGACAGCCGCACGCGGCTCGCCGCCGACCACGCACGACGCGCACACCTGGCGAGCGGGGGCGCAGTCGCAACCGTTGCGCGTCGCGCCGCCGCGCCCGGACGCCCGTGGCCAGGCCTGGATCGCGCGGTGCAGGTCGCGAGCATTGCTTGGCAGCAGACGGAGTGAGAGCTAAGCTCAGCTTGACATTCAACGTCGCGTCTGTCTGGAGAGTATCAACGCACAGACCTCCCCCCTGAGCCTGGCGCTCCCCTGAAGGGGCGCGGACGTGCGCTGGACGCAGATCTCGATCGGCTCGTGCGCGGATGCACGAACGTCGGGGTCGTTCCCGCGAGATAAACTGGCCGGAAGTGTGGTGTGTGACCAATGGCGAATTTCGCCGCGAACGCCGGCGCCTCCGCGGCGCGAGCAGGGGGCGGACGGCTCGACGTCGTCAACGAGTTCCTGATCGCGGCGGACGGCGACGACCTCATCCGGCCGGTCGCCGTGTTGCGCGTCCCAGAGGCGCTGAACGGGAGCCGCCTGCAGCATGCTGTTGACGCCGTTTGCGGCAGCAACCCGCAGCTGCGCGTACAGGTCGACGCGGAACGTGGCGCGTACGCGTTTGCGGAAGCACCGCAGCCGCCAAGGGTGATCGTGCATGCAAAGGGCCGCGCCAGCGGTCTGTCGGGATACGAGAGCTCTAGCTCGAGCAGCGACAGCGACTACGAGCTGCCTGGATGTGGCCAGGCAGCGACCCGCGCAGGGGACGGCGGAGATTATTTCACAGGTGACGAGGCGACAGCGGCGATGTCTCTCGCGCCCTCGTCGGTCAGGTTCTGATCCGAAACGAGTCGCTCGTTTTCCCGCGCGAACGCGACGCACCTGCCTGAGCGAATGCCACCTCCGTGCTCTTCGAAAATTACAGGCGCCGAAGACTGGGTGATTGAAGACGAGACGTTCTCTCCATGGCTCGCGGAGCTCGCACGAGAACTCGCTACAGGAATGAGCACGGCCGACACCGCGAGCGGCGTCCCGTTCAGGTGCGACCCGGACGACCACCTTGGTTTCCGCGCCGTCCAGCTCAACTCTGCCGCGAACCACGCACCAGCTGCCTCACAAACGCAGGTTGGTTGCTGTGGTCGATCACACAGCCCGCACGACGGCGCTGGTGATGCGCGCGCACCACGCCTTGCTCGACGGCTGGTCCATGGGCAGCATCCTCCTCGCCATATGCGCCGAGTACGACAAGCCGCACAGGGGGCGCAGGTGCGCACTGCAACTGCGCACACACGCCACCACGTCCCCTCCGCCACCGATCACGACGTGACACGCCCTGCCAGCCGACCCCCGCTCTACAGGATCAGCTCCGCGGCCGTGTGGGAGGCGATGAGCCCCGGCCAGCTCCCCTGCCGCCCGCAACCAATCCTGCAACTCCAACGCACCGCAGACGCGCACCTGCGCACCTGGCAGGCCCGCCTCCGCGTCGTCCTCCTCGCCGCGCTGCACCTCGCATGGTGCTCGCTCGGCCTCCTCCTCGGAGCGCTCAACTTGTACGCCCGCGCTCAGCCAAGCGGCGCAACCCTCCCAGACACCCCCACCTTCCAACGCATCCAAACCGCGCAGCAGAGTACGCCGCGGCTGCGCCGCGTCGTCGCGATGCCGGGCCGCCCGAAGAAAGTCGCGACGCCGCCGCCGACGCCGGCGAACGCGCCCGCGCCGCTGCGCTCTTCGGCCGCCATCGCGCAACACCCCCCTGCGCCTGACTCCCCGCGGCGGGGCTCGACGGGCATGATCCGCATCCCGCTCGCGCGCCGCCGGCTGAACCAGCTGTTCACCGCCGCGGCGTCCCCGGCAGCGCCGCGGGCGGCGGGAGCGACTGGAAGCGATGCTGCGCCCGCTCAAGCGCACGCCCTGACGGCGCTCGATATCTGGCGGAGCCGGTGGCACGGCGAGCCCGTCGCCCCGCCGCAGCAGCCGCAAGCTGCGCCGGCCCCGCCGGCCGCCCCGGCGGGGCGGGACACGGCAGCGCTGTTGTCGTCGCACTCCCTGGCGTCCACCCCTGTGGTGAGCCTCGCGCCGTCGCGGCCGGGAACGCCGCCGCCCGTGGCGCTGCCGGTGTCGTCGAAGACCGCACAGGACCCCGGGGACGTCCTGTCGTGGTGCACGCGCGCCCTCAGCACCGAGCAGTCCGTCGTGCCGCCAGTGCGGTCGCTGTCGGAATCGGACGTCGCCATCCACCTGCTCGCGTCTGCGAGCACCGAGGAGGGCCAACAGACCGTCCTGCGGGGGGCTGCTGGGATCCCTGCCGAGCGCGAGGGCCCTGCCAAGCACCGCAGCACCCCATCGCTCGGCGAATGGGACCGGACCCCGTCCAGCTCCGAACCGTCCCTGCGGCGCTCCTCGGAGCAGTCCACGGACGGGGTCGCGTCCGACGCGCCCGCGGTCCCCCCGGGGCGCGGTGCGTACGTCGCAGCGACGCTGTCACAGGACGCTACGTCGCGCGTGCGCGCGGCGGCCCGGCGCAACCACGCCAAGATGGGCGCCGTCATCAATGCTGCGGCGCTGCGCGCCCTCGCCGTCGTGCTGCGCGAGCGGTCGGCGTGCGGCGACGTGGTTCTCCCGGGCACGCTGCGGCGCGCGCTGTCCACGCTGGTGCTCGGGTCCCCGTCGACGTGCCTGATGCTCGAGGCGGTGAACATGCGCGGGAGGCTGGGCGACCCGCCGGCGCCCGCGGTGATGCTTGGGTCCGGCGCGCTGCTGACCGCACATCCCGCTCCGCTGGAGCACGGTGGGTCCTCAGGTGCGGGTCCCGGGACGCGTCTGCGCGGATGTTTCGACGGCGACGCGCCCAGCGGAAGGACCGCTCGCTGCGCAACGCTTTAAGATGCAGTGCTGGATATATCAACCGTTTTTACCTATCTGATGTTGTCTCTCCAATCTGCGTTCGCGCAGGGCCCTCGGGGCTGTGGCGGCACGCCGCGCGCTGCGCGCAGTGCACGGCGCTCGCGATGCGCATCGGCCTGGCCGCCGCGAACCTCACGTGGATCTGGCTCGCGCAGCTTTTGTACGGCGTACGCGACGCTGGCATCCGCCACTTCTACGCCGCCGCCGCCGCCGCGCGCCTCGCGCCCGTCGGCGCCCTCGGTCTCTTCGTGGACAACCTCGGCGACCTGGACCGCAACCCCGCCACGCGCCTCGCCATTCCGCGGCGCTGGCGCAACCGCTTCTGCGGCGTTGGCGTCTCCGCGGGGGCGAACAGCGCCGCGCTCGCGCTCGCCGCGTGGGCGCACGTGTTCGTGGGGTCCTCGGGCGGCCGGCTGTGCGCCGTGGCGCACGCCCCGCCCGGGCGCCTGCGCCGCGCGGAGCTGCGCCGACTCCTTGCGCTCTTCTGCCGCGAGCTTCTCGACGCCAGCCGGGAGTGAGCGAGCGCCGGCGGCACGGTGCGCGCGTCTTTCCTTGCGACGCGCTCGACTGCGACTTGCCGTTGAGGACAGGGGATCGCGCGCCGAAAGAGACTCAATTGTGAGCTTGGCCTGCCCTGGCTCACGAACCGCCTGATCGGGTGCGCGCGCTTGCGCCGCGGCCTCCCGCTCATATCATGAATGCCTCCCACGGGTCCTTGGTCACCATCGGCGCGAACGACACCTTCTGGAGCCTATGCTGGCTGCTCGCCGGCACAACCTTCGCCTCGTCCCAGCCGGCCGCCGGCTCGTCGATGTGCAGCTCCGCAAGGCTGTGCATGTCGTCGGGAATGCGACGAATCGACGTGCGTGTCACGTCCAGCCGCTCCACCTTGGCGCGGCTGCACTTTGGAATGAAGCGGCTCCCGCTGACCCGCGTGCGCGACACGTCGAGCTCCTGCAGGAGATGCATGCCCCCTGGAAGCGTCCCGACGGACGCACCGCTTGCCTTGAGCACGCGCAGGGCGCCAACCGAGTCCTGTGGCAGCCAATCCGTCGCATGCAGGGCACCGCAATCTTTGACGTCGAGGTTCGCGAGTCCTCGGAGCCCGTCTGGCACGACGCGCAGATTGGACGACGATGCGTTGAGCGTCGCGAGCCTGCCGCGCGAGTCCGCGGGAAGGAAGTCGTCGCACAGTGCGTGTGAGCCAGAGACATCGAGGATCTCCAACTTGGAGAAGCCCGCGGGCAGCTTCGAGACCGGCGTGCCGGGAAGGCTCAGCTCCGTCATGTGCGCCCGCACGGCTGCCGGCAGGTCGTTCGGCAACGACTCGGTCGCGTCGTACGCGCTCTCGTTGCTCAGCTCGAGCCGCTGCAAGCGCGGCAAGTGCGGGAGCGTGCTCACGCCCGTGCGGTGCAGCCGGAGCTCTCTGAGCCGCTTGCGGGACGACGGCGGAAGCCAGTCAGCCCGGAGCCGCTGGCAGGTGCCGATCTTCAGGGTCTCGAGAGACGACATGCCCTCGGGCACGTCACGCAGCGAGGGGCACTGCGCGACGGAGAGCACCTTGAGGCGGCCGGCGACCTCGGGGGGCAGCGCAACGCACGACTCCGCGGATCCTTCCGCGCCCGACTCGTCCCCGCTGTCCGACTCGAAGCCCTGGTTCGCGGGCGCGCTCCACATGGGCCGCGTCCCGTAGTAATCGTCGTCGGCGATGTACAGCTCCTCGAGGGACGCGAAGTCCGCGGTCAGACACGTGAGGCCCATGGTCGTCGTCCTCAGCACGCGGATGTTGGCGCAGCTGCTCGCCGGTACGTGGAATTGCCCGTCCTCGCCGTCCTCGCAGCGAATGTAGCCGATGTCGAGCTCCTCGAGGTCCTCGAGGTCCTCGGGCAGCTTGCACGCGGCCGTTTGGTTCAGCGTGAGCTTGCGCAGGCGCATCCACGAATCGTCAAAACTCAGTGGGATTGCGTCAGGGTGCGACCAGTCCGAATACATGGCCTCGTTGTCGTCGAAGTGCAGCTCCTCGAGCATCGACAGGTCCGGCATCTCCTGGATGTTCGTGCCGTTGGCCAAGACCCTCTCGAGCTTCGGAAGAGGCGCCAGCCAGCACGGGTTGTCGTCGTCCTCCATCGGACTCCAGCCTTCGGCCATGTAGCTGCCGTCGTGGTGCAGACCCATACAGCCGCTGACGTTGACCTCCTGCGCGCCGAGGACGCATTTGACGGTCGACATTACCAGAGCTATGTTGAGGGACTGATAAAAAAACGCTCTTCAGCGCAATGCGAATCGATTGGACCGCATCAAGTGGAACTGCACGCCGTCTCCGGACGCGGCTTCGGCCAGGCGCAGAGGCGATGCATGCGCAGGCAGTGACCCAGGTCCGACTGAGTCAGCGATGGGTCTCACCTTGAGGTGCTCGAAGTACGCCGGTATGAACAAATTCCACGTTTGCACCCCCGCCACGTCGAGCACACGCACGTTCTTCACGCTGTCCTCCGGAAACATGTCGCACCCGGGCACCTCCTTGAACTGGAGCGGACACTCCCGCAGCGCCACCCACTGGAGCTGCTCGCAGCCCGCCGGGATGCCCCGGACGTTGGATCGCGAGGCGTCGAGCACCTTCAGGGAGGCGCGGCTCGACCGGGGCAGGAAATCAACCGCGAGATGCTTCGCGCCCGACACGTCGAGCTTTTTCAGACATGTCATGTCTCCTGGGAGCCTCTCGATCGCCCGCCACGCCTTGTGCGCCGCCGTCGCGTTCCTCTCGAAGTCCGTGACGCTGCGCGGCCGCCCGCCCCCGAACGGATCGCCGGTGTCAAATGGGACACCCCCCCCCCACTCCAGTTCTTCACGCGTGGGCTCGCCGAGCGACAGCACCGAGGGGGCGTACTTGAGGACTTCGACGGCGTACATGCGCTCCGCCTGTTCGAGGAAGCGAAGGATGCCCGGAGCCGTGCACTCGGAGGGCTCGAGCGTCTCCAGAGCCTCGGTTAGGAAGTACATATAGCACGGGCGCATGAGCAGGCCGGAAACGCCGACATAGCCTCGGGCGAAGTCCCAGTGCGACGTGTACTCGACCTTCAGGCGCCGGAGGAGCCTGCACGACGTCGCAACGCGCTCCGGCGTGTCGACGCGGACCTGCAACGTGCATGTCGGGCGCGACGTTGTTGCTGCGTGGGATCGCCGCGGACGGCACGCGCGCGAATGAAACAACGCGGCAGCCCGGCCACGCCCTCGTGCGACTCGCGCATCCGCGCACTCGGGCGTCGTTGAGGTTGTGGGGCGGGGAGGGCTTGACGGGCGTCGTACGACGTCGAGCTCGCGGTGCAGGAAGCGCGAAAGGAGGATGGTCGGTGGAGGATCGGTTCGGTGGTCTGTGCGCACGCACCTGCCATGCGATGCGGCCAAGCGTGTCGTACGTACTGCCGCCCCCGTACGTGTCCCAGACGCGCTTGGGGCCCTGGTGGTCGAGCATGACGTGCGTGAAGCACTTTGTCGAGCAGGCCGCGAAAGCGACGGTGTCGCGGAGGTCCAGCCGCGAGATGATGTTGCGCAGCGCCGTCCACTCGAGGTCGAAGAGGCCCGGGGCCGTCGCCACTCGCTCTGCTTCTGCGCAGAAACAGAAGAAGGCGCGAGGCTCCGGAACAAGCGCAAAATGCAGGTATTTTGACTGTTTCGAGGAAATGACAGACGATACGCGTCTGAAGCGCCCGTGGGAGGAGCGCAAAAGCCCTCACAGGGGCGGACAGCGGGCACTGAGAGCAACGTGCGCCTTTTGGCGCCAAGCCGAACCTGGTCGCCCAGAGGCCTTCGATGCCCTGCGGGCCCGACTGCGGGTCTGCATAGCGCTTGTCTCTCAGCTGCGCAGCCCGTCTCGGGCCGTCTTGTCGTCAGCAGCCACAATCACGGCCTGCAATGATCGGAGCTGTCCCTTTTGTAGGGCGGGGCTGCGGACGAGCGCTGTACGTCGTCGCGCTGACTCGAAGGAGGTCATGCGTCAAGTCACTCGCCCACAACGCGCGCCTCCCTCACGTCGCGCGCCGGCAGAGCGACGTCCGAGGTTCCCCACGGAGCCCCCCGGGTGCGTTCCGTGACACCCTCAGGGCCGCCACGACGGAACGGCCTGCCACGGCGCGCTCCCCGCCATCAAGACGTACACTGATGACCTGCGACGTGACTCTGCGCGCGACGCTGCTCCACGACGCGGCACACGGAAAATGAGTCACATGAATTGCTTATTCGATTGATTGATCATCAATCATTGGTCCTCTCGATCACGTGCAAGAGCCGACCCCCTACCTTCCTTCCCCGCATCCCTCCGCTGCACGCTCACCCTCCCGCCTCCTCGTCCCGCTCAGACCCCCCCCCTGACCGCAGCGCACCCTCCGCGTCCCCTCCGAGCTCAGACTCAGACGACCTCGCCGCCGCAGGACGCCCCGCACCCCTGCCTTCGTCCCCGTCAGCCTGCTCTGCGTCCCAGCCGCCGCCAGGCTCCATCGCGGGGGCGCTTGGCTCATCGTCGTCGTCAGCAACAAGGTCCGGGTCTGGCATCGCGTGCACGCCCCAGGAGCCCAAGAAGCGCCAGCCGCGCGGCGGCTGCTTCGTGCGCGGGTCCTCAGAGCCGGAGTCGACGCCTTCGGCGGCGTCTGTGCTCGGCGCGGTGGAAGCGTCGTCGTCGGGGCCGCCGGTCCACTCCAGGGCGACGTAGGCGAGATGGTCGCACTGGTACACCATCATGTCGGGCTTGATCATCTGGTAGATCGCTGCGCGCAAGCGCGCGGAAATACCGAGCTGCTGTGGGCTCGAAAGGCGAGCGGCACGACGGAGCGTGTGTCTCATGGGTTGGGGGGGTCTCTCGCGCACCTGTCACGGCCTGCCCGTGCGTGACGCACAGAGCGGTGGCATCCTCGGGGATGGCCTCGGGTCCCGTCGCCAGGTCGCGCAGCGTGCGCTCATACCGCACGCAGGAGTCCCCCACTGACTCAGGGAACTCTGGTAGCTCCCCCACGAACCCGATCACGGCGTCCTTGAACGCGTCGGAGAACTCGACCGCGCGCCCGTCGAACCCCCCCGGGCCGAAGAGCCAGTCCTGCGAGCACACCACGCCGAGTAGGTTGCCGGTCTTGCAATCGCTGTTTTGTGGCGCGCAGGCGGCTTGTGGGGGCGCGACGAGCGCGTGCCGCCACGAGGGCGGCGGCCGGTCGTGCGGGGAAGCGCTGCGGTGCGCGCGGTGTTGAGGCAGGAGGGGTGTGCGGTGCTCAGCATCAGTGATGCAGTCCATGCGATGTCATGCACCCAGCGCGGAGCTCGCGGCAGCGTCGCGCGGCAGCGCGCGACCGCCTCAGTCCGGGGCGTGTCGGCCGGCATCGTACGGGAGCTTGCGGGCGTTGCTGAGCAGCTGGCGCGGAGTGACAGCCGAGCTGTTACGCTGCCCCCGCGCGCGCGCTTCCCAGGAAACCCGCGCCGTGCTGTCACGGCGCGGCTCACACCTTCACGGAGCAACACGCCGGGGCCGGCGGCGAGGCCCGCTTAGGGTGCGAACACGCTGGCAGGCCGCGTGTTGCTAGGGGGGGCGCGCTGGCAACCCGGGGCGCCTTGCCTGTGGATCTCGCAGCGCGGGATCATCCTCCCGTCCGACCATTCGCGTATTTCGTGCATTGAGGTGCTCGGCGAGCCCCATGTGGACGCACATCTTGTCCAGCGGGAGCGCGCCGTGCTCCCTGAGGACCGCATGGGACGTTTGCAGGCACCGCAGCAGCGGGCTGGACACGAGGCGGTCTATCTTGTCGAACCCAGCGTCCCGCAGCCTCTGCGACGCCTCACGGCACTGCACCTGCGCGTGCTCTGTCAGCGGCGGGTCCCACGGAGCGGCCGCGCTCTCCGCGAAGGTGCTGTCTACCTCGTCCAGGCGCTGGCCGTGGCGGACCACTATGAATCGTCGAGGCATGCCGCATGCAGATACAGAGAAGGGGCTTGGTCCAGGAACCGCGCTCAGAAAGCGCCTAAAGTGCCGCAGTGAGCTGCAAGACGCTTCCCTCTGTGTGTTTCCAGCTGACAGGTCGCCCACGACCACGCACTGGCTGTCCCTACGCACACGACGAGGCAATGAGCTCAGCCGCTCACGGCCGCGCCCACTGAAACACGCCACACATGCACGCGGGGGGGCCTCATCCCCCTCAAACCTGACTCATGCTCTCTCAGTTCGCGCCTGGCAGCACCCGCCCGCGGCCCCGCACGACGTTCCCTCCACACAGCGTCCCGAGCACATCCGCGCACCGGCCGAGCTCGCTTCACACCCCCCCACCCGCTTTACCCCCCCCCCGTCACTTCCTACTTGCGGCCCCCGCCCGCCGCGATGTACGGGTGCTCCGCGGCCTCCGCGACGTCCATGCGGTCCTGCTGCCGGTGCGCGAGGCACCGCCGCATGAACTCCTTGCCCTGCTCCGACACCTTGGGCTGCGCGTCGAACGTCACCTCGCGCGTGTCATTCAGCATCACGCCGTCCCGCAGGATGCGCTCCTGGCTCATGCCGTCCCCGAACGGCCGCCTACCGTACAGCATCTGGTACAGGATCACGCCCACCGCCCACACGTCCACCTTGCTCGTGATGCGCGGTGCGCCGCCCGTGGCGCTCGAGGCCGCCTGGAAGCACTCCGGCGGCAGGTACCAGTACGTCCCGCAGCCCTGCGACGTGAGCTCGAGGCCCTGCGTGTGGCCCTCCGCCACGACCTTGGAGAGCCCGAAGTCGGAGATCTTGACCTCGCCCGTTCTGCCAAACAGAATGTTGGCGGGCTTTAGGTCGTAGTGGATGACGCGCGGGCGGTCCGGGCCGCCGCCCTCGGAGATGTACCGCAGCCCCGCGAGCACCTGCGTGATCACCGCGCGCGCCTCCTTCTCGGGCAGAACCTGCGCGCGGCAGCGGGGTGCGTAAAGCAGCACGCGTCGGCGCGGCGGATCTCGCGCGCGCAACGGAGCGCGAGACAGTGCAGAGCGGGGCGGGGAGCGCGGCGCCTACTCGGATACCCGCGGCGACCGAGAGAGGGGGGAAACAACCATGAAGACTTTTTGTGCAATGCGGTGTGATGCGCGCGGGAGAGCACGGGCGAAGCTCGCACGCACCCGGTGTTCCTTGAGGTGCTGGTCGAGGTCGCCGCCCTCGCACATCTCGAGCACCGTCGCGAACGCGGACCCGTCCGACCCGTCCACCTCGAACACGTCCAGCTGCTGCACAACGTTCGGGTGCCGCAGCGTCTTGTGGATGTCGTACTCGCGGATGGCGTGCCGGATGTAGTTCTGCCGCCGCGGCTCGCTCCAGCACGAGTCGATCTGGTGCAGCTTGCACGCCACCACGCGCATGTCGCGCAGGTCCCAGGCCTTGAACACCTCGCTGAAGCCGCCCTTGCCGAGCAGCGAGAGGAGGATGTAGCGGTCGTTGAGCATCTCGACGCCCGCGAAGCGCGACTGCTCCTGCGCGCGCGTGCGCTTCAGCTCCTGCGAGTGCCGCAGCACTTCGAGCTGCACGCGCTCGAGTTCGCGCTCCAGGGACTTCTCCTGCCGCTTGATCGCCGCGAGCCGCCCGTCGAGGCCCTCCTTGCGCTGTATGAACTGCGCGGGGTCCATCCGCGGGGCGTCCGACGCCGCCGCGCGCGCCCCCGGCGCCAGCGGCTTGTGGTTGCGATGCAGGTCTGCGCGCGCCTCCTCGACCTCCCGCCGGCGCCGCTCCAGCGACTCCTTCTGCTTCTCGAGCTCCAGGACGGCCAGCCCGGGCTCCCACGCCTCCGAGAGCTGCATGCCGACGCGCTGAATCCCCAAATAGCCCAGCGTGGATGACTTGACGGCAACGCGCATGCCGTCCGCGTCGCGCTGCGCCCGCGCGAACCAGATGGCCAGGCGGCGCATGGCGCGCTCGGCGCGCGCGCGGTACTCCATGTGCGCTGCGCGGACGGCGCCGGCGTCGCCCTCGGCGCGCGCCCGGGCGGCGTCGGCGGCGCGCGACGCGGCGCGCTCGGCGTCGAGGGCGGCCTCGGCGGCCGCGGCGCGCGCGCGCGCTCGACTCGAGGGCCGCGGCGAGGCGCTCGCACTCGGCGCGCGCCGCGGCGAGCGCGCGGGCGTCCCCCGGGCGCCCGACGTCGCGGGGGGGGTCGTGCGCGCCGCCGCGGGCCGGGTGCTGCGGCGGCGCGACGACCTGGACGTCCGGCTCGAAGCCTGCGCGCGAGTGCCCGTCGCCGTCGAGCGCCGGGGCCGCCCGGGGCGCCCCGGCGCGGACCTGAGCGCTGATGAAGGCGTCAGGGGCCGGGGCCGCGCCGCCGTCGCCGACGCCGAAGATGTCGAGGATGGTGCGCTGTCCGCGCAGCGTGTTCGCGCCGCCGCGCTCCCGCCGGCCCGCGCCGCCCACCGCGCCGCCGCCGCGGCTGGGGGTGTTCCCGCCCCGCGTCGGTGTGGCGCCGTCAGGCGTCCGCGGCGGCTGCTCCCCGACTGCGGCGACGCACGCGGGGCGCAACGGACGCGCGCTGTGAGCACGCGGCGAGGAAGAAAGCCGCGCCGCAAACGAGCGCGCCGGGTCAGGACGTATGCGCGTCGTGCAGGGGCTGGGGGCGGCACCTGTGGCGTTGGAAGCGCTCGGCTGGGGTCCCTGGTCGGTGATCTCCGCAGAGACGGCGGGGGCGTCGCGGTTCGCGCGGACGTGCCGCCGCGGCTGCGCGGCTTTGCGCTTCCCGCCGGAAGTGGGCAGCGGGTCGCGCGAGGGCCCGGGCGGGGGCTGCGCGGGCGCTGGCTGGCCCGCCGGCTGCGCTCCGTTCGAGAGGTCGGCGAAGTGGTCCAGGCGCGGGCGCTTCGCCGCGCCCTGGCCCTCCAGGTTGCCGTCGGCGGCCTCGGGCTCGGCCTCCCGGCGCAACGAAGGCGGACTGCCTCCGTTTTGCGCCTCCTCTTGGGTCTGCGGGCGCAATGAGCACGTAGTTCGGTCGGTCGTTCGCGTGGGCCGGCGGAGGGGCGCGGTTCGCGGTGGCGCGGCGCAGCGGGCGCGCGCAGCGGGCGCGCGAAGGTCGAGCAGCTGGCGGGCGCGCGAGTGCATGAATTGTGCGCGGGAGACGCTCTGAGGGCCCGCGAGGCGCGGAGGAGGCGCGCGGGAGGGGCCTCTGGCGTTGGAGAGCAGCGTGGGGTGGAGCTTACCTGCGTTCCGGGAATGACGGCGTTGAGCGCGCCCTGGGATCCGTAGCTGTTGCCGGTGGGAGTGCACACGCCGTTGTCCGCGGCACGGGCGGATTCGGGCCCGGCGGCCTGGTCCCGCGGCGAGCACTGGGGCCAGTTCGAGGCCGGGCGCGAGGAGCCGAGCTCGACGCGCTCTCCCGGGTTCACGCCAAGCATCCTCCGCTCCAGGCGGGGCAGCTTGCTCTCGTCCACGCTAATCGTGCTCATCCGCGCGGCTTTCGATCGAAATGGACGACGGCCTGGACCTATGAATTTCTACCGGACGTTCCGGGATGGCGGGAGCGCTGAGTTGCCCGCAAACGCGCGTGCCCGCCCTGCTGAAAGCGCTCGCGCGCGGTCGCCCCGCCCGGCCCGCTGGCGCCTCCGAAAGATTTGCGCACCCGCGCGGACGGAAGTCGCAATTGAGACTATCGTAGTTCGCGCGAGCCGATGCTGCGGCCCTCGGTCGGCCCTGGACTCGCGAGTGTCCCCACTGGAACGACCAGGAGCGCAGAATGGGCCGGCAAGGGCCTCGAGATGCAATCTGACGCTCGCTCCAGCTCCGGACGTGGTCAGAGTGGCGACCGTGCACCGCGCGGCCTGCTGATGATGGCCGGGCAGACGGCCCGGGTCGCAGAAGGACACTGGGGTAGAACATATGCCGCGGGGGAGTCCCGCCTGACGGCACACGGCGCGGCACGCCTCGCACCGGACGACCCGCCGCCCGCCACCGACAGCGGACCCTCCTCGCGAGGCCAGAGCCACCGCGTCGGTCACATGCGATGCTCACACACAACTGCTAGTCTGTCGCCCCCCGCCGCTGCAGGCAGGACTTCCTGCCGGTCCGTGCTCGGGCGCTCTGTTTGCGCTGTCCCCGCGGGCGCCTGGGGCCCCGTCGACGCGCGTGTTGCCGCTCATATTCTACACGTAGGTGTTGGCGAACATCTCGTGGGCATTGATGTCCGCCACCTGCAGCTCCTGCACGAGCTGCTTCCGCGTGGCCTGCCGGGACATTCCCGGCGCAGCCCGCCCGCGGCGCACGTTCATCGCGGACTCCATCGTCGTCAGCGGCTTCGGCGACGGCGCCGCGCCGTCGCGGTCGCTGTGGTACGACGCCTGCGACACGGAACAACGCGGGAGCAGGGTGGGCGCGCAGCGCGGCGTTGCCGGCCAGCAGGAGCGCCGTCAGGCCCTCGCCGCGGATGAAATGCTCTCACGCACACACTTTGCACGTGATAATAACGGCTAGAGGGTTAGCCTGGTCTCCAGCGTGTGCCAACCTCGGCATGAGTACGTGGATTGCGCACGCGAACGGACATCACGCAAGCCGTCGCGGGTGCGCACCCTCGGCAGCTCCGCCGCGGACCCGGCGTCCGCGTCGACCACCGCAGTGCACGGTGCCGATGTCCGCGCGACGTCGACTCGCGGCGCCGCCGCGCCGATCCCTGGCATGCCCGACAGGCTCGCCATCTTGGCTTCGACAGCGTGCTGCACGACGGGGTCCACGCCGGTCGTGCGGGCCTGCGAGCACAGCCGAGCGAAGTGCTGCGACCCATCGCACCCGCCCGCCAGAAGAATGTGGCTCGCGTGGTCGACCGCCGCCATCACCGCCACCGCGAGCGCCGTGTCCGTCCCCGCCGCCGCCTCCAGCCGGCGCACAGGGCGCCCCAGGAACATGTCCCGGGACGAAAACGGAACGCCCTTCCCGCCAACGACCAGGCGCATCGCAGGGGGGGTGTCTCCGCTCGGCAGCTGCGCGCGCGCGGGCGGGGCTGCCTCCCACGCGCCCGTCCGGCCGGCGTGGCGGAACGCCGTGGAGAGGTCCGGAGCGCGCGTGCGCAGGAGGTGCCACGGCACGCCGCACGCGGGCTCCAGACCGGCGTCGGCGGCCTCGTGGTCGCGCACGACGTAGATGTCGAAGTTCACGCGACGGGACGTCGGCCTGCAGGCAGCGCGAGGCGACGGCGTCGTGGCGCGCCGGACGCGGGATGTGACGGGGCGCGCGCGCGTCGGGAGTGGGTTGCTCGCCTGTGGAATTTCGGGGCGACGACGGCCCTGACTTGCCCGCCGCGATGGATGACGTGGCACGGCACGGGCGTGCAGACCCAGGAGATGCCGTACAGCGGCTGCCCGCCGTCGAGTTCGAGCACCGCGGAGGTCTCCTCTGAAACGAGCCCGGCCGGGAGCTCCGCGTCGTCGGCCTGGAGGTGGTTCTGCGCGCAGGGGCGTCGGAACGGGCGTGCATGCTGTCTCGGTGATGAGTGCGGCGGTTCGTTCCCGGGGCGCGCGCGCGGGCGTGCGACAGCTTGGTGGCTCCGAATGGGCCGTTTCCTCCGCACTCGGGCCGCGGAGCAAGCCGCTGCGTCGCGAAACTCGCTACGTCGTATGTAGGGGGCGCGCTGAGCGGGCCTGCGCGCCCCGAGCGATTCGCGCCCGCACGCGCGGCCCGCTGCATTCGTTGCTGTCAACGTCGACCTCAACTCGATTCGGAATCGAGGGCGCGGCTCTGCGCCTGCGTGGCTCGAACAACACCAACAGCCCCTCTCCGGCGCCGCTGCTTCCGTCCGGCGCACGGCACGGCCAGTTTTGCGGCCCGCAGAGCTCGATTTTCGGCCGCATGAGGCATTCTGTCTTCTTCAGTCCGGGCCGCGTGCCTTAATGCCGAACCGCATCCTGCCGCACGCCGTGATGACCTTGACTGCGTCCGTGCCGGAGCTCGCGAGGCCCAGGGCGAGCTCCGGCATGAACAGCACGCCGTCGCCGTCGCTGGCCGCACCACCGTGGAGGCAGCCTGCACACAGGCCTGCGCCTGCGCCGGGCGCCTCGCGCGACGCCGTGCACCCCATGGCGACCTCGAGGCAGACACAGGATCTCAGGGCCGCGCAGGCAGCTCGTTGCGCGTGCCTAGGGGTCGCGCTGAGCGAGTCCCCGCGCGCCGTCCGCGGACAGGTGCGCTTGGCCTTCGGTGCCTGTACACGCGCGCATGCCACGAAGTCCACGGCGCGGGCGAGGAGCGCCCGCAATGGCCGCCGCCGGCGCCGCGTCGCCGATCGCAGCCCGACATCAGTAGACCCCCCCTGGGCCCTCGGCGCGACGACGAGGCCGAAGTGCGACCCGTCCGCGACGCCAGCATGCAGCTCGCGAGACAGCGCTGCTCGGTCCGCCGCGGCCTCATCAGCAACTCGAAATGCCAGTCAAAAACATATTTGCTGAGATGCAAATCAGAGTCCCTGCTTGACGCCAACCACTGGCCGACGACGCCGAGCGCGCCCAGTGCGCTGCGTGCTCCGTGAGAGGTGCTCTAGCATGCACGAGCTGTCTGTGCGCCCGTGCGAGTCGGGCCAGACACGACACGGCGCCTGCGCGTGGCTCGAAGTGCTGCTCCTCCGTGAAGCACTGCCGCCGCTCCGACGGCGCGCTCGCAGACCTCATCGGTCCATGCGGCTCCTCTCAGCCACCGAGCGGCCGCGAGCGACATGCGACGCCGAACTTGCACCTGATGTAGCAAAACACCCCCACATGCTCACGGAGCGCCCGCGTTCTTGGCGCGGACACAACGACCAAGGTACTCTGCGTGGTGTTCGTCGGATTCAATGCACGGCACCTGCGCCGCGAGCCAACCTCGCTCCCTCGCTCCCTCGGCTCCCTGACTGTGTCTGACACCGGGCTGAGCTCGGCACGAGCGGCGGGGTGCACGTTGGGCGGCGCGGGCGTGTGCGGGGCGTCAGTATGCGCGCCGCAGCGCAGCGGCGCAACCACGTTTACCCCGCGAACGCCCCTGTGCTGGAGTGGCGGTGTGCTGAGAGGGGGCCGGTCGAAGCGAGGCGTGCGGGGGTGTGACGACGGGACGCGGCAGCTGAAGGTGCGCTCAAGTATATGACGTGTGGTTTCATGCGAGTGACGGGACGCCCGGCGGCCTGCAATCGTCGCCACACCACACTTTGATGGGACTGTTTTGCCCGAGGTGCACCGGGCGGGGCTCCCGGACGTATGCTGGGGGGGCTCCCGGGCGTGTGCCGCACTGCAGATTGTTGTTGAACACTCGCCCGGACATCGCGAGCACAGGGCGGAGTCGCACGCGGGCCCACAAGGTGCCTGCTGGTAGTTGGATGCGCTTGGGGTGCGCTGCGACGCGTTTGCGGCGGGATCTCACTCGCGGCTGGATGAACAGCAATCACAGCACCATGCACGGGGCTCGGCGGGGCTTGTGTCGCGGGGCACGCGCACGAGCGGGGCGTTGCTGCCAATGCACGCGTGGTGGCGGAACCGACGCGATGCAATCATACTGGTGCCGGTGCCACGCAGGTGCTGGGATTGCGCGAGGCAAGGATCCCACCAGAATGAAGACCACAAGCACACAGAGCAGGTGCGCACCACCTGCCCACGCGCGCTGCAGCACACCCTGCCGCGGCTGCAACGGCACGGGGACGCTCACACGTCGGTCCCCCCACGGCTCAGCATCGCAGGTCGCGCGGGGGCGACATGTCGCTGCTGGACCTGCACCTGGCGGGGGGCGGCCCGCTGTCGACCATCGTGACTACGTGCCTGGACGACGCGGGACGAACGGCGCTGGCGGCGGCGTCGTCGGCGTGCATGGCGCGGGTGATGGAGGCCGCGGACGGGTGCACGTGGAAGCCACCGAGCATCGCTGTCGCGCGCAGCGTGGCGGAGCGGCTGTGTGCGCAGGGCATGGACGGGGCGACGCGGTCGACGGTGGAGTGGGCGGACGGAGCGGTGAGGAGATGGACGCGGGCGGGCGGGGCGGTGGGCGACGCGTCGGCGATCGTGGCCGTCCGTGGCGACCGTCCAGAGTCCCACCAAGAGCTCTTGACCGCAGACATGAGGGGGGTGGAACGCATCGAGATCGACCTGGACCTGGGACCGAGCGTTCACGAGGTATTCCCAGAGCTCGCAACGGACGCGTGGCTGCCCAAGCGTGTGCGGCCGGGCCTGCGACGGCTCGCTGTCACCGGCATTGAGAATCTACGTCGCGTGCCGCCAGGGCTGACGTCGCTCGAGGAACTCGATGTATCTTGGTGCGGCAATCTGGCGGGAGGAGACCACTGGCTGCCGGCCAGCTCCGCGGCCAAGCTCAAGAAGCTCAGCGCGTCATGCACGAACGTCACCCGCTTCCCCGCGGACATGGCCTGCCTCGAGGAGCTGCATGCGCCGGGCATCAATGGCGAGGAGTGGCTGCCGGAGAGCTCGGCGAGGAGCATCAGGGTGCTGCGGATGGACGAGCTGAACAAGCTGCCACGGGGCCTGGACGCGCTGGAGGAGCTGCGGATCGAGCTGCAAGACATCCCCCTGGGTGGCGACGAGGAGCGTCTGAGTGAGGCGTACTTTGCGCCGCTGACCGGCGGGTGCCTGCGGCTTCTCGAAGTGTGGCCATCCAGCACCATGGACAGCATCGTCGGCATTTTCGCGAGGTTCGGGCAGCTCGAGCGGCTCAACTTGGCCAACTGCTCCCTGCCCGAGCCCTTCGCTCTGGACGAGTATCGCATGGACCACCTCAAGGAGCTCGATCTGAGCTACACCACGGTGCGGCGCTTGCCGCGGGCGCCGATGCTGGAACACCTAAACCTCTCTGGTTGCCGGGACCTCGCGGTGGACTTCCTGGACGCCGGCTCGCGCGCGAACGTCCACACGCTGTGCGCGAACAACAGCGACATCAGGCGCGTGCCGTCGGGAATGTGCGCGCTGACGGAGCTCCGGTTGGGCTCCTGCGTTGATCTCGCGGAGGGCTTCCTCGACGACAGCTCCGCGGGACGCATCAAGACGCTGTCGTACACGGGCGATCTGGCGCGGCTGCCGGCGAGCATGACGTCGCTGGAGCGGCTGAGCGTCAGCTCCTGCTCGGGGTGGGTGAGGGCGGAGGTGGCAGCGGGCGTGCGCGCTCTGAGCTGCGACTTCATGACAGTTCGCTCGACGGCAGGGATGTGCGCGCTGGAGGAGCTGGAGTTGCAGGAATGCACCCTGCGGGGCGAGGCGTGGGTGAGCGAGGAGTCGGTGCCAACCTTGCGGCGGCTGAAATTGAATCGCTGCCGTGGACGGGCGCTGCCGGGAGGGTTGGCGGCGCTGGAGGAACTGTCCGTTGGCTGGTGGGATCACTCGCTGGCGCTGGAGCTGCCAGCCACGTCGGTGGCGAAGCTGAGATGCGTCCGCGTCCACGAGTGCGTGTTGCGACGCCTCCCTGCCAACATGGAGAGCCTTGAGGAGTTTCGAACCGAACTCAGCGTGGTCATCGATGCCGACTGGCTTCCGGCCAGCTCGGCGCGCAAGTTGAAGCACCTGGGCGTGCCCTGGCACGATCCGGAAATCCTGGGCGGCGACCCCGGCGCACGGCCACCGCGCACTGGACTCGACCCGCTCCCCCCGGGAATGACGGAGCTCGCACACCTCGATGTGTCAAGCTGCGAGTGGCGCGACCCGAACGACTTCCTGCCCACGAGCTCGGCAGCGAGTCTGAGGAGCCTAGTCGCCGAGCTCAGCAATATTCGCCGCCTGCCGCCAGGGATGGTTGCGCTGCGGGAAGTCGACGTTCGTCGCTGCGGAAGTCTGGACGCCGACTGGCTCCCGAGGAGCTCCGCGGCGAGCGTGACGACGCTGAAAGCGTCCGGGAGCAACCTGCGCGGCTTGCCGATTGGATGTTCGAACCTCGAGACCGCGGAGTTGTGCCATTGTCGGGAACTGCGGAAGCACGACTGGGTTGCGAGGCGCTGGGCGGGGCGACTGCGGGAAGTGGACCTGACTTGCAGCGGCGCCGCGAGCGCCCCCGCATGGGCCACGTTTCGGTGTCCTGGGCTAGAGTGAGCGCGTGAACGACAGCACTCAGTTTGACGAGCGCAGGGGGCGCATGCCGGACGCGGGTGCCGGTGGGTCGAGAAGCGCGGTGAGAGGGTGTGCCGGGTCCTGCGCAGGCCCGTCGTCGGGGCCGCTGCTCTTCCCTCTGTCCACTTGACCCTGCTCTGAAGCACACACGCGCGTGTGTGCTTGTGACATTGTGCGACGTCGCTGCACGTGCGGCCCCTGCACTCAGCGCCGCGAGCCACCGTGATCACGCTGCGTCCCGTGCCGGCTCCACGCGGCAGCGCCACCGTTGCGTGACGGTGGTGGTGTCTCCCTGACTGTGTCTGACACCGGGCTGAGCTCGGCACGAGCGGCGGGGTGCACGTTGGGCGGCGCGGGCGTGTGCGGGGCGTCAGTATGCGCGCCGCAGCGCAGCGGCGCTACCACGTTTACCCCGCGAACGCCTCTGTGCGGGAGTGGGGCATGCTTAGAGGGGGCCGGTCGCAGCGAGGCGTGCGGGGGTGTGACGACGGGACGTGGCAGCTGAAGGTGCGCACAAGCGTAGCGTTGTGCGGTTGCGTGCGAGTGACGGGGCACGGCGGGACGCCCGGCGGCCTGCGATCGACACCACTTTGATGGGACTGTTTCGCCCGTAGTGCACCGGTCGGGGCTCCCGGACGTATGATGGGGGGGCTCCCGGGCGTGTGCCGCACTGAAGAAGTTGGCGAACACGCGCCCGGACATCGCGAGCACAGGGTGGAGTCGCACGCGGGCCCACAAGGTGGTAGTTGCTTCGAGGGCGCGCGTGGGGGGCGCTGCGACGTGTTTGTGGCGGGATCTTACTCGCGGCTGGATGAACAGTAATCACAGCACCATGAACGGGGCTCGGGGGGGCTTGTGTGTCGCGGGTCACGCGCTTGAGGGGGGCATTGCTCTCCATGTGCCATTGCACGCGTGGTGGCGGAACCGACGCGATGCAATCATACTGGTGCCGGTGCCACGCAGGTGCTGGGATTGCGCGAGGCAAGGATCCCACCAGAATGAAGACCACAAGCACACAGAGCAGGTGCGCACCACCTGCCCACGCGCGCTGCAGCACACCCTGCCGCGGCTGCAACGGCACGGGGACGCTCACACGTCGGTCCCCCCACGGCTCAGCATCGCAGGTCGCGCGGGGGCGACATGTCGCTGCTGGACCTGCACCTGGCGGGGGGCGGCCCGCTGTCGACGATCGTGACTACGTGCCTGGACGACGCGGGACGAACGGCGCTGGCGGCGGCGTCGTCGGCGTGCATGGCGCGGGTGATGGAGGCCGCGGACGGGTGCACGTGGAAGCCACCGAGCATCGCTGTCGCGCGCAGCGTGGCGGAGCGGCTGTGTGCGCAGGGCATGGACGGGGCGACGCGGTCGACGGTGGAGTGGGCGGACGGAGCGGTGAGGAGATGGACGCGGGCGGGCGGGGCGGTGGGCGACGCGTCGGCGATCGTGGCCGTCCGTGGCGACCGTCCAGAGTCCCACCAAGAGCTCTTGACCGCAGACATGAGGGGGGTGGAACGCATCGAGATCGACCTGGACCTGGGACCGAGCGTTCACGAGGTATTCCCAGAGCTCGCAACGGACGCGTGGCTGCCCAAGCGTGTGCGGCCGGGCCTGCGACGGCTCGCTGTCACCGGCATTGAGAATCTACGTCGCGTGCCGCCAGGGCTGACGTCGCTCGAGGAACTCGATGTATCTTGGTGCGGCAATCTGGCGGGAGGAGACCACTGGCTGCCGGCCAGCTCCGCGGCCAAGCTCAAGAAGCTCAGCGCGTCATGCACGAACGTCACCCGCTTCCCCCCGGACATGGCCTGCCTCGAGGAGCTGCATGCGCCGGGCATCAATGGCGAGGAGTGGCTGCCGGAGAGCTCGGCGAGGAGCATCAGGGTGCTGCGGATGGACGAGCTGAACAAGCTGCCACGGGGCCTGGACGCGCTGGAGGAGCTGCGGATCGAGCTGCAAGACATCCCCCTGGGTGGCGACGAGGAGCGTCTGAGTGAGGCGTACTTTGCGCCGCTGACCGGCGGGTGCCTGCGGCTTCTCGAAGTGTGGCCATCCAGCACCATGGACAGCATCGTCGGCATTTTCGCGAGGTTCGGGCAGCTCGAGCGGCTCAACTTGGCCAACTGCTCCCTGCCCGAGCCCTTCGCTCTGGACGAGTATCGCATGGACCACCTCAAGGAGCTCGATCTGAGCTACACCACGGTGCGGCGCTTGCCGCGGGCGCCGATGCTGGAACACCTAAACCTCTCTGGTTGCCGGGACCTCGCGGTGGACTTCCTGGACGCCGGCTCGCGCGCGAACGTCCACACGCTGTGCGCGAACAACAGCGACATCAGGCGCGTGCCGTCGGGAATGTGCGCGCTGACGGAGCTCCGGTTGGGCTCCTGCGTTGATCTCGCGGAGGGCTTCCTCGACGACAGCTCCGCGGGACGCATCAAGGCGCTGTCGTACACGGGCGATCTGGCGCGGCTGCCGGCGAGCATGACGTCGCTGGAGCGGCTGAGCGTCAGCTCCTGCTCGGGGTGGGTGAGGGCGGAGGTGGCAGCGGGCGTGCGCGTGCTGAGCTGCGACTTCATGACAGTTCGCTCGACGGCAGGGATGTGCGCGCTGGAGGAGCTGGAGTTGCAGAAATGCACCCTGCGGGGCGAGGCGTGGGTGAGCGAGGAGTCGGTGCCAACCTTGCGGCGGCTGAAATTGAATCGCTGCCGTGGACGGGCGCTGCCGGGAGGGTTGGCGGCGCTGGAGGAACTGTCCGTTGGCTGGTGGGATCACTCGCTGGCGCTGGAGCTGCCAGCCACGTCGGTGGCGAAGCTGAGATGCGTCCGCGTCCACGAGTGCGTGTTGCGACGCCTCCCTGCCAACATGGAGAGCCTTGAGGAGTTTCGAACCGAACTCAGCGTGGTCATCGATGCCGACTGGCTTCCGGCCAGCTCGGCGCGCAAGTTGAAGCACCTGGGCGTGCCCTGGCACGATCCGGAAATCCTGGGCGGCGACCCCGGCGCACGGCCACCGCGCACTGGACTCGACCCGCTCCCCCCGGGAATGACGGAGCTCGAACACCTCGATGTGTCAAGCTGCGAGTGGCGCGACCCGAACGACTTCCTGCCCACGAGCTCGGCAGCGAGTCTGAGGAGCCTAGTCGCCGAGCTCAGCAATATTCGCCGCCTGCCGCCAGGGATGGTTGCGCTGCGGGAAGTCGACGTTCGTCGCTGCGGAAGTCTGGACGCCGACTGGCTCCCGAGGAGCTCCGCGGCGAGCGTGACGACGCTGAAAGCGTCCGGGAGCAACCTGCGCTGCTTGCCGATTGGATGTTCGAACCTCGAGACCGCGGAGTTGTGCCATTGTCGGGAACTGCGGAAGCACGACTGGGTTGCGAGGCGCTGGGCGGGGCGACTGCGGGAAGTGGACCTGACTTGCAGCGGCGCCGCGAGCGCCCCCGCATGGGCCACGTTTCGGTGTCCTGGGCTAGAGTGAGCGCGTGAACGACAGCACTCAGTTTGACGAGCGCAGGGGGCGCATGCCGGACGCGGGTGCCGGTGGGTCGAGAAGCGCGGTGAGAGGGTGTGCCGGGTCCTGCGCAGGCCCGTCGTCGGGGCCGCTGCTCTTCCCTCTGTCCACTCGACCCTGCTCTGAAGCACACACGCGCGTGTGTGCTTGTGACATTGTGCGACGTCGCTGCACGTGCGGCCCCTGCACTCAGCGCCGCGAGCCACCGTGATCACGCTGCGTCCCGTGCCGACTCGGCGCGGCAGCACGGTCGTTGCGTGACGGTGGTGGTGTCTCCCTGACTGTGTCTGACACCGGACTGAGCTCGGCACGAGCGGCGGGGTGCACGTTGGGCGGCGCGGGCGTGTGCGGGGCGTCAGTATGCGCGCCGCAGCGCAGCGGCGCAACCACGCTTATCTCGCGAACGCCTCTGTGCGGGAGCAGCAGTGTGCGGAGAAGGGGGCCGGAGCGAGGCGTGCGGGGGCGTGACGACGGGACGTGGCAGCTGAGGTGCGCACGAGCGTAGCGTCGTGCGGTTGCGTGCGAGTGACGGGGCGCCCGGCGGGCTGCAATCGTCGCCACACCACACTTTGATGGGACTGTTTTGCCCGCGGGGCTCCCGGACGTATGCTGGGGGGGCTCCCGGGCGTGTGCCGCACTGAAGAAGTTGGCGAACACGCGCCCGGACATCGCGAGCACAGGGCGGAGTCGCACGCGGGCCCACAAGGTGGTAGTTGCTTCGAGGGCGCGCGTGGGGGGCGCTGCGACGTGTTTGTGGCGGGATCTCACTCGCGGCTGGATGAACAGCAATCAAAGCACCATGCACGGGGCTCGGGGGGGGCTTGTGTGTCGCGGGTCACGCGCTTGAGGGGGGCATTGCTCTCTCCATATGCCATTGCACGCGTGGTGGCGGAACCGACGCGATGCAATCATACTGGTGCCGGTGCGACGCAGGCGCTGGGATGGCGCGAGGCAAAGATCCCACCAGAATGAAGACCACAAGCACACAGAGCAGGTGCGCACCACCTTCCCCCATGATCCCGTGCACCCTGCCGCGGCTGCAACGGCACGGGGACGCCCACACGTCGGCCGCCCCACAGATCGGCGTCGCAGGTCATGTGGCAGCAGCCTGTCGCTGTTGGACCTGCACCTGGCGGGGGGCGGCCCGCTGTCGACGATCGTGACGACGTACCTGGACGACGCGGGGCGCGTGGCGCTGGCGGCGGCGTCGTCGGCGTGCATGGCGCGGGTGATGGAGGCTGCGGACGGGTGCACGTGGAAGCCACCGAGCATCGCTGTCGCGCGCAGCGTGGCGGAGCGGCTGTGCGCGCAGGGCGTGGACGGGGCGACGCGGTCAACGGTGGAGTGGGCGGACGGGGCGGGGACGAGATGGACGCGGGCGGGCGGGGCGGTGGGCGACGCGTCGGCGATCGTGGCCGTCCATGGGCACTGGGAGCTCGACCCGCGAGACTTCATCAGTGCTGACATGAGGGCGCTGGCGCGGGCGGCACTGGCGCGGGAGTCGCGCTGGCATCAGAAGGCAGTCAAGTCCCTGGCGCACCTGTCCTCTGAGACATGGCTGCCAGAGTGCGTCGGACACGTGCTGCGGCGACTGGACGTGCGTGGCACTGATCTGCCGCGCATTCCTTCTGGGCTGACATCGCTCGAGGAGCTCGACATATCTCAGTGCGACAATCTGGCGGGAGGACACCTCTGGCTGCCCGCCAGCTCCGCGGCCAGGCTCAAGAAAATCAACGCGTCACGCGCGAACGTCACCAGCTTCCCCCCGGACATGGCCTGCCTCGAGGAACTGCACGCGCCGGGCATCCGCGGCGAGGAGTGGCTGCCGGAGAGCTCGGCGGGGAGCATCAGGGTGCTGCGGATGGACAAGTGCAACAAGCTGCCGCGGGGCCTGGACGCGCTGGAGGAGCTGCGGGTGTTCAAGGAGCGTGATGACTCCGTACCGTTGTGGTTCGGAGACACGTGTGTGGACGCATCCTTGTGTCCCGGTGAGAGGCATCTGGACGAGGCGTACTTTGCGCCTCTGGCCGGCGATCGCCTGAGGGTCCTCGCCCTTGGTGACGGCAGTCTGCTAAGCATGAATGACATCGATCACGTTCCAGCGCGATTCGAACAGCTGGTGGAGCTCAACTTGATGGACTACAAGCTGCACAAGTCGGACGCTTGGCTGGACGCGCGCGCCGCGGGCAGCCTCCGGAAGCTCGACCTCAGCGGCACCAACGTGCGGCGCGTGCCGTGTGTCCCAACGCTGGAGCACCTGGACGTGAGCGAGTGCAAGCGCCTGGCGGAGGACTTCCTGGACGCCGCCTCGCGCGCGAACGTCCGCACGCTGCGGGCGTTCAGCAGCAACATCACACGTGTGCCGTCGGGGATGTATGCACTGACGAAGCTCGACGTGCAGCTGTGCGATGGTCTTGTCGAGGGCTTCCTGGACGACATCTCTGCGGAGCACATCAAGGAGCTGTCGTATTCGGGCGACCTGGCGTGGCTTCCGGCGGGTCTGGCGTCGCTGGAGCGGCTGCACCTCTGCAATTGCTCGGGGCAGGTGAGGGCGGAGGTGGCAGCGGGCGTGCGGGTGCTGACCGCGAACATGATCGCGCCCGCCTCGACGAGGGGCATGCGCGCGCTGGAGGAGCTGGAGCTTCAGCACTGCTCCTTGCGAGATGGCGCATTTCATGAACATGGCAATCAATGGGTGAGCAAGGAGTCCAAGTCAACGCTGCGGAAGCTGACGATGGTTTGCTGCGAGAGCGGGGACGGGAAGCTGCCGGGAGGGATGGCGGCGCTGGAGGAACTGTCCCTCGCAGGAATGCGCCGCCCCGTGCAGCTCCCGAGCACCTCTGTGGGGAAGCTGCGGAAGGTCCTGCTGCTCGGCTGCACGCTGCGACGCCTTCCGGACGGCATGGAGAGCCTCGAGGAGCTCGAGGTCGACGGTTGCGACATGCCCGAGGAGGATGAGGGCCTGCTACCGACCAGCTCGGGACGCAAGTTGCAGCGTTTGAGGATACATCGTATGCGTTCGACCGCGCGGCTGCGACTAAGTCTTCCCCCGGAGATGACGGAGCTCGAGCACCTCGACGTGTCTCTATGTCGGAACCTCCACGCGGAGGCCTTTCTGCCCGCGAGCTCGACGTCGAAGCTCAGAAGCCTGCGTGTCAGGCACAGCAACCTGCGACGCCTTCCACCGAACATGCGAGCGCTGCGGGAGGTCGACGTCGAAGGGTGCGGCGTTCTCGATGACGAATGGCTGCCGAGGAGCTCTGCGGCGGGCGTCACGACGCTCAGGGCGCCCGAGAGCAACCTGCAGCGCGTGCCGGGGGGATGCTCGAGCCTCGAGACGGCGTACTTGCAATGTTGCCGTCGCCTGTATCCGCGCGAGTGGGTGACGAAGTGCTCGGCGGCGCGACTGCGGGTAGTGCACCTCTACGCAAGCAGCGCCGTGAGCGCACCGACATGGGCAGCCTTCCGGTGTTTCGGGCTGCCGGAAGTGCCGACGACCGAGCCTTGACACGGGTTGCCCCCGCAACGGGCAGATCGCCGCTGTGCCGTGCCATCAAGCGTACTCGAGTCTCTAAGCGCACCAGGCAACAACCAAAGCTCTCTCGACTCTTGTGTGACTGCCAGCCGAACCGCGCGCGTTCTCTCGACTCACACGGCCGCCGCACGCGACACGCACCGCACCGCACCGCGCGCGGGGTCTGTTTCGGCGCTTCCGTCCGCACTCACTTCCACAGTTTCCTGACTGACATGTTCTTGTCCGAGTCCTTCTTCATGACCTTGGCGACGGCCATCTCGAAGTCCTCCTGCGTCACGTGCACGCGGCGCTCCCGCAGCGCGAACATCCCGGCCTCCGTGCAGCACCCCTTGAGCTCCGCCCCGCTCGCGCCCGCCATCATGTCCGCCACCTTCTTCAGGTCGATCCCGCGCATCAAATTCATCTTCCGCGAGTGGATCTGCAGGATCGAGTGCCGCGACGCCTCCGTCGGGTGCGGGATCTCGATCTTCCGGTCGATCCGCCCCGGCCGCAGCAGCGCGGGGTCCAGGATGTCGAGCCGGTTCGTCGCCATGAGGACCTTGATCTTGTTCGTGGCCTCGAAGCCGTCGAGCTGGTTCAGGAGCTCGAGCATCGTGCGCTGGACCTCGCTGTCGCCGCCGCCGCCGCCCCCGCCGCCCTCCGTGCGCGACGACCCGATCGAGTCCACTTCGTCCATGAAGATGATCGACGGCGCGTGCTCGCGGGCCATCACGAAGAGCTCGCGGACCATCCTGCGCGCGGGCGACGTAGGGGAGGGTGCGTGGGGGGCTGCGGGGCGCGCCGGGCCGGTTGGCGCGGCGTGCGGGGCGATGGCGCGGGAGCGCGCACCTGGAGCCCTCGCCGATGTATTTTTGGACGAGCTCGGAGCCGGAGACGCGGATGAAGGTGCAGTCGGTGTGGTGCGCGACGGCGCGCGCGAGGAGGGTCTTGCCGGTGCCGGGCGGGCCGTAGAGGATGACGCCCTTTGGCTGCGCCACGCCCAGCGCCTCGAACAGCTCCGGGTGCTTGATGGGGAGCTCGATGACCTGCGCGGCGCACACGGGGGGGCAGGAGCTGTCTAGATATGGTCTGTGGGTGGAAGGAAGAAGGGAGATTGTCGACTGCGGAGCGGCGCACCTCCTTGAGCTCCTTGATCTGCTGGTCCAAGCCGCCAATCATGTCGTACGTGGAGTCCGGGACCTTCTCGACCTTCATCAGGGACACGAGAGGGTCCACCTGCGCGGCGCGGCCGCGGACGGGCCGCGAGGTGGGCGTGAGCGACCGGGAGCGAGGCGGGAGCAGCGTTGAGGCCAGGTCGCGCCCGTCTGGGCGACAGGGTGGGCCTCCGCGTGGTTTCCGGCGAGCACGAGCGCGATGAAGTTCAGGGGGTGCTTGGGAGGCGCGCGGACCTTCGTGGGGAGCACGAAGTGGAGCGTGTAGGAGTCGTTGCGCAGTGCCACCCGCAGGCCAGCCTTGAGGGAGCCGATGTCGATGTCCTTGTCGAGGTCGACGACGTACTTTCCCTCGGGGTGCACCTTCACGAGGACCTTCTTCTTCCCCATGATCTTCACGACCTCGCCCACGTACGACCCGGGCTCCTGGAGCAGCATGAGCTCCTCCCGCAGAGCCCGGACCTTGCCATTGAGGTCGTTCCGCGACGCCTCGAGCCGCCGGAGGTTCTGCGTCTTGTCGCGGACCTGGATCTCGAGTTCCTCGATGCGGCCCTTGTAGTACGACTCCAGGGCCGTCCCGCCGGCCTGCTTAGTAGCAGGCCCCATGGCAGCGACGCTTCGCTGCGCGCTCGCCCGCGGACACTCAGGTCAGACGACGCGCGCGCCGTGATCCACGCGCAAGTTCGGGTGCCGAGGCCACGCCGCGTGTCCCAGCTCGCGCACACGACCGCGCTCGCACCGCTCGCCTCGAACCAAGCTACCACCTGCGTCGCGCGCCCAGTATCGACGTGCAAAGCGACCTCGAAAGCAACCGCCCGATCGCTCAGAGCCGCACCGTGCACAACTGCGCAAGTGCACGCCGGGGCGCCGCCCACGAGCTCGCCCCGTCGGCTTCCTGCTTGCACCCCCACCACCTGACTCATGCCGCGCGGGCTGCGAACAACCACGGGCTCGCGCGCCACGCGCCCAATGCGCCAGGGGCGCCCAGGCGTGGTCGTCGTGTCCGCGCCCACCGGTCGCCACGAGCGTCAACCACAACCTGTGTCAATCACTGCCCACCACGCTACCATGGCCGCGCCTGCTTGCGAGGCCGGGGCAGACCCTCCCCCGCGCTCCGAAGGCCATCGCGGGCGCGTGCGGGCCCCGATCCGGCTCGTCGCCCCCGGCCGTCATGGGCCAGGAGGAGCGCGACGCAGCGCGGTTGGAATGCGACGCGCTGGAGCGGCGAGGCGCGGCCGGTGGGGGCCGCAGGCGCCGCGAGGCTGCTCGCTTGCTTGATGTGTGTGCGCGTGGAGCGATGTCAGGGTTGACGTGTGTTCGGCGAGTAAGGGGGGGTACTCTGACCGGGCCGCGCTGTGGCTACTTGGGGCGATCGCGCGGCCGTGTGCCGCTGACACGCTCGCTCGGTCGAAGATCTTCGCGCTGACGCCACAGCTCTGGCTGCGCGGAGGCCCCACGCGTGAGGGCGCTACACACGGTGCTCCTCAGATTGTTCAGCGGAGCACTTCGCGGCTCTCGCGACACAAGGAGGGCAACCAGGCTGCAGATCGGCGCGCACCCGCGCTTCCGTTGCACCTCCTCCTCTCTTAACCTCCCAGGGGCCACCGTCGCGAGGCGCCGAGCCCAGGTCGCGTGAGCGCACCCACTGGGGCGATTGACCAGGGCCGTTCGTGCGCCACCCGTGTCACAGTAGGCGGCCATGGACGACCTGTACAGCAAGTGGTTCCGCATCGCGGACGCGGACCACGACGGGCAGGTCGGGGGCGGCGAGGCGGTCGCCTTCTTCCAGCGCTCGGGACTCCACAAGGACGTCCTGCGGGCCGTGTGGGAGCTGGCCGCGGGCAACGCCTCGTTCCTCAACCAGCGGCAGTTCACGAGCGCCATGCACCTCGTCTCTATAGCGCAGCAGAACAACGGCGCCCTCGACGCTGCCAGGGCACGCCCGGTTCTCTCAGGCCTCGCCATGCCGCCGCCGCCGCCTAAGATGGAAGGCCTCGACTCAGGTCCGCTCAAGTTTCACACATCCTTCGCGATCGCGGCGTCCGCGCCGTCGTGCGCCGCCCACGCGCCCCGTAACGGCCCCAAACAACTACGTCGCTCGCCGCAGGGAACGTCGCGCCGCCGCAGGCGTCCTGGCGCTCCACGCCGGCCCCGGCAGCCGCGGCCAAGCCGTACACCGAGATCGACTCCGGGGCCTTCTCCGACTTCGCGCCGGACCTGGGGGGCGCCAGCAAGCGTGCAGCGCCGCAGGGCGCGCCCGCGGGGGGCGGCGCGGGCGGCTTCCCGCTCATGGGCGCGGCGACGCGGGCGCAGTACGAGTCCGAGTTCAGCACGCTCGACTCGGACCGGGACGGCTTCGTGCAGGGGGGGGAGTGTTTCGGGCTGTTTTCGCAGTCCGGTCTGTCCCGGGAGACGCTGAGGCAGGTGTGGTCGCTGGCGGCGGGCGAGCAGGGCGCGCTGGACCGGCGGCAGTACGTGGCGTGCCGGTACTTGATGGACTTGGTCAGGGGGGGGGGACAATTGCCAAAGTCCATCCCCGCGTGGAACTTCCCGCCGGAGCAGACGGTGCGCACGACGCGAACGAGCAACGCCCGCACTGCGCGGCCACGCGAGGCAGCCACATGCCGAGCGCGCGGCTGGCGCGGCCAGCTACCGCGGGAGCTTCGGCGATGTCACGTGGGGGTTGTTTTGTTTCATGGCTGCTTGACTCGAAGGACGAGCGGCTTTCGCTCCCGGACCGCGCGCACGACGAGTACGTTGATCCGAGTCGCGTCCGTCCTTCGCCTGCGTCGCAGTCTTTGCTGGGCGGCGGCGGCGGCGGATCGTGGCAGGTGACGCAGGGAGCTGGCGCGAGTGCGGCGGCCGCGTCGGGCGACCCGTTGGCGGGCGTGCTGGGCATGCCTGTGCCGGAGATGGGCGCTAGGCCGCAGGAGGGGGCGGAGTTCAAGTACCGGGCGGAGCTGCCGGACATTGTCGACGAAGGCGCGATTTACCGCTCGCAGCTGCCCGGGGACAGCCGGGCGAGGCTGGAGCGCGCGGTGCGCGAGGCGGGCGAGCACGACGAAGCGTACCAGAAGGCCAAGCACATGAAGGTGCGCGGCGTCGCGACCCCGCGCAGGTCAACGGTTCATATGCTCAGTTGCGGGCCGGCGCGGTCTCGCCGTGGAGGCGAGAGCGTTCGCATCTGACGTGTTGTCGCTTGCTCGCTGCCCGTGCAGTCGCAATACGAGAGCAAGGAGCAGTGGTTCCAGGCGGCCATGCAGCAGCTGACGCTGTTCAAGTCCCGCCTGGTGTCGCGCTCCCTCGACATGCAACAGGAGGCCGCCGCGGCGCAGCGGCGCGCGGAGGAGGCCGAGACGAAGCTCGAGCGGGCCGAGCGCGACGCGCAGACCAACCTGCGCCGCGTGCAGCCCATCCTCGACACCATCAAGACCTGCGGCGAGCGCACAGAGGCGGCCAAGAAGCGCCTGGCCGAGCTCGAACAGGAGCTCGCGGCCAAGGAAGCAACGTCCGATGTGCGCACGCGTCGCCGCACTTGCAGCGCGGAACCGCGGCCGCACGCGACGCACGACCTGTCCCCGCCGCACATCGGTAGCGGTACGTTCCGGAGAGTGATTGTGCTTGCGCTGGTCGGCCACCGTGCGCGCAGGAGGACGCGCGGCGCGCCGAGCAGGAGGCTGTGGCGCTCGAGCAGCAGGTGGCGGCGGCGGAGCTACGGCGGGACCAGGTCGAGCGCGGTGCCGTGCTGCTGGGGCAGAAGTGCGAGGAGCTGCGGCGGCAGATCCACGCCGCCGACACCATGGCCGAGGCGCTCGAGGTCGACGTGAAGCGGTGCGGCCCCGCCCCGACGGACCGCGCCAGCCGTATGACCGGGGGGGTGTGCTGGTGGGCTGTATTCTACCCTCGTGCCAGGGTTGAGCGGTGTTGCGTGTGTTGCGTGCGCCGTGCAGGTACGAGGAGCAGGCGGGGGCGCTGGATGCGAAGCGGCAGGCCCTGACGTCTGCGTCGCCGTACCAGGACGTGCTGGCGTGTCTGCGCAGCTCCCTGGAACTAGTCAACGACGTCAAGGCCAGCGCGGCGCAGTTCGGCCTGCCCGTGCCCGACGAAATCAAGCTCCTGCCGCTCAAGTGGGACCCGGCGCTCCTCGAGGCGGTACGCCCCCCCAACCCATCACCTGTACAACAAACACAGCAGCGGCGCATCCCGTCGACCGCGAACCCTATTTCTCGCCGCCTGCGCATCGGCTGGCCTTCGCGCAACCAGCCGCCGACTGGACGCGTGTGGTCCGCCATCGCAGGGGCAAGAGTGGGGCAGTTTCACGCACCAGGGGTTGGATGTCATCGCCGGAACCGGGGCGCCGATGACCCCCGCGGCAGCGCAAACGGCGTCGGACTGGCTCACCCCCGGCGACGCCCCGGCCGCGGCGACGGCGCTCGCGGCGCCTGCTGCGACGGAGCCCGCGGCGCCGGCTTTCGTCGACAAGCCTGCTGTGTTTGACCAAGAGACCCCCGGGGGCGGTTTCGACGTGGGCGGAGACGCGTTCATGAGCTTCGGGGACTTCGGGGGGCCGTCGACGCAGGCTGCGGCGCCGGCGCCGGCGCCGAAGACTGGGCTCGACGCCGTGATTGGTGCCTCCCTGGGGGCTGGTATGAACATGAACGTGGACGAGTCCTCCGGGAGCACCTCGGGGGACGAGGACCCGTTCGGCGGTCAGGGCGGAGGCACGCGCGCGCCGCGGTCTGGGGCGGACGCGTTCGAGGGCCTCGGGTGGTAGCACAACAACAGGGGCGATGTGAAACACCACGTGAGGTACGCCATTACGCCACTCTCGGCACTGACAGCATCCAGCTGAGCGAGCGTCAGTATGAATATGAGTCAGCTCCACGTGTGTGTCAATCGATGCAAAGCGCAGCCCGGTCAGGACCGGGTGTGCGGTGCTGCGGTGCTGCTTGTTGCCAAGCAGGCCGCCGCAGCTTGCATGTCCGCGCCGCCCCTGTCCCGCTGGATCGCGAGATCGACGCGGCATGGCTCGTTCGTGACTGGCGGTGAACGTCAGACAAAGTTGCTCCACCGGCCGCCGTGGTAGAACACGACACACGCACGCACTGGTCATGGCAGGAACCCTCGCACAGGACGTCACAGCCGCTCTGCACGTCCGCGAGGTCACCCGCACGTTGCCCCATATCCCCACACCGCCCACAACTGGAATCCCGACGACTTTCACTTTGCCCACTTGGTCAGTCGAATTCGTAGTCATCGTCCAGCGCCGAATAATCAATCGCGTCGAGCTTGTCCCAGTCCTGCACACCGTCGTCCTCGCGCTGCGCCGGGCGCGCCTGCTCGAAGGTCACCTCCGCGACGCCGCCCCCGCGCCCGCCCTGCCCGCCGCCGCCCTGCGCGCCGCTCCGGTGCACCCTGCGGAAGTCGTCCTCCCCGAAGCCCTCCTCCTCGGCGACGCCCGGGTCGTCGACGACCTGGTGCATGCGGCCCTCGCTCAGACCGAACGGCCCCTCGACCCGCCCCACGTGCTCGTGCTCGCCACGCTTCAGCGGGCCCCAGCTGCGCAGCCCCTTCGACCAGTGCAGGAACGAGTGCGTCTGCACCGCACACGCACCACAAACGCACGCGTCAGGGCCGGAACGACCGCGGCCGTCCGCGCGCACGCGCCGCACCGTACGACGCTCCCCGCACATCTTCGATGCATGTACGCAACACGGCGCGGCGGTGCATGCACTGCGCGTCGCTGCGTCGGCGCCACTCACCCCGTCGCTGCGCCTCCAGTTCTTGACGTGCTGCCCGAGCTGGTCGATGTCGATGCTGGGGTACGCCCTGCGCACGACGGGCGCGAGCTTGCGGTGCATCGCCTCGCGGCAGCTCGCGGAGCCCCCCTCGAGGCCGCAGCGCATCTGGATCAAGTGGTGCGCCGTCACGACCAGGCAGGCCTTCCTGCAAGAACACCTCAATAGTGTTTCTTTCATTGTTTGTTTGTGATTCTGCGCGCTCAGCAACAGCGCGAACAGCTTCGCCGGCGGCGCGGCCGCTGCTGGCTCGCCGGCCAGGGTCTGCGCGAAGAGGACGGGGCACGTACCCGCAGCTGAACCCCTGCGAGCTGCACAGGTCGGCGGCTGTTTGTAGACACTGCGGGAGGTCCTTGAAGCACTCGTTGCCGTAGAAGCCCGGGTGCGGCAGCTGGACGTGCGCGCAGTGCCCGATGACGGGGTCCGACCACCACTGCGGGAACGGGGGGGGCGCGAAGTGGTCGTGTGATGCCCCAGGGTGGCTCGCCCGGGCTCCGTGCAGCGCCAGAGTCGGCGCGAGCACGGCAGCGCTGGCCACTACAGTTCGTGACGTCAGCCCGCGCCTCCTCGGGCCGTTCGTGCGTCGCGACGGTGCGGGAGCGCGGCGTTGATGCGCACCTTGAGGGAGGCGCGTGACGCGAGCACCCAGACGGTGACCAAGAGGACGAGACACACGGGGATGAACCCGCCGCTGCGGTCTCTACCGAAAGCTGACGTCGGGGAGAAGAAGGGCCCACCGCCTGCGCGAAGGCGCTTGAGCGTCGCGCCCATCCTCCCGAGGTTGCTGGCTGAGGGCGCTGGGGACCGGTGGGGGCGCTGCGGGAGTGGAAATGCGCCTGGAGGCAGGCTCGGGACTGAAATTTCGTGGAGCTGGAAAACAGGCTGTCAAGATGGCGTGCGCAGGGCGCTACGTCGCTGAACCTAACCTATAGTGAGTGCCAGGGGCTCCGCGGGCGCGCTGTCGGCCCCGGCCGACGCTATCGTGGTGAGCCCGGGGCGCGTACGTGGCAGATGCGCCGGTCGCGAGCGCGTCGTGGCGTGGATCGCGGCGTGAGCTCTCTGCGCGCAGAGCCCCGGCTCCCCGGGCCTTGGAGACGAGGATCCACGACTGAGGGCCCTCGCTGGGGCAGACTGGTCCCAGGCGACTTCCCCACGCCTCGGCTGCGCGCACGCGCACTACCGACCTCTCCTGGCATTGACTCCGGGCACTCACTGTCTCAACCGTGCCAGCACAGCCACGACCGCAGCTTGCTTCGCCCCCACGGAGCGGCGGTGGCCGCGTGCTGGTACTCTCAGCCAACGAGCCCGCCTCTGGTCGTCTTCGCGGGACGTAGGAAGGGACAGCCTGTCCCGAGGCAGAGAAGATGTTCCTGACGCGCTCGGAGTACGACCGCGGGGTCAACACGTGCGCCCCCGCGACCTGTGCGCGGCGCTGATCGGTCCCGCGACACAAACGCCGCGCGCATGGCGTCACCTCGACCGGCACCGCCGCCTTCGCCCCTGCAGCTTTAGCCCAGAAGGACGGATCTTTCAAGTAGAGTACGCAATCGAGGCCATCAAGGTGCGTCGCGACGGTAGCACGGCATGAAGGTGCTGCCGGGCCGCAGACCGAGTCGTTCGAGGCCGCAGAACTCCCCGGTGCATCTGCGGCGCCGAGTCCTGGTCCCGGCGTTCGCTCGAGGCTTGTACACGTCGGCCGCGTGGGCAGATCTCGGCTTTGGGACAGGGAACGGCCGTCAGCGGCGGCGAACACCGCGGCGGGCACCCGCGAGCACTCCGCTGGACGCCGCTCGTGCATCAGGCGCCTGTGCCGCGCTCGCAGCGGGGCCCTTAGATCGCTCATGTGCGTGCCGCGCTCTGTTTCGTGCAGTTGGGCTCGACAGCGATCGGGATTCGCACGAAGGAGGGCGTTGTGCTTGCGGTGGAGAAGCGCATCACGTCGCCGCTGCTGGTGCGGCGCACTCCCCACATCTGATGCAGACGCGCTCTGCCTCGACGTCACCGCGAACGACAACGCGCGCGAGCCCCCACCGCCCCGGCCCGCCCGTAACAGACGCGACGCATCGCCCGCCGCTCACCGCGCGCGACGCCCGCGGCCCCGACGCGCAGGAGCCCAAGTCGATCGACAAGGTCGTCGAGATCGACGCGCACATCGGCGCGGCGATGTCGGGCCTCACCGCGGACGCTCGGACCATGATTGAGCACGGACGCACCGAGTGTCAGTCCTATACGTTCTCGTACAACGAGCCAATGCCCGTCGAGAGCTGCACGCAGAGCCTCTGCGACCTCGCGCTGCAGTTCGGCGAGGACGGCGACGACGCCATGGTCCGCGCCACGCCCCCACGCCCGCGCGCACTCCCGCCGGCTCCGCGTGCCCGCCCACGCGACGCAACAGCGCCGAACCGCGCCCCCGTGCCCGCAGAGCCGTCCGTTCGGCGTCGCGCTGCTGCTCGCGGGGCACGACAAGGAGCAGGGCCCCGTGTTGTACCACACTGACCCCTCCGGCACTTACATCAAGTATGACGCCAAGGCGATCGGGTCGGGCTCGGAGGGCGCGCAGAACTCGCTGCAGGAGCAGTTCCGCGCGGACATGTCGCTCAAGGACGCGGAGACGCTCGCGTTGTCGGTGCTGAAGCAGGTCATGGAGGAGAAGGTCACTAGGGACAACGTGGACATCGCGACGGTGGCGCCCAACTTCCACCTCTACACCGAGGACGAGGTGCAGACCGTCATCGAGCGCCTGACGTAGGCGGCGCGCGGAACACCCCCGGGGGGACTTTCACAGCGGTCTGTGACGGTGGAAGAACTGTGTCGGTGTCGCCGTGCGTGGATGGAGCGCGCGCGCGCGCGCGCGCGTTACTGCTGCGTCCGGGCGCCGCCGCGCGACGGCGGGGCGCGCGCCGCCATCGTGCCGGAGAGCTCCGCCACTGCTGCGCGTGCCAACACTGCCCACTCGCGCGTGAGGCGCTTCTGCTGCGCCCGGTACATCGCGCACGCCTCCTCCAGCGGCTCCAGCGGGTGCGCGTCCGCCGCGGAGCCCTCCAGCAGCCCGATGTCGTGCTCCAGCGGCCCAGTGCCCTCCGGCCCCTCGAGGTCGACAATGCGCGTCTCCAGGAGCCGCGCGAGCGTCGTGACCACCGAGAGCTGCGTGCCCGCGTCCCAGGTGTCCGCGGGACCCCACTCCGGGTCCTTGCCGGCCTCCGCGATCGCAGCCGCCTGCACAGGACAGCGCGCAACACACACACACCATACGTGACGAGTACGCCTTGTACGCCTTGCGCTCGCGGTGGCCGACTTCGAGCACGCACATGGCCGCACACACCAAATATTCTCGAGGCGTTCGGCGGCTCAGATGCGCAAGACCTCGTCACGTTACGTCGCAGTATGACTTCATATCAAAGAGAAACAACGTAGTGACGCACCTCGATGCCCGGGGTCGCGAAGGCCCGCAGCCCGACCATGCCGTCGTGCGGGACGGCTGCGAGCAGCTCCTTGAGCGCGCCGGGGCGCCCCGCGCGGCTCAGGACCGAGCCTTTCCGCGCCGGGTCGCGCCGTGCTGTTTGCCGGGCGTCCAGCGGGGGGAGGAGGATCCGCGGCGAGCCGCCCGCGACGTACATGCACGCCGCTTGCGCCTCGAGGCGGTCGTCCCACTCGGCCTGCACGGTCCGAGCGCCACGCGGGTGTCAGTGTGGCGGGTCAAAGGCGGAAGCCAAGCGCTGATTGCATCGATAGCAGCCGCGGCTCGAGGATTGTCTGTCGAGCACGAGAACCACAAGGCGACAGTCGTTGTCGAGGCGCCCGGCAACGACCTCCCGGAGCGCATCATATCGCGGCACGCCCGTCAACGCCCGCGTCGCCAAAACACATCGCTGCGCACGTGCTTCAACCGCGCTCCGGCACCGCGGCCGCGCTCCAGGGGGCGGCGGCACCAACTCACCCGCGGCGGCAGTGGGCACAGGAGCGCGACGACGTCCGCGGGCCCCGCGGCAGCCTCCACGATGCCGTAGTGGAACAGCAGCTCCTCGTTGGACTTGACCGCGCGGCCGTAGTCGATCGTGAGCTCGCCGTCGCCGCCCGCGCGGCCCAGGGCGCGCAGGGCCGACCACGGCGCGACGACCGCGACGCTCCCGGCCTTGGGCTCATACCGGAACGGTGCGCCTGGCGCGTGGTTGAACATGTCGAGGCCGGGGACGAGGGCGGACTGCGGGGCGCCGTCCGGGCCCGACGGGAGCTCCACGCTGCGCCGCGCGGGACGGGTGCGACGGGCGTGAGGCCTCGGGAGGGCGCGGGGACTGCGTGACGGTGGAAGTGGCCTGGGGCGTGCGGGGCGGGGCGGCGCGGGGGTGTGGGGCAGGGGCGGCACCTGCGCGACCAGAACATGCTGTGCGCCCACACGAAGTCTCCGAAGCCCGGCTCTGGCACGCCCGCGCCGCCGACCGCCATGGCCATTTGGCGGACGACCGGCTGGACCTTGGGCCAGAGCTGGAGGAGGTGGCCCTGGAGGGCCTTGGTGGCCTTGTGCGCGTTCGTGCCGGCCAGCCAGGCGTCGAGCTGGTCCGGGGGGAGCCACAGCGGGGTAGGGGTGCGGTCCGGGAGAGACGACAGGTACGGCAGGAGCCGCGAGGCCTCGCCCGCGACCTTGTGCGCGGTGAGATAGAGCACGAGCGTCGTTTCGTCGTCCACGATCCCGGTCTCGTGGAGCTCCGTGAGCACCTGACCTATGTGCGGGTCCTCGCGAGCGGCCTGCGCCGTTAACGCCAGCTTCGTCGGAAAGGACGCGACCTCGACGTCGCCGTGGATGCCCAGAGGCAGGACCATGCCGGCCCAGGCCGCTACGCCCGCCGCCAGCCCCAGGGCGCGGCGTGCGAGGAAGAGGGAGGGTCGAGGAAACACCCCTCGCTCGACGTCCTGCGGGGACGCCGCCGCGCCGTCGCCCGCGCCCGCGGGCCTGCAGATCTCGCGGAACTCGACGTGCTCGATGTTCGCGCCGTACGCCGCCAGCCACGCCCGCAGCGGCCCCCCCTCCCGGTACGCCCTGTTCCCGGGCGCGCCGTTCGGCAGGGCGTCGCACAGCGCAGTGGGGACGAGGCGCTCGCGGACTGCGGTCGCCAGGCTCTTGCTCGCACGATTGGCCCCGGCCTCGTCGCCGCTGTCCCCGCGGCGGAACGCCAGCGCTGCCGCCGCTGCCACCGCCAGGCACAGCGCTTGCGCCGCGAAACCGAGCGAACGCGGCTCCGCACGCTCGTCTGCAGAGCCCTCACTTCGCAGTGACGCGACGGAGCGCACGAGAGAGGGCGGAGCCGCCCAGGACGCACCCAACGCGGCTGCGTGCTGCCTGCGCCGGGCAGCGAGCCCCCGCGCTGCCCCCGCGAGCATCGCCGCAACGCCCGGCCCGAACCACTGCTGGGTACCCCGCTGAAGCGTCGCCTGGGCCCTCCCCCCGGCCGTGTCTCGCCGCAGCGCGCGCGCGCTTCGTTGCGCCTCCTGGCCTGCTTGCGTACGTGCAGCCCTGGAGTCGTGACACGGCGTTGGTGACGCCAGCGCCGCGTGGATTCGCGCTTCCGGAGGTGCCCCGGTTCTGTGCGGGCGGGCCGCGGGCGTGGCGCCACGGCTCGCGCGCGGTCGGCTGCGGCCGGGCCGCTTTGGGTGCAAAATGTGCCAGGTCAGGTGCTCAGGGGGGGGCGCAGCGCGCGTGGGGGCGACGTGCGCGCGTGAGACCGGGCTCCAGGCGTCGGTGCGTGTAGAAACGGCTCGTGTAGCGCTGTGTTTGCCTCGTAGCCTGCGCAATCGACGCGGAACGGGGCTCGAGAGTATCTCACGAAGCGACCGCGTGGTGCTTCGTTGAGATCGTCAGCGTGCCGTTCGAGGCGCTAGCTAGGCAATTGAGGTCTTTGACCCGCAGATGAGGCGCACGTCGACTCCCGCCCGTCGCCATGCGACCTCAGAATAGATAGAAACGCCCAAGTGGCTCGGAAGCGGTTCCTGCGCGCGCGCGCGGCCCCACGCGCGCCCGTCTGCGCATCGCGGACGGAGATTCGAAGCTCTCGACGCGCCCACGCCAGCCAGATCGATCACCCTCGACCATGTCGCGCCCCGGCACCCGCCAAGGCGAGTTCCTCCGTAGTCGCCTCGTCCGCGTTCGTACCGGCCCGCACACACCCTCCCGGGCCCCGCACCGCTCCACTCCAACTTCACGCTCCCGTCCTACCCGCGTCGACGCGCGCGACATGGCCCCTGCAGCCCCCCACAGCGCCCGCCCAGCCAAGGCTCCTGCAGAGGTCGAGGTCCAACGAATGCGGCAGCTCATCCACGAGTACATGGTCCGCTCATGCCAGACGATCCTCGCCGCGCGGCTCCTCCCGATCGACCTCGGCACCGTCGCCTCCTCCAAGGACCACCGCGGCCGCTGCTGGGTGCGTCCCACCGACCCACATCCTCAGCGCTGGCCGAGCACGCCCGCCCGCGGCCCCCGCGGCCCGGAACGCGGGCCAAAAACCCGCCCCCAACCATAACTGGAACCCCAGCGATCCCGGAACGCCAGCCCGGCGCGGACGCGCGCCGGGAAACCCCGGAATGCGGCCGCGCCCGGCTCCGAGGCAGTTTCGCACACGCGGCGTCGAGGGCGCTCGCGCGCGCGGTGCGGCGGTGGCCGAGGCGCTGGGGCGGCGGAGGGGGGCCGGCCAAGGCCGCTGGGCCGCGCGGGGCTGCGTCGCGCGGCGCGTGCGGTCCAGCGGTCCGGCGCGTCCTGGAGTGGCTAGTTGGGCTTTCGTGGGAAGCATTTCGCCCAGACTGATTCGCGCGAGCCGCACCCGCCGCGTTTCCGCAGTTCAACCTCGAGGACCAGGACTCGTCCGTCGTCACGGAGGAGCTGAACCAGTGGCGCGTCACCGCAGCGGACGAAATCGTCATCGAGGTGCGCCGGGCATCTTGCGCGCCCGAATGCGCCCCGCGCAGACCTCGCGCCGCCCCGCACGGCCCCGCGCTGCGCAGCAGCGCCTCCCTCGCGCCTCTCCCGCCGCAACGCGCCGCGCCAGGCCCACGTCCGCGCCCGCACGCCCCCCGCGACTGCAGGTGTTTCTCCAGAGACCCGAAGCGCAGTCTGATGACGAACTCCTCGAACGCTGGTACCTCGGGTACACGCAGACGCCCTCCGCGGCGCACCGCGACGCGATGCACGGCGCCACGCCGCGCCAGGTCGCCGCCCGCCAGGCTCCGGGCGTCTACAAGCGCATGATCATCTCTCTACGCTCCCTCATGACGCTCCTGCGGGCCCTCCCGGCGCACCGCCTGTGCCGGGAGCTCCGGCTGCGGCAGACCTCCACGCCCGGGATCGACGGCAGCGCGGGCGCCTCCGCGCACACCCCGCGGGTGTCGTTCCGCGTCCTGGGCGCGACTGAGGCGGCGCGTGCCATGCAGGTGCACCTGCAGCAGTCGCGGAACGAGGCGGACCCGTGCTACGCGCCGCTGCCGGCGGGGGGCGGGCCGCACGGCGAGCGCATCGCGGCGAGGACCTTCGAGCCGATTCCGTGGTTCGGCGGGGAGATAAACATGTCGGTGGAGTACAAGTCTTCATGCTTGGACCTGCTCAAGGTGTACGGGCTGTCGCAGCGGTCCCCGGCGGCGGTGGCCGGCAGCCCCGGCGGGCAGCCCGGGCGCATCATCGCGGAGTACATGGCGTCGCCGATGCGGCGTCAGCAGTCGTTGCCAGCGCGCGACGGGGGCGCGCCGGCTTCGCCAGTGCGGGCGCCGCAGCCCGCGCCGGCGCCGCCGCGCGCGCCGTCGCCGGCGCCGATCGCCGTGCACGGCTTCGCGGTGCCGGCGTCAGCGGGGGCCGTCAACGTCGTGCAGCACGCCACCGTGGGCGCGATGCGGCCGGGTTCGATCTCGCGCGCGTGCTTCAACCGCTCCACGGGCGACCTCATGCGCGCCGCGGGGGACCTCGCGGAGGCCGGGCCCGCCACCGACGCCCTCGCGCGGCCCGAGGCAGGCGCCCCGCGGCTCCAGCCGGGCTCTGCCCCGATTGGCGCTGGACTTGTGCCGCGCGCATCGGCCCTGACGCGCGGCATGCTCGCCGCGCCTGTGCCCCCGGCGGACGACGCGCAGGCGGCGATGGAGGACGTCGACCTCGGCGACCCGTCAGCGATCGGCCAGCTGCATCACGTCACGTCCCCGCAGCGCGCGCCGCGCGAGCGGCACTCCCCGCGCGCGGGCGGGCAGAGCGGCGCGGCGATGGAGGTGGCGATGAGCCACTCGCCGCACCAGTGCCGCCTATCCGAGATGTACGGCCGTTCCGAGGACTGGAAGTGGAATGAACCCGGGCTCATGTTGCCCTTCACGCCGGCGTCGGTGGGGGCCGCAGGGCACAGCCTGGACGCGAGCCCCGGCGGGCAGCGCATGGGGCCGCCGTCGCGGAACAACTCGGCGCGCGGCCGCGGGGCTTCCCGCGGGAGCGCGCGCGGCGCGGCGGGGGCGGGGGCGGCGGGCGGCACCGACAGCAGAGGCATGTCGTGCAGCCCCGGGAACAACGCTATCGTCGCGGCGGGCAGCCGGCACGCCCCGGAGCCCCAGGGCGCGTTCGACGGGTCGGCGTCGCACGCGATGGAGATTTGCGGGTCGTGGCAGACCCGGGCGCAGGGGCGGCACGCTGCGGCGCTCGCACGGGCGTCGCCGCGGCACCTGGTGCCGCAGACGTCGGGGTCGAGCCGTGGCGGGAGTCGGCAGGGGCTGCGCGGCGCGGGCGGCGGCCAGGCGCCCGACGCGGGGGCGTCGGGCGTGTCGGAGTGCGACACCTCCTGCGGGGGCGCGCACTTCGTTCCCTTCCCGTTCGGCAATGCGTTCGCGTCGGAGAACGAGGCAATGGCGGTGTCTGCGTCCTCGTGCTCCGCGGGGCCGTCGCCGCGCCCGCCCGACCCGAGAACCACCCCCCCAGCTGCACACCCCCCCACCACGCCCGGCGGCAGCGGCTGGGGCCCGGCCTCCGCGTCCGTCCTGCACTCCAAGATCCCGCAGTACCCTCCGATGCTCCCTGCGCCCGCGCCAGCCCAGCCGATCCCGCGGCCACCCCGGGCGGACCACCACCACGCGGCCGCGGCCCCTGCCGACGACCCCGCGTGGCACCCGCTGGCGAACCCGTCGTCCTCCGTGCCCGCGGCGCCGCGGCACCGGGACCAGGCCGGCGTCGGGGAGATCCTCGAGCTCCTCAGCGAGGCCCCCGGCGCGGAGGAGGTCCGTGCTGGCCCGTGCTTCAGTTCCGAGACGGCGCACATGGCGGTCTCTGGAGCGTCGCGGTCGAGCGGGCCGGACACGGCGCGCGCGGACTCCGCGCAGGGCCGGGCGTCGCTGGGCGCCGGGAGCGGGAGCGCGGAGGGGCCGCAACAAGCCGCGCAGGGCAAACTCGGGTTTGCGCAGGCGGTGAGCCGGCTGGACCGCTACCTGGAGCACGGCGGGCCGTCGGCGCCGATGCCGCTGCCGCGGAGCTGATGGAGCTGCGGCGGACGGCCTGGACTTCGTCGGGTGGGGTAGTAGTGCTTTGTCGACTTGGCATGAATTGACGAGTGTTGAGTTGAAGACGGGTGTTTCCGAGACCTGCCGCGTGCCCATGGTCCTCACGGGCGACGTGGGCGGAAGAAGGGAGGAATGATATACATACAATCGCTGACGTACGAGCTCCGCTGCTCCGGCTACGCAACGCTGCGCTTCACAGGCGCTGCTGCTGGATGCGCTCCATTGCGCCACCGCACCGGGCGCCCACATGGCGCGTCCAGCGCACCGCTGTGAAAGGTGACAACCTAGAGACCGTGAATGCTTCGTCCCTTTGCGTCTCGTGATCCGTTATAGGGCGCATCAATCCGTCAGGGGCAGGCGCTGGAGACCCCCCCACACTCGATCTCATCCGGCCACGAGCAGCGAGCGCGTCGTCACATGCACAGCGGTGTCGGCGAGCACCTCCGCGTCCCTGACACCCCCCCTGTGGTGCATGCTGACAGACCAGAGTCACCTGGTGCCTACGCCCCGGCACCCGTCCCCCGCAGCAGCCCGGGCGCTCCGCCGGGCACATGCACGACGTCCTTCTTCGCGGCGGCGTGCACCGCTGTCGCTGCGGAGCGCAGCCTGGTCTCCGCTGCGGCCACTGCATCAATCATGGCGTCCAGCTGTCGCAGGCGCGCCTCGAACACCTGCAGCAGCGTGCTCTGCTGCCCGCCGCCCTTCTCTTTCGAGTTGCCCGTGTCCGTCTGAATTGCGCCGAGGTGCCTGCGGGGCGGGCTCCGCGCGGGTGACCCATGTGAGCAACTGCACAAGACGTGCCTCGCAGACGAAGCGACTCCCCGGGCGACTGCGTTCGTGCCATCCAGAGCCGCATGCTGCGCCAGCCGTGGTGGAGCAGGTGCGCAGGGCCCGGGCACGCGGGCCGACAGAAAAGACAAGCAATGAGCAAACCAATTCCACATCCACGCACCTGTCCTGGATCTTCTTCGCGAGGCTGTGCAGCTCCTCCGCGGGCCCGTCTGTCCCGTCGACCCACACGGCCGGCCCAATGTACGCCTGAGTCGTCGGCATCCCCCCCCCGTTGGCAGTCGGGGTTGCGAAGGCCCCCGCAGCCACCACCGCCACCCCTCCCGCGCCCCGCTGCCCAGCCCCGCTCTGTCCCGCCCCCGTCGACGGCCTCCCCGACGCACCCGGCCCTCCCGACGCCCGCGCGCCGCCCCCACGGCCCCCCCGGCCCCCAGCACGCGCCAACCCCCCCCCTCCCCGCCCACCGCCGTGCCCAGACGCCCCCGCGCTCTGCCGCGGGCCCCCCGCGCCGTGCCCGCTCCTCCCCTCACCCTTCTCCCCCTTGCTGATGCGCCCGCCCTCGCCCGCCTTCCCGTCGCTCGCCCGCGGCGTGGGGGGCTTTGGCTTCTTCCAATTGAACCCCCATCGGGAACCCGTCCTTGAGCGACCCAGGCGCCGGACGCTTCCTGTCCGCCAGGCCCCGCGCCGCGATCCCGATCAGGTTCTCGCGGTCGACGGGCGGCGGCGCCTTCTTTGGCGGCGCGTCAACCTTCCCGGGCGAGTCCCGGCGGGGCTCCTTCTTGACGCTCGACGTGCCCGCGCCGCCCGTGGGCGTCTCGGCCTTGCCGCTCGACGGCGAGCCGACGCGCTCGTCGCGGCGCTTGACCGGCCCGCGCGCCTTGGCGTGCGTGACCGCCTTGCGTGCCGTCCGCAGTGCGTCCTTGAACGCGGACGACTTCTTCAGCACAGCCATCTTCTCCCAGTTCGCCTCCTGCGTGGTGGAAAGCGGAGCGCGGCGTGACGTCGAGCGCTCGGGACGCGCGGGGGGAGTGCGCTGCACGACGGCCCGGTGTGTGGCGCGCCCGAATCACGATTTGCAGTATCCACGCACGCACGCGCGTCTGTCATTCTGGCCAAATCACGGGGGATCACGGTTCGCGATCGATCACGGGCGCCCAGCAAACATGGCTAGGCACGCAGCAGTGGGCGACGCGAGGACTTGATCGGCCCCGTACCAGGTCCTGCAACTCGACCTTGTTCGCCCAGCCGAGCGTGTTGTCGAAGAACTGCACCAGGACGCTCGAGTGCGAGTGCGGCATGCCCATGACCTTGGAGTGCCTCTGGGGGTCCACAACGCGCCCCGGCCAGAACCCGTGCCCCTTGACCTTGCCCCAAACGAGGTCGCCCGGGGACCAGTTGCTCTGCGGGGCGCGACGGGCGCACACGAGGCGCGGCGCGAGGCACAGGTGAGCCGACGCGGCAAGCGATAATGGGATGCTGCGCGCGAGGGGGGCGGCGCTGCGTGCCGCCGCGAGCGTGTGCGAAAACAGGCTCAGACAGGGTGTCACGGATCGCGGATCACGCATCGCATGGGCCACGAGGACTGCAACAGCATGAGATCGTCAACATGCAAATAATAACATGTAATAATGCAATAACGATCATGCAATAATAATAACATGCAAATAATAATGGTTTTTTTCAAATATGGGCTGTTTACGACAAAGCAAGCACAGAGGGCTGCACGCAGAGCGTTCGCGGCACACGAGCGCACCTTGCCGCCGGACCTCGCGCCCTTCGACGCGGAGTCCGCGCCCCCGCTCGCCTCTGTTGGTGTCGGCGTCGAGACCGTGACGGCTGCCGGGCCGCCGCCGGAGCGGTCCATGGCCGCCTGCTTCGCGGCCCACTCTGGCGGCACGCCGGGCGCCGGCGTGGTCGCGTCCTGCACGAGCCGCGCGCCCGCGCTGCGCAGCGACAGCTGTTCTACCTTGCCACTCCCCCACTGGAGCGTGTGGAGCTTCGAGGCGTGGTCGTACAGCAGGACGACCGCCTGCTGGCTGCCGCGCGGCGTCTGCACGACCACGCGCTTCCCCACCGCGCCGCGTCCGAGTGACCGCGGGGTCTCCCGTGGAGAGATCCCCGGCGGCGGGGAAGACACCCCCCCGCGGCCCGACTTCCCCTTCCCCGAGCTGCCCGGCGTATCCGTCTTCGCGGCCGCTGCGCCTCCGCGCGTCCGCGCCTCGGGGTCCCGCCGCGGCGGCAGCTCGCGCGGCGTCGTCGCCCCGCGTCCGCCGCGCCCCCCGAGCCGCTCCGGCCGCGCCCGCCGCGCCCGCCGCGCCCGCGCGGCGTCGGCGGCTCGTCGCTGTCAGTGGGAGACGTCCCGCGGGACTGCGCAGGCCGCGCGCCCCTCCCACGGCCGCGACCGCGGCTCGTGCTGCCGCCGCGCACCGCTGGCGGTGCTCCGCGCGCGCCGGTCGAGGTCGAGCGGGACGGCGCGTGCGCCGCAGGCGCGAGGGGCCGCTCGACCTCTTCGTCGCGGTGCACGTCGGCCCCGAAGATGCCGTCCCCGAGCAGGGAGCCCGAGCCCGCTGCACTGCCAGGGGAGGGAGGTTCCGGAGAGGAGGCCTCAATGTGGTGCACGGGGGTGCCCTTGTTGGTGAAGTGCTCCTGCCCGACGCCAGCTGCTTCGAGGAGCTTGCGGCGGAGCCAGTGGTTGTTCGTGCTGTGCGTCGTCAGGTGGTAGATGTCCTGGAACTTGAGCTGCGGGTTGGGGGGTGTGCGGGGGGGGTTGCTCGCGGGAAGCGGCGTGGGGGGAGGACCGCACGGAGAGGAGCTGGCGCGGCGCAGCGGGCGCCACGCGGGCCCCTGGCGGGTGCGCGAGCGCGAGGGGAAGGCCGGCACAGACGTCTGGCGTGATTGTGGCGCGGAGCGCGTCCGAGTGGGGCTGTTTCCGCGCCTGTAGTTCGCGCTGTCCCATGGAGCCGACGGCGCTCACTATTTCGTCGGGGTCCGTGAATCCGAAGTGCTGGGAGATCTCAGCACTGTTCAGGTGGATTTTCGGCAGCGAGTGGCCGGGACCACCGCCCGTGTCCGTCCCGTGCGAGTGCCGTTTCCCTGAAGCGTGCATTGTGCGCCGCCCTTCCCAGCGTGCGGCCCTAGCGGGCCCGCCCTGCGTTGGCGACCACCACTCCGGCTCTGAAAGCCCCTCGTGCGCGCTACGCGGACCTTCCACTGGCGTGCCCGGCGCTCGTTCGGGACCTCTACGCTCTCCCGAAGTGACTGGACCGGTTCCCTCGCGGCACATTGAGCTGTGGACGCTGCAGGCGCACTCGCCCGACTGAAGGGAGCGGGGGGCTTGCAGGAGCACGGCCGCGCCAGGTCGTCCCGGGAGATACAGGGCCTCGCCGCGCGCTGCGCTGCTCGAGTCGAGACTGATGGTTCCGTGCAGCGCAGCGGCATCGTGATTTGCGACCCCGGCGTGCGGAGAGTCGCTCCCACAGCGGCCCACAGCTGCGTCTGGGGGGCTTCCGGGACCTGCAAAGCGATTTCACGGCGAATCTCCCACGATTCTACATCGTCGGTCTTCGGGAACGTGGATCTACGCGTCTATCCGAACCGAGCTCGTCGCACTACCGACCCAACCTAGCGCCAGTCTTTCCGCTCCCTGACGCAGTCGTCCGACTCCTCACGAAGGCACCGGCCCGGCAAGTCGGCACCTGGAGTCACGGGGCGGCTCGCCGCGGAAGCCGCCCATACATGGCGGCGGCGCGGCCGTTCCTGCGGCAGGTGTTGCTCCTGCAGCGGGACGTGCCGCGGGCGGCAGCCTTCTACGGCGACGGCCTCGGGCTCGACGTCATCGCGGTGACGCGCAAGTACGCCGAGCTCGACGCGGGCGGCGGAGCGCGCATCGCCCTCAAGCACGTCGACAGCGAGGCCCAGTGCACGGTTGGCTACTCGCCATTCCTCAACTTCGCTGTCCCGGTGAGCCAGGCGCCGCGGACCGCCTCGCACACCCAGCTACCACCCGCCACCGCTCGCAGCGGCCGCGCCACGATCCGCCCACGCCCTGGCGCTCGTCTTGGAACGTTGCCAGCGGACCTGCGCATTGATTGAAGGCCGCCTCGCGACGCGCCCGCAGGACGTGACCGCCGCGGTGGCCCGGCTCGTCTCGATGGGCGCCGTCATGGACGGCGCCATCAAGTACCAGGCGAGCGGCAAGCTGGCGGCGCTGCGGGGGCCCGACGGGCACATGATCGCCCTGTTCGAACCCAACGGCCCGCTCCCAGGCGAAGACGGCTAGCCCGCGCAGCCGGTCGTCTCGAGACGCGCCCGCCGCGGCCACGCCCCCTCGTCGTTGTGAGTTATACTTTACTCAAGCAAGTCTGTCATGCGGAATGATGCCGATAGGGGTCGCCCGCCGGGGGGCTACAGTGCCGGCGCCGCGCGGGCGCAGCGCGCAGGCGGGACGTGCTGGGAGGCCTGCGCTGTCGATTCGGCGCTCCGCGAGAGAGAGCGCCGCGCGCACCGGAGCGACACGTGCGGCGCGCCAAGGGCGCAGGCGGCGCCGTTTTCGCCGCAGCTTGGCGCTTGAGGTGTCGATCTTGGTTCCTGGGGGAAGTTCGGGCGGTGAGAGCGGCGGTTGGCGCGCGCGGCCGGTGAGGTGCAGCGTTGGAGATGGAGGAAGTCGAAGTGCTTCCGGAGGGCAAGCCGCCGGTGAAGCAGTGCATGTGCAAGAAGACGCGCTGTCTGAAGCTGTACTGCGACTGCTTCGCGGCCGGGCAGTTCTGCTCTTCGGAATGCGGGTGCGTGGGCTGCGTCAACCGCGAGCGCACCAGCACTCTGGTCAAGGCCGCGCGGAGCGCCATCAAGAAGAGGAACCCCCTGGCGTTCCGAAGCAAGGTGACCACCGCCGTCTCCGCGCCGCTGACGATGTGCGGCGCGGATCCAGCGCTGTTGTTCGGCCCCGCCAGTGCCGGCTCTCCTGTACGCGCACGCGAGGCCCCTGCGCGCGGACCGGACCCGGACCGCACGCACTGGCTTCTGTTGGATACGATCAGTGGCGTTTCGCAAGATCTCGCCGCGTTCGGCGCTCGCTCGCATTGCCCGCGCACCTCTCCAGGCTCCTGCCAGTTGCCGCCCCCCCGCGCGCCTGACTCCGCACGCCGGCTCTTTTCCAGTCTGATCAGATTCATCGTCACGATATCTGGCCCCATGAGGCGCCGTGGCCGATGGACCCGCCGACACGCAGCTCTCACGCGAGCACAGTTGCCACCCCTGCGCGAACCTCGCCCAAGCGCGCCAGCGCAGACCTCGTTTCACGCACGACGCCGTGCTCGACATGGCTCGCAACCCCGCTACCGCCCTGGTGGGACCAACCTCGCACAGGCACCAGCGCACCGCCCGCAGCTTGTGTCTCGCGCTGCGGCTCCCTCGCCCGCCGCCGTCCAGCCCCGTCAACCTCCCGTGCAATGCGCCTCCCGAACGCCCGTCGACTTGATCTCCCCGCTGCAGTTCGTCGCCACGGACGGTCAGGCGCGGGTGGAGCACAAGGTCGGCTGCAAGTGCAAGAACTCCCGGTGCCTCAAACGGTACTGCGAGTGCTTCGCCGCGGGCGTGCACTGCTCCGACGTCTGCAGGCGCGCCCCGCGACCCCCCGCTCGCTCCCGCGCCGCGCCCCTCCCACCGCCTCACTGCCACTCGATTTCTCAACTGTTCGTCCCCAGCTGCGCCCGAACCCGCCCGCGACTCCGCGCCCGCCGCAGGTGCATCAACTGCCTGAACTGGAACAAGGCCGAGCGCGCGACCCCCCCCGGCTTCAGAGTCCCCCAGAAGCTCGGGGCGCCCCTCGGCGTCAAGAGCGCACCTGCAAAAGCGTTTGGCAGCAACCCGCGCCCCGCCGTCCAGCGCGGCCCGCCGCGCGAGAGCGACGTCGTCCGCAAGATGCAGGCGCGCCAGCGCAAGTACTACGGCGAGTTCGGGTACGGCAAGGACAGCTTCGTCGACCCGAGCCACGTGGGCGCCGACGGCCGCCCCGCGCCCTCGCGGCGGAAGCTCCGCGCCGAGCGCGCGCTGCCGCCCGGGAGCCCGCCGCCGGCGCAGGCGTCGCGGCGCTTCGACGACGGCGCGCTGGACGAGGCTGCTGCTGCGCCGGCGCGCGGGGCGCGGGAGCTGGCCTTTGACGCGGAGGAGCCGGGCGAGGACGCGGACGTGGCGATGGAGGGCGACGACGTGGCGACGGAGGGCGACGACGTGGCGATGGAGGGCGAGGACGTGGACGAGGACGGCGACGAGGACGAGGACGAGGAGCTGGACGGCGACGGCGACGGCGACGGCGACGGTGACGGCGACGGCGACAGCGACGGCGGCGGCGACGGCGACGGCGGCGGTGGCGGTGGCGACGCGCAGCGGGGCAAGTCGTCGGGCGCGGGGAAGAAGGGTCGCAGGCGCGGGGTGAAGCAGCTAGGGTACAACTACGGCGGGCAGGGCCAGGCGTGGACGCCCGAGGAGGACGAGCTGCTCCTGAAGTACCAGCGCGTGTACGGCAACCGCTGGTCCGCGGTGTGCCGGCACATCCCGGGGCGCACCGGGCAGCAGTGCGCGCAGCGCTGGCGGCACCGCGTGAACCCGGACATCAAGCGCGAGCCGTGGGACACGGACGAGGACAACCAGCTGCTCGAGCTGGTGGAGGCGTACGGCGAGGCCAGGTGGGCCATGGTGGCGCGCAAGATGCCCGGGCGCACGGACCAGCAGTGCCGGTCGCGGTACCTCCAGGCGGTCAACCCCGCGCTGCAGAAACAGAGCCCGTGGACGGCGACCGTCGACAAGAGGCTCGTGGCAGCGTACGGCAAGCTCGGCGCGAACTGGACGGAGATTTCGCGGCGCGTGGCGCGCAGCATGGCGGCCTGCAAGGCGCGCGTGGAGCGGCTCCGCGCGCTCGCGGGGAACGACGACGAGAAGCTGTTCAGGCAGTACGACGTGACGCCCGGCGACGGGCGGCAGGAGCCCGCCGCGCCCCCGCCGCCGCCGCCGCCCGCGCGCACGCCCGCGAAGGCGGCGCAGACGGACGGGCCGCTCATGGACCAGCCCGACTGGCGCGCCCTGGACGAGCTGCTCGCGGACCTGCAAGGCGGCGCGAGCGCGGCGCGGCTGCGAGAGACCCCCTACACGGAGTCGTACCACCAGCAGAACGGGTACGAGCCAGGGGACCTGGTGTGGGCCAACTCCCCCGGGTACGGACACTACCCGGGGCGCATCGTGGACCCCGACGACCACCCGGACTTCCTCGAGCGCGGACGGCGGCGCCCGACCCAGCAGGTGCGAGGATCTATCTCTCTTCTCGCGTGGCGCGTTGCCCCTCCTTCCTGGTGGAGGCAGTGCGGGCGCGCGACGTCTGTGTTCTGCTGGTCCCCGCCGTGTCTGTTGCCTCGTGTGCGCGGCGAGGACCGGGGTCGGACGTTTCTGTCCCCCGGGGGTGTCGTGCGTGCAGGGTTGGCGGCTGGTGGCGTTTTTCGACGACGACATCCAGTGGGTGCACGTGGACAAGATGTACGGCTTCCTGGCGCGCTGGACGGACTGGTCGGGCCTGCAGGACCACCCGTCGCGCCGGCCCAACTTCACTCGCTCGACCGACCGCGCGGTCAAGTGGTTCTTCCACCTCGTGCGCGCCCACGAGATCCGCACGGGCGAGGAACTCGACATTCCGCGCCCCTGAGGGACGCGCGGGCGAGGGGCTGGCGGGTCCGGGAAGTGCAGGGACGGTGGCTGGAGGGAAGGTGCAGGGGGCAGGTGGGGTTGGAGCTGAGGCGGAAAATGTTGGACGACGTGATCCTCCCGTGACAACGCGATGTAATTAATAGCGCTACATCGCTGCCGTCCCACCGTCCTGTTCAAGGACCTATATGCGTGCGTGCGTGCGGGCGCCGCAGCACAAGTTGATGCACGACGCGGTCCAGCAGCCGCGGACGACGAGGCCGCGCGGCGGGGCAAGGGGAGGGGGAGATGCGACTTCGTCGCCGGCCGAGCAGGAAGATTGGCTCACAAGAAAGGCTGCGGTGCAGCCGTCCCTACGATCCCGCCCGAAGGACGTCAACGTCCCGCAGCGACGTTGCATCAGGCGCCAGCCACGGCTCCTGCAGCTCGGTACACCCCCGGAGGTCAATTGTCTGCAGCGCCAGCATACGGTCAGTTGGGATCCGCTGCACCGCGCTGTGGGCCGCGAACACGTGCTCGACCGTCCGTGCACTGTCGTTCGGGAGCCAGTCGCGCCCCAGGTCCCCACAACCGTTGATCTTGAGGCGTTGCAGTGCGCGGAGCCCCGCAGGGACGCGTGTGATGTGCGTGTGGCTGACGTCGAGAAGCCTGACGCGCGCCGCGGAGCTGGGCGGCAGGAACTTGCGCCGCAGCCCGCTGCAGCCGTCGAGGATGAGGGTCTCGAGCGACGACATCCGGGAAGGCAGCGCCGCCAGGTTTGACTTGGAGGCGTTGAGAGACTTGACGCGACCGGCGCTGGACTGCGGGAGCCACTTCGCGTCGAGTCGCTGGCAGCCGCGGCACTCGATCTGCTCGATGCGCTCCAGGCCCTCCGGCAGCCGCGCGAGGTTGGAGTACCACGCGTCGATCTTTTGCAGGGCCGGGAACCCGTGGTCGGGGAGGAAATCGCGCTCGAGGTGGTTGCACGTGCGCACGTCGATGTCCTCGAGGGAGCGCATGGCGGGCAGTCGGCCGATGTTGGAGCCCGACGCCCAAATGACGCGCACGCTCTGCGCGCTGTCGTGCGGCAGGAAGTCGCGGTTCAGGGCCGCGCAGCCGACGATGTGGATCTGCGGAAAGGGTGGAATCGTGCCTTGTTCCGGTGTCAGTTCGGCTGAGGTGCCCTTCACGGCGACACGCTGCAGCATGACAAATTATAAGAGGCTTTTGACAAGCAGCGCCGCGCACCTGTCGCAGCTGCTCCATGCCCGCGGGCAGGCTCTTGAGGTTGGACTGGTCGGCCTTGAACAGCACGATCCGTGACGCGCTGTCCTGCGGGAGCCAGTCCTCTGCGAGCCCGTGGCATCCCGACACATTCACGTACTGGAGGCTGCTCATGCCGCGTGGCAAGTGCACCACGTTTGTATCGTTCAGCACAACGCCCACGAGACGCCGCGCGCTGCTGGGCGGCAGGAAGGCCTCATCGAGGCACTTGCAGCGGCCGAGGTACAGCTGCTCCAGAGCGCCCATATTCGCGGGCAAGCGCTCGATGTTCGAGTCGTCCGCTTGGAGGCAGGCGACGCCACCGGCGCTCGTCTCGTCCAGCCACTGCGGCGCCAGCGTGCACTGAGTCACGTCGACCTGCGTGGCACGTGCCGGACCATAAGCGCGCAGGTGAGTTCGCGGTGGCATTGACGGACAAGGTCCCCGTCGCTTGTGATCACGCGCGCGGTCCTTGGCTGCACGCACCACACGTAGCGCGCTGAGGCCAGGCGGAAGCCGCCGCAGCCCCGAGCGCGCGGCCCTGACAATGCGCAGCGACGGCGCGGCCCCCTCCCGCAGCCAGTCCTCGGCGAGACGCGCGCACTCCGCGACGCACAGCTCCTCCAGGCGCGGCATCGCCTCGCCCAGCCTCACGAGCCTCGAGTCCCGCGCTGACAAGACACGCAGGTTGGCCCAACTCTCGGCGCAGAGAAAGCCCTCCGTCAGGTGCCTGGTCTCCTCGATGTACAGCTCCTCGAGGCGCGGCATCGCGGGGAGGCGCCGCAGGTGTGACAGCTCGGCGCGCAGGACGCGCACGCGCTGCGCCGAGTCGGAGGGAAGCCAGTCGGTCTGATTCAGTCTTGTGCACCTTCCAATGTCGATGATCTCGAGGTTCGGCACCCCCGGCGGGAAACCCCCGATGGGGCTCCCGTACGCGTCTATGCTGCGCACGCTCGTTCTGCTCGCAGCGGGCAGCCAGTCGGGCGTCAAGTTCCAACAGTCCTTAATGGACAGGTGGCGCAGCTGCTGCATGTTATCCGGCAGCCTGCACAGCCTCGAGCTGTCGAGTCTCAAGTACCGCACGCGCCCTGCGCTGCTGGCGGGCAGAAAACACGGCGCGAGATTCCAGTGATGCGCCAGGTCGATCTGCGCCGCCAAACGCAACCGAGTGTGGCTGTTGAGCCTGCAGGGCTATGCAACGTGCGACGCGCGCGCAGCCTGGTGCGGAGCAGTGGCCTGGGCTCGGGGGAGGAGGGCGGGGCGCGCGCCTCTTCCAACGCGGGCATGTGTTCGGGAAACGCCAGTTGTTCGACGCCTCCAAATGTCTTGATCATGCCCAACGCGCACTCGCGCGACACGAACCTCCTCGTCACGTGCACGATGCGCTCGAAGCGCTGCTCGCCGTCGCCCGGGTGGCTTGCGAGCAGGAGTCCCGCGTCGGCCAGCGACACGTAGACGCCGCACCAGCCCACCCACGGGCGGGAGCCGGGGAGCGACGCGGCGGGCGTCGCGAGGAGCTTGCGCAGAACGCCTTTCCCGGGATCTTCCGGGCTCGTTATCCATCGCCAGCGCGCCGCGTGCCCGCTGCTGTCGCTGCTGCCGTGGAGCACAGCGGCCATGAGACGTGAGCACGTCGCTGCCAGATAGACCGCGTCGCGTTTTCTCAGCTTGCCAGCTATCTCGCTGAGGAGCACGTCGGGCAAGTCGACGAGAGCGACCCCGGGCTCGGCGACGCGCTGCGGTGGTCTTGTTGGCCCCTGAAACGGCCACATAGCCTGATGTATAAACAGCGATTCGCGTGTGTTGCGATGGGCGCGACGTAGACGAGACTACTACTACTACTCGCTCTCGACGCGCGCATCAACCGGTGATTCTGCCCACGGGTATGCCCCCGGCCCGGCAAGCGCCCAACTACTCAGCAACCGTCGAGGCTCCCGCGGCGGACTCGGTGGCTGCTTCTCGGAAACGCTCAGCTCCACTCCTCGTGCGGGCACGCACAAAGTCGAGGGAGCTGCGAAATCATGCGTCTGCGACTCTCAGGACGCAGAAACGGACTGCCCGAGGTTGCCCCCCGCTAGCGCTCGTCGGGTCGGGCCAGCGCGGTCTGTGCGGCACGACGCGCGCGCGATGTCTGAAACGGTGTTGGCTGGCCCTACTGCCGCGATTCATGCCCACGGCAGTCCAGCGACAAAGAGGAGTGACGTCACTCCTCTGGTGGACAGCTCACCGCACGTCAGACCGCTTCACGCGGCGTGGTCGAGACAGGGTCCCTGGCGCACGCAGTCGCAGCACCCGAGGTCGCCACGCCGAGAACAAGACGATCACCGCACACGTCAACCCGCACTTGGACAATGAAAACAACAACAACAACTTGTAGCGTTGCCCTGCATGAAGTCCCGGGCGACCCGGGGCCCTTCGACGGAGACCTGCCTCACTGAGGACGGTGGTGCGGCCTTGTATCCTGTTTCGCACGTGTTCAGCTGCGCACATGCAGGCCAAGCTTGCGAGACAATCAACCCAGCCTCGCGAAGACGCCTTCTAGGCAAGCAAGGGGCAAAGAGCGAGAGCGTCCCACCGTATGCCCGGCGGCGTCACAAGAACGTGCGATCGACGCGTCCCGCGACGGCTAGCGCGCCCACTAGGCGGCCACATGATGCGTGGTCTCTCTGGCAGCAGCAGCCGAGCCGCCGACGCTCGCGCTCCCCCCGCGCACGCACGCCACGCCCACTGCCTCCGTCCGAGGCAGAGCCTTCATCCCGCAGACCCGACAGTCACGACGCCGTCCTCGGCGCCCACCGCACGTGGCCGTCAAGCACCTCCCGCCACCGCGGCCCGCTCGCGCTGACGTCCTTCCAGTCCGGCGCGTCCCTCGGCAGCCCTCCGTCGCCCTCGGTCCCCGCCACGCCCGCCCCCAGGTCGGTCCGCGTCGCGATGAAATCAGCCACCGTCTCGAACAGCATCCTGTTGCCGTCGTCCGACAGGTGGAGGCCGTCGCACAACAGCCGCGCACCCCACCCCGGCGGCTGCGCACGCATCGCGCCCCCGACGTCCACGACAGGGACGCCCGCGCCGGCCCCGACCTCCAAAACGGCCTTGCCGTATGCCGCCGCTGCTGCGTCGCTCCGGTCCTCGCGTTTCGGCTGCAGGCGTCAGAGAGCGTGCCGCAGCGTCTCGTACGATCAGGCACAGTGCAGGCGGCCACGCTCGCGGGCTTGGAAGCACAACGCGCACCGTCGACTCGCTGTCCGCTCTCCGGCGCTCCGTGTCGACAGGCGGGGGCGTCAAGAGCACGACCGGCCCGCCTGCCGCCACCGCGCACTCGACGATCGCGCCCAGGTTGGCCTTGTACTCGTCTAGCGGGACCGCCTGGGGCGCAGCTGTGCCGTCGGGCAGCGCGGCGTCGTTCGCGCCGAGCATGATGACGGACAGCGCGGGCGGCGCTGCGTGCGCACCGGACGCGCGGGGGAAGGCGAGGGGGGCGAGCGGCAGCGCCCACCGGGTGTTGTACCCGCTGTAGCCGCGGTTGATGACGTCAGCGAACCGCTCGTAGCGCTCGGCGAGCAGACAGAGCCACCCGTTCGGACTGCGAGGGACGCAGGGGCTGCGTGGTTGTGTGGGGCGCGGAGGCAGGGGTTCGGGTTCCAGGTGCGCGAGCGACAGCAGGGGTGCATGGAACAGCCGAGCCGTCGCCCGCTACGCATCGACAGTGCCTGATTCCTGGTGAATAGTGATGTTTGATACAGAGTTCGGCGCGTGAGCAGTGAAAGTACCGCGGAAACGCAGCGTGGTCGGCTCGCGCTGTGCAGGAAGACGGGCACACCAAATGCGCGCGCAAGGGCTCGACGTCATCACCGGAATCCGAACTGCGTGATCGAGTCGCCGAAGCAGATGATCTGGGGCCGCATCGGCGGCTGCCGCGCCATGTCACCTCCTGCTGCTGAGCAACGTAGCAGGACTTGTCCTGGGCGGCCAACTGTCTTCCGTGGGCTGCGCAAGATGCAGGGACGCCAACGTCCAACGGACAAAACCATGTTCTCGTCGTGCCACGGACCTCCATGGAAGTGACGATATAGGCCTGTGGCGCGTGCGGGGGCGAATAATGTCCTGACAGACAGCCTGAGGCAGCCTCCCGCGACCGCTGCTGGGGCTCTGAGGGCGTCTACGTCCCGCGGCAGGCGCAATTGCTGTCGGCAGGGGCTGCCGGTGCAGACCGTAGTCTCACAGGTGGTTGTACGAGGCGCAGTTGCGCCGGAGAAGCACGCACGAGGGGACGATGTCGGATGCAGCCGCGCCTGATGAGGTAACTTCCCGTTCCGACAACCCCAACACAGTCTCCACATTTCGGTCTCCGGCCACGTGCGACGCGAGGCTCTCTGCGGGCGCTCGCACTGCGCCAGCGCGGCTCGCCATGCCTTTCGAATGAGTGCCCGCCAGGCCGCTCCCAAGACTCGACACGCCTTCGAACTATCCTCCCACGCATCTCCGTCCACGCAGCCGGTAGAGACCGCGGCGCCAGCCGCTGACGTGGCGCCGGAAGACGACGGCGGGGCTGGAGGTGCCGAGGCCACAGTGGACGAGGCTACCTCGAACGTGGACGGCGCGGGGGAGGCGGCGGAGGGTGCGGGCGAAGGCGAGGATGATGCTGGCGGCGGGACAGCGGACGATGCTCCGGGAGAGCAGGATGCGGGGGCGGACGTGGAGGCAACAGGTGGGGGCGGGGAGGAGGGCGCGGGAGCGGGGGCTGCCGGGGGGGACGGGGACGGCGGGGCTGGCGGGAGTGGTGTTGGGGCGGAGGGCGAGGACGGAGGGGCTGGAGCGGGCGAGGGGGCGGGCGAGGGCGACGGGAACCGGGCGTCGGGGGACGGAGACGGGGACGGGGACGGTTCGTCCGCGGGGGAGCGCATCGGGGGCGACGGGGACGACGAGGACGGCGAGGAGAACGAAGAGGATCCGCTGTACGGCATCAACATCCACGTGAGTGGCGCACCGCGCCCCATTCCCCTCGCATGCTCCCCGCACAAACCTCGCCCCTGCGCGCCGCGCGAGCGCCGCGGCGACGCGCACGCGTCGTCATCGAAGACCTGAGTGCCAACGAAGCCCGCCAGCGACCGTCCGACCGGCTGTCGCCCCCCCCGCGCCCCCCGCAGGACGAGCTCCTTGAGTCGTTGACGAACGAGGCTCTGATCGAGGACCTGGCCGCGAAGATCGAGGGCTTCGACGACGACTTCCGCGCAGCGGAGATGTCCGAGTCCGACGAGGAGGAGAACTTCGACGAGCAGGCAAGACCTCCCCCCCAAACACGCGGACACGCCACCGCATGGCGGTCGCGCCCATCGCTCACCGCCCCGCCGCACCCGCCCACCCGCGCAGGACCTCGCCCTCGACGAGCGCATCCTCGAGGCCAAGCGGACGTGGGAGAGCCTCATGGAGTACCACAGGCTCCTGGAGCGGAGGTTGGTGCAGTACCTGGTCGACATCAAACGGCGCGGGCCGGGGGGCATCCCGCTGAGCGAGGACCCGGGGTCCGGCGTGCGGTTCCAGGCCACGCTGCGCGAGTGGCAGGGCCTGCGGGACCAGAAGTCGGGGCTGGAGAGCAGCCAGGACGCGCAGCTGCGCGAGATGCAGCAGACGCTGGCGGACAAGCGGGCGCGCGCGGAGGAGGCGCGGCAGGCGTTCCAGGGCTTCGTGATGGAGGTCGCGCAGAGCTCGGAGTACAGCCGGACGGGCAAGCCGATCCCGCCGCGGCTGCTGCAGGACCTGTCGGGTCAGACGCGGGACCGCGCCAACGAGCTGACGCGGGTGCGGCTGCGGTGGGTGCAGCTGCGGTCGCACCTCGCGCGGCTCGAGGAGACGCTGCGCAGCAAGGAGGAGCTCGCGGAGGGGCTGCACTTGATCGACTTTGAGCAGCTGAAGATTGAGAATCAGGCTCTGAACGAAAAGATCGAAGAAAGGACCGAGGAGCTGTCCCGGCTGCAGCGCAAGTCCATGGCCGCGGTGCTCGTGCTCACGCACGTCAAGGAGAAGCTCCAGTTCGTGGAGCAGGAGGCGGAGACGCTCACGTCGCGCCTGGAGGGCTACGAGTCTGCGCTGGGCGGGAAGCGCGAGGAGCTGCACGCGGCCAAGGTGCGGCGGGACCGGCTGCGGATGGCGACGATGCGGCTCAAGGAGCACAAGACGACGGTGTCGAGCCAGATGCTGCTGGAGGATCTCGGGCAGCACCGCGCGCGGCTGCAGGACCTGCAGGTGGAGCTCGAGGGGCTCAAGCGGCGGCACGGGGAGCTCAGCGAGGACACCAAGGCGCGCCAGGAGGAGCTCACGACGCTCAAGAGCCGCGCCGCGGAGATGGCGGGGATCGCCGCGTGAGCGGGCGCGTGTTGCGTGTGACGGCGCAGTGGCGAGCAGCGTGGGCCTCGAGGGGCCAAGCGCCGCGATTCACACCGCAGTGGACCTCGCGGGCGCACCGCGCTGCCTGCGTCCGTCGCGTCGTACTGCGCGGGGGCGTTGGCGCCCCTTTGTGTGCAATCAGTCCTTTTTGCCTTTCGAGCCCCCGCGTGCCCACTTCGCCCGCTGCCGGAACATGTACGTGTAGAGCTGGAGCCAGAGGATCGGGTACACGCCCATGAGCCCGCGGAGGAACCAGGGGTAGTAGAATGCGAAGTTGACTGCATTTGGGAGCCTGCAGACACAAACAGACGGTTTCGCGCCGTTCGTTCGAAACGAGCCCCCTCGCGGTGCCCCGACCGCACGCGCATAGCGAGCCGCGCACAGCTGGCAGCGCGACACAGACTGCGCCCGCCCACGGCGTCGTGTTTGAAGCGGTTCGGCGACGAACATGTTTTCGTGGTTCGGGTGCGCACCTGATGCAGTACCACCCCGCCGCTTCCGCGACGGGCAGCGCGAGGTACATGATCGCGAGTTCCGAGGCCACGCCGACCGGGTAGAGCGGCACGAATGCGTTATACCGCACGGCCTCTACAACCTTCCCAAGCGAGGACCCGCCCAGCCCGAGCGCCCCGAGGAGGTACAGCGGGTACCGGCAGACCTCCGAGATCGCCCAGGCGGCGAACAGCGCGGCCGCGAACGGCGTGGGGTGCACGGCGGCCACGGGCTTGAGCAGCGCAAACAACACGTGGCTGCGACCCCCCCACTGCATCAGCGCCTGCACGGGCGACGACCGGACGATGCGCAGCGCCGCGTGCACGACCTCCATGAACGCGAGGAGCTGGAAGGTGCCTGCGGGACGTGCAGGCGGGCCGCGCAAGGTGGTGGGGGCACCGCCGAGATGACAGGGTGCGGGCGGCGCGGTCGGCTAACCCCGCGCGGAGGACGGCAGAGCACGTCCGCGACGAGGGCGCGCGTGAGCTGATTCCGCGGCACGAGCTGCGACAGCGATGAGAGCATCCGAAAGAGCATCCGTCGAGCCTCATCGGCGTCGAGGTCTGGGGCGTCGGAAGCGCCGAAACGCACGCTGGCGAGTGCGCGGGTAGGCGCAGGTTCGGCCGCGGCCGCGTTCCTATCGGGCGCAATCACGGGCGCCGAAGCGCCTCCGAGTTGGCCTGTCTGTGCACCCGCCAGCGAGCCGCTTCGCGCCCCCGCCGTCTCCATAGTCATACTGACGACACCCGACGGCTCTTTCGGATGTTCTCATCGCTTTCGCCGCTGATATAGCCGCGGAATCAGCTCGCGCGCGTCCTGTTCGCGGGCTGCCTCTGTCCGCGCTTCAGGCGCCCTCCAGTGCGGGGCGAGCGGATCGTCAACGGCCCGCGCGACCACCGTGCAGAGCCGACCGTGACACGTAGCCTCGCGCCGTTCCACGCTCGCCCGCCGCGCGCTTCTCGTCGCGCGGGGCATGCTTCATCCAGGCAACGTGCAGCCGGGCCCGCAGGCCCAACACCGCCCGAGACGTCGCAACCTGCCGCTCCAGAGAAACAGCCTCGCGATTTTCGCTCATGCGCGCGGTCGTGGCAGGTCGTCGGGCACCGCACCGACGGCCCAGACAGCTGCTGGGTACACCCCAGGGACGCCTCCCGCCTTGAATCCGACGACGCATTGGTACAGCGCGTACGCCCACCCGCACGTCTGCGTAAGGTTGTACGCAGCGAGGTACGCGTTGACTACCTTGGACCCCGCCATCGCGCCCACTCGCTGCCAGCACAAGTCAAGGAGGCACGCAGAGCGGTCGAGACGCGCGCCCTGATGGGATGTTCGGAAACGCCCGGCAGCGCGTGCCCGTGGTGTCGCGCGCGCAGCATCCTTCGGCGCCATGATGCCCTGGCGACACGGCTCCGGGGTGTGTGCGCTGACTCACCCAGCGGACCCCTCACGGCCTCGTGGCGCCAGCGGACACCTTTGGAGCCGCGCGGAGCCCGCCCTGGCAACTAGGACAACGCAATACCGCACGTTCGCGTACACACCGCTTCGTTTGCTCGCGGGGCGGACCAGAAGATCTACTGCACTTGCAGCGCGCGTCCGTGCGCTCGGTCACGGTGCGACGCCCTCCTCGCCGTGCCTCCGTGGACGTTCACTTTGCTTAGGACGTGTTGGCGGAGAGAACGCCCCTGATGCCCGTGAACTCACCCGCTGGAGCGCATGTTCCCTAGGGCCAGCACTTCGCGCAAGCTCACCTCGCTCAGCGCTCAGATGCACCGACCGCGCGGCGCCGGGACACATCGACATCTGAGCGTCGCGGGCGGCCCCGCGCGCTCTTCGTGCGGGGACCGTGGCGCCTGGTCCAGCGTGTTCCGTTTCAAGTCCGTGAGGACTAGACGGGAATCTCCGCATACCGCGGGCCCACCGCGACGCCCGAGCCCGCGACGGGATTTTGCGTGTCTGATGGTGTCGATCGTGACGCGAGGGGCGAGATTCCGCGTCGTGGGGGCTCTGCACGGGCCCTAAGAAACCACCGCGCCCCTGAGGCTGTGCAGGCGCGATCAGGGGGCGTGAGCGGCCCGCAAAGCCCTGAAGCGGCCAGTTCCGGCGTTCCGGGCGACAGCGCGTTGCGCCCGAGAGTCCCCTGAGTGTTCGACCGCTCCCTCCGGCTCGCACAGCGCCTCGCGGGCTGTGCGGAGCAATGCGTGGTGAGTGCCGCGCGTGGAGCCCGCGACGCCCGAAAGACCTGCGCCGTCGACGACCGGCGCGCCTCTGAGCTGCGCGAGCCCCCTGCGCCGCTCTTCGTCGCGGTGTGTCCGGCCCGCGCGACGAGGAGACGCGGTCGTTCTCCTCGTAATGTACCCGCGTGGTTCCCTGCACGCAGAGGCAGGCTCTGTCGATATTGGACGCAGCACGCCCTCGCACGGCGCACGGACTACCTCGCGACAGGGCGCCATGCAGCGGAGGGCGCTCGGGCGCCTGCTGCGCCCCGCCTGGGCGTCGGTGCGCGCAGCTCGCACGCCCTCCGCGCCGAACCGCGCGCCCGCCCACGTCTGCGCGGCCCGCCACGCGCTTCCCCGCAGTATCTGCTGCCTCGCAGCGCCGCAGTCCCCCGAGCCCGCGAGCGGGCGCGCCGCAGCGGCGCCGCCCACTGCGCCCGCCACAAACGGCAGTGGGCACCTCCACGAGCCCGTGTACGGCGCGCACACCGTCATAGCGGGGCCGCCGGACGTCGGCTCGGGCTCCGCGGCGGCGCTGATCTGGGACGACGACGGCTGGGCGGCCCCGCTCCCGCTCCCGCGGCGCGTGTTCTGCAACCGCTCGCTCAACATGGCCAAGGTGCGCGCCGTGGGGTTCGACCTGGACTACACCCTGGCGCAGTACAAGCAGGACACGTTCGAGCAGCTCGCGTACAAGCTCACCACCAACCACCTCGTCCGGTCGGCGGGCTACCCGAAGGAGCTTCTCAACATGCCCTTCGACTGGCGCTACATGCAAAAGGTGCGCCGCCGCGGCCGCGGCCCTCCAGGGCGTGCACGCGATGGCGCTGCGTCGGCGTGGCGCCGGCAGGCGAACCGGCCGATGATGGCAAGGCGTCGCGTGGTGCTGTTTGTGTACGCTGCGCGGCCTTGCCGTCAGCGGCTCGTCCTATCGCGCGTCCCGGTGGTTGCGCGCGCAGGGGCTGACGATCGACAAGCGGCGCGGCAACGTGATCAAGCGCGACCGGCACCACTACGTGAAGCTGGCCTACCACGGGTTCCAGGAGCTCTCGCGGGAGGAGCGGATCGACACGTACGCGCGGGAGGTCCGGGAGTCGTACGACAGCGCGGACTACGCCACCCTCGACACGCTCTTCTCGCTCGCCGAGGCGTACCTGTACATGCAGGTGCGGGGGGCCCACGAACACACACGTTTGTTGCACGTTTCTTCCTCCGCTCATGATTGTTTGCGAGCGGGCGCACGCCGCCTGAACGCGGGGGCGTCGACGACGCGTCGTGAGCGCAAGCTGGAGGCTTCGTCGGCTTGTCCAGCGCGGGTGCTGCAACCTCGACCCCCCCCCCATTGAGACGCATGCTGCGTCTCACGCGTGTTCCGCGCGCACATGAATGCAGTTGGTGGAGCTGAAGGACTCGCGGCCGGACCTCGAGGCCCTGGCGCGGCGGGACTACTTCACGATGTACACGGACGTGCGCCGCGCGGTGGACGAGTGCCACCGCGACGGGAGCCTCAAACGCGAGGTCGCGCGGTACCCGGAGAAGTACATCCACTCGGACCCGAGCCTGGTGCCGATGCTCGAGATGCTGCGCGCGAGCGGGAAGCGCGTGTTCCTGGCCACCAACTCCCTGTGGGACTACGCCAACGTGGTCATGAACTACATCATTGACGGGAAGGTGGGCGACGCGAAGGACACGTCGTGGCTGCGCATGTTCGACATCGTCGTCGTGGGGTGCTCGAAGCCCAAGTTCTTCTCGGAGCGCTCCGCCCTCTTCCGCGTGGACCCCGAGACCGGGCTTCTGCAAAACACCGACAACGGCGCGCCCACCGTCCCCGTCGACCAGCAGGCCGCCGCGTACTCCGCGTCCGACGCCATCCTCCAGTCCGCGGAGCTCGGCACCGACGACGAGCGCCTCCCCGCCGCGTCCTCCTCCGCGCACCCCAAGCCGCGCACGGCCGACTCCGCGCGCCACCACGACCCGGCGCCCGTGTTCCAGGGCGGGTTCTACGCGGACCTGCACCGCACGCTGGGCGTCACGCGCGGCGAGGAGGTCCTGTACGTCGGGGACCACATCTACGGCGACATTCTGCGCTCAAAGAAACACCTGGGGTGGCGCACGATGCTCGTCGTGCCGGAACTGGAGGCCGAGCTCGAGGAGCTGTCGCGGCACCCGCTGCTGCCGCAGGACCTGCTGTCGTCGCGCGTGAAGCGCGACGCGCTGGAGGACCAGGCGCACCACTTGGAGTGGTGGCTGTCGCGCAGCCCGGCGGAGCGCCACGGCGGCGGCGCGGACGAGAGGACGGCGGACCTGGAGGACCGGCTGGCGGCACTGCGTGCGCGGATCGCCGCGGCGCGGGAGGAGCACCGCGAGGGTCTCCGGAAGTACCACTTGCGCTTTCACTCGCAGTGGGGGCAGGTGATGAAGACGGGGTACACCGCGTCGTTCTTCGCGCACCAGGTGGAGCGCTTCGCGTGTCTGTACACGAGCCACGTCGGCAACCTGCTCCTGGCGGACCCCGTGAAGAACTACCGCGCGCCAATCGACATGATGCCGCACGAAGCTGCGGTGCCCGCGAGCGTCGACATGGCGACGCGGAGCTTCGAGGACTATCTGACTGGCCTGTGACTGAGCTGAAGTGAATCACAACTAATGTAGCGTCACGGCCCGCCAAGCGAGCATGCGCGCGCGCGTGTTCTCCTGCCGCCGCCATCACGGGCCGCATCGAACCGCGACCGCACTTGGGCGGTAACCAATAACAGAGCGGATGTTTCGAGAGGAAGCGTGCCTTGATCACGACAGGTCCAGCAGCGGCCGCTCCCCGCGCGCAGTGTTTCCGGGGCTGAACTCGCGCGGGCTGAGGAACTCCGGCGTACCCGCGGTGTTCTGCGGCACGATCGGCTGCGGCCGCGGTCGGGTGCCCTGGCTGGCGCGCGGCTCCTGCGCTTGCGCCGGCGACCGTCGCAGGTTCGGGTGCGAGGGGCTCTGCTGCATCGCCTGCGCGCGCACCGCCGGCACAGGCCTCGAGAACGCCAGCGGAGCCACGTGACCGTGCGCCGACCCCTCCGCCGTCGACGCGCCGGACAGCGCCATGCGCTGCGACCCCACCGACGTGCCGTACGGTCCAGGGCCGCTGTGGTAGTGGTGGATGCCTGCTCCGCGCACGCTCGGGCCCCCGTGCGCGGCCGCACCGGGCTCCCGCACGAGCACGCGCACCACAGTCGACGGCGCCTCCATCTGCGACGACAGCCCCTGCGCGTTGAGCGTGCACGCCTGGATGTTGATCCACCCCGTGCGGCTCTCGCCCATGTTCCCGTGCCCGAGCTCGCCGCGCACGCCCGGCACCGCCTGCCCCGCGAGCCACTCCGCGGAGATCTCCTGCCAGCCCCCCGGCTGCAACACCCCCCCATCCGGCCACACGTCGAACCAGCGGTCCTCAGCGAGCGTGGGGCCGCCGCCGGACGCGCTGCCGAGGTGCGAGGAGACGCGGAACGCGATCGGCTCGTCCCCCGGGTTCGTCAAGCGCACACGAAGCTCCTGGTCCTCGGGGAGGAACTGCAGGTCCTTGGGGCGGACTTGCAGCTTCGCGGTGGCGGCCGTTCTGTCGATTTCGCCCGCGAGGGCCTCGTAGAAGGCCGCGCGGTGCCGGCCGACGGCCACGTGCGGGAGGTGCACCGACAGCTGCGCCAGGACGGGCTTGTGGTCGGACGCCACGACGTCCATCGAGCTGCCGTAGCTGCGGCACGTGACGGTCGGGCACAGCGGGTGCGAGCCCGCGGTGGCGCGGAAGAGCACGCGGTCGGTGTAGGACGGCGGGCGGCGCTTCTCGGCGTCGTACTTGAGCCCCGGCGCGCCCTTCTCGAACTTGTAGGTGGGCGGGAAGGTGATCCGGCCCTCTGTGAACATGCCAAACGCACGCAGGAGCCGCCGGGACTCCATGAGCTGGCACTGCTGGAGCAGGCCCTTGAAGTCGCGGTCGTTGATCAGCTCGATGCACTCGTCGTACGTCAGGTTGACTCGGTAGTTCAGGTCGCCCGCCCAGATCAGCACGTCCGAGTCGTGCATGGTGAGGCTCCCGAGGCGGCCCCCTCCCGCGGACGGCAGCGGCGCGAGCGTCGACGTGTTGTAGATGCTCGAAGCGTCCGTCTTGTCGCGGCCCTGGTCCGACACGTCCCGCACGTCGGACGTGGACACGTCGTCCAGCCCCGCGTCGTCGCCCCAGCCGGCCGGCACCAGCGCCGCGGGGTCGTTGCTGGCGTTGTCGTTCGCGCCCACGCGCCGCGCGGCCTCCCAGCGCGACGCGATCGCCGAGGGCATGTGCAGCGGCCGCCGGAACCGCAGCTTGCTGCACACCAGGTGGAACTCCTCGTCACGCCGCGTGACCATCTCGGTGTGCGCCGAGAGGTGCGACCCGACGACGACGAAGGTCCGGCGGAGCACCGTGAACCGGATGCCGACCGCGCCCTTGTTCGCGCCCAAGCCCATCACGCCTGCGACGGGGAGACGACCACAACGTAGGTCAGGGGGGGGGTCCTGGTGCGTGGGAACGGATGTGGTCGCGAGCGTGCGTGCGCGTGCAGGTGTAGGCGTGGCGGGCGTACCTGTGGACACCGCGGCGGTCTCGACCTCACCGACGACGGGCGCGAGTCCGTCCCTGCAAAACACCGCCAGCAACACACCCCCCAGACACCGCCCCGCGACCACCTCCCACCGCCCGCCGGCCGCCTCGAGCGCGGCCGCGAGCGCGAGCGTCCAGTTCCGCCCGACCGCGCCCCCGGAGGTCGCCCCGCGGCCCATCACCTCGGCCGCGGTCGCAGACACCACCCCGGTATAACTCATGTCCACCTCCTGCAGCGCCACCGCGACCACCTCGGCGCGCGCGGCGCCCTCGAGCCACTTGATCAGGTCGGAGGGCTCCGGCTTCTGCTCCGCGACGTTCCACGTCCCCACCGCGATGCGCACGTCCTTGGTCGAGTAGGCCGCCTGCGCCACAGCGTGTCGCCACTGCCGCGTGATCGCCGCCTCGTTGCTCTCGCTGCCCTGGAGCGTCGCGGCCCACGCGTGCAGCGCGCCCGTGCCGGCGAGCGTCACCGCCACCGCGCCGACCTGCCCCGCGGAGCACACGGGGGAGGTGTGTGCCGCTATGACAGACAGCAGCTGCATCTCCTCGGAATACACCACCACGCGCCCGTCCGCCAGCCCGATCCACACGTTCCCCGCGACCTCCTGCATGCACGTGATGCCCCCCGGAACATTACTCCCCCCCTCCTGGCGCCCGGAGTAGTGGTACACCTCGATGCGCCCGCTCCGGTAACCGGCCCAGATCTCGTCCGAGCCCACGGGGATCAGCGCCCGCAGCGCGCCGTACGGGAACTGCCCGCCGGAGGTGTTCGGCGCCCCCTGCGCCTCGTCCGACGGCGACCGCCCGTGCACCTGCTGCGCGTTCATCCCCGTGAGGTCTCCGATGCGCCGCATGGCGACCTTGGTCAGGTTCATGATGCGCGCGCGCCCGCGCTTGACCATCGCCTGGCCCTTCCACGCGTCGCTCTGTGCCACCGCGACCGCCCCGGGCGTCTGCGCGACGTCGACGCGCCCCGTCGGCAGCAGCGGCAGCCCCAGCGACCGCGGGACGATGTACTTGGCGGCGTCGCCCTGCCCCGTGGACCCGAGGAAGAGGCCCGTCTCCGCGTCCCAGAGCCCGAGGTTGTGCTTCCCGCCCGACCACAGCACGCGCCCGCACCGCGGCACCGCCAGAAAGCGCACCTCGTCGTGCGGGAGCTCCTCGTAGGGCTTGCGCATGTCGATCTCCTCCCCGGGGGCGGCCATCGCGACGCCGGGGGACTCGAGCGCCGCGTTCACGCCGCTGCCGCTCGCGCCGCCGAGCCACCCGCCCGCGGGCCGCGTCCAGATCTTGAGGTAGCCCCAGGAGCTGCCCGTGACGATGTCGCCGGACGGGAGGATCGCGATCGACGAGATGTGGCCGCTCTTGGCCGCGGAGAAGGCGCGCGCGAGCACGGCCTCGCCGCAGTTCTGCGGGACGGACCAGCAGCAGACGGTGCCGCCCACGTGGCCCGACCACAGCATCCCGCGGTGGTGGTCCGGGCACAGGCAGGTCACCGCGCCGGCGCCCGGGGCCGAGAGCTCGATGTGCGGCGCCGCGTCGATGTCGCTGTCCGACGGCGGCACCGACCCGGGCGGAATCGAGGGCCCGGCCTTACTCCCAACGCCGCACACCTGGACAAAGGCGCCCGGGCGGCCCGACGTGGGCCCGACGAAGACGGAGCCCGCGCACGTCGCCATGCACGTCGTGATCGACTCCGCGCCCTTGCGCGGCGGGTGCCGCAGCACCGTGTGCACGGGGTACCCGGGCGGGAAGCTTTTGCTGAGACTGGCCGGAGTCCCCCCCGGGGTGTCCGACACGCGGCTGTTGGACCGCCTCCCGCGGAAGCTGCCGCCTTCGTCCGCCTCGTCGTCCCCGAGGATGTCCTCGATCGTGGTGTCCGTGCTCAGGCGCGTCTCGAGTCCGCCGTGCCCACTCGTGCGCAGCTGCCCCATCGCCGCGCTGAGCCCGGCCTCGCCCCCCGTGTGCCGCGGCGGGAGCCCCGAGTGCAGGCTCTGCGTGTGCGCCGCAGCGCCTGGCGCCGGGGCGGCCCCGCGCGGGATGCCCGCCAGCACGGGCTCCGGGAAGCGGCTGAAGTCGGTTTCGCGCATCTCCTGGGCGGCGCGCTGGACGGGGATGCCCGCCTGGACGAGCCCGATCATGCGCATGGCGTGGAGGAACTCGGCCGGCGAGAGGCCGCGGCCGCTGCCGCCCTTGACGGCGTTCCAGAGGTGAAAGAGGTCGTCTTGCGACAGGCCGGACTTCTTGAGGAACGCGGCCGCCTCCTGGCCGCCGACCTCCCCGTCGCGGTCCGCGTCGGCCATCTTGAACCAGGTGGGGACCTGCGGGGCGGCGGCAGGGACCGGGAGCCTCAGGCCAGGGAGCATGGCCGAGCCGCTCCACGCGCTGAGCGCGCTCAGGGGGCGGGAACCCGTGCGAGCGCGTCGTCCGGTAGCTCGTTGCGTGGTTGGTGGATCATTTGTGGGAAAAGCTCGGCCGGAACCCCCGCAAGGGGCCGTTGGGAGGGAAATCGACGCCCTGCCTCCGCCGCCGCGGTGCGGGCGCGCTGGCCGGGGAACGCGCGCTCCGGAAGTACGTGTGGTGCATGGCATCGGCGGTGGGGCGCCGCGGGCGCAACAGGTCCCCCGCACGGGCCAGGTGCGCTGCTGTGGAGGCGCAACCACGCTGTTGCTCACACCCACGTGAGCGGCGCGCGGCGGGGGCGAACGCGCACGCGGGCGTCGCGCACCTGTGACTCCCAGTCCCAGCTTTGCGTGTCGCGCCCGCCGTGCGTCCCCGCGCCCCCCGACCCCGCGAACGACACGCCTCGCTGCTGCGCCCCTGCCGCTGAAGCCCCGCTCGCGCGGGCCCAGTCCCTCGCGGGCAACGCGGGCCGCAGGTGCGACCCGCCCAGCTCGTGCCCGACGCCCGTGTGGGAGACGTTCGAGGCGTTCAGGAGCGACCGGGAGGACCCGTACTCGGACGCGGGCCCAGGGACGTGCGCGCCCTGGTGCCCGAGCGTCTGGCTCCGGATCGTGCTGTTCACGGTGCTCCACAGCGTGTTGTTCGTGCCGAGCAAGTCGGACGTGCCCTGCAGCACCGCTTCCTCGACTGACGAGCCCATTCGGTGGGAGTCCGCAGTTGCAGCCCCGCTCGACTCCCGCGTGTGGCTGGGCCGTTGCGGCTGCCGGGGCGGGCCGAAAGCGTCGTTCTCGAACGGCATGGCGCAGGCGGCGGGCCCCAGACCGCCCGGTGGGACGCCCGGTCGTCCGCTATGCGTGCCTGATGGACCGCGTGATTGCTCGCGAACCGTGCAGCAGCGTCACCGGCGGGCGCCCGCTACAGCATGGGACGCCCGGTGCGTGGCCGCGCGTGACGTGTATCGCGTCGCTCGGGCGCAGGACTGTCTACGTGCGCGTCAAACGTGCCCAGGGAGTGCGGAGGGTAGCTGCGGCCCCTTGAGCAGCCTGCGACCAGCCGGTTTGTTCGATGGCTGGTAGCGCCGCGGCGCATAGAGGGGCGCTGTGAGTGCCGCGGACGCGCGTTCGCGGGCCCCATGACCGGGCCCGGCGGCGAGGCCACGCGTGGCAGGCAGACGCCTCCAATCGAGCTCCGTCGGCGCTGTGGCGCTCGAAAATCCGCTCCGTGGCTTTTCTGGCCTGAAATACACACACAAAAAGTCCAGGCGATCGATCGATGTCCGAGGCAGGCACAGTCGAGCGCTGGTCGCGCTCGTGAACGAACCGTCATCCCCGCACCACCCGAGCCCGGCGATGGATCGCGCTGCACCGCCGACGCGCCGACGGCTCCCGACACTGCACGACACGACTGTGCGCCGCGCCGCGCTCGTCTCGGTGCTCGGACGACGGCACCTGCCCCGTGACAGACATAGGGCAGCCTCGGAAGGGGCGCGCAGGCCCGACGACGACCGCACTGACGCCGCCTCTGGCGTGCCTGCAACGCACAGGCGCGCGGCACCCGCTCCCCGCCCTGCCCGCCCGTCACGCCTTCAGCCGAGGCGTGCAGTCCGTAACCACACACACCGCAGTCCAGACGCACCGCATGCGATGCCGCGCGGGCCTCGAGCGAGCCAGGGCTTGCGACGGCGTAGCCGGCCACCCCAGCGCCGCCGACGCGTGAGTTTGGGGCCCGGACGACGCCGCCACGCTCAAGCTGCGCGCAAGCGATGTCGTGTCCCTCGTGCCAAGCACACGCGCGGGGGACGCTGCGACCCGCGCCGACCGCTCGGCGTCGGCCGGATGGAAGGTCTCGGCTATCGGGACGCAGGAGTCCGTCTCCGGAGCGGCCATGTCCACGAATGCCCGGCGCCCTGTGTCCCAGCGCAGGGGCTGCGCGCCGCGGGGCGGCAGCGGCGCGCGACGCGGCTGGTAGCCCGCGACGACAGGCAGGGCGGGCGCGCGTTCGGTGCCGGGGAGCGCCGCCGCGGGGGCGCGGGCCCTGCGCGCCGACCTGACGTCAGTTTTCGGGGCAGTCTCAACGTCCCGCCACGGCGCCGGCGGCCGCCGAGGGCCCTGCCGGGCGCCGCACTGCGCCACAAGTCGTCCTGCGCGTCACGGACTCGGCGAGTTTTCATTTCACGGGCCGGAAGCTCACTCTACAAGGGCCGCACCAGCTGCGCCCTCCCCAGCTTGTTCACGGCCCCCGGCCTCGAAGAGGAGACAATGCTGCACTGCTGTGCATCGGTCGCTGGCGCTGTCGTACCGAAGGTTGCTGTCGTGTGCCGCCAGGCGCGCCGCAGGGCTCACCAGGGCGCCGCGCGCAGGGCTTCCACCAGGTAGGGCGGGCCAACGGCCGACGCGGCACGCGCCCCGCAGAGCCGCCCGTGCGCGGCCTGAGCGCCGTAATTTGCATCCGTTACTTTTGATATTTCGAGGCCGGCCAGCGTTTCCGCGTTATAGCGGCGCAGTGCAGCGCTTTCGCCCCCCGAATGCCAACAAACCTTGCCAGCAAGGGGGCGCCGCTCTGCGGCTCCTGCCGCGCATTTCTCGCCCGCCATGGCCAGCTGTGTCCCTCTGCTTGTCCCGGCGGCGCGGACACGCCCACTTCGTCGCGTGGGCGCGGCGTGCGCTCCAAACTGGGCCCCAACCAAGCCCTAGCACATCGCGCCGTGCCTTCCGCAGGACGTACGCTGACCGGAAGGACCGCGTCGTCACGAACTTCCGTCCCGAGGACGCCCCCGAGGAGGAGGAGGTCGAGGAGGAGGTTGAGAAGATGACGTCGCAGCTCACGGTACGTCTGCACATCCCACGAAAACGCACTTTCCGCCGCGATGGCGCCGCTCTGCGCGCCGTTCCCCCTCCCCCGTGCGTCACCGGTCGCGCGATGCGCCGAATCCGCCGCGGTCTCTGCATGCCGGGCCCCGTCCGCCCCGCCCCGCACCAACCACCCACCTCCCTCGGCACCGGCCCCCCGCGGACCCGCAGGCCCTCAAGGCCATGTCCACGGTCGTCGCGGACACCGGCGAGCTGGACCAGATCAAGCTCTACGAGCCGGTGGACGCCACCACGAACCCGTCGCTCGTCCTCAAGGCCACGTCGCTGCCCGCGTACAAGCACTACATCGACGACGCGATCAAGGAGTTCGTCGCCTCGGGCGCGCACCCGAGCAACCCGGACCGCCCGTACGCGGACGTCGTCGACCTCCTCCTCGCGCGCTTCGCCGCGGAGATCACGCAGATTGTGCCTGGGCGCGTGTCGATCGAGGTGGACGCGCACCTGAGCCACGACACCGAGGCGACGCTCGCCAAGGCGCGCAAGCTCGTGCAGCTGTGCGAGGCGCGCGGGGTGCCGCGCTCGCGGCTCTACATCAAGCTCGCGTCGACGTGGGAGGGGATCCGCGCGTGCGAGGTGCTGCAGAAGGAGGGCATCGACTGCAACTGCACGCTGCTGTTCTCGTTCGCCCAGGGCGTCGCGTGCGCGGAGGCCGGCGCGGCGCTGATCAGCCCCTTCGTGGGGCGCATCCTGGACTGGTACAAGAAGCGCGACGGCGACGTGTACACCCCGGAGAACGACCCGGGCGTCGCGTCGGTGCGCCGCATCTACAACTACTACAAGCACTACGGGTACGACACCGTGGTGATGGCCGCGTCGTTCCGCAACGTCGGGGAGATCCGGCAGCTGGCGGGGTGCGACAACATCACCATCTCGCCCGCGCTGCTCAAGGAGCTCGACGAGTCCACGGAGGAGCTCCCGCGGATGCTCGAGGCGTCGGCGGTGAGGTGCACGGACCCGCGGATCACGCTGGCGGCGGAGGCGGACTTTTACGCGCTGCACAACATGGACGAGATGGCGGTGGAGAAGCTCGCGCAGGGCATCGAGGGGTTCGCCAAGGACCAGGAGAAGCTCGAGGCCATCATCGGGGAGATCCACGCCGCGTGAGGACCGCGCGGGACGCCCCGACCCGCGACGCTCCGCTCCGCTTTGCCTGTCCAACACTGTGAGACTGTTATCTTGTCCGTGCGCGCACGTCAGGCCGCGGCGAGCGCCCGGAGGCACCGTCGGGGCTGGACCTGGCCGCAAGACCATGCCGGAGCCGTGCTCACACGCGCACCCAGCTCAGTTCAATATTTTTATGATGATTATGATTTTGCATCGACCCAGGGATGGCTCGTGAGAGTGGTACGTCATTCGCCCGAAGCGCGGAGCTTCCAGCACGGTGTCGCAAAAAGGTCGAGTCACACTCGGGCAGCTGGCCCGGCGCCGCGCGTGCGCGGGTGCGCGCGGCTCCCCGACTTGATGACTCATCAAGTCCCCCCGCGCACAGACACTGGTCCTGCGCGTCAGCCGGCGCGCGGCAGCCTCCCGGCAGCCTCCTCGTCCAGGTTGCGATGACGGTCGAGTTGCGCGAGCCGTCGAGCAGGCCGCGCTGGTCGGTGTCGCTCGAGCGGAGCCTGGAGTAGAGGTCCTCGCGCACGAGCGTGGCGGTGCCCTGCTTGCGGTCCCGCGCGTGTTCGCCACCTGCGCCCGTCGCCTCGTAGTCCACGAACTGCACGGCGCGGTACCCCGCCGGGACAAGGGCTTGCGGGAAGTCGTTGCCGGCGCTGACCCAGGTTTCCTGCAGCGCGATCACGTCAGGGGGGACAAGAGCGGTCCGAGCGTGTGCTATACGGGGCCGCGCGGCCATGCTGTCGGGCGCGTCATGCACCAGGGATCCGTGCTCACCGCGCATCTCACACGCACCACGGCCCCCCGCGCGCACCCGCTGCACCACGGTGTGGCGCGCCCTGGCCGGCAGCCCCCGCGGGGGCCGCGCGCCTCGCGCGAGGGGGGCGCTCTACGGCCCGCTGCCCGTCGCAGTGAGGCCAATGCGGCCCCGCTCGCGCGCGCGGCCGCACCGGGAGGTCAATAATTGAAAAATTTTGCTCACCCCCCCTTGCTTCGCGCGCCCCGCTCTCGTCGCCGCGCCCCCACCCGCGCCGCGCGACATCCGTGCTCACTGCACATTTCACACGCACCCCGGCCCGCGGAGGCGGGGCGACTGCGAAGCAGCGTCGACGGGGGAGGTTGTGAGGCACTCGCACGGCGTCCGCGGCGCGGACAGACCCATGCGACGGGCGGCATGCGCGTCGGACCAGCATCTGGGGGTGGTGCACGTGGCGGGCGAACGGACGGATGCGGCCGACGGCCCCTCGTGCCGTCAAAAAAGCGATCCGTGGCTGCACAAAACTGGGGCCGCACCTGGGTCCCGTCCACCCGGACTCGCGGAGGCGCACTGGAGGGAGCAGGAGGACCGAGTGCGGGATATAGCCGCAAACGGACGACTCCAGCGCCCGGCGCGTCGTGCCTGGACGTCGGGGGGGCGCTGCTCTGCAGCGGGAGGTACCGGAACCGGTTCGGGCACGCACGGAGGGGCGTCGAGGGTGCTGCCACGGGCACGCGCTGCGTCCACGTCGACTGCCGAGGCGGGCGGCGCCGGGGGCGAGAAGTTCGCCGGCGCGGGCGGGGCCTCCACCGCATCGTGTCAGGCCTGGTACGACGCCGTAGACAGGCGGCGGTGTCGGTCATGGCGCGTGCGCGGCATGTTGAGGACGGGCCCTCGAGAGGTCGTGGCACCACCGGGGGGCGGCGCACGAATTCGTCGCCAGGCGGGCGACCCGGGCGCGACCGCGCCGCCGCAGGACACCGCGTGCGCCTACGCAGACCCTGTGGCGGCGCGTCGAGCACGCTGCGCTTCCGCCGCGGGCGGTCGACGGTCCTGGATGGTGGCCACAGCGGCGCAGGCCGTGCGTGGACCGCCTCCGGGCGCGTCCATTCGCGCGATGGGAGCCCCGTCAGGGGAGAGCTCTCGAGCGGAGCAGGCACCCCGGCGCGCCATCCGACCGCGGGAATCCCGGCGCCATGCAGCTCGGTGGTCGCGGATGGTATTGTGGAGATCACTGCGGGAGGGGTCCCGGGGGCACCCGGTGGCGCGTGTGCCTTGCCGGGCGACTGGTGTCGAGAGGCTGGGCAGCAAGCGACCGGCGCCCGCTGTGATCCCTTCCACGCGGGAACTCGGCCCGCAAACACCTGCCGCGGGCGGCACACATCCGTAGGCGGTGGTTCCACGTCGCACCCGCTGCTGTCAGTGCTCGTTATCGCCCGCGGCGACGCTGCGCTTGCCTGCATGGCACCACGCGGAATGCGGCGGCCGCGAGGGCCGAAACCGCGACGACTCGCCCCCCAAGGTCGCGCTCGCCACTGACTGAGCGCACAGTTGCCAGTCAATTCCCGGCTCGCTCCACCACCGGCCCGCAGGAGCCCGCGACCCAGCCCGCAGGCGTGCCCACGGTCGCCCCCGCACCTCCTGTTCCGGGCGACACGGTGACTTTGACGACCCAGCGCGGTCCTTCGGCGTCGAGGTCCGCGTCTGCTGCGCTGCGCGGACGCACGCGCAGGCACGGCCGCGGCACGACCTCGAGCTGTCAGGCCCGCGCGGCGCGACGCCCGGTTCCATTGCACGACCCATCGCGACCTTCCAGCGGCGGACGCCCACGACGCAAGCACGTCCAGGACCTCGCGGAGCTCTCTCCCGTCGCGGCGCCGAGCACAGCTCCCCCCTGTTGTTCATCAGGTTGCTCTCTGCCAGGTTGCCACGCGACGAAGACGACCGGGAGGCGGGGGGTGAGCTGAAGCGCTTCGGAGCTCGCATGCACGCTGCTTCGTCCCGACACCAACACGGCGCAACGGCCGCCCAGGCGGTGGAGAGGCCAGCGAGGCGGGCGAGCGACGCGCGCGACGTGCAGCCGCAGGCGTCGGGGCCGTGCGCGGACGGCGTGGGGACACCGGAGCCGGTCCGCGAGGAGAACGATCCGCAGGTCAGCCGCGCACGACGTCGGGCGGTACCTGCGCGCCGCGCCCCCTGGACATCCGGAGACGAAACGTTGCACGCTGTGCCGTGGACGCTGTTCGCAGGAGCTGCGCGCGGGACGAACGGTGCGAGGGCGCCCGAACCACCGCGGCATGCCGATCGCTCCGTAGGCGCACGGCGGGAGGGCGCGTGGCGCCCCGCGCGACGAGACGAGCGCCCCGCACGACGTCAACAACGGGCGCAGAAACATGCGCGAAGAACCGCGTCCTCGGCTTTCGTCGCGGCGGACGACGCGTCGACAAGGCGGCGCCCGACCCTGGTCCGTCGGCCCAGGCGCGGCGCGGCCTCCGCGCCGCGCGCGCGCCTCCCGCGGCCCGCCGGGTCACATCGCCCGCTGTCGACCTCAAACGCCAGCGAACCTCCCCCCCTGCTCGAGGATCGGACGCGCTACGTTGCGGCGCGGGGGGGCTGCCGCCGGGCAGACTCCATCCCGACGGTGTTCGGCACGACGCAGACGTGCCGCGTGCATCCCGTCGTCGCAACGCGGCAGAAGAGGACCAGGTGAGCAACTCGTGCAGCAGGCCCCCGTGGCGCACGCACCGCGGCCCCGCAGACCCTCGCGCACTGTTCTCCGGCATCCCGTGCTCGTGCCAGACCGCCAGCGCCGCGCGATCGGCCCCGCCGCGCGCCGGATCATCCGCGCTCGTGCTGCCTAGAGGCAGCTAGGGCACGAGGCGCATTTTCAAGCCGCGATCGCGCCCCCCCGGCCCGTCGGCCCACGCGCACAGCCCTCCGACGTCCACCTGAGCGCGCACCGTCCTGCCGTGCCCATCCACGCGCGCGCTGGACCGCCAGCGCGCCGCGCGATCGGCTGCGATCCTGCCGCCGAGGCGACCTGCAACGAGAGCCGCGCACGTTCCCGCGGCGCCGCCCTCCCGCCGTCGCCCGGGCGTGCCATCGCGCATCGGTCCCGTCGGCACGGGGATCTCGCCGCGCAGCGCCCGCACCTCGCGCCCGCCGCGGCGCGCGTGCGTGGTCGCGGTGGCAACCATGATGCTGTCCTACCAGTTCGGTCGTGCAGCTTGCCCGTCGAGGTCGCTCAGAGCTCGCACCGCCTAATTTTGATCGTTGCTCGGGGCGCGCGCGGCCCGTGGCGCGGTGTCCACGCCGCCTCGTCGATTGTCCAACGGTTTTTCCTGTTGCTCGGCCGTGCGCCGGGCCCCGCGACGTGGTCGTGGACGAGGCAGCGGCAAACAACTGTCCACATTAATCTCGTTCGATGCAGGCGTTCGGCGCAGCTCGCACCGCCACGGACGTGGCCGTGGCCCGCCACTTAGGACAGCATGATGTCTGAGGTGAGTTACGCGCGATCCCCCCGCCACGCGCGTCTTTGGACGCCATTCTTCGTCCAATCACTCATCCACGGACCGACCTGGTGACGCTGCGCGTCGCGTACCCGCCTCTACGTGCTCAGCCGCGCTCGTCCTGCCAACACAGACACAGACGGCGTCGTGCCCGCCCGTGCCGCTGCAGTCGCAGGAGTCCGGCCCGGACGCGACGCCGCGCGACCAGGGCCAGCGGAGCCAGCGCAAGCGCGGTGCCGCGAACAACTCGCAGGCCGTGAGTCCACGACCGTCGAAGGCCATGAAGGTGCGCGGCCCCATTCTCTCACCTCCCGCCCCGCCACGCCACGTGGCGTGTCGTGCACGTCCACGCCCATGCGTGCCACGGAGGCAAGACGCGGCGGCATCCGCTCTCGTCGCGGTGCAGGTCGACGTCACTCAGGCGTGGAAGCGCTACGAATACCAGTGCATCAAGCACTACATGGAGACCGCGGGGGCCGCCGCGGAAGTGTGGCACTGGGACGACGTTCCCTACGACGAGCTCTTCCGCGCGGGATGGTTGCCCGACTTTATGTCGATCCGCCTGTGCAAGCGCGTGCCCGAGTACGGCCTGGACGGCCTGGCCAAGCACGGCGATTCCTACGTCGGAATCCAGTGCAAGGAAAGGAAAACCACATGCGGGAGCGACCTCGGCACCTTCCAGGTCGCCGTCGCCATGCTGCGGGACAAGAACCCCGGCAGCGGGGGGGTCGTGATGTACTCGGGTGGCCTGGACCGCTGGCTCAAGGCCAGCGCCCCAGCGCTCGAGAGCACGGAGAACGTGCGCCTGGAGAGGCTGCTGTACGCCCCGCCGGCGCAGGAGACGCCCGTGGACGACACCAGCGGGGAGGCAAAGGCGGCGCTGTACCCCCACCAGAGGGATGCGGTGGAGCGGCTGCGCGAGGGCTGGGAAGGCCTGGGGATCCTCCAGATGCCCTGCGGAACCGGGAAGACCGTCGTCTTCGCCACGGTCGCGCAGCGCTACCAGACCGTCGTGGTCCTGTCGCCCCTCAGGATCCACGCCAAGCAGACCCTCGACCGCATGGCAGCCTTCCTCCCGGGCCACGAGCACATCCTCGTGGACATGGACGGCACCAGGGACGCCAAGAAGATCAAGCGGAGCCTCGGCAGGTCGGGGAAGGGCACCCTGATCTCTGCAACGTTCAAGTCGGTGGACGTCCTCGCAAACCTCAAGGGTCTGCGCAAGGACGCGGGAACCCTCGTCGTGGTGGACGAGTCCCACAACCTGTCGGACAGCGAGGAGACGCGCGACTTCCTCGATGCCTTCCGGCGGGTCCTGCTCGTGTCGGCCACGCCCGTCGCCACGTTCGACGGCGAGGACATCCAGACCCTGTACAGGATGCCCCTCCGCACGGCCATCGACGGAGGCTACGTGACGGACTACCGCGTGGTGCTCCCGCTCGTCCGCGATGGGGACACGGACGAGCTCAAGGAGCTGGAGGGGCTCGACGAATTCTTCAAGCCCCGGCTGCAGTTCCTCGCGACCGGCATGATGCGCTACGGCCTTCGCAAGTGCATCATCTACACGACGTCCGTCAAGAAATGCAAGCAGATCGTCGAGACGGCGGAGAGGATCTTCCAGGAGCACTACGGCGTTGACTTCTTGGGGGCCTGCATCACCGAGGGGACGAAGCCCTCGGAGCGCGACCGGGCGCTCCGCGCCTTCGCGCGCCACCCGCGGTCCGGCGTCGCCATCCTCGCGTCCGTGCGAATCCTGAACGAGGGCGTCGACGTGCCCCCCTGCGACTCGATCTTCATCGCCGAGGTCCCGGACCGCACCACGGACAGCGTGTCTAGGCGGGCCGTGCAGCGGCTGTGCCGAGCCGTCCGTAAGGATCCGGATGTCCCGTTCAAGGTGGCGCACGCCTTCGTGTGGGCGGAGACCGACGACGCCATCCCGGAGTTCCTCTCCCTGCTCAAGGAGGCAGATCCCGAGTGTCACCTACGCGTGAAGAAGGCCTCGGTCGCCTACGACGGGGGGGAGCAGCACGTCGCCGAGGAGGAGGCCGCGACCCTCGAGCTCGGCAAGTACGTCGTGGACTGCGTCGTGGTCGATGCGGATCGGTGGCGCGAGCGGCTCGAGGTCCTGAAGGCCTTCGTCGAGGAGCACAAGCGGCTGCCGACGTTAAAGGAGAAGCACGAGGGGGTGAAGATCGGGCGCTGGGTGAGCAAACAGCGACATTTCAAGCGCAAGGGCACGCTGAGGGAGGACCGCGTCGCGCTGCTCGACGCCGTGCCGCACTGGGCGTGGGACGCCTATGGCTGGCGCGAGCGGCTCGCGGGCCTGAAGGCCTTCGTCGAGGAGCACAAGCGGCTGCCGACGCAAGAGGAGGCGCACGCGGGGGTGAAGATCGGGGACTGGGTGCACCACCAGCGCCGGAGGTGGCGCAAGGGCACGCTGCCGGGGGACCGCGCCGCGCTGCTGGAGGCCGTGCCGCACTGGACGTGGGACATCTTTGACGACGCCTGGCGCGAGCGGCTCGAGGTCCTGAAGGCCTTCGTCGAGGAGCACAAGCGGGTGCCGACGACGAGTGAGGAGCACGCGGGGGCGAAGATCGGGATCTGGGCGAAGAAACAGCGACAGAACAGGCGCAAGGGCACGCTGCCGGGGGACCGCGCCGCGCTGCTGGAGGCCGTGCCGCACTGGACGTGGGGGACTCGCGCGGTGTGAAGCGATCGTGATCCCGGGCGGTGATTTGATTGCTGCGGGGCTAGCTGTGAACATGCCATGCATCTTGGAGGATCACGTTTGGCGCGACGGTGATGTATCAGATCGGAGGAAGCGGCTGGGTGCGCGCGCGCTGCAAGAGCGTGCCCCCCGACGGCTCACGGGACATGTTGGCGAGGAAAACCGATTTTGCAAGTGCTGCGGGCGAACGGGGTGGTGAAGGGGTGGCGGATAGTGCGTCCCCGTCGTTCGGGATCAGTGTACAGAGACTCGCGCCGCCGGAGCGACGGAGGGGCGGCTCGCGTGGCTTGCCGGGTGACGCGGCGGGTGGGCGTGGGGCCATGTGCTCCGGAGGGTTGGTGGCGGGACGCTGGCGCGCGCGTACACCGGCGGCTCCCTGCCGCTGAGACCGAGAATGTGCCCAGTGCGCTCGAGAGCTCTGTCCCGCGAGAATGTCCTCACACCTGGGCGAGCGCGGCAGCGCCAACACCTCACCGCCCCGCACGAACAATCGCTGCAGGCAACCAGCGGCGCCCTCGCCTCCGCCCGCCGCGACCGGCTCCAGGAGCCCCAGTCCTATCTCTAGCTGCGCCGCCGCCGCAGCCAGCGATCACCGCCCTGCGCCCGGCGCGCCGACCAGCCTGTGCATGTCGCGCGGGCGCATGGACGCGCGGCTGGCGAGCACCCGCGCCCACAGCAGCCCCGCCGCGACCGGCAGCAGCCCCGCGTACATCCCGCAGAGCACGCAGGTGTTGCGCAGCGCGTTGTCCATCGACAGCCCCAGCGTCTCGACGAACACAGCCCCAGGGACCTGCGTCAGGGAGTACCCCGCCGCCTGGAACGTGATGACGAGGCCGTCGAACTCGTTCGCGACGAGCGTCTCCAGGGCGTAGTAGATGGGCGAGATCCACCGCAGCCAGGCCACCCACGCCGCCAGCGAGCTCACGTTGACCAGGAACCCCGCCAGAATGAGGCTCAGGAGCAAAAACACCACGAGGAGGAGGTTCGCGAAGGACACAGACGGCGACACGGTCCCGAGGACCAGCGCCAGCGAGCCGCTGACCGCCGAGAAGATCCCCACGACTCCGTAGAAGGCCAGGATCTTGGGTGCCGAGAGCTGGAAGCCCGCCATGAAGTACAGCGGGGTGCAGAACGCGACCGCGGGGAGCGCGCGCAGCGCGAGCGTGTCGAGCGCCGCGTGCACGACGGCGTACTCCCACGGCCGGTACAGCCCGTGCACCATCTCCCACGTCAGGAGGGCGCGCGAGCGCAGGAAGGGGTCGACCGCGGTGAGCGCCGCGAAGCCGGACAGCGTGAGCGCGAAGAACACCGCGCCCGCGCGGTCCTGCGCGCCCTGCGTGTCCATGCCGAGGCGCCAGAAGACGAGCCCGCCCAGCAGGCCCACGCCGCACATGAGCGAAAACTGCAGCGCGAGGAGGTTCGGCGTCCGCAGCATGTCCAGCCACTGCCGCCGCAGCAAGATTGGTACAGCGCACGCTCGGGCGCGCCGAGCTGAGCGCGCCGGAGCACGCGTGTCGCGGGATGCGTCCTGTACTGGCAGGCTGGCGCACACGGCTGCCGACTGCGGTTTTGCGCCGTTCCGGCGCGACGTGTGCTCCCACGAGACATCGACGACGTTGGGCCTGCGCAGGAGCGCGGAGAGCTGCTCGGGGTCGCTGACGGCGTGCAGCATGAAGTCTGCCACTGATTCGCCTCGGGGGCGCTCGACGCCGCAGCCCCCGAAGTAGACGTCCACGCTGCTCGGCGGGCCGAAGTACACCGGTCTGCCCTGCGCGAGGAGGAGCACGCGGTCGAGCTGGGAGAAGAGCTGCGGCCCGGGCTGGTGCACCGACAGGATGACCGTCCTCCCTGACGCAGCCAGGTCGCGCAGGTCCGTCATGAGGCTCCGCGCGGAGAACGAGTCCAGCCCCGAGAACGGCTCGTCGAGCACGAGGACGGGCTTCTGCGGAATGATGGCCGACGACGCGATCATGCAGCGCCGCCGCTCGCCGCCACTGATCCCGCGTCGCCCGCAGCCAGCCGCGCCGCCGCCGCCCCCGATCCGCGAGCCCCGCACCCGCGAGAGACGCAGTCTCGCGATCGCGTCGTCGACGCGGGCGCGGATCTCGTCTGCCCGCGTGTCCACCGGGAGCGCCAACCTGGCCTGGTGCGTCATCCACTCCTCGACGGTGAGCGTCGGCATCAGCAGCTCCTCCTGCGGCAGGAACGCGACGACGTCCCGCAGATCCGACGGCACCGCGCCCGACGCGGAGAACGTCACGCTGCCCGACACCTCGACGCCACGTGGCAGCATCGCCGCCACCGTTGTGAGAAACGTGGTCTTGCCGGAGCCGCTCGGGCCGAGCACGCCCAGGCAGTCGCCGGACGCGACAGCAATGCTGACGCCGCGCAGGACGAAGCGCTCCGAGTCGCCGTCCTCCGCGTCAACGGAGCCGCGGGTGGCCGCGATCCAACACGAGACGTCACGGCACGCGATGTCGACTCGCGCTGCTTCGGGCTTCGTGACGCCCGCGACGGACCCGTCCCGTGTTTCCTCGACGTCCTGGTGAACGGACTTGGGTGCTTTGGCGCGAGTGCGGGCGTGGATGAGGTCCAGGACGACGGCGACGAAAAACACCGAGAGAACGAACCCGAAGATCACCGCGATGGGGAGGATCGCGGACACGACCTGCGAGGACAGAGCGAGGGCGAGGAGGGTGGGGCCGGCGCGTTCGGTGCGAGGAGCGGGATGCCTCGCGGTGCCTGCAGAAGGTGCTTGTGTACGTTGTATCATCCGTGCCAGACTAGTGATGTGACGGGGACCGGAATCACCTCGGAGGTCGTGTCTGGCGTGGCAGAGCCCGGCCCTCCGAACTGCGTATCCGACCCCGCAATCTCCGCTGCTTCAGGAACGCAGGAGCCTGCGTGAACCACAGGACCGAGAAGGTGCGTTGCTTTTGTTGGACTCCATAGAATGTACCGAACATGAGGGCCAGCACGAAGTGCGTGTAGCACTCCTCGCCGCGCGTCACGCGTGCGCAGCGCGTCGCACCTGCGCTGCACTCCAGCGGGAGGGCGAACGGGAAGGACGCTGCCTGCAGAATGCACGCCCCGGAGTCCTCGCAGCTGAACCGCGTCTCCCCCGACAGGCCCTCGAACACTCTGCCGAACGGTCCGGGGCAGGGCCCGGCGTCGCAGCTGCACTTCATGTCGGAGCAGTTCGCCTCGCTGCCCGACAACGCGCAGTCGCGGGCCACGCACTTCGCGGGCGCGGGCGGACGGGAGCCGTCCTTGAGAGAGATCGGCAGCGTGCACACGCCATCTGCGGGGACGTCGGCGGCGTTGGACGCGACATCAGAGTGAGAGACGCGCCATCACCTTGGTTTGGTGAATCTTGCTCGAAAACAAATACTACGTGCTGGCGATGGGGTCGTGAGCGCGCCTGCGAGATGACAGGTGAACTCGACGTCCGTGTCCGCCACAATGTTGCTGAGGATGTTGTCGGAGACGGAGCAGGCAAAGGTCTTCACTGGGACCGCTGCGGAGAACGTCATGGACGTGTCGCAACGCGCGCCGTCGCCGTGTTCATCCTGCAAACGCATCGTCAGTGTGTCAATGTATCGATCGGGGGCTCTCGGGCTTCCCGTGCGCTGCAAATCGCGAAGTGTTGGCCAAAGGGGTGCTCACCCAGCACGCCTCGTCGTCGAGGCAAAGCTGGCAGTTCTGCCCGAATCTCCCCTCCAGACAACCGTCAGCGCTCGAAGACGCGGAAATCGCCGCCATGACGCCTCCCCTGGCGCCGGGAAGGAGCTCCTCGGTTGTGTTTGAGTTCACCAACGAAATCCCGAACAACCTCCGACGACGTGGAAACAGCAACCGTCAGCTCCGCACACGCAGTCACCCCGCTGAACTGCAGCCGCCGCGCTCCGCCTTGACGTCAGGCGCCGCGGCTTGCACCTGTCGTCGTCCACACGAGTGCTGCCAGCTCACCACCTCCAAGTTGTCGGACGCAGACGCCAGGTCGCGCCTCCGTGCAGCCACCCGTCATCAGCCTGGTACCTTCTGTCCGCCCCTGCCCCCGGACCGCACCCTCACGCCGCCGCGGGCAGGCCCACCACCACCGACCAGCCCCACCGCGCCCCCGCTGCCACTGCTGCGCACCGACCCCGCGGAGTTCAGCGGCGACCCCGGACCGCCGCCGGAGCGCTCGCTGCCAAGCTGCACGTCGCCAGCGTCCCCCGCGCCGCCCGCCAGCCGCGCCGCCTGGTTGGCCACCATGCGTGCCTCCATCGCTGCTTCGTCGCGCCGAAAGTAGCACGCGACGCTCAGCATCATGAGCCCGCACGGCACCCAGCCCAACACCGCGAAGTTGAACGCGGCCCTGCGTCCCAGGCCGCTCACCAGCACGGCGACCATCGCGGGCCCAAACCCCTTGCCGACGTCATCCGCGGTGCTCTGTAGCGCCATCGCGACCCCCCGCAGCTCCGGCTCGTTGACGTTCATGACGACGGCGCGCACTCCGGGCCCGGGCACGCCGGCGACCGCCCCGGCCACCGCCGCCAGCCCCACACGCCACACCGCAGCGCCTCCGAGGTCGCCGTTGATCAGGCACAGCACCGGGAGGGTCCCGCACATCGCGGACAGACCCATCATGGCCGGAAGCAGCTCCTTGCGACGGCAGTACGCGGCCCGGCCGCCGACGCCGCCGAGAAGCATTCCGCAGGCACCTCCGACCCCGAATGTCAGGAGGACGATCGTCGCTTGCTGAACGCCGAGGCCCTTGTCGACCGCGAGGTAGTCCGCGAGGTACACGAGGATGACGCCCCAGGGGAGCGACCCGGGGATGCCCTGCAGCACGCACAGCGCGTTTGACGGCACCGTGCAACATCGCAGTGCGCGGGCCGCTGTCGCTTTCTCTCGGTACTCGCCCAGGCCGCGCTTGCGCGCCTCCTGCACGCAGGGCTCCACGGCTCCGCGCGCAGGCTCGCGCACCGTGAGGAGCATCAGCGCCGCCAGGGCGACAGACGGAATGCCCACGACGACAAAGGGCACGCGCCAGCCGACCCAGGGGCCGAGGAAGCCCGCGATAGCCTGCCCGACGGCGAGGCCTGCGCCAGTGGAGAGTTGCACGGCGGAGGACGCCAGCGGGCGGTGCTGTGCGGGGACCAGGTCGGACAGGAGGCTGAAGGCGAGTGGGAAGCACCCGCCGACGGCGAGCCCGGTCATCAGCCTGAGGACGAAGAACTGCCAGAACCTGGTGACCTGCGGTGAGGCAGATCGTGGCCGAGATCGTGAGCGGAGTGGATGCGGTGGGAGGACAAGAAATGATTGTTGTGTCTGGGGAAAGGATTGCGTACCCATGCTGTGAGGATGAGCGGGCCCTCCCCGATCAGGACCATGATGAACAGCATCTGGACCCTGCTCCGGACGCGGCTGTCGAGCCAGCCCACACACAGCGCTGCAGGAGCGCCGATGGCAAAGAAGCCTGCTGAGACCCACCCTGCGAGCTTGGTGTCGCGTTCCTGCGGAGAACAGCGCACGAAGATATGGCATGAGACAGAGGCAGCGCGGTCGCTCTTTGGCACCTGGCGCGGAGAGAGGCTGTTTTGTGTGCAAAAGCTGTGAAAATGCCACACCTGCTCGTCAAGGCCCAGATCTGCGGCGATAGCCGACAAGTTCGGCGCCGTCAAGTTCTGATCCGCGTAAATCGACGCCGCGACCGCGCATGCCATCGCGATGGCGTACAGGCGCCGGATTTGAGGCCAGTCTGTGCCCACCGCAGTTGAAGAGGCGTCCCCCGCGGCGGTTCCAGGGCTCCTCCGGCCCCTGACGAGAGCCTGCAGCTCGAGATCATTCTGCATTCCCGTTTCGCCGCCGTGGCTCATCCAGGCGTTCACGACCGGTCACCCGTGGCGGAACCACCCAGCTGCAGCTCTACCAGGCCCGCCCGCTGCCGTTTCGCCCTCATCGGCATCTCAAACTCACGAGGGAGAATCTCCCGATCGCACAGGAAGCAGGGATGATTCCATGCGCGTTTGCGCCCGTCAGCGCAAGCTGTTCAGCCAGCTGCATGCAGCACCGACGCCTGCTACACGCGCTACACTGGTGGACTTGCGCAGGCTGACCGGCGACATCACTCAGCTCTGTCACCAAGACAAGGCCGCCGGTCTCGCAATGACGGCAGCAGCACCGGCGCGCGCCCGCAGCCAACACACCCCCCGGGATCAATTGAGTTGTCCTCACACCGCACAGCCCGGCGTCTTCGTCTCCCGACACGGCCTCCGCACGGTGCTACAGCGCGAGCATACACTTTCGTCGGTTTATATCCAGGGGGCACTGGCGTTCATGCATCATTTTTGTGTGTTTATGTTGTTCTGTGTCTGCTGTCCTGCGTACGTCAACCCGCCACGCCGCGCAGACCGGCACCTCGTCCTCAACCCTGCGCAGCCGCGCTCGCCGCCAGTCCGGCCAGGTCGGCCGCGCCCTGCGCATCGGCGGCCCCCGGCCCACCGTCGCCCTCCGCCGCCTCCACGGGCGCCTGAGCGGGCGCCTCCGCAGGCGCCTCCGCAGCCACCTGCTCGGCTGGCGCAGGCGCCTGCTCGGCGGGCGCAGCCGCCTGTTCGGCCGGCGCAGGCGCCTGTTGAGCCGGCGCAGGCGCGGCCTCAGCTGGCGCAGCTGGTGCGGCTGGCGCGGCCTCCTGGTCCTGCGGCGGCTGCTCCTCGACAGCTGGCTTCTGTTCGGCCTCGGGTGGCGGAACCCCCTCCGCCGCGCCCTCGTGCTTCACCGCGCCGCCCATCGCCTCGAGCGCGCCGGCGGCCGCCGCGGCCGCCCCGCCGTTGCCGGCCATGGGCATCGACATGTTCGGCATCGGCATCATGCCCTGCATGTTGTTCAGGAGCCCCCCGAGCGCCGCCGACTGCTGCGCGGCGGCGGCTGCGAGCGCCTCCGACCCCATGGCGCCGCTCATCCCGGGCAGCCCGCCCATGCCCATGAAGCCCGGGAACCCCGGGAGCCCCCCCGCGAACGGGTTCGCCGCGGCGGCCCCCTGGTCGGGCGCGCTGTTCCGCAGGTTCTCCAGGAGCCGCGCGTCCGACTCCCCCGCCGCCGCCTCCCGCTCCTTGGCCTCGAGCTCCTCCTTCTGCGCCTGCGTGGTCTGCAGCGCCGCGCGCGCCGCGTCCACCTCCGCCGCCAGCTGCGCGTCGCCCTGGTTCCCCTCCTGCCGCGCACACAGCTGCTTCACCTTCTCCTGCAGCTGCGCCTCCTCGCCCTCCAGCTCCTCGCGGCGCCGCTTGCGGCTCCCCGCGTCCTCGCCGTTCGCGTGCCCGCCGCCGCCGCCGCCGTCGCCGTGCCCCGCGCCGCCGTCCGCGCCGCCCGCCGGCGGCATCCCCAGCGCGCCCGCGTCCAGGCCCAGGCCCATCATGGGCCCCGACATCCCGGGCATGCGCGGCATCCCGCCCATGCCGGGCATGCCGCCCATGCCGGGCATCCCGCCGAAGCCCATCATCATGCCCGGGTTCATCGCGCCCATCATGCCCATCGACATGGACATCCCCGGGAGACCCCCCATCCCGCCGCCCTTGCCCTTCATGCCGGGCGGGGCGAACTGGCCCATGCCGAAGGCCCCGAGGCCCGGGTACGCGGGCCACTGGAGCCCGCCGAGGAACGGGAAGGGCATCCCGCCCGCGCCGTCCTGCCCGCCCATCCCGGGCATGTTCATGCCCATGCCCGGCATGTTCATGCGGCTCAGGTAGTTGAGCCCGCCGTCCTCCGTGCCGTGGTTGTCCACGGGGAGCCCGAGGTTCGCGCCCTCGACCTTCTCGAGGCGCTCGACGGACATCCACGTGCCGTTCTTGCGCACTTGCAACTTGCGCTTCCACTTCTTGATGTGCTGCGTGATCGCCTGCTGCGACAGCTTGCCCGACAGCGTGTGCACGATCAGCCCGCGCGTCGAGTACACCATCCCCGTCGCGTACCCGCCCTCGTTCGAATTCACCTCCACGCGCTGCATAACAACAACAACGAGTTGGAGGCGCGAGGCGGGTCAGCACGGGCGGCCTGGGACGCGGGCGGGGCGTGCCGGTGCAGCGCGGGCGCGTGGCGCGGCGCGGGGGGCGCGTTCGGACCTCGTCGCAGGCCTGACACTCTGGGCACTTGCACAGGATGTACACGCGGGACGCGCAGGCCGACTGCGTGGAGTCCGCGAAGCGTCCGCTGGCGCGGCTGAAGCAGCCCGACCGGCCGAGCAGCAGGCAGGTGCCCTCGTCCGGGCCGTCCCGGTCGAAGCGGGCGGGCAGGGATGCCATGCCACAGCGGTTGATGAGCTCCTGCGGGGAGACGCGGAATCGCGGCCGGGGCGCGGGAGGTGGGCGAGATCAACGCAGAATGGCGACTCGCGGGGCGCGGACGGCGCGCGCGCCCCGTGCGGCAAGAGGGCCGGCCGGGGCGCTTCCGCGCAGCGCGGGCTGCTCGAGGCGGCCATCGCGGCGCACGCGAGACGCCCCCCGCCGAGGCGGGGACTCTGCGGGCAAGCCCCGGCATTTTCCAGGCCGGGGGGGCCGACGGCTTGCCCGCGCACGGCGCGGGAAGTCCGCGGGAGACCTCCCGAAGGGCCCCAGCCGCGGTGTCTGCGGGGGGCCCCAGGGGAGTGGCGAACCGGCGCGCAGCCCCGCGAGACGCAACGGCCCCGGGGAGAAAACGTGCCAAGCTCACCATGGCCGCTTCGTGGGGCAGCGGGCCCGCCCGCGCGCCGCGCTTCGGAGCGTTTTCCTGCTGCTCTTGCTGGACGGGCACCCCGCCGTCGTGGGCCTGCGAAACGTCCTGAGGCATGTGCATCCCGGGCATCATGTGCGCCATCTGGTCCGCGTGCATCAGCCCGAGCGGCATGCCCGCGAGAGTGGCCGCCTGCGCGTGGAGCTGGGGGTCCACTTGGTGCACCGCGGGGGGCGCCACCGGGGCCTCCATGTGCGCGGCGTCGGCGGCGTGGTCGTCCGCCATCGTGGCAGTGTCCGGCTGAACTCACGCGGGCGGCCCGCGGGCCCCGACGCCAAAGAAATCGGCGCTCGAGGGCTGGGTCGGGCTGGCGCGCGCCCGCCTGACCGGGCCGGTTCCGCCGCGAACGGGGGCTTGTTGCGCCCGGCTGGGCCGCGGCGCGCACACGGCGGACCGCCCGGTCGGGACGCGCTGTCGCTCGAGCCGCGGAGACGGACGCACCAGCCCCGGACGGGCGCAACGTGCACCAACACAGCTCTCACGTCTCGCTCCGGGCGGGGGGCCGCGCCGACGCCGTTTCCCTGGGCCCGGGGGGCAGGAGCGGAGATGGACCGCTCGACGGGGGGCTGATATCTGCTGTATCTCGTCGGAGAGGGGCGGGGCTGGCGATCTGACCTGGCCCGAGATTCCACGCGAGATGGGCGGCGTTCCCGCGCTCGACGGCGCTCTGTTCGCGCGCGTGGCCGTCGTCGTCACGGCGGTCAAAGCGCTGCTGATCCCAGCGTACCATTCTACCGACTTCGAGGTGCACAGGAACTGGCTGGCCATCACACACTCGCTCCCGCTGCGCCAGGTGCGGGGTCCCGCTGCAGCGCGCGGGGCCGAGATGCTGACGTTCGCATGCAAAGCATGGCCGTGACGCGAGGAGCGGCTTTCGCGCGAACACGTGCCCCTCGAGGGATCCCGTGCCCGCTGCTTCGCATCAGCGTGGTGGCGGCAACGCCCTCCGCGCTCCCGACGTCGCGAATGTCCTTCGGGCGCGCGCTCGCTGCGATGCAGTGGTACACCGAGGCCACGTCTCCATGGACCCTGGACTACCCCCCGTTGTTCGCGTGGTTCGAGCGGCTCCTGGCCGTTCCCGCCGCGCGGGTGGACCCCGACATGCTCCGCGTCGACAACTTGGACTACGATCCGCACCACGTCGTTGTGTTCCAGCGCGCGACGGTGATCGTCTCCGACCTCCTCCTCGTCGCGGCAGCGTGGCGGGCCCTCGCTGCGCTGCCGAATTCAAAAGCGCGGGACGCCGCCGGGTGGTTGCTGGTGCTGGGCACCGTCTGCTCGCCCGGGCTGCTCATGGTCGACCACATCCACTTCCAGTACAACGGGGCGCTGCTCGGCCTCTTCCTCTGGTCCGTCCTCGCGCTCGAGGTGAGCCCCACGGCGACACTGCGCAACCGCGGCCGCTCCTTCCCGACCAGCTCTCCGGCCGTCGACGTGCGCCTGCGCCCGGCGCGGCCTTGGCCTGTCCTGCGTGCGCCTCACGGTCCCGACCGCTCCGCGAGCCGCCCCCCGACCGCAGGCCGGGAGGGACATCCTCGGCGGCGTGCTTTTCGCGGCGCTGCTGAACGCGAAACACATCTTCCTGTACGCCGCACCGGCGTACTTCGTCTACCTGCTCCGCCACTACTGCTTTCCCCCCGCCCCAGGCGCGCTGGGACCGCTGGGACTGCGAATATCGTCGCGGGGTTGTGTGCGCTTGCTGTCCCTGGGGGTTCCCGTCGCCCTCGTGTTCGCAGCGTCGCTCGGACCCTTCCTCGCGCTCGGACAGGGTGTGCAGCTCCTCGCGCGACTCTTCCCGTTCCGCCGCGGCCTGTGCCACGCGTACTGGGCGCCGAACGTGTGGGCGGTGTACGCTGCCGCCGACAAGGTCGCCGCCGCGGCGTTCGTCGCCGCCGGCAAGGCGCTGCCGGACCCGAGCGGTGCGTGGCCCGATCTGCCCACTCCGCGCAGGAGCGACGCGCGCCGCTTCCCTCCAGCCGCACACACACCACCAGCGCGCTGTCCAGTCGCACAGTCTGAACGCTGTGCCGCTGCGTGACGCCCCGCAGGTCGCGCGGCGCAGGACATCCCAAGCGGTGGCGCGGGGTGCCCGCTGCGTCTGCTCCCCGACGTCGGCCCCGGCGCCACGTTCGGTCTGACTATGATCTCCATGACTCCGGCCCTCGTCGCACTGTGGCGCGACCCGCAGCCGAAGCGGTTCCTGCGGTGAGACGCACGGGGTGTTGCCTGCGTGCGCAGCATGGTCATGTGTCGTGCCGCGACCGCAGGCGCTCACACGCCCTCCGTTGACCCACAAAGAAACAAATATGCATTGCCTGCCTCTGCGCGGCCGCGCAGGTGCGTGACATACTGCATGATGTGCTCCTTCATGCTGGGGTACCACGTGCACGAGAAGGCGGCGCTCATGGTGTCCGTCCCGCTCGCCGTGATCGTGGCGCGCATCGTGGCTGGGGACTCGATGGACGGCGCCGGCGCGGGCCGGCGCGGACCCGCGAAAGGAACGTCGTCGAAGGGGAAGTTCAGCGGCGGAGAGGCGCTGTGGGCGGCATGGCCGCTGCTGCTGGCGACGGTGGTGATGCACGCTGCGCAGTGGCCGCTGTTGTTCCAGCAGCGCGAGTACCCGATCAAGATAGGACTCGTCGCCGCGCACGCGCTGCTCGCGTGGTCGGTGGCAAGGGAGAGCGGGTGCGCGCCCCTTTGTCACGTGCGAGGGCGCGCGCTGCAGTGATGGTGATGTCACTCGGGTGGAAGCTGGCAGTGAAATCGCCGCTCGTTGTGGAATCTGTGTCTGCAGACTGACGACGAGGGTGACGGAGCGCGTGGGCTGGATCGGGCGGCTGGCGAGCGCTGGGATGCGCGCCGTGTCGATCGGCATCGTGCCGCTCGAGATGGTGTGCCTTGTGCTGCGAAACACGGCGTACGGGACCAAGCTCCCGTTTCTGGAGCTCATGCTGACGTCGCTCCACTGCGCGGCTGGCATGTTGATCGCCTGGGCCGTGATGTTGGCGACGTTGTGACGCCAAGTCCGATTGCTAGCCCCGCAAAGACCTCTGCGATATCCTCACGCGCCGTGGAGTAATGCAGGTGCAGGAGGTCGCCGTGCGCTTGGTCTGGTGATCCGCGAGGGGCGAACGTGACGCCCCGGGGGGGTCGGGGCAGCATTTGGGGCGTCTGTGTGACCGCACTCTGCTCGTTGCCGCACGCGGCGTGCGGCCGTCGGCATGGACGCGCACCGGGTCCGTGCTTGAGAGAGGAGCGGATTCGCATCAAGCATTCTGCACCATACAGTGCAGCGGCAGCCTGCCGCGACCGCGATGGATCTCTGACACAGGCGGGGTCCCTGCGCGTTTCGCGGCGAAGCAGTCGTTTCCCCGCGCGCGTACGATCTCCTCAGCATAGCTCGTCGGCGGCTGCCCTGAGCACTCGGGAGCGCCGTCGCGGCTGTGCTCATGAGCGGGGACGAGTTGGTTGTGGATGTGGACAAGGCTCGGGCGGTGGTGGAAGACGACGGGCAATGCGCGATATGTCTCGAGCTGCTCTACAAACCATGTTGCCTCCCCTGCGGGCACGTCGCCTGCTTTTGGTGCGTCTTCAGAGCCATGGATTCCTTCCAGGACTCGGCGTGCCCGCTGTGCCGGCAGAGCTACCGGAACCTGGCACACCCGTGCGGGAAACTCCACGCCCTGCTGCAGCTGCTCTGTCCCGTCGAATTCAGCCGCCGGGCCAGCGAGGTACGACGCGCCCCCACAGAATTCCACCTGGTGTGAGCGCGCAGCTCCCACGCGCCGGCGCCAGCGTGCAGCCCCGCAATGCGTGTTTCGTCGCCAATGCCGCGACGAGAACCACGCACCCGTTGCTTCCACGTGGTGGTTCTCGCCCGGCGGGCGCTCTGCGTGACGAGGCCGCGCCCTGCCTCGTCTGGTGGCGCAGGTCCTCGAATACGAGCAGCAACAGGGCGCGCAGTCCGTCGCCCTGCCCATCGCGACGGACGTGGCCCTCGGTAGCGGCCTCAGCGCCATCCAGGACGGCTCGAGAGCCTGCTCGGAGCGCCTGGCGGAGCTCCTCAAGTGCGACCACCCAACCTGCACCGCCAGCCTGACGTCCACCGCCGTCGTGCTCAACTGCGGACACGTCGTCTGCGGAGACCCGTGCGCTGCGGACTGCGCGACGACCAGAACGATATTCCCGGGGCCCGACGCCGCCCCCGCGGAGGTGGCGACGCGCACAGCGTGCCCCGCCTGCGGACAGGTCGCGGCGTCCTCCGCACACGCCGCCGACGGACTCGTGCCGTGCCGACTGCTCTCCGACGTCGCCCGCGCGGCGCTCGGCACCGGGGCCGCTCCGCCGGCCTCGCCGGTGCGTCCCGCGCGACCCCCCAACAACGCACACACCGGCCCCGCGCCCGCGGAGCCGTCCAGGGGCCAGTTCGTGCACTTCGGCGTCGGGTGCGACGCGTGCGGATGCTACCCGATCCGCGGGGCGCGGTACACGTGCCACGAGTGTCAGGCGGCGTGCTCAATGGGGTTCGATCTGTGTGGCGGATGTTACGAAACGCTGTCAGCGGCTGACATCAGGCAAGAACGACCCCCCCTTGCCGCACGGGGACGCACTTGCGGTGCACGCCATTCGCGGCTGGCGGCGAGTTCTCGGTTCGAACACGTGCGCTCGCTGGTTTGTGCTTGCGGTGCAGGGGGCGATTCAACCAGCACCACACCGCCGCCCACGAGCTCGTCGAGGTCCAGGGCCAGCAGAGCCTGCTCCACATGCTCCAGGAACTCAACCCCGAGCTCTCGATCCCGGACATCGTGCGCCTCATGCGCATGCAGCAGGATGAAGCAGCAGAGGAGGAGGAAGCACGCAACACCGCCGCCGCCATGCAGCAGAACGACCCTCCGCTGCCGCTGTTCAATCTCCCGGGGTCGGACATCCAGAACGCGCCCCCGCCCGACATGGGCGGCCATCGCTGGACCGTGGACCTCGCCGCGGACGTCCAACGCTTGCAGGGCGCCCGGGCGGAGCGCGAGGCCCGCCAGCGCGACGACAGGGCCGTGACCTTCGCGGACCGCGACGGCGGGGACTCCGCGGAAGTCGACCTCTTCGGCCAGGGCGGCGCCAACCCCGCCGAGGCACTGGGGCTCTCAATCGTCGAGGTGAGCCCCATCACGAGGTCTCTCGAATCCCCGCGTCCGCACGTGTTAGATGTGGTCTCTGCACACGCGTGCTGGGCCAAAGTGTTTCGCGGCGTGCTCGTGCGTGGTCGCAGGTCGCGGAGATCATGTCGCGCATGTCGGCGCGCGCAATGGACGTGACGCACGACTACCTGCCGGCGTCGCAGCTCACGCAGCTCTCCGACGACGAGTTCAACGCCGTCGCGGGCCTCCTCCTCAACAGCCGCGAACGCATGTGGGCTGCCGAGCTCTCCACTTGGATACGCGCCGGCGAGCAGGGCAGCCCCCCGCCGTGGCCACACGCAGGTGCGCTGCCCCTTTCCTCGCCTGCTATCTTCGCTCTCGTCCTGTCCCCGGCCCGGCGCTGTCCGACACGTCTTTTCTTCCTGCCAACGCGGCGTGTGCAGGGGGAGTCACCATCGACCCAGATCGAAGGGCAACGGCCGACAACAGGGCCAGCCTGCAGGTGATCGACAGCAGCGAGCAGGCGCAGCGGTACTGCCGACCTCGCGAGCGGGTTGCGTGGGAGCTCGCCAGGCGTCTCGGCCGCAGGGAGGTGCGATCGCGCCCCGGGACCGCGTCGGTGTCGGAGGGGACGGATTCTCCGCGGGACCCGCACCTGTCACGGCGGCAGTACATGCGGCAGCGGCGGGCTGAGCAGGCCAGGAGCGCGGTGGAGCGATCCGTCTCTGGCGGAGACACAGACTCAGAGGACGACGATGACGACGACGGGCGGATGCTGCTGTGACGAGCCCTCATCGGAACGCCCCGGTATCACTACGTGCTACACGCGTCCGGCGCGCGGTGACATCACGCACCGCGTCTCGCATGCTACTCTGGGTGCGGTCGCGGCGCGCACTCGTCGCGTCGCGCGCTCTCGGCGCGCGCCGTCCGAGCCGTTGCGACGCACGCGTCGGCGCGGGTCACACCGCCCTCTACGTCAGCTGCTCCTCCGAGCGCAGGTACTCCCCCACGTCCGCCTGGTTGATGGCAACGATCCCGGAGGGGTCCATCTTGCGGCAGTCCGCGGTGCTCTTCATCGCGACGCCGAACCCCAGCGGCACGTCGGCCATGTTGAGCACCACGACCCCGGCGTACGCGGGCGTGCCGTCGGTGATGCGCCCCAGCCCGGACTTGAGCACGTGGTTGCCGTAGAGGAACTGCATCTCCGCGGCCGGCTTCAGCCACACCTTGTACTTCGCCCACTGCGGTGCGGCGCGGCGGGCGTGCGGGCTGAGCGCTGTGGCGGCGGGAGGGGCGGGTCGGGCGGCGCCGTGGTGGTGGGGCGTGCGTGCGGACCTGCGACAGGATTTCCAGGGCCCCGATGGTGAGGCGGAACTTGTTGGAGTGCGTGAATTTTCCTATGCAGACCCCGAGGGAGGCGAGCTTGTCGCGGGCGATGCAGGTCGCGCGCCTCATGATGCTCTCGCGCACGTAGTACACGCGCTGCTTGTGCAGGCGCAGGCAGTAGGCATCGCTCCCGGACCCCACGATGGACTGGATGTTCTTCCCTATGAACTTGTACAGCTTCTCGAACACGACCTTCGTCTCCTGCGAAAAGCAGCTCAATGCCAGCTTCATGGTCACGATGAAGCCAGAGACTTTGGCCAGGAAACGCACCGCGGCGTCGCCGTATTCCGACGAAACAGCCGCCTGCTATGGGCGGCGGGTCACATTTGCCGCCCGTGCGACCATCGTCGTGTGAGATCGCCCAGAGAATCACGGTGCAGCAGGGGCCGAAAGGCCGCAGCCTCTGCATGGGCGTGCTGGGCCGCACCTCCTCGGTGAGCGGCCGCATGGCTACGAAAGCCCTGGCGGCGCGCTCTGAGCCTGGTCACTGGCTCGGGCTGTCAGAATCGAGCGTCGAGCAGGCTATGGACCGCCGGGCGGCGCCGCCGCGACCGAGTTGCCGAGCAGGGAAACACCAGACAGCGCCAAGGCTCAGGTAGGCTTCTGCACTTCCAACCCGCCGCGGCTCTGAGTGTACGTCGATCGTGTGCCACACGTAGTGCCGCCAGCGGGGTGGTGACGCGGCCCAACAAGGCGGTGGACCGGTGGAAGTCTGCTGTGGGGGGATGTCAAACAGTGCCGCATGCTGTCCCAGCGGGCCAGCGAATACTGGCCCGCGGCGCCGCCAACGGTATGAAGAGTGCGGTGCTGTGCTCAGGGACGTGGTTCGCCCGTGACGGAAGGCAACGGCCCCAGGAAGCTTCTCTGCTAGCTCGAGGACGGCTGGACTGGCGGGCGGGGGGCATGTCGACGGCAGCGGGACACCGCGGCGGTGGCAAGCATGCGGCTGACTCCGCCGACACGCCGAAAACGATCGTAAGAGCCTCGCGAGCACAGAGTGTGGGCTGGGGCTGCGAGCGGGAACCCTCCCCTGTGCATAGAATCAGCGGCGAATTTGATAGGTTTTTCGCGCTCAGACCACTTCATCGCTTTGTTTTCGGGACAAGAAATGCCTCGATCGCAGCCTCGCACCCGGGGAAGTGGTAGTTGACAGCCAGTATCATCTGGGCCGCGAACGGCCCTCTTGTTCGGACGCACGCTCCCACTGCTTGAAGTTCTAAAAAGGGCACAAGTTGCGTCAAGAATCCATGCCGAAATGGCAACTTCACATCACCGTGTAGCCCGACTCGCGCGCAACCAACTTGCCATGGCCGCCGCCAGCGGTCGGTCCACCCGCCCGCAGCGTCGCGCCCCCACGCGACAGCCGATACCCAGGAGCGCGTGTGCCGGACGCAGCGCGTCGCCCGGACAGGGAGCGCCGCTCGCCCTGCACAGCACGTACACCTACACGCACTGGCATGCCCTAGGATGTCGGTCATGACCTCTCGCGCACACACGTCTCCGCGGGCCGGCTGCCGCGATCATGCTTCGGTCGGCGCGGCCGCGCAGGGTGCCGTCATCATCGCGCGCTGCCACTGCGAGCACTTGCTGACTATGACGGTGCAGCACGGCTCTCCGCTTCGTTGCCGCAGGTGATCAAAGTGGGGACGTCGTCCCTCATCGACGACGAGACAGGGACGCTCGCCCTCTCGTCGATCGCTGGCATCTGCGAGGTCCTCGCGCGCCTCCAGCGCCGTGGGCACCAGGTGGTGCTGGTGAGCTCCGGTGCAGGTGAGGGCGCCTGCGAGGGCTCGAACGACCGTTCCACCTGCGCCGCACGAGCGCACGGATCGTGTTGATCCATCGGTGCGCCAGGATCGGGCAAGTGCTCAGTTGCCGACCACGTCAGCCCCTTGGTGGTGGTAGTTGTTGGCATCATCGATTAGAGCCCCCGTGCCGTGCGTGCAGTGGGTGCCGGGTGCCTGAAGATGGGTCTGTCGCGGCGTCCCGCGGACCTGGCTGCTCGTCAGGCGCTGGCGGCGGTCGGGCAGGTGCACCTGATGCGGATGTACGACGACCTCCTGACGTCACTCAAGGTCACGTGCGCCCAGGTGCTCCTCACGCCCGAGAACCTGGCCTCGCGGCCGCAGTACCTCAACGCCCGCAACACCTTCGAAGCGCTCCTGCGGATGGGGACCATTCCGATCGTCAACGAGAACGACACCGTCGCTGTCTCCCAGCTGCGGTTCGGTGAGACGCCCGCGGCCCGGTCGAAAGAACGTCCTGAAACGTGTCCCCGCCTGGCACGAGCCGACCGACTTGCTGGAGTGAGCTGCGCGCAGGTGACAACGACACGATGTCGGCGCAGGTGGCGGCGCTCGTGCACGCGGACTACCTGTTCCTGCTCACGGACGTGGACGCACTGTACACCTCGAACCCGTCGCTGGACCCGCAAGCCAAGCGGATAGCGGGTGCGCGCCTTGCATCCGGACGGAACCCTGGAACGATGACCTGACTAACCCTGAAATGATTGTTGTGCATAGGCATCTAACAATTCCGCCCACCGTGTGGTGCGCGCCGATCGCAGAGGTCCACGACCTCTCCGAGCTCGCGGTGGACACGAGCACGAGCGGGACGCAGTGGGGCACCGGCGGCATGGCGACGAAGCTCACGGCGGCGCGAATCGCAACGGCCGCAGGGTGCAACGTCGTGGTCGGGGCTGCGTCTGCGCCGGACAGAATCGTCCGGGTGCTGAGCGGGGAGCTCCACGGGACGCTGTTCCACGCCCACCCGCGTCCGCTGCGATCCCGGCGGCGATGGATCCTGGCCGTGCCTCCCAAGGGGTCCCTGTGGCTGGACGCGGGAGCGGTGCGCGCGGTGCGGGACAAGCGCAAGAGCCTGTTCGCGTCGGGCGTCGTCGAGGTGAGGGCGTTCGCTGCTCCGTCGAAACCCAAGAATACGTCTCGATCGATCGCTTGATGCAGGGCAAGGAAAGTGTGCAAGGAAAGCGTGCTCACGCAGCGTTCCTGTGGCCGGTCCGCCCGTTGCAGGTCGAAGGGGAGTTCAACGCCGAGGAGGCTGTGCGCCTGTGCGGCCCGGACGGGCAGGAGTTCGCGCGGGGCCTGTCCAACTACGCATCGGGCGACGCGAGGCGGTTGCGCGGGCTGGCGTCGTCGCGGTACGACAAGGCGCTCGGGTACGTAGGACCGGAGGAGGTGTGTCACCGCGACAACGTGGCGCTGCTCGAGGTGCATCGCAACGACGAATCCGGCGACGAAATGTAACAACGCAGAAAAAACTTACAGCCTGCGTTTCCCCGTCGGTCCGAGTCTCGTGTGCCGTACCATTGCGGTCGCTTGAGCCCCCTCGCGGCGGGGCCGGGCTTGCAGGTCGGCCAGAATCAAGTCGCGTCTTCAAACGAGCGCGACCTGGCCCCCGGAACCCGGCGCATCCCCCAACAGCGCGCGCGGTTTCGCAGGGGGACGTTTCGCGTCCTTCGGCTTCCCGCCGGCGTAGTCCGTCGGCGACGCGTAGTACAGCGACGGCGGCGGCCCGCTGGGGAGCGCCTCGCCGGGGGGCAGGCGGTCGGGGTCGGCGAGGACCGACCGCCAGTACGTGTCGTAGTTGGTCTCACCCGCCGCGTAGAAGCCCCGGCGGCTGCGCTTCAGGAGCGCGATCTCGAGCACGCCGTCCTGCACGATCCAGAACGAGTCCTCGGCCTTGACGGGGCGGTACAAGTTGCCGGAGAAGAGCGGGTCGCCGGCGACCTTGACGTCAATCGATGAGGCCGTCAGCGTGACGGCGACGTGCTGCGCCGCAGCCGTCTTGGGCAGCTTGCAGAAGACCTCGACGTAGCTCTGGTTCTGCGTCCACTTGAACCTCGGGCCGTCGGTGCCGAGCCCGGCCGGAATCTCGAGCTCGCTCCACCTGCGCTCCTCGCGTCCCGTTGACTCAGTCAGACGGAGGAGCCGCGCGTCCTCCTCGGCCCGTTGCCGCATCCTGCGGCGCTCCTCCAGCGTGTACGTCGGCTCCGCGGGCCCCGGGCGCAGCCGCCCGTACATGTGCTCCTCAAGCTGCTTGCGGGTGTACGGGCCCGCGCCGCGCCCCGCCCTCTCGAGCCGATGCACCTCATCGTCCTTGAGAACGGCTTGCTTTCCGTGCTTGCGCATCCACGCGGCGAACTTCGGCTCCGTGGCGTCGACGACGTCCGCGAACTCGTTCGGTGCGCACGACGCGCGGTGCATCGGCCAGTACGACTTCTGGCACGCCGACGAACAGTACCAGCTGTTGCGGCAACGACTGCAGCGGTACAGCCCCTCGTGGGTGCTGCCGCAGTTGGCTGCGAGACGGGAGATGAGGAACGGATGCCTCAGTCCAGCGCTTCGCGCGATTTCCGCGCGATTCCGCGACATTCGCCAAGATCGGAGCGGAGCTTGGAGCTCGGACTGGAGCAATACACAAGAGTGGCTAGTCGGCCCCTATGTGCTCTGATGATGTGAAATGCGCGGCCACGTCGCTGTGCGGGGCGTATCGTACCACACTCACGGCGCTCAAACACCTCTTCGTCAGGTAGATGGGCCATGTTCGAGCAAACGTCGCCTCGGTCGCGGTTGCACCCGGCACACGGACCCCTCGGAGACCACAATCGAACCGTTTCGTTCCGCCTCGTGGAGCTGCTCCGCAACAATACACTATTTCAACAGACTGACGGCAGCAATCGTCATATTTTCTCGCTGTGCAAGCTAATCTTGGCCTGAAATCCTCGCGTGCTACGTCGGGTGACGTCAGCCCTGACACAGGCAGACACCCGGGCCGCTCGCCGTCAAGACCGTCCTTGACAGCGCCCGGACCCCCGAACGCATCACTCCTGTCACGCCCTCGTGCTCAGTGCGTCGCGTGATCATGGGGATCGCCACGAAGAAGCTAGGGCCGCACCACAAGATTCAAGGGCTGGGTGTTTCTCATGGCCCCCGTAGTGCCTTCAAACAGCGCTGCCTGGGCATTGTCGCCGTGCTCGGATGCATCCTCCTGGTAGTCCACCTGTTCGGACTCGGTCCGCGTCACAGAGACAGGAGCAGCGCCGCTCTAGGACGAGTCACAGTGAGCTGTCGCAGCTGCACCTTGCTCTCGCGGCGCACGCAGCGCCGACCCAGAACCGCCTGCGCAGCCCGCTCGACCCCTGAGCCCTTCGATCGCGCGGGGTGATCGCAGGTGGACCGAGAGGAGGGCATTTTCAGGCTGAACGGGCAGCCGTGGGTGTTCGCGGGGGCAAACGTGCACGATCTCGCGGCCGTGGCAAGCTTCTCCCCCTCCCGCCACAACACCGCGGGCGATCAGGCGGGCGCCCACATCGTGCGATCGACCCTCCAGCTTCTCGCACAGCGCGGGATGTCCGTCGTACGTGTCTGGGCGCACACGAGCCGCACCGACGTCCCGCTCCAGCTCTCGCCCGGCACCTACAGCCGCGAAGCCCTGGAAGGACTCGACCGTGTGCTGTTCGAGGCCAGCCGAGCGGGCTTGCGCGTCATACTGTCGCTGGCAGACAACTGGAAGGCCCCCGGGGGTGTTGAGGAGTACCTGGACTGGTCCAGGTCGGTTCCGAAGAGGGACACGACGCTGCCGGAGGACGACGAGGGCAACGTGGACCTGAAGAAGCTCGATGGAGCGACGCGGGTGATGCCCTCGCGCGCGCGCATGCGAAAGAACAGGTGCTGCTCACCATGATGACGGTATCCACCGGCCGCGACGGATGTTCGACGCGATCCCGCCCGTCCGCGCGCATGCAGACGAAGCTTGCGCGCCGTCACGCGCTGTTCTTCGCGGACGCGGAGTGCCGCGACAACTTCCGGGGCCACATCGCGGCGATCCTTGGGCGGCGCAACTCCCTCACCGGAGCGCGATACGCCGACGAGGTCATGGCGGTGTCGCTGCTGAACGAGCCCCGCTGCGAGACCTGGGCGGAGCCGCGCTGCAACCGATGGGTTCACGACTGGATCGCGGAGATGGCCGCCGCTGTCCACGACGTCGCGCCGGGCGTCCTCGTGTCAGTTGGCGGGGAGGGGTTCTTCGGGCCGTGGGACGACCAGGAGCTGCAGGACGCCAACCCCGGGACGTGGGCGGCGCAGACGGGGCAGAACTTCGTCGCGAACGCGCAGGAGACCGGCGTGGACTTCCTGGAGATGCACCTGTGGCCGTCCAACTGGGAGGCCCCGATGCCTCAGTCCTTCGCGGCGGACTGGATCGACGCGCACGTGGGCGCCGCGCGGGAGCTGCAGCTGCCGATCGTCCTGACGGAGTTCGGCGGCCACAAGGACGGCGGCGCGCGCGCGAATGAGGCGCGGGAAGAAACGGCACGGGTCTTCTCGCGCGTGTACGACCTGGTGGAAGAGCACATGGCTGGCGGGGACGGGGCGCCCGGGGTGCTCGCTGGCACGCTGTTCTGGCGCTTTGAGACCGAAGCGCTCCAGGACCGCGAGGTCGGGCCGTACGACACAACGGCGGAGCATCCTGCGTTCGCGGTGGCGGTGGAGCACGCTGCGAGGGTGCGCGGTGTGCGCGGGCGGCTGCGGGAAGGAGAGCCGTCGGGGGAGCGAGCGTGCTGGGTGCCGGCGAGCAAGCTCGGGGTTCGTGGGTGCGTGCGCAGGAAGCGTGGGTGCGAGAGGGCGCCTGATGCCGCGTTTGGGTCGCGGCACGAGTGCTGCGTTCCCGGCCTGGGAGGCTGGCGAGACGGGTGCTCGTGGGCGGCGGGGCTCGTGGTCAATTGAGCCGCCAGGGAGACTGCGGTGGATCCACGCCAACGCAGCAGTTGGGCCACAACTGTGCAAGTGTCACTCAGTGTTAGCTTCACGTAAATCGAATCAACGACGTCACGTGGCGCAACGACGCGCATTCTAGTCTACCGTGCCAAGCCTGGTCGCGTCAGGGACCCGAGACCTGCGCTCCGAAGGTCCTATGTTCACGAGTCGGTCCCACGCAGGCCACCTACACCACCGGGAAGTCGGCCCGCGACGACTGCCCGCCGGATCGCGAGTGCATGTGGCGCGGGGGCAGCGGCGGGGGCGGCGGCGGGGACTCGATCCGCGGCAGTGCGTGGTCCGTAGCGGACGTCCCAGGCTGCCTGACCTCGCGCTCCGTCGACCTCGCCTCGACGCCGCTGTTCCGTCGCTCCGCGCGCTCCATGTCCCTCAGCACCGCGTTGACGTCCAGCGACGACGCGTCCGCCGGGGACGCCTGCGCCTCGAGCCCGCGCAGGGACGACGCCGCCACGCCCTCGCCGCCCTGCTCGCGCGCCATGCGCTCGCGGCGGCGGCTCTGACCCTGCGGATCCCGCGGCCGTCGGCTGCTCGGCGGTCGGCGCCGTCCCTCGCCCGTGATCGCGATCACCTGCCCCTGGTCCAGCACCGCCATGTCCAGGCGCTCCGCAGCGGCCGCCGCCTCCGCCTCCTGCGCGCGGCGGTCCTCCTCGCGGCGCCGCTCCACCGACACCAGGGCGTGGCGGCACACGGGGCACGTGTCGTGCGACTCCATCCATCGGTCGAGGCACTTCTTGTGGAAAAAGTGGGCGCACGGCAGCTGCCGGCACGAGTCGCCCGTCTCGTACTCGCACAGGCAGATCGCGCACTCGGGCTCGTCGTCAGACGCGGCGCTCGGCGCGCCGCCGTTCGCGCCCTCGGTGCGGGACTCCTCCCCCCCGTGGTGGCTCGACTCGGCCCGCGACTTCTTCGCGGGCTCCGCGCGCACGGGCGCGGCCGCCGTGGTCGCCGCGACGGCGCCCTCCGCGCCCTCGTTCTGGTCGACCCCGCGCGGCGGCGTCGCGGGCACGTCGGGCCACTTGAACTCGTGGAAGGAGTCGATGATGTCCTGGGGCACGTGGGTGGTGCGGGGCCCGTTGGGATTGGCGATCATGACGCGCGCCATGAGCAGCATGAAGCGGTTGTCCGTGCGCGGGTTGTTCCGCAGCGACCGCACGAGGAAGCGCCGGCAGATGGAGAGCGCGATGCAGAGCATGAAGGACAGCACGATGCCGATCGCCATCGAGATGTACGGCGACAGCGTGAGGTTCACGCCGCCGCTGTTGTCGAGCTCGAGGCGCACGAGCATCGTCGCGGTCCGGGAGTCCGCGCTCCCGAAGTCCACGTTCTGCACCGCCATGTTGTACACCCCCGGGGACACGTCGCCCGCGATGCCGCGCAGGCTGCTCCCGGAGGGCAGGCGGATGGGCTCGCGCTCGTTGAACTGGTCGTTCGCGCCGAACTCGGGGAACCGCTCGCGGCCCCAGTACGCGTAGACGGTGTTGCCGCGCCCCGTCAGCGGCTGCGACGACAGCGTGAACCGCAGGCCGTTCTCCCACGCGTCGCGCTCCTTGCTGGTGAGCGTGATCTGGAAGTACGCCACCTCCCCGGGCCCCACGCGGACCTCCGACACCTCCCCGATGTCGGCCGCCTGCACCGGCCCCTGGCAGCTCTTGCCCCCAAAGCCCTCGTGGCACGCGCACGCGTCCGGCAGCCTGCCCTCGCTCTCGAGCGTGGGGACGCACGCGATCGCGCGGTCGTGGCAGTCCGCGCGGCAGAACCCCGCGTTCGGCGGCCGCACGCGCACCCGCAGCGTCACCTCCGCCGCCTGGCTGAACGCGTTCAGGTTGCTGACCGTCACGTGGTACCGCCCGGGGGGCGCGCGGGCGCGCGTCACGAGCTGCAGGTCCTCGCGGCCCCAGTACGCCGCGTCGTCGCCGTACTTGCGCAGCTCCGTGTCGCCGTCGACGACCAGCGCCGTGGTGGTGATGGGCAGGACGCCGCCCTCGCGCAGGAACCGCGCGGACGGGTCCACGCCCGCGGGGGGCGCCACGATCACCGCGGGCTCGCCGCTCGACGCCCTGCGGTGCATCTCGACGTACAGGCTGCCCCGCGTGCCCCCGTCGTCGGCGACGTCCACGTAGAAGAACCGCCGCCCCGACACCGGCACCGTGACCGTGCCGGCGACGTTGTCGTGCGGGTCCGGCGACGGCGCGCCCTGCAGCGCGGCCTGCACGTCCGGCACCGACGGCGCGGGCTGCGTGGCCTCCGCGTCGACGGGCAGCGGGGCGGCCGCCACCTCGCACGCATACGAGACCCACGTCTGGCCGCCCGGGAGGCCGGCGTTGGAGCACGAGCACGCTCCGGTCGCGCTGCAGGTCCCGCGGCCGGAGCACTGCGAGTCCTTGGATGCGTACCGCGCGCACGCGGGGGTGTCGCCACAGGTGAAGCGCAGGTCGTAGCTCAGGGAGCGCGCGCCGCCCGCGTTCGACACCGAGACGCGGTGCAGGACACCTGCGACGCCGACGGAGACGCGCGGGGGACAGTTCGCGGGTGCGGACGCGGCCGGGGGCGGAGGTTGATGGCAGTGGTGGGCGGGAGGTGGGGGGCACGTGGGGAAGGGACGTGGAGGTGCTGACCTTCGTTCTGTCGCACTTCGAAGACGAGGGTGTGGAAGTATTCACGCTGGCGCACGGCGACCTCGTCCCACACGGCGGTTGCGCCGCTGCCGGTGACGGTGCCCCCGCGGATGCGCACGGAGCCGCCCGCGAGCTCCGGAGTGCCGTTCAGGCCCGCCATGAGCACCGGCGCGGCGTTGGACCCCTCGCTCGCAGTGTCGAGGGAGCCGTAGGGGTCCGCGTTCCCCGAGCGCGCGGTGAACCTGCAGGCACAACCATCGAGGCTCTTTCGCTCGCGCAGGCGCTTCTGAGCCTGGGCGCGGCATCGAAACGGCTTCTGCAGTCAAGAAGTGCTCAGTCGGAGCGCAGGGCAAATGCGGCTGGTCCCGTGCTGCGTGTACAGAGCCGACACAGTGCGCCTCGTGGCGCCGCAGCATCATGGGACGATTGCGGAGCGCCTGGGCGGCGAGGCCGGATTACGCTGGCTGGTCGGGCGGCTACGAGCACGGGCCTGCGCAGGAAGGCCGCCGCGCGCACCTGTCGTTGTCCCACAGCTCGGCGCGGACGTAGATGGTGCCCGCGCTCGAGGGGCACCCCTCCGCCTCGAGGTCCGCGTAGTCGAACGACTGCAGCAGCTGCGTGTCTCCGGTATCCATGAAGCCGACCTTGGGCGTGAACACCGCCTGGGTGGCTGCGCTGGCCCCTGCGAGCGGGAACCGGCCAGGCCACACGGTCGCAAGCAAGGCCGGTGCGTCGTGCCTGCCGCCCCGCACGGACTGCGCCGCGGCCTGGCGGAGGGGCTCGGCACAGGCGTCGCGCACGCCGCGGCCGCGAGAGCAGCCCGCCGCGCGGCTGGAGGCGCTCGCCCCCGGGCCTCAGGTGAGGGGTGACAGCAACGGGTGCGCGGCGCGGTGTGGCGTGCACAGGGGAGGAGGTGGCGCGACGCGGTGGTGCGGGTCGGGGGCGTTCTCACCGCTGAGCAGGGCCAGCAGAACGGCCGCGAGGGCCGCGAGCTGGGCGGCACGGACTGCGCGCATCCTTCCGCGGCCGCCCAGGAAGGCGAGTGCGTATCCGGGGGCCGCGCGGCGCCAGCGAAGAGGAGTCTGCGCGCGGAGTCTCAGCCGGTCGAAGGGACGGCCGCGTCGAGGTCCCGCCGAGGTCCCGCGACGCCAGCCTCGTGGAGTTGCAGGCGCCGCTGGCAGGCGCACGGCCGGGCGCAGGTGACGCTGCGCGCCGCACGGCAGGGTCCGGTGCGACGGGAGTTGAGGCGCGAGCTGCGCGGGAGCGGCCTCGGTGCCTGAGGAGGCGGGGAGGCGTGTTCCTCTCATGACCGACCGGACGCATGCGCTCGGCGCGCGCCGTGGCCGGCTCGTTGCCGGGCGCGGCCCGTGGGACGCGACACCCGGATTCGCCTGATCTTGACTAGCGCGGAGCATCGATCCAAAGTACCACAGCGAGCTACACAGCTGCTAACGAACCGCGAGAAGCCCGTTTCTTTCATGACCGACGTCTCTCAGCTCCCCATCCCTGGAGGTTTCGATCCACTCTCCGAAGGGATTACGACTCTCGACGAGAACACCCAGGCAAATGAGTCGAGCAAGCAGCTGAAGGGATCTTCCGAGGAGTACATTCACATTCGCGTCCAGCAGCGCAATGGCAGGAAGAGTCTGACGACCATTCAGGTGAGAGCTGCCACGACTCACGCGGAACGAGGCGTATCTCGCCCTATCGCGCTTTCGCGCGCCCAGGCGCCCCGCGCTCGCCGTGGGCGCGCTCCCGCGCCCGCTGCTAGCGTCCAGCGTCGTCGCGTCGCCGTGCCTCCGTTTCCTCGCACCCCTTGCGACCTCGTGCGTGGCGCCTCGTCGTGGCGTGGCGCAACGTTCGCGCGCGCGTCCCCGACCTCACGCATGCGGTTCGTGCGCCCGCGCGGGGTCGCAGAACCGCCTGCGCGCCGGGCCCCCGCGAAGCCTCGTTTGCCATACTGCGTCCTCCGCCCTCCTCGCTGCGCGGACCGTTCCACGCCGCCTCGTTGCCGGCCCAAACAGCAGCCTTGGCCCTGCGGCTCTGCGGCACCGTAGCCACACGCCCTCGCAGCCCCTCTCCGCGCCCCCCGCCGCACGAGTTCCGCCCCCGGCGACTGCGCCACAGCCGCTCCGCCCCCGGGCAACACGCGCCGCGGCGCTCCAGCAACTGCCCACCTTGCTGCTCCGGAGGCGCGCTCCCTCCCCGCGGTCCCCGCGCCGCCGCCCGACCGCGCCGCGCCCGCGCTGCTCGCAGGGACTCGCGACTCAATACGACAAGAAGAAGATCCTCAAGGCCCTGCGCAAGGACTTTTGCTGCAACGGTGCCATCATTGAGGACCCCAAGTACGGCCAGGTGATCCAGCTCCAGGGCGACCAGCGCAAGAACGTGGCCACGTTCCTCGTGGACACCAAGATCACCAAGAAGGACATGATCAAGATCCACGGGTTCTAAGAACGAGCTCCGGGATCTGTGTGTGCCAGCTGTGGGTCGGTTCCGGCCCTAGCCCCGCGCCCCGGGCCCCCGACAGGGTGGCTGCGACGTGCGTGGCGGACGGGGTCTGACGCGCGCGGGTCGGTAGCCTGCCGCGCGGGATCGGGCACACAGCCGGGGTCGGACACCGTGGGGCTGTCGTCCCTCTCCTCCGTCGCGAGACGTGGGGGGGGGCTGCCGTGCCCGCGGTGACTGCGCAAACGCATCAGGGGGCCGCGGCGACTCCGCCCGGCCCCCGGCTGTGAATTCCGGCTCCGCAATGACGTGGTGGTTTGCTCAAGTCAAGTCACTTTGTGCTTGCTGGGTTCCGCAGCGAGCGAATACAAAGAATCTCCGTGGGCGCATACGCCGCGGGCCTCACGCCGAGCTGCTGTCGTCCTTCTTCGCGTCGTCTATCCGGCTCTGCTGGTTCTCGTTGGGCACCAGCTTGAGCAGGGGCAGCGGCAGGAGCTGCGACGCACAGCAGATGCCCACCTGCGAGCGACGCAGGCGGACGGACGCAGCGTGGGGCGGCGCAGGAGGTGGCGGGCGCGCCGCGGGCGTTGCTGGCGCGAGGGTGCAGTGACTTGTGTGTCTCAGAGGGTTGTGGGCGGCTTACCAGGATCGCGAGGTTGTCGAAGTTCTTCGCCGTGACGCCGAGGTAGGCCGTGAGCCCGGAGCCGAGCAGGCCGGATGCGAAGGCGCCCGCGTTGAGCAGGGACATGAGCGTGGCAAAGAGCGTCGCCTCCACCCCCGGCGGGCAGATGCGCGCCGCAAGCACCAGCACGGGCAGGAACGAGATCTGCACGCACGCGAGCCGAGCGACGGGCTGTCGGGGAGACGCGCTTCCGCGTCGTTCCTCGCGGGTGCACGCCCTGCGACAGAGGTCGGCGCCGGAGGGGCGGGCGGACCTGGCCGAGGAGCGTGAGGATGACGGAGTCGCCCAGGACGAAGAAGCGGTCGTCGATGCCGAGCTCGCGGTTCAGGCCCGTGACGAGGAGCAGCTGCGTCGCCGACAACACCGTGCCCGACAGGGCCGTCCAAAGGAATATCTTGCGCAGGGGGATGTCCTTCAGGTACCTGCGCGCCACGTGTGAATTTGCAGCCGCTCACGGCACGTCCAGGGTGCGCCGTGGCCGCGCCGCGACCCCCGCTCGCAGACATGATGGTGGATGGGGCCTCAGCGGCGGGCTTGCCTGTTGTACAGCCCTGCCCCCGCGAGCTCCGCGCACGACGACACCAGGCGGACTCTGCCCAGGAATTCGGGGGCGAACCCGAGCTGGTTCGTGTAGAAGTAGAACAGCGCCTCCCCCGCCGTCGGTGTTGCCTGCCAAAAGAAGACAAACAACGCCGGCAGCAGAATCCCCCTGCGTCAACGCACGGACCGAGCGCGTCGTCGCATTCGGGTCCGTCCACGTACGCGCACGCGACTCACCAGCAGCTGCGCGGGCGCGGGGCATTCCCGCACCTGTCGCGCACTGCGTCAAACAGCACGCTCCCCTGCGCTCCTGCGCGCTTCAGCAGCCCAGCGAGATCCGCCCCCGCCTTCCTCGTCCCAGCCGCCACCGCGGCCGCCCGCGACGGCGCGCTTGCCGCGGGGGCCTCGTCGATGAGCCACGCAGAGAAGGACACCATGAGCGGGAACGCGGCCGTGAGGGCGAACACCGGACGGTTGCCCAGCGTCTCCACGAGGGACCCCGACGCGTACGCCGACGCGATCCCGCCCACGGCGCGCGAGCCCCAGCAGAGCGACTGCAGACTTCCTGCTGTGCGCTGCATTCCAACACGAGAGCGGACGGAGGCAGCGTGGTGAGCAGAGCACGAACGGCGCGGACGGCGCGGGACGAAAAGCTGTCCGCGCGCCGAGTGCGAGGGCGGGTTCTGGTGCGCGAGTGTCGGGCATGGAGACGGACTGCATTGCAAGACAACTGGAAGGCAGAGATCGAGGGTCCCGGCGCGGCGCTTGCCTGCGGCTCCCCGCGCGCGCGCTCGACGACGAGCGAGTCCACGACTACGTCGCTGAACGCGGTCGACAGGTTCCCGAGCAGCAGCATGCCGCACGTGGCCAGCGCCGCCGTCGTCCAGCCTGACGCGCCGTCCTCGACGGCCGGCACGAGCCCGCTCGAGAGGAGGAGCCAGCTGACGGCGCCGACGAGCCCGCAGAGCACGAGGTACGATCTCCGGCGGTACCCGAACAGCGGGAACGAGTCGGAGATGAACCCGTACAGCGGTTTAATGACCCACGGGGCCCCCGAGGCCCCCACGAGCAGGGCGGCCTGCGCCGGGTCCAGCTGAAGCTCGTCCTTGACGTAGAAGGACACGGCTAGCCGGGCGAGGCCGAGGACGCCCTGCGTTTGTGGGATGTGGGGACGGTGCGGCGTGTGAGTGTGTGCAGGCTCGGATGTGTGCGAGGAACGCGTGACATAAGACGACTTTGCGCGTGAAACGAATAGTGAAGCGATAAACTGTGAGATGAGCGCAAGTGTGAAGCGAATGGTTGATCATGCGAAGCTCGACGGCAGCAGGTGAGGTGCTGGGGGCGCCAGGGCTTGCGGCCCTCGGACGCGGTCGTGCGTGGAGCTGTGGGCGAGCTCTGCACGTGGAGTACCTGGACGAAGTAGACGATGCAGATCGCGGCGATCTCTGGCGACGGCGCGACCCCGATTTGAGCCTGGATGGCTGCAGCCAAGCTTCCTGGCTTGGGCTGCCGCATTGTTTCCTCTCCGGCCAGTCCTTCCGCCTCGTTCGCATCCGTCTCCTGATCCTTCAGTCTTGGGCCGTCCTCCCCGCCCCTCTCTACAACGCTCTCCGCTTCCCGCACGCGTGGCTCCTCTGGCTGTGCAGCGCTGCACCGCTGCCGCTCGCGGAGCTGCGCGACACGATGGAGCGCGCGGTGCCCGCCCGCCCTAGACGCACTCCTCGGGGGATTGCGACTGCCCTGCTGACGAAGCAGAAGCTGCCGGGCAGCGCCTTGGCATTGCATCTGTCTTTGCACAGTCCAGGTCCGAGGCGTGACGGGCCTGAGCCGCAACGTCGCTGCGCACGGGCTCCCTAATGGCCAGGTCACGTCTGGCGGGACTGCTGACATGACGGACGCGGCGGCTCCTGCGCACCCCATGAAGCAGAGGAGGACTCACAGTCTGACAGGAGCACCTGGTCGGACACAGGTCACGGCCGCTCTTCGCCGCGAGGGCGCCGACGACCAGCCGCTGCTGGACCCGCCGGCTTTTGACGCGCTGCCCTCGTCGTTCTCAAGTCTCCGTCGCGTTCGGGCAAAAATCAACGCACGCGCACAAGTCACCGTCGCGAAGGCTCAGAACTTAGGGATGCTCCCGTCCGCGAGCCCCCGGGTCTCCTCTGGCGTGCTCTCCCTCCCCAGCGCCTGGTTCCGCCCCGGGAACCTCCCCCACCTGGCCACGACCTCCCGGTGTTTGACCGCGAAGTCCTTGAACTGCTCAAACTGCCCCACCACTGCGCCGAACGCACCGCCGTCCTCCGGGAGCCCGCTGCGTGCCCTGACGTCCTCGAACAGCTCCTCGAACGCCGCGACGGCGCTGTCCTGCATGTCGAGCGACTCGCTGTGTTCCAGCGGGAGGTACGCAAAGGAGCGCTCGATGGCGCGCAGCTGCTTGTCCTCCCCCGCCTCCATCATGCCGAGGGCCTCCTGCGACGGAGCGCCGGCCGTGCAGAGGGCTCGGCAGGGGCGCGCACGTGCAGGGCGTCACGCGCCCTCCACAGCATGCTGCTGTGCGTCACGTGATGGAGTCGTGCTCGAGCGCACCTGCAAGGCAATCGGGTCGCCTGCGTACGCCTTGGGGCTCCCGCGGTGGACGTTCCGCGTGAACTGGTCCGCGACAATGATGCGCGCCAGCTTGCCCAGTGGCGTCGTTCGCCACTCCGTCAGCCCGCCGCCGATGACGGCCCCGACCTCGTCCGCGAACAGCTCGCGAATCTCGTCGTCCACCGCAGTGCCGCCTGCGTGAGTTGCACCGTTCGCAACGTGAAATGATCGTCACCACGTGTGTATGGCCCGTTGGTGAGGGACCCGCGCAACACGTGCTCGCGGGGCGCAGCTGGAGTGGTTCGCGCGCACCGAAGAACCACTTCCTCGCCTCGGCGCTGTGGACGTCGTGCGGGACTTGTTTGGGAAAGTCAGGGCCGAACCAGAACGTAAGCACGGTTGCAGCCCTCGGGTGCAGCTCGCTGGGCAAGCCCGCCGCAGCCTGCGCCTGCATGTTCCTCTGAGTGATCCTGCGCGTTGTCTGGCTCTTGATCGTCGAAAGGGGCCCAAGGAGAGTCGCCCTCAACATGTCCACGCGGTAGCGCGCGGGAGAGGGCACCTTGGTGCTTCACAGGCCCGGTGTGGGTGCCCGTCGGCCCGAAAAAGCTGCCAACCCGACGCACGGCATGCACAGGGAGATTCGGTATAGCAGGACGGGACATCTCCCGATGAGCTACCGACACCCACGCAGGGGGGACTTGCCCCCGTCAGATTGGGGTGTTTTCCCTGCGACCGACACGTTCGGAACGGTCCGACTGCCGACAACCCGGACTGCGCAGGCCGCCGCTTCGTCTCGTGCACGTCGCCGGCTCGAGCTTGGCGTGCGTTGGCGATCTGATTCCACAAGGCTGACTGTCAGCACGGCACTGTGCGCATGACACGGTTTCAGGCCGCCGCCCGGTCGCAATCCAGCCTCAAGCTGCCACGTCCGGCGCAAAAGTGGTCCGGTCAATCCGCTCCGGTGGTTCGGGCTGCGCGGGCGTGCGGACCACGAACACACCACGCAGGGGCGCAGCCAGGGCTGCCGGTCGCTACAACGGATGGCGCAGCAAGTGCAACGTGTCCAGGCAAGACGAGCGCGCCGCTGCTCACCGCGAGACGTCTCCGGCACGAGCGCGAACCCGTTGTTAATCACAGCTAGCAGGATGCGGCCAGAAGCGATGCAACGCGCGCAACGCCGCACGCCCGGAGTCGACTCCGCCGCGGACGCTTGCGCGTGATTCCAATGCAGTTCAGCCGCGGCTGCGGCGTGGTGCGCGGGCAGACGTGGGTGGGTGCCGCATGCTGCGCACTGAGCACTGCGCCGCCGCCCGCGAGCTGCCTCGCCCCAGCCGCCGAGCGAGCGGCCCGCGCGTGCGTCGCGCCGCGCCGCTCCGTGCGCGCGTGCGTCGCGGCGTGCGCGCTCAGAGCTTGACCCCGCGCCTGCGCGAGACGGACTGCTGCGAGGCGAGCTGTTCGCCGCGCATCATGACGAGGAACTCCTCGTAGTCGACCTCGCCGTTGCCGTCCTTGTCCACCTCCTTGATGATGCGCCGGACCTCGGCGTCGTCGACGTTCATGTCCTTGAGCGCCTCGGTGATCTCCGAGATGGAGAGCACGCCGTCGCCGTTCTTGTCAAAGGCCTTGAACGCCTTGAAGATGAGCTCGTCCTTCTCGAGCTTCGAGTTGTGGATGGTGGCGGCGATGAACTCCTTGTAGTCGATCTCGCCGTTGCCGTCCACGTCCGCGGCCTCCATCAGGAACTTGATGTCGTCCTCGGTGATCTTGTAGTGGCCCTTCTGCATGGCGCTCCGGAGCTCGTCGATGGTGATCGTCCCGCTGTTGTCCGTGTCGATCGCCTTGAACATGTTCTCGAGCCCCGCGATCTCGTCCTTGTCCAGGTGCGACGCGATGACCTGCATGGCCTTCTTCTTCAGGTTGTTCATGTTCTTGAAGGCCTTCAGGCGCTGCGCCACCACGTTGTCCAGCTCGCGGTCCGGCGCGATGCCGCCCTTCATCAGCCACGGGTCGCGCAGCATCTCGCTCGCGCTCGGCCGCTTCCGCGGGTCCCGCGTGAGCATGCGCTTGATGCACGCCTTGGCGCCGTCGCTGATGCGGTCCCATGGGTGGCTCGACAGGTCCAGCTTCCCGAGCAGGATCTCCTCGAAGATCTCGTCCGTGTTGTTGCCCCAGAACGGCGGCACGCCCGCCAGCAGGATGTACAAAATCACCCCGCACGACCACACGTCGATCTTCTCGGCGTACTGCGGCTTCCGGGACTCCAGCCGGCGCGTCTTCGGGTTCACCGCGCGGTCCAGCACCTCGGGCGCGATGTAGTACGCCGACCCGACCGTGTCCGCGAACTTGTCGCCCTCCTTGAAGAAGACCGACAGCCCAAAGTCCGTGAACTTGATCGGCGAGTCCGCCGAGTTGTCCACGAGCAGGAAGTTCTCCGGCTTCAGGTCCCGGTGGATCACGCCCATGTCGTGCATGTAGGCCACCGCCTCCACGATCGTCCGCGCCATGTCGGCGGCCTTCTTCTCGCTGTAGTGCTTCGCCTCGACGATGCGGTCGAACAGCTCGCCGCCGGAGCACATCTCCATCACGATGTGCACCGCGCGCCGGTCCTCGAACGAGTCCTCGATCTTCACGATGTTCGAGTGCCCCGCGAGGTGGTTCATGATCTGCACCTCGCGCCGCACATCCTCCACGTCCTCGACGCACGCCAGCTTGCGCTTCTCGATCGTCTTGCACGCCATCGTGCGCCCCGTCTTCTTACATACCGCCTGCCGCGCGATGCCGAACTGGCCCTCGCCCAGCTTCCTGCGCAGACGCGAGCCCGGGCGGCCGATGAGCACCACGCCGGGCGGCCCGGGGGGGCAGATCCGCGCGGCCGGGGCGCGGCCCGCACGCGCGGGGCCGCCGCGGACGACGGGGGGCGGACGCTCGACGCGAAACAGCGGCGGAAGCGGGCGGAAACCGGGCGCCGGGGTCGGCATCCGCGGAGCAGCGACCCGGCGCAGGCCAACGAGCGCGTGGCGGCCGGGGCGATCCGCGCCGCGTGGGGGCGCGCGCGCGGGGCGAGGCTGCATGTCTGGACGGCAGGGGCCAATGCACGCGGCGCGCGGGGGCGCGGCCCGCGCGGGCGCGACGCGGCGGGCCGGTTGGGCACGGGAGTGACGACCGGGGGAGGAACGCACGCTCCGAGGTTGTAGAAGGCCTTGAGCTCGCCGGTGTTCTTCCCGAGCACGAAGGTCGGGTCGGTGAGGTCCATCGCCGAGAACTTCCCGGGCTGCGCGCGGGGGGCGTCGAGCAGCTGCGTCACGCCCTCGTCCGCACGTTTGCGGTGGCGCGGGGCGATCCTCGCGGCCGAATGCACGCGTGCGGGACAGCGAGGGGGCGACTGGGGGCGCCCGGGGCCGCCGCGGGCCCTCGGCGCCCCCGCCGGCCACGCAAAACCGGGGGCTGTGTGGTCAGCTGCCAGCAGCGTCCGGCATGTAGGGCCTGGGCAACAACGGCGCGGGGGGCGCGCGCGGGGCGCGGGCGCGCGTGCGCTCGCGCCGTGCGCATGCTCAGCGCGAAGGGGGACCGTGCGGGGCGGGAATACCGGAGGCGCGCGGGGGCTACGACGCGGGCGGGGCCGCTCGAGGGCACATGGAGCTGCCTTGCGGGGGCTTGGGGGCGTGTGCGCGGGCGTTGCGCGGGCGCGTGGGGGTACGCGGATGCCTCACCTTGATCGGGGGTGGCTGGGACTGCTGGTTGGCGGAAGGCTTGTCTTTAGGCGGCGCAGGAGCTGCTGGGCCGGTTTGCCGATGATCTTGGCCGGTAGACTTCGCTCCTGCTTGCCCTGAATCCCCGTTGCTGAGACAGTTCCCCATGTCGAGGCCTGGGCCGTGTCTCTGCGGAGCATCACGGCGGCACGGCTGCTCAGGGGTGGCCTGCGGTGCCGTTGCACCCTCAGGGCCGGAGAGGGCGGTGGCGGGAGCCCCGAGCAGTGCATCGCGACCGGCCGTTCCCGCTGGCTCCGGTGCTGGAGAAATCAGGAGGGTGCACGCGGACGCTGTTGGCGACCGGGCGGGGCGGAGAGCGCAGAGCCGACGAGGACGGAACCCCGATGCTGCCTAGGGCATAGCAGGTGCAGCAGAGCGCCATTTCGCGGTTGGCTTTGCCGGTGGTCCTACGAATTCATGCACGACAGCTGGCGCGCCCGCGCACAAACAATGCGGCGCGGAAATCGCTTGCACCCCACGTAACCAACCAGGCAGAGGCGAGGCGCTGGCATCGACGGTCGCGGGGGGGCCGAAGTTGCAGGGCGTACCTCGCGAATGGTGAGTGCCCGCGCCGCCGTCCCGCGGCGCCGCAACGCCCCCGGGAGCCGCCGCCCGGGATGTCGCACGAGCTGACATAGGGCACCTGTGGCATTGCGCGAGCCCCCACGCACGCGCGTCGATCCCCCGGCTCTTAGGCGCGGGAAGGGCCCGGCACGGAGCACATCTCGCACGGCAGCGACCCCACGTTCCGAGAACGCGACGCAGCGCAGCGGGGACGAGGCCGCAGCACTGTCTGCGAGCGCGGCGCGCTGACCCGGGCCTGCAGAGGGCCGTCCGCACCGCACCGGCAGGCCTGACGGGCGTCCGTCGCAGCCCGTGCCGCGATGAACTACGGGGGGTACCCGGGGGGCGGGTTCGACCCGTCAATGGGCTACGGCATGATCCCGGGAGGCATGCCGCCGATGGTGCGCGCCGGTCCCAACGTCGCTCGCATCGAGACGAATATATCCGTGTCCTCCATCTCGATGCGCGCACCGGTGGACTCCCGCGATGCGCGCAGCGACGTGCCCGGCTCGGTTTCTGTGCCCTGCAGCCTCCGATGCCCAGCGCGCCGCCGAGCGGCCGCACCGCGCCGCGCGTCCACCAGAATGCTGGGACCAAGCGAGAGGGGTTCGTTGCGGGCAAGTTGTACTGCCAGCTCCCGAAGGACACGACGGAGGAGGTGCTGAAGGAGTACGCTGCACAGTGGTGCGCGCCCCGGCCGCGGGAGACGCGGGAACGCCGGTGGCGCTGGACCAACCATCGGCCCTTGTCCGTGCGAGCGCCGCGAGCGCCGCGTGCGGACCGCGGCCGGCCCAGCAAGCTGGTTTCTCTTGGCCAGCAGCACAACGGCGAGCCGCATCGCTCCGACCTGGGGCTCCAGCTCCCCTCGTCGACCTCAGCCCGTCGCTCCGTGCGTGACCATGCAGGGGCGAGGTCAAGAGTGTGCTTGTGTCCGACAAGGGGTACGGTTTCGTCACGTATGAGGACCCAGAGGACGCGGTCAAGTTCCTCGACCACAAGCAGAAGCAGGGGCACTACATCAACGGGGAGGAAATGGACGTCCGGGCCGTCGTTCCGAGGGGCACGGAGAAGGCGTACGACTCCGTCAAGATCTTCGTCGGCGCCCTGGGTGAGCCACCCACTCCCAGCCCCAGCACCGCGCGCTCCCCCCGCGACGTAGCTCCGCACTCAACCCTCTTCCAAAGCCCGCGTCTGCAAGCGCACGCGCACCACGACCGCCCCTGCGCGACGCAACGCCCGTGTGCACCCACGCAGCGGGCCGCTCGGTCACGTCGTTGGCCGGCCACGGCCCTCCACGTGCAGCGCGTGCGTCGCGACCCTGCTCACCCACCGGCCGTCCGCCCTGTCCTCTCGCCACCGCAGCCGACGTCTCCGACGAGGCGTTCGAGCAGCATTTTGCCAAGTACGGCACCGTCGTGACCGCCAAGGTCATCCGGGGGAAGCCCGGGCCCGACGGATCCACCAAGTCGAAGGGCTACGGCTTCGTTGAGTTCGAGGACCCGCTCGACGTCGACAAGTGCCTCGTCGTGAAGCACTTTTTCGAGGTATGTCCCCCCTCGCCGCCAAACACTCCGCACACGCCTCACCGAAGCCCGAGCCCATGCACTCCGGGAGCATACCTTCTCGCACGGACCAGGACACGCTCGCCGCGACGCCTGCAGGACAAGGAGGCGGACGTGAAGCGCACCCCAGTGGGCCAGAAGGACCCCGCGGAGGGGGGCGGCGGCGGCGGCGGCGGCGGCGGTGGCGGTGGTGGTGGCGGCGAGAGGACTCGGGGCTCCCGCGGCGGGCGGGGCCGCGGGCGCAACGCTGGCTACCCAGGAGGGGGGGGGTTCCCACCACCGGGGATGATGCCACCCGGGCCGGGGTACCCGCCCCCCATGATGGCGTACGGGTACCCAGGGCAGATGATGCCCGGGTACGACATGGGCGGCTACGGCATGGGCGACCCGACTGGTGCGAATCAGCGACACCTTGCTCTGCGTTGTTGTCGCCGGTCACGCTGGCTCGTTCCCGCCGCAGACTTCGCGGCGCACTGCTTTCGCCGTGATCCGCGCGGCCTGACGCCTACAGGGCCGCCGACGCCCTCTGTCTCGCTTGCTGTCGCTGCAGGGGGGTACGGCGCACCTGGCATGGGGATGCAGATGGGCGGTTACGACATGGGCATGGCCGGCTACCCGCCTCCCGGCCCTGGATACCCGCCTGGTCCGGGTGGGCCGCCGGGGGGGCCTCCAGGCATGCCGCCAGGAGGCTACGGCATGGCCCCGCCTGGCCCTGGCGGGCGGGGCCGTGGGCGCGACGGCGGCCGAGGGCGCGGTCGCGGTGGGCGCGGCGATCGTTTCGCACCGTACTGAGCGCGACTTCTGCGCGAGGGCGACGCGCGAGGTCCGGGCCTGACCCGCGCTGATGCACGGACATCACTTGTGGGCGTCGCGTGGGGCGCCCGACGTCCAAGGGCACCGCGCTGTATGTTTGTCGCTAGCTCCGGCGCATGCGCGCAGCTGCGGGGCAGCACTGTTTGACCGCGCGCCGCCCGCGGTGCTTTGACGGCCCGGCTTTGAATGTTGCAACGCACCGTCCCGCGGCCGTTTACGCCGCGCGTTCTCACAGCCCTGGTCACCGTTCCACTCCACGTTACCAACCTCGAACCGGGCCGGTCATTTCCGCCTCTCGCAAGTCGTCTTCAGCGTTCGCATGGTCACCTCCGCACTTCGCTGCGGCTCACTGTGCGCGCAAGTCAATGGCTTTTGCGAGTCTGCGCTACCTGGAGAACTATGAGGACGATGCGCTCCAGCGAAGCTTTGCTCCCTGCTTCGGAAGACGCGCCGATCGATCGATGCAGGATATCTCATCAGTCCACGTGCTTTTCTGCGACCCTCCCGGGTGCTGCCGGCGCACACGCGTCGCCCCGCCGTTCTCTGGCATTCAAGGCGACACGACTACGGGATCCTCGTTTCACGGCCGGCGCCCAGGCGGACCGGGCGCCGCTCTCGCAGCGCATTGGGCTGAGAGCCGCTGGCAAACGCGAGTTTCGTGTACCAGCCGCCCCTGACACCCCTCGTACTCCCACAACACGTTCCTCGCCCACCGCGCGCGCGCTGCGCAGGCAGCACATCGAGCTTCAGGCTGCAGAGAGGCTGACGTGTACCTGCCACCACTGCCGGCTGCAGGTCTCGACAGGCGAGTTCTGAGCGCTGGCGAGGCGTCGATCGCGCGAAGCGACGGCTCGTTCGACTACGCTGACGCAGTTCGCAGCATATGGCACATTTTTTCCCACGGACATTCCTTCCCTACGAAACCTCGAAAGATGCGAGCAACGTTTCTTCAAGACTTCCGTTGACGGCGCTCACCGCGATTCTCTCCCGGCTGTGAAAGCGCCGGCGGCCGTGACACAGCGTCTCACACACGTTCCCTCGCAGCTGTCTCTACGTGCCTGGTTGGTTGCCCACGTCCCGTCCCCTCTTCACGAGTCGCACGTCACTCGATTGCGCCTCGCCGCCCTGTTCCCGTGCCACCAGCCGCGATCCTCCCGCCGCCAGACGCTCCCGCCCCGTGCAGGGGCTCAGTCCTCGTGGGCGGGCAGCGCGGGGCCGCCCATCAGGCGCGACGCCGTGGACCGGTACGACCCAGCCAGCGCCTGGTTCGACCCCGGGTTGCTCGCGCGGGGCTGGATGGACACGCCCGCGGGCGGGCGCGACTCCGAGCTGACCGATGCACGCTCCAGCCCGAGCGTGATGGCTTCGACGGGGCTCGCGGCCGCCTGCTGCTGGCCGCCCCCGGCGGCGAGCGCGGCCCCGAGCAGCCCGCGCGGCTGGGCGGCCTTCTGCTGCTGCTGCGCCTGCTGCGGCTGGTGCCCCGAGTTGGACACGCCAGCCGAGCGGCGCTGGAGGTTCGAGGTGCCCGGGCGCTGCGGCGCGTCGAGGCGGGGCTTGCGGCGCACGACCTGGCTGGAGCAGTGCACGGCGCCGTACATGCAGGTGATGCCCTCGAAGGGCACGTGGAAGACGTCCCCGGAGAACTGCGGGGAGCGCGCGATGTTGCGCGCCGTCTTGTCGTGCACGGCGAGGATGGTCGAGTTCCCCAGGTTGAGCACGTTGCAGCCGTACAGCAGCTGGTCCTTGCCCGGCACGGGGATGATCGAGTACCCCTGCGCGCGCACGTACTCGGCGAACTCCACGCCCTCGCGCTCGAGGTGGTACTTGCCGCTCTTGTCGCGCACGTACTCGTCGACGAGGCGCTTCGTGGCCGAGTCCTGCCCCATCATGTCCTCGAGCATCACGCAGCAGTTGTCCGAGAGGATGGAGAAGACGCAGTCCAGGTGCATGCGGTCCTGGTGCATCTCCAGCTCGTCGCGCACGACGGCGACGCGGCGCGTGCCGAAGAGGTCCTCCTCCATGAGCTGCAGGCACGCCTGCCGGTTGGACCGCAGCCCGATGCCGACGAAGCACAGGTCGGGCCCCGCCGCGAAGTAGTCGCCCCCCTCCAGGAAGCCGCCCTCCTTGACCTCGCCCACGATGGGCAGGCCGAGCTTGTTGAAGCACAGGCGCATGAGGTCGACCTCGTCCTGCCGCTGCGAGGACCGCAGGCGCGCCATGACGATCCCGCGGCACGTCGTGATCTGCTGGTCGCGCGTGTAGATCAGGTTGGACAGCGGCTCAAACGTGTACTCCGCCGCGAACCCCGTGTCGCGCCCCGAGGGCTTGATCGTGACCGTCGGGTGCGTCATGATGACGTCCAGCAGCTGGTCCGTCGACATCTCCTCCAGCACCGTGCGCTTGTACTCCTCCGACAGGTACGGCATGAAGTTCTCCTTGCACACCGCCGAGGGGTCGAACCCCTCCGCGAGGCGGTACGTCAGCGAGTTCAGCGCGAACTCCTCCAGCTCCACGCGCGCGCGGATGTTGCTGTCCGCGGCGTACCGCAGGATCTCGCGCACCGTCAGCACCTTGACGCCAAACCGCCGCATCGTGTTGCGGAAGTTCTCGTGCTGCGCCTTGGCCTCCTCCAGGTTCAGCGGCTTCTCGTACAGCGACGCGCTGCGAGACACGGGGCGGGGCGGACCGGGCCGGGTCGGGCCGCGGGGCGGGCTAGGGGCGCGATGGGTGGTTGGTGCCAGGGGCGGGGCGACACGTGCGGCGCGTTGCGGCGCGACAGCGGGCGGAAGGTGGGCGCACTGCTCGAGGAAGATGACAGGGGGGACGGTCGCGGGCGGGAAATGGCGCGCGAGGTTGTCTGCGTGGCGGTGGACGGCGGATAAGCGCGACTCTAGGCGCCCCCGAGGGTGGGGCGCGTGCAGGTCGCTTGGGCGCCCACACCGTCAAACAAGGCAAGAATCTCGCGCTTTAGATACAGAAAGGGCCGTCGAGGTGGACACTCGCGAGTTTCGACGCCCCGGGTGTGCGCACGTCCCGTGGGAGAGCAGATGGTGTGTGCTTGGTGCGCGCACGCGGCGTTCCGGGATCGACTTACCGGGGGTGGAGGCCTCCCATCATCAGGGAGGTGCCCTCGGGCTCGCACACGATGACGACCTCGGCCCTGCAGTCAGCGGGCGCAGCGCGGCGGTCTCACGCTGGAGCTCGCAAGGGCAGCCGGGCGGGCCGCGGACCGCCCCGAGCCCGCGTGCGCGCGCCGAAAGATCCGCACGCCGGGGAGCGTTGCCGGTCTAGAGCGACAGTGCGGGCGGTGGGGTGGCTCGGGCGACGCGCGGCGCGGACATGCGGCCAACCGTGTGCCTGCGGCAGCCTAGCAGTCAACGCCGGCGCACTGCGGCGGCGCGGTCGCCTCGCGCGAAACCTCGAGCGCGGCCTCGCGTTTCCGGTCGAGGTCATCCCTCGGCGCAGCGCGTTCCGCGCGGGCGGGCCACGTACAGGTCGTTCTCGTGCACCTGGCACGCCGCCGGCACATCACCCTCAGGCTGCACCTCCGTCCCGGACGCCCGGGCGCGCGCGCCGTACGTCTGCGCGACGGGGTTGCTGTGCAGGTACCGCTGGTTGATGTTCGGGCTCGTGCAGAGCCCCGGGGCGGCGCGGCTGCCCGCGGGCGGCTGCTCGACGACCGCGGCGAGGTCCTTCCTGGTGTCGACGCGCTTCATCTCGCTCGAAACAACCATGGCGCACGGGTCCGTCCAACGCAAGGCCGCTGCGGTCGCACAGCTGTGTGCCGCGCGCCGCGGCCCGCCGAGCCGATGGCGCGCCCGGGCGACACGAATCTGATGTCGGTGTGTTGGTTTATTCTACCGACTTTTGGAATCATACCGACTTTGGCTGTTGCGGGAGACGAGGGCGTGGCGGTGCGCTCGCCCGCTCAGTAGCTGTGCGCGTGCATCGGCGTGCCCGGGGTGCGTGGACGCGGTTTGACACGTCCGTCGTGCGCGTGGCCGAACGGTCGCGTCACACGTACACGCCGGCAGGCGGAATCAGAGTCGGCGCGGCGCGCGTGTGCCTCGAGGAGGCGAGGCGGGTCCTGCGATGACGGAGCGGCGGTAGGAGGATGATCAACACGCGCCGGAAGAAGGGGTTCCTGCTCCAGGTGGGTGTCGGCACGGCGGCGTGCTCGCTGTCCTTGTGCGGCCCGCTGCCGGACTCGACAGGGATCGTTGCGCGAATCGCTGCGTGCAGGGCGGCCACATCGAGCTCGATGAGCAGAGGGAGCACCCCGTCGACCAGAAACTCCGCGCGCTGGCGGAGCGGGAGGGTCGCATGGGGCCCGTGCAGCCCACGCGCCGGAGGAAGCCCACGTCGGAGCTGCCCCTGATCCAGCGGTACCGCGCTGTCTCGCCTGACGCGAACGGGCGGCTGCGGGCGTCGGCAGCCGTCGCGGAGCTCCAGAAGGGCCTCCCGGGGGCCTGCAGGTCGCCACGGCGCCTGCTGCCCACGAGGAGGCTCGACGTGCGGCCGCCCCCGAACGGGCACGGCGGAAAGCTGCCCAGGGTCAACCCCAGGATCGCAGCTCGCTTCAACATTCCGGACCCGCTGTCCCGGACGGTCTCGGTGGTGTCGCGCTCCGTGGCGACAGCCTCGCCCCTGCCCCCGGGCTCCAGCCTGCGCGAGAGCGTCAGCAGCCCGGACACCCTCCGCACGGGGTCGCCGGACAGCTCCGTCCGCACGTCCTCCAGGCAGCGCGCGCCCCGGCGGCAGAAGCCGGAGCCCTGGCGCCCGGGTGTGGCCATCCCCCCATCACACCCCGGCTACGAGTCGCCCGACCTCCCTCCGCTCGGGGGCGGGCCCGAGGACGTCAGTCTCGGCGACTGGGGCGCCTGGCTCGCGGAGGACCCGGGCGAGGCCTCGCGGTCGCCCGTCCGGGCGCCTGCACCACCCTCGGAGCACAGCGACAACGTCCCGCCCCCGTCGCCGACGTACGTGCGCGTCGTCCTGCGCCAGCGCGACGCCGTGCGCGTCGGCCTCGACGCCACCGCCGCAGACCGCACGCCCACGCCCACCCCGGAGCCCCTCCTGGACCTCGTCGAGGACAGCCCACAGCCGCGCCCGCTGACCGTCGCCCACGTCCCGGCCGGGCACGTCTCCACGCTCGCGAAGCTGCACCCCCCGCAGTCCGCTGGGGCCGCCGCGACCAAGGCGCGCCGCAGACGGCCCGACAGCCCGGACCTGGGGCCGTGGGACGGACCGCCGCACACGATGCCCAGCGGGTGGGACGTCGAGGACGCGGAGCGCCTGCTGTCGCCGCACAGGGAGGCGGAGGTGTCGGCTTACACTCCGGCGCGGTCGTCGGGCGCGTCGGGCACGCCGGAGAGCAGCGCGGCGGAGCGGGACGCCCCCGAGCTCCCGTCGGCACGCTCCTCGCGCAACAGCGCCGCGCTGGGCGGCGCGTCCATGCCCCTCGCGCCAGACGCCGGCGGTGCAGGAGTGGAGGTGGCGGCGCCGCCGGCGGAGTCGCGGGGCATGACCGCGCCGGCGGCGGCGCGCGCGCGGCAGCCGCGTGCGGTGGAGATGCACCTGGAACTGATGTTCGACGACGAGCCGGGGCTGGAGCTGGAGCTGCACGTGACCGAGCGCCTGCCCGAGACGGAGTCGGGGCCCGTGACGATCTCGCCGACGCCACCGGCGTCGCCGCCGCCGATCCCGAAGCGGGAGCCCCCCGCAGCCCCCGAGGCGTTTGCGATGTCGTGCGCCGCGGCGCAGGACGTGACGTGGGCGCCGCTGGACAGCGGGCGGCTCGCGCTGATGGTTGCGCACTGCCACCTGAAGCGGCACCACCGCTACTCCGCGCTGCGCCGGCACTGGGAGACAGTGCAGCTGGACATCAGCCCTGAATCGACCGTTGGGGACGTGCTGACCGCCCTGCGGTCGTCGCTGGGGTACATCCGGCACGTAGAGTTCGCCGGGTGCCCCGTGCTGCGCCCGGAGCCCTGCGGCTGGCAGACGCTGGCCTCGAACGCCATCAGCCCCAATCGCGCCGTCGCCGACCTGATCCAGGCCGGGGGGGTGCTGCACGTCGTGACCGTCGACAAGCCGCGGCCCGTGAAGAGCGTGACGTCGTCGCGGCGCGCCAACACGGAGATGCCGTTCCGCGCGCTGGTGCTGCTGCCGCGGAGCGTGCAGGAGTCCCTCCTGCGCAAGCTGAGGACCGACCCGCAGCAGCTCGCGCCGTGGGGGATCATGCTGCCCGACCCGCCCCCGGGCAAGGTCAACGAAGGCCCGGAGCGCCTCCTGTGTCAGGTGTACCCGCAGTACACCGGGGAGCTCATCAAGACGCACGTCGAGCGCGCCACGGGGTTCCCCATGGAGCGCTTCCGGCTCATGTACAACAACAAGGTGCGCCCGCGGAGCAGCGCGCCTGCCCCGCCAAGAAGCGCGCTCGCCCCTCCCGCATCGGCGCGCCCCGCGACCACGCCGACAAGCTGCTGCGCAAGTGATGCTGCTCCATGTTGCCGCTCGGCGCCGCGGTTCCTTCACCTCGGCCCTGCCCCCGGCTCTCTTCTGCGCAGGAAATCAGCGACCATGACGCGCTGTGGGACTTCAACATCCGCGACGGCTGCACGCTGCACGTCGTGGAGCGCAACGCCCTCTCGCGCTGCGACGGCTCCATCGACTTCAGCGCCCTCACCGACGGCCACGGCCCGTACGCCGTGCCGCCGGTGCCGCGCGACTCCAGCGCCCCGCCGCTCGACCCCACGGACCCCAACACGGCCACGATGTCGATGCTGCGCCTGGACGAGAGCTGGCGCCCTTCGGCGACCGCCCCGCCGTGGCGCTGGGTGCAGCGCGGGATCAACGTGGAAGGCCTGTGCCGCAACTACCGCTGCCCAGCCCACGGCAACGGCCGCGTCGTCGCGCACGCTGGCACGGGCGAAGTCCACCTGGGGCCTGCGGGGCAGGACGGGCGAGGCAACTGGCGGGGCTGCCCCGTGTGCGGGTATACCTTCGAGCCCCTGCACGCAATCATCCTCGGCGCGCGCTGGGAGGCGCGCGGCGCGGTCGTCTCCGGGAGGGTCGACGAGAGCGACCCCGTCGCAGTGCAGCGCCACCTCGAGTCGATCCGCAGCGCCGACGCCGCGGAGTCGCCGCCGCCCACGCCGCGCGCAGGGATGCCCGCGGCGTGCCTTGCGTCCACGCGGCGCGAGGCGGGCCACTGCGCGCACGTCCTGGACCTGGGCATCCCGAGCAGGGACCCCGCGGTGGCCGCCCTGGGGGGCACTCCGAGGTGGGCGTTCCTGCGGCTGTACGCGGTGGCGGGGAACCGCCACAAGTGCGCGCTGTGCACGGAGTTCCTCAGCCTGCAGGCGCAGGACAAGGCGTGTCCGTTCGACGCCGCGGGCGTGGTGGCGAAGTGCCGTCACGCGTACCACGCGCAGTGCCTGGAGCTGTGGCGGTCGCTGCCGGGTCTGCCGCCGCGCAGCTGCTACCTCTGCGACCTCCCAGCGCCTGCGGTCCCGAGCATGCCGCGGTGGAGCGACGCGCCGACCCCGCCGAAGCTGCATCCTGCGTCGCTGACGTCTCTCAAGGGCACCGTCGACAACGCGCTGTCGGGCGACGGAGTGATCATCGAAGAGGACAGGCCGGTGAGCCCGGGGTCCGACACCAGCGACCTGAAGTTCTCCGCGTCGTGGACCGAGGGAGAGCTGCGACGGAGCGCGGGGGCGCGTGCGGAGCTGCTTGGGGTGGCGTCGAGCCACGACCAGACGGGCTTCTGCCACGTGGGCCTCGACTTCCACGGGGGCAGCTCCCTCAGGCACGGGAGGCCGCACGGGACGGCCGGTTCCAACTTCGACTGCCCGTGCCCCTGGACGCCGCCGTCAGGAAGCCCCACGGTGCACAGAAACACAGCGGCGGGCGTGGGCACAGGCCTCCCGACGAGCGCCCCAATGCTGCACCTCTTCTCCCGCCGGCCGTTCACGGGGCAGCCGATCTACAACCCCGCGGGCGCGGGGCGGTCGATGGGCCTGGGCATGGCGCGGGGTGTCAGGTCGAGTTTGTCCCCGATGGGGGGCAACTACCTCCCGCAGGCCGTGCCGGTGCCGGAGGGCGCGGACATCAACGTGAGACAGCGCTTTGGCGCGATGAGTCAGCCGTGGGAGCCCGGAGTGCGCGCGGTGAAGACGCCGTCAGACGCGGACGGTGCCGCCGCCGTGCGGTTGGTGAACGAGTACAGCCGCGAGTTGGACGGCCGGCCGAAGTCGCCGAAGCTGGCGACATACTCGAAGCGGGAGATCCGGAGTTACGCGAAGATGGTCCTGTCGGGGCTCGGGAGCTTTGGGCCAAACACCAAGTGGCAAGCAAACCTGCGCAGTTCCGGGTACAGCCGCGGCGGTGGCTACGCCCTGTCGTAGAACGATTCATATTAGCGGACTAGACGATACATATTGCCTCTCGGCTGCAACGCTGTACACTCACATCTCGTCACTGTCCTGGTCTCAGTCGCACCCCTGCGCCTTGTCCTCGGGGTTCTTGAAGTACGCCTGCCAGATCGCCTGCGCCCCCACCGGCACCCCCTGCCCCTCGAGATCACTGTACGGCGGCACGTGGTCCGCCAGGCCCTCCACCGCCTCCTCGTCCTCGCACAGCACCGCGATCGGCGCGCCGACCTGCAGCTCCTCGCCCTCCGCGGCTATGCGCCGCGCCACGTACCCGTCGTCCACCACCTCCAACAGCATCACCGTCGTCTTGTTGCCCTGGCCCGTGGGCTCCACCGAGCCGTCGTCAGGCATCAGACTCTCCGTCTCGATCTCCGCCACCAGCTCGTGCGTTCCGATGTACTCCCCTGCGACGAGCGGCGTCCCCGCGGCATGCTCAGGCGCTGCAACACAAATGAGTCGCGCAGCCGCGCACCTGCGACAGGCGACGAGCGGCGACGTGCGGGTGCTGCCGACGCGGCGCACCTTCTTCTTTCAGCCACGTCTTGACCCGCCCAGAGACCATGTGAGGCGCGAGTTTCGGCATTGCAAGATACCGCACCCCCTCGATTGCCTCCGCGGACGTGCTGTGCCGCCTCGCGCGCTCCGGCGGCAGCCCGCCCATCCCTCCCGTCGCCACCGGCACGCGCGAGCCCGCGCGCGAGCGCGCCGGCGCCCTGGCGAAGTGCATGGAGTGCCAGCCGCGCGGAGGTCGCTGGGGCTCGACTGACGAGCTGCGGGGATGGTCCCAAGGCGCGCGCGGCGTCGCAAGGGACGCAACATTGTCGAGAGGGAGCGGTGTGTTGAACGCACGCTCCATCGAGCCCTGCGACGACTGCGAGCTGCCCGAGCCCCAGCGACGAGCAAGCTTGCCGCTCGCCCCGCGGAGCTGCCGCCATGCCGTCGCGGACGCCATGCTGGGCCTCTAGAGCGCACGGGCGGTCGACCGCCGCGCCAGGTGACTACGAGAGTGGATCGGAATCGAGCCCCAGAGGTGTCCTGGCAACTGGAGGTCAGGAAGTGCACCGCGGGGCGTTGCGCGGGACTGTATCGATAACTTCGCGGGCCGGATGCTGCAGGAGAGTGTGTGGCGGCGTCTCCCAGCGCAGCGCATGTCGACGACGGGTCTCGGGCACACAACTGCCCGCGCGACGCGTGGGGGTCTGTCGACGGGTGGTGTCCAGCAGGGCACGCGGAGCCGAGGGCGCGGCGACGCGCGGGGCCCGCGCAGCTTCGCAGGTGTCACGGCAACGCGCACAGCGGGTCGTAGTCACGTTCGCGGGCGGCGCATGTGCGGGTCAGGAGGCAGGACTTGCGTAGCGCTCTAGTTGCGCCCGTGGAGGCAGCGATGGTGGCGGCAGCGAGCGCGCAACTGACTGTACGGTACAACAGCAGGGAATGTTGCCACGTGTCGCTGCCGCGCAACTGCGTGCGGGCGGCGGGAGGTGGAATCACTGCGTTGCGGTGCACCTTCGTGGCCAGGGGCAGCGAGGGAGTGCGCGAGGTGTACCTGGGCTGGGATGGGACGTTCTCACAGCACTCGTCTGAAATGCTCGTCCCCGCGGCCATGGGACGGGCGCTTGGACTGCTGGAGGGAGCGGAAGTCTCCGTGTCAGCTATCACAAGGTGCGCAGTTGCGACCGGCTGGGGTCAGAATATGCCAGATTTGGATCTGTGTTGGCCTTAACATAGCTGTGGTTTTCGTCGGGGAGCGTTGGGCTGCCCGGATCCCGCGTAAACGACGCGTGCGGCGTGTCTGTTTGCCCGCAGCGTCCAGCCGGCCAAGTCCGCGACCGTCGTGGCGGCTACGCAGGACGACATGCAAGTCGCGGCATCCTCGAAGGATCAGCTACAGGAAACGCTGCTGAAGCAGGTCGGAGTCGTGTACGTCGGGCTGGAGTTCCCCGTGCGCGTCAACAGACAGACCATGGTCCTGCGCGTCACGGAAACCTCCCCCGCGAGCACCCCCGTCCTGCTCCAGAACGGCTCGAGCGTCGAGTGCCTGTGCGCGGCCCCGCCCCAGCCAGCAGCGCCGCAGCAGAGCAGCGCACCGGCATCAGCCAACAACACGCTGGCGAGGATCCTGCGGGCGCGGCTCATGCCCAGCGACGCGCCCGCGACGCCAAGCACCGCGCCCGTCAACGTCCGCGTCGGCAACGGCAGCGAGCGGTCGTTCCTGCCCGTCGCGTCCGCCCTCGCGTTCGCTACCCCGGCCGTCGTCAGGGACCTCCGCGGTGGCGGCGCGGGCGACGACGACGCTCAGGGCGCGCCCCTCCCTTGCACGCTGTCCACGGGCAAGGGCAAGTGCTGCGTCGCGCTCGCGAGGGCGCCGCCGCAGTCGGCCCACGTGCCGGCAGAGGGGGAGGTGTGGCTGCCCGACCCCACGGCGCGGGCGCTGCAGGCCGAGGACGGCGGCGAGGTGAGGGTCCAGGTCTGCGCGGAGGCCGTTGGCGAGGCGCCGCTGGGGGAGGAGGAGGCGTCGATCTCCGCGACGTGCGCGCAGGGGCTCGGGCCAGACATGACGCAGGTGGGGGTGTCGTCCCTGCTGGCCGCGTGGTGCGCGGCGCACCGCGAAGCCGGGGGCGGAGACGCAGTGCCCGTCGGGCCCGGCACCGTCATCGCGTTCACGGCACAGGGGGCTCGGGGGAGTGGCCCTGACTCGAGTGCACAGGGCGGGTGTTTCGCCATGACGGTGCAGCACGTCGTCCGGGACGACGAGGAGGGCTCGCGCTACCTCTGGCTGGACGAAAGCGCCGCGGCATCGCAGCAGGTCCGGCTGACGTGGCGGGAGGGGGCGTCGCCGGAGGGGGAGTCTCAGCAGGCGCGGGTCAGGAAGGCCAGGGTCTCCGTGCTGCCGGCCGCGAAGACGCTCGTGTACGACCTGGCGGACGAGCTCCACCGGCTCGCGACGTGGACGGTCAAGCGCCCCGAGGCGGTCATCGCGGGCTGCTGTCCCCCGGGGGTGTTATTGGAAGGCCCCGCGCACAGCGGGAAGACCACGCTCCTGCACGCCCTCGCGCAGCTGCTCCCCAAGTACGACACGCCGGTCCACCTGCGCGTGCACGACTGCGCGGACCTCGTCGGGAAGCCCCTGAACGAGATGGTGGACTACATGGCAACGGGGCTGAAGCAGGCGCGCGCCTCGGTGCCGTGCGTGTTCGCGCTGGACAACGCCGACGCCCTCTGCGGCGCCGGCGAGGGGTCCGCACTGACCGGGGCGGTCACGATGGTGCTGGAGATGATGGACGAGGTCGCCGCGACGCGTGCGCACGCGCCCGTGGCCATGCTGGCGACGGTGCGGGACACCGCGGCGCTGCACCCGGCGCTCGTAGCGCCCGGGCGCTTCGGGCGGCACTGGCGGCTTCCGGGGCCCGCGGAGGGCCAGCGGGCCGAGATCCTGCACCTGCAGATGGGCCGAAAGCTGCTCGACATGGACGCTGACGACGTGGCGGGGGCGCTGTGGCCCGGCGCGCTCGACGGGTACGACGCGAACGACCTGCACGTGCTTGCGGACCGCGTGGCGCTCCAGGCCGCCGCGCGCAGGCTGCGCGCGAAGCGGGACGGCGGGTCGGGCGCAGCGGGCGCGCACGGCGCCGGCGTGCGTCAGCCCGCGACCAAGGACGACCTGGTGCGCGCGCGCCAGGGCCACGCGCCGTCGTCGCACTTCGGCGCATCGGCGGACGACCGCGCGCTCGCGCCCGACGCCACCTGGGACGACATCGGCGGCATGAGCGAGGCGAAGGCAGCGCTGCACGAGGTGCTCACTTTACCGAAGACCGCCCCGGCGCTGCTCGCCTCCGCGCCGCTGCGACTGCGCACGGGGCTGCTGCTGTACGGCCCGCCTGGCTGCGGCAAGACCCACGCGGTGCGCTGCGCGGTCGCGGCGGCGGGGATGCGCATGGTGACGGTGAAGGGTCCGGAGCTGCTGAACAAGTACATCGGCGCGAGCGAGGCCGCGGTGCGGGGCGTGTTCGCGCGCGCGCAGGCTGCCGCGCCGTGCGCGCTGTTCTTCGACGAGATCGACGCCCTGGCGCCCCAGCGCGGCCACGACAACACAGGGGTGACCGACCGCGTGGTCAACCAGATGCTCACGGAGCTGGACGGCGTGCAGGGCCTGGCCGGGGTCGTCGTGCTCGCGGCGTCGTCGCGGCCGGACCTGATCGACGCGGCGCTGCTGCGGCCCGGGCGCCTGGACCGGTTGGTGGCCTGCGGGCTCCCGGACGCGGTGGAGCGAGCGGAGATCCTCCAGGCGTGTCTGCGGGGCTGCCCGACGTTGGACCTGGGGCCGGACGTGCTGCGTGCGGTCGCGGCGGCCACGGAGGGGTTCACGGGCGCGGACATCGAGGGCGTCGCGTCGGCGGCGCGGGAGGCGGCGGCGGTGCAGGCGGAGGAGGCGGGGCGGGCGGGAGGGGAGGGCGGGGACGCGGCGGGGGCGGTGACGCGGCAGCACCTGGACGCGGCGCTGCACGACGCGCGGCCGTCGCTGCCGGCGCGCGAGCGGGCGCTGGCGGCGGAGCGCATGCGGCAGTTCGTCGAGGCGCGCACTGCGGGCGCGGGGACGGACCGGAGCGCGATGGCGCGGGTAATTGGGACGCGGGCTACCCTAGCTTAGGTGCCCGTGCGACTGTGAGGGCAAGTGGAGCGTCAGCGCGGTGCTCCTTCGTCGTGCCCTGTCGGACGGCGTCTGTCCTGGGGTTCCTCGCCCGGTCGGCTGCGTGAAGCAGGACCATGTGCGTGGACAGGCGTGGAGCGGCCGCAAGAGCGGTCTGTCACGCGCTGTGCGGCCCGAATTCGCGTAGGAGGAGCTGCAACCACAACCTTGGGGCGGGAGGCGCAGGTGTGCGGGCCTTTGCGGCCGTGGTCGATCCGTGGTGCCCTTCTGGTTCTGTCGGTGCGGTGGATGGTGGGGATGAGCGACGCGGCGCAGGTCGTCGTTGGATAGATGCGGCGCGCAGGCAAGTTGCTGGATTTGCTAGCAGGCGGGGCGCATGGCGGATTGTGCAGGATCACGTACGGCGAGCCGCGATCTTCCACTCAATACCCATGAACATGCTGTTCGAGCCATGGAAGCCCCGTTGTGCTCCCCTGAGCAAAGACACAATGCGCTCCAGAGGCGAGCGCCACCCTGTGCCCCGCACACGCCCAGACCACATGACTCGACACCGTCCAAGGCCTGTATTGTGATCACACAACAACAAGCACTCAACGGACCCGTGAAGCAGCGCGCTTTGGGTCCCTGACCGTGCTCATGACGCATATGTGCCCCGCCGTGCCACCCAGCAACTGCGCTCCGGGCACGCGACGCGCGATTCCGACCGTGCAACACACCGCTGGAGCTCAACTCTCTGCATGTGCGTGGCGGCTCGCTCACCCACGGGCTGCGGGACGCGCCACGGGCCCCGCACAACGGCCGATCACTGCAGGGCCCCACGCAGTCAGGCTGGGAGCCCCAGTCCATCGCACCGCAGCTCATGGCCCGCGCGGCGCGCAGTGCTGCGACCACTCGACTGACCAGTACCGGGAGAATCGTCTCGGTGCGCCGAACGTCGACACTTCCCGCCAGGAGGCCGTGAGTCTGCGGCTCTGGTGTGTGCTGTGGGAGGGCCGGCTAGCGGGATTCAGCACAGTGGCGAATCGACACATTTGCGCTACAGCGACACAGGCACGCCCGCTCCCGCTGGCCTCGGCCTCTCGCTCCGATGGCGCGGCGAGATCCGCATCCGTCCGCGCAGCGCCCAAGCTGCTATGCACCTCCAACGAGGCCCCTTGCTGCGCGGCCCAATGCGCCACCGGTGCGACTTGAGTCCCCGGCGCCTGCCGCTCAACATTTGTGCCAGGCTGTCTGGTGGACCGCCGATAGCGAGATGCTGCCCCGCGGCTGCGATCGACGGCACAACGTGAAGGAAGGGTCACGGCGCCCTATCGCGGACGATAGTGTCCGAGTTTGCCGCCCAATATCGCGCGACTGGCATCCTTATTTCCAATATATTCCCCTCGCGCATCGTTATACGCCTCGATTGGTTCGGCGACAGCGCGTTGAGCGTGCCCGGGCCTGCTAGGATGCCCACCCGCCTCGTTCGACTGCGAGGGACCTTCGCGCGCCGCCCGGCAGCGCACGGGATGCTTTCGGCGATTCACGCGCCGCGCAGCGACGCACTGGAGTCGATCGTTGCCCAATTCCCCAGCGCGCCGCTGCAGCACCCCGCTTCGGCGGCAGTCGCTGTCGCCCGAGCCCCACCCCCTCACGTGCACCTCGATGGCACATCTCACTTTTTTCGGCATGGAGTGGCCTGCCGGGGGGGTCGAGCCACTGCCCGGCATCGCCCCTTCGCCGGGACCGCGACAGACACGGCAGAAGCTCCGTGCACCACAGGCCGTGGTCCCGGACGATTCGATGCCGCTGCGGCGCCCTCGCTGCGCGCACTGCATTCTCCGTGATACGAACGCGAGCCCGAGCAACATGTTCGGCCGCACACGAGCCCCGTCCCGGCGGGAGCGCAGCGGGCCTGCTGAGCGCTGCCGGTGCCCCCTGGGCAGGGCGCGACGGCACCGGCCTCGCGCGCGGGCGCCTCGTCGGGCATGTTCATGTTTCATTCGACCGGTTCGGGCGCAAATCGAGCGGTGTTCGGCGCCTTTGAACGCAGGCTGCCCATCTGCTCGTGCTTCCACGTTGCACGACCAGCATGGGCGTCGGGGCGCCGCTCACGACGGCGCTGCTCTGCGTCCTCGCGCTTCTCGTGGGCGCGCTGGGCGTTTCCTCGGGCGTGAGCGCTGACACTCCCGTCCAGGACATCCTGCGCGCCGGCCTGAAAGCGCGCGACGCCCGCCTGCTCTCGGAGACGGAGCCCCAGGGCGAGCTCGGCTTCCTGACGCCGGGTCAGACCGTGGAGGCGCCGTTCAGGCGGAAGGAAGCCGGTTTCTTGCCGCGTGCCATCCCGGACGCGGGCGCTCTTGAGACCTCCATCTCCATCTCGGGGAGCGACTCTCTGGTGGCGACCGGCTGTATCATCGACAGAATCGGCGTCGAAATCAACATCACTCACCCGAGGGTCCAGGATCTGGACATTTTCCTCCAGGTGCGGCCGCTGCCAGGGCAAACATCACTTGCCGCAATGAGCAACAGAATCGACCGCCCCCGCTGACTGCGACCACGCGTGGCCGGCCGCGGCCCTCACACGGCAACACCCGCGATGCCCTCGAAGCCCCAGGTCGGCAGCGATCGAAGCGGCCGCTGCCCGTCGCCATCGTGTGCATGTACGCAACATTCCCGACTCGCCGCTATGGCGCTCACGACCCGCGCCCATCGTCGTCCGACGTGCAGGGACCTGCGAAGACCGAGGTCGAGCTCGCCACCGACGTCCGCGGCGGGTCGGCGAACGCGACCCTGCGGCTGTTCGACGCTGGCGATGTCGACAGCACCGGCAGGCGCCCCGTGCTCGTGCGCGTCGACGAAGCGTCCGGTCCGCTCGTGGGCGACTTCGCTCCCGAGGAGGGCCTGACGCCCATGTTCCGCGGCAAGTCGCCGGCGGGAACGTGGACGCTCAAGGTGTCGGATGACACGCCGTCGCCTTCCGGCGCCACGCAGGTGCGCGACCGTGTGCGCGACCCCGTCATGCTTGCATCACAGTGCACGCGCGCTGGAGGCACCCGATCCGCGCCCGAGCCTTGCTTCGCGCGGCCCACACCACCTTTGCAGGAGCTGCTGGGCTTCGCGCTGCTGTTCCAGTGCCGCGGCGAGGAGCGCGTCAAGTTCGAGAAGGAGCCGCGCGATTTGAACGGCGACCCGCTCGCTCTTGACGCGCTGGTCGTCATCGACAGCCTGGAGGTGGCGGCCGAGGACAGCTGCACTGTCGACGCCGTTGACCTGGACTTCTCGCTGCGGATCGACTACACGAGCGCGGAGAAGCGGGTTGTGCCGTACATCGTCAAGATCCCCCCGGGCGTTCCGCTGCTGAACACGACCGCGTTTTTGGACGGCGTCGGCGACGGCACGCTGCCTGGCATCAACATCAACTTTGCGGGGCCGACTTCGCTGGGAGTTCAGACCGTGAACGTCGCCGCGAGCGGTATCTCGACGTTCGATGGCGCGCCCTCTGAGGGCAACTGGTTCTTCGTGCTCGTCAACACCGCCCCCGCGGCTGAGGACGCGCTGCTGTCCTGGTCGGTGTCGGTGTCCTGCCGGACGACGCGGGTGTTCCCGCCGACGTGCCCCGCGGGGTACAACGACGCCGTGCCTGCGTCGCTGCAGCGGGAGCGGCGGCTGCTCGCCTCTGAGGCCAGGAGGATGATGGCGGGCAACACCACCAGCAACTCCACCAGCAACGCGACGGTCGTCCCTGACGCCACCGTCGCGCCCACGGTGCCGCTCAACATCTCAGGCGCGTTCCAGTACGCGCTGGACCTGTCGACCACCGCGGGCCTCACGGCGCTGACGTGGTCCTCGCGGTTCTCGAATGTATACCGTGTCGCGATCAACACGGTTGTCGACACGGACGCCGAGGTCGTCCGCTTTAACGGACCCAGCAGGAGCGACGCCGGCGCGCTCGTCTTCATGCCCTTCACCGCGGAGGAGCTCGGCGCGGCCGTCAACGTCTGGGCCGATGTGCGTGTGGGCGATGCCATCGCTGCCACGTCTGGCGAGTTCTGGCTTACCATCAGCGGAGCCGACGTGGACACGACCAGGAGTGCTCAGCGGGGATACGAGGTGTACGACTCGCGCGACGAGATGGGTCGCAACATTCGGGCTGGCGTCGCCCACGACCGCGCGAAGGACGAGTACTACCTGTACGTCCGCGTCGGAAACTACGTGGCGCTCAGCCAGGAGATGTCGGCGTTCGATGATGGCATGTGGCGCACGCTCCATCTGCAGCTGGATCGCGACACCGGCGTCGGACTGATCCAGGCAAGTCACCCTCACTGCTCCATGACGCTGGGGCCCGTCCCGGGGCCAGCCCACGGTCACACTGCTCGGGGCCAGATATCGCCTGCATGTCCACGCCCTGTTGACTTTGCTCACGCTGTCTTCGAGGACGGCATCTCCGTACTGCCATGCACGAGCACCGGGTTTCGCAGCGCCTCGCCCGCTGCGCTCCCCGCGTGCACGTTCCGGAATCGCGCTGATCCGACTCCTGGCCATCTGTCTTGCAGTTCGGCGAGGTTTCGTACGACTTCGTGGTCCCGAAGAACCTGCTCTGGGTCCCGGACCTGCGGCACAACGGCACCGTGCTGGCCGCCGCCCGGAGCCTGCCCAACTCAGACGTGTCAGCGGCGACTTACGAGCTGCGCAACATCTTCTTCTGCGGCAACCCGCTCGGCGCCCCCCGCACGGCGCCCGAGAACCCCACTCCTGGGGTTGACGTCGGGCTCGCTGTTGCCTGGCGCCAGAGCCTGGGCTCGGGTGTGTCGATCCCGGCGCGCGGTGCTCGCGAGATCTCCATGTCATTCTCGTCTTCGGACGAAGTGGCGCGTAGATGCGTCCTCGAGCAGCTTCTGGTGGCCGTGGAGGTGGAGCACCCCCGCGTTGGCGACCTCGACATCGCCGTGCGGGCGCCAGACGGCACGCAGGCGCTCCTGTGGGCGGGCGACGCTCAGCAGACCGGCAGCGACCTCCGC